CCAAAACGAATGTGGTAAAGTTGTCTTATATAAAAAAAAAAAAAGAAGACTCTAGAGCAAAAGGACAAAAAGCGACTGAGAGACACGAAGCTCGAAACTCAACTTGAAGCCTACAGTCAAAATTAAAAAGAGACAATAAAAATAAAATGGTTACCAACGAAAAAAAAAAAAAGGGTCGATATAAATTTCAAGAAAATTGTCGGCCTTGTTGGCGTTCCCTCAGAGCACCATTGAAGCTAACTAGATTACGCTTAAAAATAAACAAAGACAAAAAAACATGCGCACAAAAAAAAAAAAACATTCACACAAACATGTGGGATGCGCTACATCGGTAGTCTAAAATATCAACGACATATGGGCGATCGTACGTATGTAGCATGATAGCCCCACGTGCAGAATCCCTGTGCAAGCTTCAACCAGCATTGTTCCAATGACGGCATGATTACGTTACACACGCTCGCGTGCCCACTTATTGTCGCTTAATTAGAAGCAAAGTGCTCCGCCGTCACGGTGAGGACCCGGCCACCTTATCTGAGAATTCGCGTCATTCGCTCCTGATGAAACTGGCCATTTTAAGGCGGGGCAAAAGGACGGTGTGTCAGTCGTGGTCATTTCACACGGAGCTTTTGTCATCGGGTGCTTCCGTGCACCACCCGATCGTACATAGGTCATCAACGTTCTGTAAAGCGGTCTCCTTCATGGAACTTCGAAGCCCACTGTAATAAGTGTTTGTGTGATCCTTTGCTGGATAAAACACAAACTCCGGGGAAGTAGGAATCCAAAAAAGCGGCAGAAAGTGTAAATGAGTATGACGGTTGCATGAGTGCGTCGTCACTCGTTTCATCAAATAAGGAATTCAGGTTCATTTGGGGTGAGGTATAATAAAGTGTGTATATATGTTCGTTTTCTTTTTTTTTTTTCAAAATAAAATTCAGTTGTTTGTAGCGCTCCGAGTGTGCACGCCTACTTCTTTGTGCTCATTTCTTTTGCCCCTTTAAGTATACGATTTTGCACCTAACTCACTTCTGGTTAGACTCGAAATCGAAACCAACATTGTCGTCTGCTATCAGTGCCTTGACGCCATGTTGGAGGCATTCTGCGTCTTATTGTGGCAGCGGTAGTGCCGTAGTCAGAGAGCCGTCTTTTTATAATCACATTTCAGAATATATTTTTCCCTAGTCAATCGCAAAGAGGTTCCTCATCTGACACGAAATGTTGTCCATAAACCCGTAGTTGGTGTACAAAGCTTGTCTAACATAATAATCTAGAGCGAAAGTTCCATGCATTTGGCCACGACGGAATGGCGAGGCATAGACGCGTGGACATAACGGCGGCCCTAGTTGGCGGTCCCGATGAACCCATTTTGGTTCAGACGCCTTAATATGCACAAAGAAGCAGCAAAACATATATAATTTCTGTACCACGCTATTTTCTTTTTTACTTTGCAGAAATACACCTGAATCGCGCCTTGACAAAATTAAACAAAGTTTACAAGCGCTCGAGCAACTTCAACTTCTGGAGGCAAAGCTAACACGCCTAAACCAGCCTATTTAAGCATGCTTCCAGTAATAAGCTAAAGGTATTTCCAGACTAAAGCGTGTTTCACATGCAGCGGTTTCGGCCCTAGAGCGGCGCGATTTCTGCCGTCGCGGCGCTCAGGCCAGCACTAGCGGTTGAGCGGCACGAGCGCAGCGATGGCAGAAATCGCGCCGCTCTAGGGCCGAAATCGCTGCATGTGAAACACGCTTACCACTGACCATTATATGCCACTGCGTTCTTGCAATGTCGATGAGTAGATTCTGGATAACCTTTATGTGCGCGTTTAGCGTGACATTAAAAATATTGAAAAAGCGGGTTCAAAACTTCGATCCGCGAAGTTCCTTCGGCGTGGCGCAAGGGTACCCCAAAAGTTTTATGTTATCAGCTCCACTCAATATCGGTGACCTAAATTTTGGTCCCAAATCGTCGCTTCGCCTGTTATGGCTTATCTGTCGACACCTTTGTATGGTAAGGGGTACCAGTCCTCCTAAAAATGGTGCAATGTCCATCGTGCCCGCACTTTATCCCAGCCTGTCTTTAGCCAAAAAAATAGGTAAGCTTTTGTCGGTGAGCTTTTGTCCGGCTACCTAGTGAGCTCGTGCAAAAATAGAAACTCAGTGCAACGTCAATTGCTTTCTCATAGAAACGCGGTTAATTAATCTTAATTCTTTTTTTTTTACTCGCCTTGCAATTTTTTTTACATCTCTTTTAAGCATCTCTGATTGTTCTTCCCCACCATGGCAATCCCGTCGCTTTTGCTTTATGACATACCACCCCCGACTACGTAATCTTTCAGGATTTTCATGATAAAATATATACCTGAACGTTAAGCTGGGGTCACACTGCTCATAAATCCTACGAAGGACGGTCTGCAGACAGGTTCGAACGCGAGTCACCGCGGGGTCCGTTCTTCGAATGCTGCAGGGCAATGAGTTCAAGAAGAAACATGGCACGCGGCATTCGAAACACGGTTCTCGCGGTGACTCGATCGTGTCTGTCAGACTGTCTTTTGTGTGAGGTGTAAGCGGTGTGATCCGGGTTTCAATTTAGAATTCTGTCGGGCCTTTGGATCAAAAAGGAGCAAATCCTATTCCGTAGTTCTCCTCATTTGTATTGTATCCAAACGTTTGCTTAGTAGACTTTTTCTTTGCAAATTACCTAGATCGGTCGCACAGATGATTCGGAGTGCACAGAATGTGTAATATGTGCGATAGGCTTAGTTTCCCTCGTAGGAATATTTTTCATTTTTTTTGGCCACCTCAGACACCACACATCAAGTATACTCCGAATTTATCCTTGGGATCATGGTAAGTTTACTTTTCTTCTGTTGGCTGGGGTGCAGAAAAAACTGAGGTTCTTCCTCTTGCCTTTCACTGTGAGGGCTCATAAAGTCGGAAGTAGTAGTACGCGACGAAATGAAGCTCCTGACCTTGCCGCGTGAAGACACTGTGCCCGTCAGCCTAGAGGGGAGCCAAGAGGCTTCTATGCAAACAGGGCTTGTGCCCGTGCCCTTTTGGGCAAGCACATAAAAGACAAAAATGTTGAGACAATTTAGGAGCCCCGTGTATTATAGCGAAAGCTAGAGCACGAGTTCATAGCACTGCAAGAAGATCTGGATGCACGAGAGCTCATGCAGCGGGATTACGTTGTTTCGCTTTTCCAGACTTCACTCTGCTGTGACAATCGCTCGCTCGCTCGCTCAAAATGTGTTAAAAAAAGAAAGGTTTTTAGGCCGCGGTGGAAGAAACACATTTTTCCTCCACCGTGCTTCACGCCAGACTCGTCAAACCAAACAGGTCTCCAAACAGAAAGGAGCGAAAACAGGGCGCGCCATCTATCGGTTTTCTTTCCAACGAATTCCCACGTCGACGAAGGAGCCACGCGTGCACTGATCGCTCTAATCCCCACCCCCGTTATCGGCCCTTACGCTTCCCTTAGCCTTGCCGCCGTGCCCGGCCTTCCCCCCTCTTTCGGCCTCGACACCCCTCCCGGCCCTTTCGCAGTGGTCGGCCTAGCCCCCGCACTGGGCAGTTCCGGCTGGCTCGGCCCTAATCCACGCTCGGCCCTTCAGCGAGGGTCGGCCCAGGGCGCTCTGACCCGTTTGTTTTCACTGTTTGTTTTCCCCACGCTCGGAGTTTACTCAACACAAGGCCTGTGCAGATGCCGACAGGCCTTATGGGCATGGCCATGTCATCTTCTACAATAGAGCGCGGGGCACAATCTAATGTAAAAAATACTAACAATCGACGAAGCGACGTTAAGTGCCGGATCTATTTTCAGAGATGCGAGCTTGACCCATTTCGGCTTTTGTGCTGAGCTGGGATCGTGCATGCTGCATTTTTCATGCAGGCCGTAGCGAAAAGAAAAGAGCCCTCCTCCCCCTCGCCGGAGAACACGAACTCCAGCCGAACGCTGACGCCGCGTTCGGTTATGTCGGCCGAGCGCTGCGTCATTGTATTTGTTGTCCCCATTCGTGTAGTTGTTCAGTTAACCGCTTGGGGCGTCACGGTCTGTCCTCCACCCCAATAGTCGATTACAAGTTAAGAAGGTAGGAGAAGCTCCTCCCACAAACGTGATGCGCCGGTTTCAAATCCCTCCGCAGTAGAAAGAAGAGTTCACTGGAAACGCTCTTTGTTCCGCTTCAATGAATAGATATTGGCTACAGAGTGATGCCAACTTGTCTCCGATCCCACTTTTAAGAAAGCGACCTTTGTATTCATCAGAGGGGGAACCGAGCCCCTGAAAGCAGCCTTTGTATCCATCGGAGGGGGAACCTAATCCTTGAAAGTCGTATTTGTTTCCATTGGAGGGGGAAAACTCTAATCTCCCTCTCGTGGCTTCCACAATGCTAAGTTAAAGTTGAAAGATAAAGCAAATATGTACAGAAAGGCAAGACCCTCCTCGCGCGTTGGCCGCGACGTCACGGAAACGATGGGACGCTATTGGATGTGGAGGTGGCGGAGGGATATGTGATTCCCTTTGAGGGGCATTTGCCGCTACCTTCTTGACTTGTAACCTACTATAGAACTTTGTCGCGAGGCTGGAGTACACCTGCAATCACACGCATAACCCACAGTGGCATAACCCTGCCCCATCCCTCACGGGCCTCACAGTGCATCACTGCTTCACTGTTCATTAATCACTAACATAATCACCCCCTCTAGACGGGCCTCACAGGCATCACGCATTATTGCACGGGCTACACGCCTTTCTGTGGCGCCTGCGCTGCCTGCGCTGCCTGCGCTCACGAGCGCTAATAAATACCAAATACCTAATACCAAAATGCAGAGCCGTAAATGTAGGCTCTGCCAAAATGCAGAGCCGTGCCAAAATGAATGGGGTATCCACGCATATAAAGAACATTGGGCGGCCCTGTGCGCCATCTAGCGTATACGTTCAACAACTAACACCATCTGTCAGCGTGCTGCCATCTCTGGACGATCCAGCGAAACAACTCGTCTGCTAGCGCCTGTGTGCCATTTTACGCGTGTTACTGCGGTCTTCGCCGTGATATCCCCCGCCGCCTGATTCGGCGGGCATGTTTGTTCCCCCAGCGCTTTCGCATCGATCCTCAGGTCCAATTAAACTCCTCGATGGATAGTCGCAACCCCCATGCCCCCCTCGGACCCGTTCCAACGCCGCGAACGAAGCCGGGAGCCTACCCAGCGTGATTTCCAACACGTCTGACGCAGAATCTAAGCCTACATATCCTATCTGACGGCGGGGCCACAGAACCTCTACCGCCGCGATGGTCAAGCTTTCCACGATGTCACGGGCCACAGGTTACCGGTACGGCCGGTGCCCTGATCGAGACGTGCTCACATCTTGAAGACTAATCCACCAAGCCCCCGATTTGTGCAGCGGGAGTTCGTCTCAACCGTCCGACCACTTGCGGCGGACTCTGACGAGGACTTCGCTGGGGGCGTGGGACTGGATTTTTACCGTGAACGCGCGTGGAGTCTGCCACAGGACTTTGAGAGAACGCTACGATGAATCTGCATCAAGTTCTGACGGGCGCTGTGAACGCCGGGGATCACTGCTACTCCGTCGGAAGCGTAGAAGGCGTACCGTTCACGGTGAGTGACCGCCAAATCGTTGAGTTCGCAAACGTTTTGGTTGGTGGTGACAGCTATGTGCTACATTCTCGCTTCGGTACGTGAGTGCAAGCTTACCTTAGCTATCGCATAAATGCAGCGGTTTTTGGAGCCGTATATTTTTTAATTGCACAAAAATGTGAGCGCGATCGGTTCGGTGGCTTTAGAACCGGCGCGATCACCACGTCTCGATCAATCGCGTTCGATCTTTTACTCGTCTCAGCTCCAAAATCGTGCCCTCAGCAGTTTCCGGGGTTACTGCAAGCCGATTTATGAGGGACATATCTTATCGAAGCGGTCGGGAAAAGATATGATCACTTATGTTTGTTTGTTTATTTTCTATTGACAATCTTGAACTCGTAGGTGAGAGGTGGTACTCAGCGCAGCTCTTTAAAAAGGGGGCGGGGCATCGTTGGTGCCCTTCCAAGTTTTAGGAGCTTTTTCGGTCGTAAAGCCTTCAATTTTGCCGCTAGCTTCTGTGCCGACGTTGGGAGATAAAGCGGTGGTAATGTTGAAGGGAGATTTGGGTTTGATTTGCGCTTCGGACGAGCAATCGCATTTTACACTTCCGGTATAGATATTATTAACACACGAGCAAGCTGAGTTTCGTTAAATGGTATAAATATAAATGCATACGGGACTTGCACGCGGCATCATTCTGCAGTGGTTATTTCTACTTTTTTTTCATTGCTTCGAAGTATATCATGGCAATGGCATAAAGCAATCAGCCACCAGCATGGCGGACCAAATCACGTCAGTGCCCACCATGCTGGTGACCTACTTTGCATAGCTTGGACATCAGTGCAAGCTATTAAATTTTGTGACTGGGGCAAACCTTGCTAGACTACTGGAAATTCTGATATCATGCCTCGACAAAAAAAGAAAAGTAGATATTAATAACTGAATTTAATTTTGTGCTCATTTTTTCTACCAGGTGTATGCTGCTGGATGCAATATAGTGATATTGGCAAGCAACTTTGAGAGGGTACAGATCATCCCAGGTGTGTGCCATGGCAATGTCCAAGTCTGCTGCATCGATTGCTCCACTGACATTGGAAAGGTAGGTTTTATGCTTCTATTTCTGTTTGCTCTTACTTTTGTACACTGTTATATTTTATCTGAAGAGCTCTGTGTTCATTATGAGAAGTTTGAGGGTGTGGCCCTAGGAAGTGCTCCCCATATGCAAGTGCTCCAGCAAACAAGGGATTTCAAGGAGTTACACTTACACACTTGGACCTCTGGCAGTGCTGTACTGAACTCGTGAAATTGTCTAGCTTCCTTGTGAACTTACAAAGGAAAGAGGCAAAGTATGTCTCGTAAATACGGTAACCATTAGCTCACTATAACAAAATGCAATACATCCGCTAAGAAATTTGCTACTTCGTGGACGTCACCAACTTCAAAACTCCTTTTAATTCAGATCTGTCGACAGAAATGCCTTTCAACCTTCTTTTAGAAGGAAATTTGAGAGTGGGAAATTATTTTGTTGTCAATTCTCTGCATGTAATGATTCCAGCTTGGCACTAAAATTCTTCCGTAGTGATTATTAGTCTTAGGTATTTACTTGTAGGATGACGAGCTTTGAATTTTTATATCCATTCTCTTTGCAGATTTCGGCTGCTTACGGCAAAGATGTCGCCATCTTTGAACCTTCTCCCCTCTTGCAGCAGACTTCAGCTCACGTATGTAACTTGATGTATAGCAGCAATCTGAGCACCTGCAGGATGTGTGGATAACCATATTTTCTAAGAGTACAGTCCACGACTACCGTATACATGTCTAGAAGTTGGCATTTTACGTGGTGCGGACTATACAAAAATTTGTTTTTTTATGTCGTTCATTACGATGAAATATGGCAGATTTTGTGAATGGTGGGGTATGTTAATGAATATTTATGTATGCAGAGTATGCTGATGATTGTTTATGTATGATGAAGTTCCTTTCTGAGGTTACAGAGCAGGAATTTGTCAAGGTGTTCTGTGCACGAGATTCTTTTATGTACAGACTAAGCACTGGGTATGCAAACTATCTATAAAAAAGCTTTTTCTTTCACTCAAAATTTGCTTATGTAGATCATGCACCGGGTGCAGTCTATAGTTCAGAAAATATGACTGATAAAAGTTATAAAAAGTATTGATCAAAGTAGCACTTCATCTGTTACCGAAACTCATTATTTTCACTATGCTAATTTCTTGGTGCTGCATAGCATGACAGGACCGTCTGCCATGTCAATTGACCAGCACCTGAGAAGTGGTTCATCTGATAGAATGTTTTTTTCTTTCTTCACGCTACGAATTCCACAGCATACATTGTTTTCTTGATGTCGTGTTTGGGAACTCGCTAACCACTTGTGCACTCTGTCAGGTTTGCAGTTATCCTAACTAAGGCACTGTGTGTGAAGACACTCTTAAAAGCTTCACACTGTGCAAAGTGTATAAGCCTCTTATTCATTTCACAGAAACTGGACTACAAATGGATCCAAACAGCGACGATTGAGCTGGACTACACTGTCAGCGTGCTCTCCTGGAACCTTGAAGGTATTCTTTTTTTTAATAAGTCTTGAAGTGATGCATTCAGGATCCTCGGATGGCGGTGTCCGACCTCATTGTACGAGTGAAGGTGTTTTTAACCACTTCTTAAGCTTTTCTTCGTCTTGATTCTGAGGGCACCTGTTTGTATATTGGCGAGGATATTGAGCAATAGGGGTTGCTTTGTCGCGCTTGTTTTCTACGCCACAAAGCTTGGTGCTTACCCAACAAAGGGCCTGTGAACTGGTTTCTTCTGCATCACCCTCCTCGATTGAGCACGGGCATCCGGCTAGATTCGTGTTAAATTGGGGCGCTACCAATGATATGCGAGCCCGGCTGAATGCTGACGCGGCGTTCGGCTACGTCATCCAAGCGCTAAATCAGAAACAGAAACAAATGATTCTACCCAATCCAAACCCCGACACACAGGGGAATAACATAACGGACAAGATAACATTTTGTGTCTTGTCGGTTTATTTCTTTCTTCGTATGTCGAGGTTTAGGTTTTTCTTTTTTTTTAACTTCAGCTCTCTTGCATACTTTCGCTTTTAACAGCGGAGCTCTTAAGGGCTAGTTTCCCCAGTATCGTGACCGTGGGCAAACAAATGTCGGCACAAAACTCCAGACAGCTACCGCCATCTATGAGCAACGGCGGCAACAAGGCAACCAACTTGCCGGTTGTCTGGTTGCTGCCGTTGCTCATAGACGGCGGCAACCTTTCCAGCATTTCCCCTCTGGGTCTTACCAGAGTGGAAGGGCTGAATTTCTCTAGGCGTCGTCCTAGAAGTCATCCTAGACGTCGTCCTTGAGGTTGTCCTACACGTCGTCCTTAAGGTCATTTTTGAAGTCGTTCTCGAGATTGCCCTCGAGGTTGTCCTAGAAGTCATCCTTGAGGTCTTCCTAGACATCGTCCTCAAGGTCGTCCTTGAGGTCGTCCTTGAGGTTGCCCTAGAAGTTGTTTTCGAGGTCGTCCTAGAAGTCCTTGAGGTCGTCCCAGACGTCGTCTTCTAGGCATCGTTCTTGAGGTCGTCCAAGAAGTCGTCCTTAAGGTTGTCCTAGACGTCATCCTCTAGGCATCGTCCTAGATGTCGTAAAGATAACAGCTTCGCTGGTTTTCCATCTTCATGTGAAGTGGAAGGGCTCTACATTTTTTAAAATAGTGTTGTTCTTATTGGTCAAGTTCTCAACCTAGCCACCATGCTCGTCACATAAAAAGAAGAAAAAAGTTTTGCATGTTATTAGTACGTTGTGCAAAGTAATTCTTGCGAGATTGGGTTGTTGGAAGAGGAAACAATACTTTTAGTGTTAGATGAAGCTAATCTAAGATGCACCTACGTATATCGTAATTCATTGCGCTAAGGGGGAAATCGGTAACGTTCTGCGAGGAACTGGACAATTTTTATTATGGTTCTTGATGTAAATACAAGTATTGTTGGCACAATAGTTGTAGCTCCTCTCCAGTAGGCTATCCCAGAAAGGAGCTTCTGGCCTCTGCCACCTTCAATGTTCACACGCATGGTGCATGCTTGGCTTGCCTTCTTGAGCGACAAACATACATGTGCTGGGCCGTGCAGACTGCAGGCCGGGCTGCGATTTAATAAGCGTTTGAATTGTGCATACCATCTCTGCGGTCCAGGCACGCGACTTCTGACCGGCGGCGACTGGATCCAGCTCTGGCGCTGCACCATTCAGGGAGAGAGTGAAGTTCTCCGTGAAGACGGAGGGGGCGGTGTCCGGATGGCCGCCGGCCCCGCCGTCTCTTTCCAATTGGGCAACGAGGAAGCTCCGCCCCCGCTCCCAGAGGAGACTGCCTCGTGGGACTGTATTTGGAAGTGCAGGCATGTGATTTCGTTTTTCGGGGGTAAAATAGTATTTTCGTTTCCGACATTACCGCTCTCGAGCTCTACAATCAATCTACTGACTCTGCTCGAGTAAACGATCGGGGGGGTTTCGCGGTGTATTGATGCACTGAATGCTGTAGAATGCTCAAGCTTCACTGGAAGGTGTTCTTAGCGATGAAGGTGGGTGCAAATGCTTCAGCCCGGTATGTCGCCTGAACCAACGGTTCAAAAAAGATTTCTTTTAAGATTTGAGTTTGGATTCATGGCCATCAACCTCCGTCGGTGGCTGACATAAGCGAGGCCTCCTAGCTTCCGGTGCACAAAGTTCTCCTTCATCCGTTGCATTCGTTGTAGGGTGTCTGAAATGCCGAGGCTTAACCTAAAATGGGCCATAGAGGTTGGCACCTGCATGTAGCAATCAAAACTTTTCGTCAAAGGTGTATTTCACAGGTTGGTTTTTCGTTGTAAAATTACGAGGTGTAGCTCCCTTTCTGTACAAAATAGGGCCAAAGAACTTGCAAGAGTCAATGACGCACGGCAGTGCAGACGACCGAGTCTAGTGGCGGGGTGCGTTTGGCGCGCATGCTGATAGATGGCGTCAAGAGCAGCGTCTGAAGGTGTAGCCGACCAGCAAAAGAAAGCAGACGACGCGCAAGCGAAATCCGTTGCCTGCGCATGTCGTCGCTTTTTTTTTATTTTTGCTACTTCAAGTCTTGCTATTGTTGTCGGCATTTATTTTTAAATCAAAGGTACATTACAAAAAGACTATGTTAATTTTAGTAGACGACGGTCGTCGCAGGCAGTCTCAATATTTCTTTTAAAAGCAAGCCGAAACAAAGAGGTAGCGCCATCTATCAAAGCCCCACTAGTCGACCCGGTCGTCCGCGGCGTCGTTTGCAGCTGACCTTGGCAAGTTGTTTTACCCTATTTTTTGCAGAAAGGAGGCTACACCTTGTAATTTTACAAGTTCACATCCACTTGTGAATTACACCTTTCACGAAAAGTTTAAATTACTGCATGCAGGCACCAATTTTTATGGCCAATTTTAGATAGAGCGTCGGCATTTCAGGCAGCCTATATATCAGCTTCCTCACGTTTAGCTTCTGTAGTGCGGCCTTATTAAATCCAGCACTATATACTTTCACGAAAAGTTTAGATTACTGCATGCAGGCACCAATTTTTACAGCCCATTTTAGATAGAGCGTTGGCATTTCAGGCAACCTATATATCGGCTTTCTCACGTTTAGCTTCTGTAGTGCGGCCTTATTAAATCCAGCACTACAGCGAGGAAATGTTTTCAAAATTCGACCTAAACCGTCCTCCTTCCCAATGCCACAGACATACTACATGCAGCTTTCCGGATAACTTTTGTAGCGTGAGCTACACTGGCCGAGGTTGAGCAGTTTTGCGTGGCTCGCATAATGAGCCATGCTCCGTGCTGCGCAAGTGCGAGGAGCAGGGATGTCACACGGCGCACAGCTGGCGCGCCAGAGACGCCGCCGCCGCGTGCTCCGCCGCCACCACGCGCGCCTCGCCGGTCTGCACATTCCAGAGGAGTGACCTCATAGCTGCGGCAGACGCAGTGGCGCCGCTGCGTGCCCAGCTGTGCGCCTCCGTTGCGCAGTAGCCAAGTCTGACGCTGCTCCGGAGCCACTTGACAACGCCTCTCATTTTGTGCGCATAAGCTCACGCTACGTATATCCTGGCATAGCCGAGCTAAGCCACTTCAATTTTTTGTTTGCAGCTCTTCAATTATGTTAGTCTGGCCGCACCTGCCCTGTATGGCTAGGCAGTTTGTCGTCTAGGAATTTGCTGTTTTTTTTTGTTTTCCTTGAGCAAGCGAGTCACTAAGAGTCGGATTGAGACCAAATACACCAAACACGGCTGTCTGTAACATCTTCCTGCTCGAGAATCTCGCACACTAAACCCCTTCATCTTTTTCCAGGACATCTCGGCCAGTTAGTTTTCTGCGGTTCTCGCCGGATGGCACGCTTTTTGCGTCTGCGGGCAAGTCTGATCGTCTCGTCAAGATCTGGCATGACAGTCACAAAGGTGAGTTGCTACGGTCGCCGGCCGTTGGCAACTTTGAGTGAAGTCAAAATTGAGGCAAGGTGGTGCCAGCTACTGCCCGTTACAAAGGGTACATCCATCAGCATCCATCCATCCATCCATGGTTTTAGTAAAACTTTTACTTTTTGACCGTTTTCATTCACCCCGTCAGCGACTACAGAAGCACGTCGAAGTCAGCTTGATAATCCCCACTTTGGCAGATTCACATGCTTTTTACTTGCTGACATTTGATTTGCTCAATGCCTGAAAGCTTGACTGCTCGCACGCCTCATCTGCTGGCAATGGTGGAACAGGTTGAAGTACTATTCTTACGTCAAGGCTTTGGAAGAAATCTAATGCGGGGCGACGTCGAAACTTTGTTACACCATTTGTTATCTTTAACGTCCGTGCAACCAGGGACGTTTTTGTTTGAGCGCAACATAAAAAACATGAGCTTACCATGCTGTTAATTAAGGTAAGAATACCTTTCCATGTAGTATCTTTAAGGCAAAGAATCTTTAAATAGCACTGGCAAATTAAGGGGATGGGGAAGTGAAGGTAAGACCAAAACTTCTCTTTTGGGGCATTTCTTTGCCCAGAAAGTGAAGTTCTTTTGTTTTTTTCCACCCGAGTTTGATGTTCTTATCAATCCTTGATGCAGAAAGCAATACTTAAAAAAATTGAGTGTTTTTCTTTTACTTTTCGTCTTAGTAAGACTACCCGGAATTACTTCGGAAAAACGTAAGCCTCCTATCTACCGTATAAACTGGAATATAGGTCATACCAAAATATAGGTCGACCCTTTAATTTACAAGCTGGAAAAAACGGGAAAAAATTTTTATAGCAAGAAAATGCAACCTCACCTTGGTAACAAAATTGGCCGAGTATACGAAAGGGTGAGAAAACACGGCACATTTATTTAATTGCTTCGCACGCAATAAAAGAGGAAGTGCTCTAGCATTACTACTCAGATTCTTCAGAACCTTCGTCCGACGACAAGTTCACTTACACAATTCGAAGGGACAATGCCGTCCCTTTCCCTTTGAATTAATTGTGCCCTCGAGAGCTTGGAGGCACGAGCGACCTTGACTGCTTTCGTACGGATGCACTCCGACGTCACAGGTAGCGATCTGGCACGCAGATCCCGAATAAAATTTGCCACCTTTGTTTCAAATTCAGGGTACACCGCAGTCCTTCCACGAAATGCAGTTTTCGTCGCCTTGCTGCCCGCCGCCAGTTTTTGTCTCTGGCCTCGCCAGCAGCGTATGCTTTTCTCCGATACACCGAACCCTCGCTGCGCTGCAAGGTTCCCGTGAATCTCTGCAGAGGCAATTGCCTTCTTCTTGAAGGCTACCAAGAACCGTCTTCTACTTCCGCTCATTATCACTCCGAAAGTGGCAACGGTAGATGTAACAAACCAAGGAGCACAAGGGAAAGTGAATCGCGACCATCGTGACAAGTGGACGAGTGGCAGAGTGCTAGGCAATTGCAAAGAAAAACAAGATGGCTGCTTCAGCCACCCAGTGTTGCGAGGTTATTTTTCTTTTTCCACTAATGACCGTTTATATAAGATGAGGGTCAACCTTTTCAGGTTCATTTTTAAAAATAAATGCGACCTATATTCCGGTTTATACGGTGCTCTGGTACATCTGCCAAACAGAACGACGTCCCCTAAAACGGAAGCATTCATTTAAACTCCTGTGGAGTCATTTATGTACTGGTGAGCAGTCGTGCACAGATGGAAGTAGGACATGTTGAATGCACCATGCCACCCACTTTAGTGTAACCAACTGGTGGTACAATAACTGTGTGCATACAGGTGTCGAGGAATCATATGAGGGATCTGTTTACCAGGGGGTAGTACCAATAGCCGAGCTAAATGCATTGGTTCATCGTGGGTTCTTTTTTGTCTTTGACTTTGTGCTATAGCTTGTGTCGCCTCAAGAGCAAATGAAGTCGAAGCTACAAGCATGAGCACGTTGCACTGAACAGTGCTTGCATTGCATGAGTATGTGTGCATAAGAGGAACTTTAAAAGCCCAGATCTCGCTCTTGTGGCTTCTGCCATGCTCACATGTAAAGTGAAACAGAGTAGGTCCTATTTTATCTGTGACTGTGAACTTGAATCTTATGAATGTAAAGTTTCTGATTGAGCCTGTTCCCTTTGACACCAGCCCCGGAATCGGCCGGTCAAGCCGCCGCCGCGAGAACGTGTGGCGGACGCGGAGACCAGCCGTGGAACTTTGGCTTCGTCTATGCGGCGCATCCGAGAGCCGTCACAGGGCTGTCATGGCGGCGGACAAGCAAGTTCATGCCCAGGTGAACATGCTTCTTTTTGTACATGCTGTATAGAATGAGGGCAGTGGACCCATTTCGGAAGTGTGAGTCATCCAGTGGCAGTGACGAAATTTTTAATACTTCTGCTCCATTGGCGGTGGAAAAAAAAAAATTGCCCGAGTTGAGCATTCTCAACTTTGTGAATCTGGGGTAACTACCTAACCACATGCAAATAGTGAATTTTGAGTTTGAATCGAATTCAAAGAGATTAGTGGTTTTGGCCGAATGTTTTTGAATTGAATACTTATCAAGTAGTTCCTCCAAGCTTTTAACTACCCTGCACCAAGCTTAAAAGAAAATTTAGCTAAACTCGTAAAGGTTGTTTCGAAACGTCCACTTGTCCACTTCTTAGCTCTGTTAATTTTAATACACCGTAATCCCTCGCTATAACGAAGTCACCGGGACGTCGTAAAATTCTATATACAGTACACTCCCTTTAAGCGAAACTCGACGAGAACAGTGAAATTTGTTTCATTTATGAGCAGTTTCATTTAAGGGGGACATGGGTCTTCAGGCCAAAAAATCACCAAAAAATCTATTTTCGACCTTCTCCTCCAAAATAGGCCCAGTCACTGGAAGGTTGGAGCCTTGGGCATGCTTAAACCACAGGAAAAGCGCCTTCTCGAGGCCCTCATGGTCGGCTAGACGCATTCTCATCCTACCAGGGGCGAAAGAGTGCACTTCGGGATGCTAAGCCTTTTCACGATGGCCGTCTTCAACTCCTGGCCGTGCTTCATGCCTCCAAGAATTTTAATTTTGTCGCTTTAAGACAACACATTATGCGGGCGCTTTTTAGCGGTTCCTTCCATATTGCACGCACATAGATAGAGACGCCCCTAGAGAGTCACGCACATAAAACGCTACAGACCAACGCCGGACGAACACAACATGCAAAATGGCGTCCACAAACAAAAGTGCACGGCGCGACTAGCACGACTGCATATTGGATTGGATTGGATTCTGGATAACGACAATAACAAAGTCAATATGAAGCTCGGTTTCGTTTATCCGCGTTGCCCGCAAAAAGGTGTTTCGATTGTCGAGCACAACTTAGTGCTCATTTTATGGGAAACCAATTAACTCTTTTAGATTTGTTTAGTTTAAGAGATAATTTTGTTTATTCGAGTTTCGTTTAGTGCGCGTCTACTGTAAGCAGTAATTCAATAAAAGCGATAGAGCCAAAATAAAACTGCCAGCAGCCTTGAAAATGGACGGGAACACTGCAGAACACTCTGACCGTATATTTATTTGAACAAACCTTGGTTACGAACATCTTGCGGCTGCTTTACGGAGTAAAAAATAATTAAGTGGAGTTTGCCGATAATTTCATCTGGACATCAATTCTCCTCAAACTGCTTCAGGCATTGCAAGAACACTGTCATTGCCGCTGCACTCCACTTTGTTTAGAAACAGCCATAGGATGTTTTGCGTCTCCGCAGTCGTCGGCGTTTCCCGAGGTGCCCCTCCGATGCCTCTTTGTGTTTACCGTGGCCGCTCGCAAGGTCTACAATCGCAGCATCCATGGCAGGAGCAACCACGGGAACGTCCGCATCGACAAGTGCAAACGAATCAAAGTTATTTTCGGTGGCTTTGCCAACATGTTTTCACAGACTCCAGTAGAGATTGTTGCAGCTATGAAAATTATGTGCCGGCTTGGCAAGCATGCTCGCAAAGAAAAAATCTGACACGCGCGGAGCAGTTGGCATTTTTTCATCTTCGAGACGAGGGCACTTTCTCCTGCACGAGAAACTTCTTGAACCCGTCAAAAGCCTCGCTTGCTCTGCAAAATGGTGGACAGCGTCGAACAGCCAATGCCAGAATGTTGAATTCTTTTGCGATTTCGGGCTTGGGCCCCACGCGTAAATTGTACCGCCGGAATCTAACGCAAGAATCTGATGTCTGAACGTAAGGGTTTTCTGACAGAGGTCAGCATACGAGAACATTCTGCATCAAAAGCTCGGTGTGACTGATGCGCGCCGTTTCTTTCCTTAGGGGTTCGGTGGCCAACATGCTGGTGACGTCGTGCCGGGACAACATCTGCCGCCTCTGGGTGCAGACCCTGCTGCCCGAGGATGGCCTGGTCAATGTCCAGCAGATCGAGGCCCTGGCCAATCAGACGCCCCGCCTGCAGACGCAGCGCCACAGGCAGCGCATACTCCAGAAGCTGCGCCACATGAAGTGAGTGGCGGCGCAACGCTCTCGCTCTGCAGACCTGTGCAGTATGCATTATACCGTAATCTGTCGAGCAAGCACCCACCCAATATTTAGAGAAAACCTTGCAAAACTGGACGATGGATGCTTGTAACCATTGGTCAACACCTTTGTATACTCTTTCACCGCATTCCTATGAATCTGGGAAGAACCTTTAAACTGGCCGCATAAATCGTGCTTGGTAACATACTGCGCTGGGATGTACCACAGAGGTGCCCGAAGGTGGTGGAAGCGTTGCATCAATATTTCGAAGAACAAACTTATTTGGGTAAAAAGTTAAAAGAAATGATAATTGATGTTTCTCACCTACGACACCCGTCTGCTATGTATGCACCCTCTGACTGGCACAACAACCGATTGCGGCAGTGGCACTAGCATCAGCCAGCTTACCGCCCGGTTGCACCAGAAGCAATGTTTTTCTATTGTGAAGGACACTTGCTTTTCTGGTGCTTTAAAAGTCAGTGCGTGATTTCTTTTTTGTTCCCGATAACACATACTAACTGGGCACAAAACAAAACTGATGGTTTATCGAGTGATTTCAGCTACATGTCGTCTGCCGTTGGCGTGACCAGGTAGTAATCTGACGCCGGGGCCGCTGCCTCCATCTGTGAGTTGTTGTGCCAGTAGGTTGGGGTGCGTGGATAGCAGATGGGTGCCATAAGTAGGAAAAATGAGTTATTTTTTTTTACTTTTTTCTCAGGTTAATTGGTTCTTTTGAAAGTTTGGTGCAATGCTTCCACCACCTCCGGGTGCCACCGTGATAGATCATAGTGCGATACGTCACCAAGCCAATTCATGCGGTCATCTTAAAGGGGACACTGAAAGGTTTTGTATGCTAGCCGAGGTTTTCTTTTGAACATGGCCTATAAGAGCCCAACTATCCAGAACACAATTTGTGGCCCAAAATTTGTTTTCTTTCCGCCTGAAAACAGCCGGTCGAAAATTGGCCGGTTTCAGTTTCGTTCACTCTCATTTCTATGGTCATGTGGTGTCCAAACTATGTGTACCAAATATATTCAAAGTCGTGGGTTATCTAAGGCACACATTCCAGATTAAAAACAGAAAAGAATATGAACCCCATTTTTTTGGGGTGTCCAAAAAGCTGCAATTACGTTGATCAAAAAAGAAACAAAAAATGTAGAGCCCTTCCACCTCACGTGAACATGGAGGACCAGCGAATCTGTTATCTTTACGACGTCTAGGAGGATGACTTCTTGGACGACGTCTAGGATGACCTCAAGGATGACATCTAGGACGACCTCCTAGGATCGTCCTAGATGATGAGAAGGACGACGCCTAGGATCTCAGGGACAACGTCTCGGACATCTTTGAGGATAACCTCTAGGACGACCTCAAGGACAACTTGTAGAACAACCTCTAGGACAACATCTAGGATGACCTGAAGGACGACTTCTACTATGACCTCGAGGACGACCACGAGGAGGATGTGTAGGACGACCTCAGGGATGACTTCTAAGATGATCCTGTGGACAACCTCTCGAACTACCTCAAGGACGACGTCTAGGACGACCTCATGGACGGCTTCTAGGACAATCTCGAGGACGGCTCCTAGAGAAATTCAGCTTTTCCACTTTGGTGAAAACCAGAGTGGAAAGGCTGGAAAGGTTGTTGCCATCTGTGAGCCGGTTGTCTGGTTGGTGCCGTCGCTCATAGGTGGCGGTAGCTGTCGGGAGTTTTGTCTCGACATTTGTTTGTCTATGGACACAATATTGGGGAAACTAGCCCTTAACAGCTCCCCTGTAAAAAAGCTCGAGGTACACCTAAGCACTTCATATGAGTTGTGGATGCGAAAGCATGCAAGCCGCTCGTCCGCTCCCTTTTTCATCTGTTGCGTACTTTTCGTCGCCGATCAGTGCGCGTGCTCCCCTGGGCACGCTGACCTTGGACGCTCCATGTTAACGGTGCGGTGATGGACACGCAGCACTATGGGGTGAGCGGTTGTGGAAACTGACGAGCGCAGCAGCCAATGGGAGCCCCGTCGACGCGTGCCAGCCAATGGAACTGAAGGCGAAATCCATCAGCTTTACTTTGCTCCTTTGGGATTAGGGAAACTAGATACCGTTTTCATGCTTCAAACTGATGACGTCAGCTCCCTCCATGGGATAGTTAATGCTTTTGCATTAAAAATGTTGCACAGATTACAAAGAGTACATGCACACATCATTTTCATTATGGCGACGTACCGCAGGCTGGACGACACTATGGCAGCACGCAACGGACCTTCTTTGCGATGAGGGGCCGCTACTTTGAAAGTGTAGTTAGTAGTAACGGCCAATCAAACTTCAAGTGCAGATTATCAAGCGGAAGAGATGTAAGTGCCAAACAATCGCACAATGAACAGTTCACGCAAGTTCTTTGTCGTTGTCGTCTGCTTCAAAAGCCAAAAAAGCGGAGGAAAAAAAATAAAAGCTTTATTCGGTGTAGCCACGTGACTTCAGGCCATGAGCTTCTGTGCTCGTATCTCGGTTTAGAGCAGTTGAGTTTTTTTACTTTATTAAAAATATATGTGACTCTGCAGCAAAATAATGAATGGCAAAATGAGAATGTTACGGCGTGTCTTTCGAACGCTGTGCCTCAGCTTGCACCCCGCGTCTTCCACCATGCTTCGGCAGTGCTTGTGCGCTCGAGGTGCACGCAAAGTCGAAGTGTCGTCGAAGGTGGGAAGCCCGCGCTGGAAGCAGGATGACCGAAGCCCCTTCTTGCCATCCTCATCTTGTCAGCGACTAAAGCCGAATGCATCGCACGCTCTCGTCACCGCTTAACACACCGGCACACTGGCGCTGTTTGTCGGGTGGCCAATGAACACTTTTGACTTGTGCGTTACCGCGTATAAATGCAATCGATCACATTTAAATTCAAATGTGCGAACAGGTCTTTGCCATCGGTACACTCAACAAAAAAGCGCATGTTTTTTTTTTAACAGGTCGCTGAGTGAATACCAGCGGCGGCAGGCGGCGCAGAGCGGCGAGGAACCCCGGGAGACCATCCCATCCCTGCCGAGCACGTACAGTGTGCACGATTTCCACAGCTTCGGGCTCCAGGGGTCGGGAGTGGCTGCGGGCCTCCACTTTCATCTGGCGGCTAGCATAAACGCCGAGACAGGTACGCCGTGGTCGTGTTATCGCGTATTTCCGGTTTCCTTCGTGAGATGTGCCGAGCGTGTACACAGTCAAAGTGTTCTCTTAGGCTGGCTTGGTAACGGAGTTTGAACCCTAGAATCGCTGGCGGGATGAGAGCAGTGGGACGTCTCCTTCGGTTGTCTGGCCTTTAGCGTGCATTCACTTCCTTCTGTTCCCCCTCTCATGCTGGAGGCGAGACAATGGGAAACCCTTCCTGGTGTTCTCATCTCGTCGATGACTATAGGCAGCATTAGTTAAGCTCCTGTAGGGTGGCTGTCACCGTTTGGGGACTGTGGCAGTGAGAAGTCGGTGTACTAGTTAACTTTCAGCATTACATCTTTTTTTTTTTTTTTTTTTTAGGTGCACTTTACAAAATTTGTACACAAAAATTAAATGCTTGATCACGAAAAAATACCCAGTAACAAGAAATGGACGGAAAACACAATGCACATTGTTCTTGTTACCACTGTACTATTTTAATCCGATATAGATTATTGGTGTGCTCGCTTTGTGGATGATAAGTGTTTGTTTTGACGTTGCCCGTGTGGTAGGCCACACTTTGGTCCACCGAGACGCTCTGGTGGTGTGTTAGACAAAATAATCGCTCCAGGGGTGTGTTGCATTGAAGGGTTTGATTAAAAAGCAGCCAGGAAGTGCACGTTGCTCGACGCTTGTTTTCCTTCTGTCCTTTATGTCATTTGACATCGTTAACTCTGGTTTCTATTACTCTCTGTTCAACAATCGCTGTTGAAAAGAGAGCAATCCAGCTCCTTTCAATACAAACTCTTTTTAAAACAATTTAAATGCATTTTCTTGCACTCTTCCTGCTTGATTTCTTGTGCTTTTGCTTCGATGTTTTGAGCAGACGTCTAGGCCTGCCTTTCTGTCTCTCATTCACCATCTTTCTACCAAAATCAGTACTCCTGTCCTTTTCCTGACTTTTTCTACTTTACAAGAGGCTAACGTTTCTTTGATGCAATAAAAAAAAAGGGGTGGCTTGGCCCTGAGCTCTGAGCATGCGAAGCACAAGCTCGTGCTGCACAACCCGGGGACTCAAAGCTCAATCACTGTTCCTGTCCATTTCGATCCAGATGAGCAGCGTTCCAGTGTGAGGTCCTGTACCGCTACTGCATGATGCATGTTAAAGACCCCAGGTTAGCGGTTGTACTGCCCTGACTAAATTTTTCATCCATACCAGAGACAGGACACCTACTGGAGCTGCCTAACTTCCCACTGTTAAAACATGCACACAACACATTTTTTTTTCTTTTTAATAGACAAACTAACATGTCGATGACTTAGCCTAACTGGCATGGCATTGCTGGAAAGAATAATAGTGCCAAAAGACAACAGTCTGTTGTCTCTCGGCACTGCTATCCTTTTCGGTCGAACCAACTCTTGCTCGTCTTACCTCACCCTTCTCTTTTTGCTGCTACCGCCGCACGGTTGCAGACATTCCACTAGTTCCAAGCCTCAGTGCAGCTGCGTCGAGCAACGGCCATGAGCCCAACTTCGTCCTTCACTGGCTGAACAACAAGGAGATGTCGTTCAGCAGCGCCACCGAACAGCTCATTCAGGAGCTGAGCCTCAAGGCCATCCAGGCCCGCAGGGAGCACCATAGACAGCAGCTGGCCGCTCAACTGAAGGCCGCCCACGATGCTGCTGAGGAAGAGAGAGAGCTCGCCGGGGAAGGGGACATGGACGACGCTGAAGATGCCGAAGGTGGAGGTGGGCTTTGTTTTCGTTTACCGGTGACCTAGAGGGTATGAGTTGAAAAATTGGCTCTTCCTCTGGCATTTCCCAAGGTGTTTTAAAGGCACAGCATTCATAGGGCCTCTTTTAGACACTGATCTTTTTGCGGACGCAGGGAGGAGGTCACTGAAAGGCACATTTTGAGTGGCACGACAAGAGCATTTAGAGTGTCACATCACGGTGTCATGCCACAGTGCCACGCGATGTCACTGTGTCGGACAACATGGTGTCATGTGATGTGACGTCACAATGATGTCATGTCATGGTGTCATGTGACGTGGTGCCACGATACCACGTCACAATGTCGCCTGACGTCGTGCGGCCACGTGACGTGACTCCATAGTGTTACGTTGTCGCCTGACATCACGGAGCACCTTTGGGATGATGTCGCAGGTAGTGACACTGACATCGTTGAGGCTACATCTGCGGACATGAAAACTTTTGGAGCTGGCCTTGCATATTGCCGCGAGCGCAGCTGTCCAAGCAGGCAGTGCGCTCGTGGCCTAACGGTTATCGCGCTCTCCTTCCATGCAGAAAGCCAGGGTTCGATTCCTGGCCGCGGGTACGCATTTTTGTTGTCTCTAATGTGATGTTCTGGTAAATTCGAGAACCGTGTTGCTAAGTCGAGGTTAGAATGTTCTAAGCATCGAACCTTCTACGCCGACCATTCCAGAAGCCCACGCGTGTACATAACGAGCTTCGCGTGGCGAGCCAAAGTCGTCTCGCCCCTGCGCTCGATCCTGCAGTTTCGCCGACATCGACGCCCACGACGCTCTGCTGTTTTCTTCTGTTTCCTTTTTGTTTTGGGCACAAGTTCGCCCCATTAAACGTTAGGTTTCTTCAAAAATCTTCGCCTCATCAATTGTCATTCGTTACAATATATGCTCTGCATTTACCATGCTGAAGACACGAGTAAGGAAAAGCTGATAGCATTGGGGCATGTCTTTTATATCTCGCATGTGTGCACGTCACATATCACCACCATATATGATCCTTTAATCAATCTTTTTTTTTTTTCGTGCCCCAGAACAACCTTGTGGTTTTGATGTTTTAGTACAAGAGTGAAAATGTAAGAGATTCAATTTTTATATTTTCACAGACGGTAGAAAATGAAAAAGATCAAACTTGTCACAGGAAAGTCATAAATGAATCGCACAAAGCTATAGTCACACTGGAAAAAGTTTACGCTTATTAGAAAATTAAAGACAAAAACAATTCATAAAGAAATTTTTCCTAACACAAACTTTCACAAGAAAAGAAAATGGTCTATGTCATCATCAATAGTATTACACATAGAGTTCACAAGCTAGTTTATGGTTGAAGGAGACATAGACGAAGGTCAATGGGAAAGTGCGTAAAACTGTTCTAGTTTTGTTTGAACATGACTCTACCTGTATGGCATGGTCAGTTTACTTTTGAACATTAAAGCTATAAATGGAGTCTCAAACCTCTGAGACACTTTCATTCCACAAGTCTACGTTCAGTGTTATCTCCCTTCATCCACTTATCAGTTCATGCTGAAAGCTCTCGTTGACTGCCGAATAGAAACCTAATGTAAGCTGGGATAGTTAAAATTAGGTAATGAAAGATGTCACATTCTACTGATCCAGATTTATCTGAAATAACTATTTTATTGTCTCTGGAGTAAGAGTTGATAGCTTGAAATTAAAAAAACAAAACAAAACAAGGGACGGTTTTAGGATATTTGCTTAATGAGCAACCATCTGCTTGCAGTGTCGAAAGCAAGCTGGCAAGGGAGGTCAGGCCTGAAGTCGCTGCGTCTTGCAAATGCTGCGGCACCGACCGAAGAAACAGTTCAGGCGTCAGCAGCCGCTAAAGCCTTCTCGCCGGCATCGTCGTCTGCTTCCTTGGCCACTGAAGCATCTGCCAAGAATGCTGAGGTATGTATGCCAAACTTGGGATGTATTGGATGTCGTCTGCAATTACCGTCGCCTATGGACAGCTCAACACGACCTTGCCAAGGTTTTGTCATCTGTCTTGGACAGTATTTTTATGTTTTAATTGTTTATAGTGAGTACAGTGCAATCCACTCATAACGATACCATATATAACAATTTACCGCTTATAACAATCAGTTCCTAGTCCAGATACAGTCGAACCCGGATATATCGAGTTCAAAGGGTATCAAAAAATAGTTCGATATATTGATATAATTTGATATACAAAAACATGTTAACTTAAGCTCCAGTTGAAATTTCCGCACGTCTCTGCTAATACCGAAGGCCGCGACAAACGGGACCTTGCCAAATAGAGCCTCTAAGAGCCGCTAAATACAGTAGCTTAGTTGGGTAAGGTCACAAACACCGCCGCCTCCGCCTTTAGGCGACGGTGTTTGCGATCTTCTACACACAACGCCGGGAACAAAACACAAAACAAAGTTAAAAAAAAAAAAAATCGGAAAAAGTTGCATAAAAAAGAACTGTGATCTATAGAATGAAGTTAAGCAAGCAACAAAAAAGAAACCTCGCTAAATTCAGGCAGCAAAAAAAAAAAAAGGCAAAAAAAAAAAACAAAAAAACTGGCAAAGTCAAAATGGCAAAAGAAAAAGGTAAACAAAGACAAGGAGTTCAAAGTGCGATTGCTCAACCGTTGTTGTCGACACACTCAACTTCACGAAAACTTTCTTTTTTTTTTTGCTTATTTTATTGGCCGAGGCTACATCCACGCGCGGGGACGTAGCCAAGTCGGGAGGAGATAAGGCTCCATCCACGCAAAAGGTCACGTGACTTATAAAATAAGGAGATAATTTGTTTTTATGTACATATTACGCTTTCTTATAAGTAAATATAGGATATAAAAATAAAGAGGTTATATTTCATTGTTGTTTTAAGGTTAATATGTCACGTGACCTAACAAAAATGGTTTACTGTTTTCTAAGACTAATAGCAAATATAATGCATCATGAAAATAGTAGTACCAATTGAGACGTTGCCTCGTCTTTTTCTACCTTCTGGTGTGTCCACTTTTCTGCCCCAGTCTCAGGTTTACAATCATGTTCAATATATATCTTTATATTTATGTTGTCCAGGAGTCACACACACGTGTGGGCGGCGTGCGTGCCATCCGTGCGTGCGGGCGGTGCGGGTACGGCCTCCAGGGCCTTCGCCCATGTGCGCATCGCTGCTGAGGCGAGGCGGAGAGGCTTTGTCGTGTTTGTGGTTGACTTGGTTCGAAGCCTTTTAATGTGAGCTTATGTGTATCGAAGGGGACAAGTACGTGCCCGCCGCTTCGTACGTTCTTGACTTGCGCGCACGCTTGCAATCACACAAAGATTGTGAGGAAAGGGAAAACATGCACTAGTCCCATTAATAACAAACATACTGAGAGCATTCAATCGAGAAAACTGGGTAAAAGATTCCAGAAACAGTTCATTCCATGACAAATAAGACAGTAGCCGATGCACAGATGCCACTCGTCCACGAGATCACCGATGAACACGAAACCCTGCTTGCGGCAGAACTCCTGCAGGAGCCAGTTCACGTCTCTGTGCCGATCATTCAACGCCTGGATCTCGGCAATCTGACTACGCTGACACTCCATCGAAGAGAACCTGTTCCCCCGCCTCGGAAGGACGGAAGAAAAGGCGATCTGCATCGTCGATTGCGTTCCAAGATCTGAGCGGCCAGCCGACGATATTTGTCAACGTACGCGCTGGCACAAACGCTGGTGTTGTTTGTGCCAAAATCGAGCAGGGCGTTAGACACCTTGGAAAACAAAGCCTCGATCTTAATGCCACTAAACGCCCGCACTTCGACAGCCACCCGGTCATTCGATGGGAAATACTAGGACAAGTATTTCGCCATCGAACCCCCGGCAACCAAAACTTGAAGCAAATCAGAAGCGCGACCGTGCTAATACTCAAACGGCCAAACTCCTTGTCCGAGAAAACAGAAAGAAAATAAAAACGCTTCAGAGAAAGTCAACACCGCTTGCGGAAGACCAGGCAGGCACAGTAGACAGCAGTATGGTGTACACCATAACAGCAGTCCGCGCACGGCAAAATCGCAAGGTGCAATGGCCGTCAAGCAAATGGAAAAACATTGGGGAGCTAGACCGGAAGTTGATCGTAGTGCGCCGGAAGTGACGTATTGCGTGGATGGAGCCTTATCTCCTCCCGACGTGGCTACGTCCCCGCGCGTGGATGTAGACACTCCCTATTTTATTTTGGGGTCAAGGAGTCGCGCAGCGACATCAGTGTTCGGGGAAAGAGAGCACGCTATTGTTCGAACAGTGGGCACTCTTTGCCATCCCAACGCATGCGCATGCATGCCCTTCCCCTTGCTTTTGCCATCTTCCACTTTTTTCTTTTTTTACAATTCTCTTTTTGCTGCGTATCTCCGTCCGTGTGCGTATGCTGGCTTGGCAGTTTGCCAGCCCCTCAACGCGAGCTATGTACCCGCCGCCTGCACAATCCGACCGCAAAAGAAGTGACCGGTGCCCGTGCGAGCGGCCATGCTTGCTTCTCTAGTTCGCTATATCGAGTGTCCCCGCCATGGGAGGCCATGGGAGTTTGATACGAAAAAACAACGCTCCTATAGTACTATTACATGTGATTTTCAAGGGGATGTTAGGACTGTTCGACATAAACAAGAATTCAAAGTACTCGGGTGTGATATAACCGGCTTGACTGTACAATGGTAGTCGGCTATAACTATTGAATTTTCGGGTTTTCTTATTATCGTTATAAGTGGACTGCACTGTACGTCATGCTGAAAATTTTGTGCAGTGATGTGGTGTGCACCAGTAAAGTCAGCACTATATTTGAGATTTTGCATCTATGGAGAACCAATGTTAAGGCACTACCGTATATTGCCGTGCATAAGTAGACCTTTTCAGAAATAAATAGGTAAAAAAAAAATATCTAAAAAAAAAGTATCAGCAAAAAAAAACAAAAAAAAAAAAAACCAATATGGGTTAGAATTTGGGGGCGTTTATGCCTATATTCGAAGTCTACCTTTACGCAACAATATACATCTTCTTTACCCTGCATCTTCTTCCTGTGCCCTTTTCTGTATCATGTCATTACAGTGGAATTCTTCACAAACTGGTTTTAGTGTAACTTTTCATTAACTTTTTTCATACCACTTTTCTTTACCATGACAATGAATGCTTCCTTGTTCGTAAGACTTGTCTGAAACTCGGAAATTCGCTATCTATAATGAACGCTTTTTTGGATTGTTCCTAGAAATGTCTTTTGTGGCAAGGGCGATGGGAAGAATCATGCAATAATCCCTCGTCATAATGAAGTCAATGGGACGGCAAAAAAATTCTATACAAGCAGTAATTCGATAAAAGCGATAGGGCCAAAGAAACAGCGCAAGGTGCTTTGAGAATGGACAGGAACACCGCGGAACACTCCTACCGTGTATTGAATAAAACAGGCGTTGGTTATGAAGATCTTGCGACAGCTTTACCGAGTAAAAAAATAATTAAGTGGAGTCTGCTGATAATTTCATCTGGGCGTCAGTTCTCCTCGAGGTACTCCAGGCATCGCAAGAACACTGTCACCTCCGTTACACTTTACTTTGTTTCGAAGCAGCCGTAGGATGTTTCACGTCTCCGCAGTGGTCTCTGTTTCCCGAGGCGCCTCTCCGGCGCCGCTTCGTGTTTACCCTGGACGCACACAAGGTCTATGATAACAGCATTCGTGGCAGGAGCAACAGCGGGAATGTCTGCATCGACAAGCGTGAATGAATCAGTTATTCTGGGAATCAAGTGTCGGCTCGGCAAGCATGCTAGCAAGAGATAATCAGACGTGCGCAAAGTAGTTGGCGATGTTTCAACTTCGGGTTGCGGGTGCGCTTTCTTTTGCATGAGAAACTTCTCGATCCCGTCCAGTAAGCCTTGCTTGTTTTGCAAAATGGCGGACAGTGTCGAACAGCCGATGCCGGAATGTCGAATTCTTTGGCAATTTTGGACTTGGGACGGCCACTTTTCTCAACCTCGCAGATCGAAGCGGCTTTCGGTAAACACTCCCAATCTCCCATACGATGCACATCACATGTGCGTGTGCATTGACTCCGAGATCTCGAAGCGTGCGGCATGTAGTACGTAGTACGGTAGTATGCCGCAGGCCGTACAGGCGCGCGCGTCGGGGTCTCCCGAAGGGATGACCTCCGGGCTCCATGGGCTTCGTTGCTCCCTTGACCCTATTCCGAAAGGAGTCTGGCAGCGTCGGCCATGAGCGCGTGAGTCGCGTCAAAACGTGGACATTGCTCCCGCTGCTCCCTGACCGCGTCGATGCATCGGCATCGGAAGCAGCACTCTGCAAGCTCTCTCCTCCGTCACCCGTTCGCACCTTTTTCTTGTTTGCCATTTTCCCCTTTTGCCATTTACCTTGGTGAAGAAGGGGGACGCAATGCAAAGGTTTCTGTGCACCTCTGTGTAGGCATGCAGACTTTCGGCACCAGGGCCTTCGTAATAAGCGTGGTCGACCGCCGATACAGTTCGAATAATCCGGTTCAAAATGCATGCTTTTCGGTCGAGACCACGTCGAACTTTGATGAAAGTGATAATTAAAAAAAAGCTATTTTATTATAACGAGGGATTACTGCACTTTTGGTTTCTAGGCTAGGTGGCGCACGCTGCTGTCTGTTATAAAAGGTACAGCCGTTAGCACCTATCCATCCATCCACGATAATGGCGCGTCCATAGCAAAATTCTTGAACTCTATAATAAACACCAAATCTAGACGGTCTCAGTTCCAAATCGAACGAGACGCAAGAAATGAAAAAAAAAAAGTTAGGGTGCAGGCGAGCTGGTGTAAGTTTACCATTTTTTAGACCCCCTGAGACTGGGTGGAAGAAACACGACGACGACGTTGAGACGTCGTTGTGTTTCTTCCACCCAGTCTCAGGCGATCTAAAAAACGCAAGAAACCTTGATGTTTTTTTATCTGCAACGTCCGCAAGAGTCTTTATGTTAGAGAATAAAAGTTTTTGATTTGGAACCCATGAACTTGCAGCGGCTCTTAGGCAGACTTTTTGTCCTTGTAGGTTTCGTCAGTTCTTCCAGCTCTTCCTCATAGAGATTTAAACATAATTTCTGTGAACCTGCTGTTAGATTTTTTTTGTTTAGCAAATAGCAAGAGATTTGGAATGTTTTTGGTAAGTTTGTAGAAAATTTATAGGTTTTTCTTAAACGTTTCTTGGAAGGCGCTACAATGTTCCTGAATAAGAACCAAATACTCTTGACCTAGAAGGCCTCTAAGTCGAAAAACTAACATGGAAGGTAAACTGTGGCTTATCTCTTATCCAAAAGTAAAATCTGTTGTGTGAACATTTAGGCAGCGGGACGTCAATCTACTTTGGGGAGCGTCTGGCGTGTCCATGGTAGATGACCAAATTGACTGGTGCACCACATCTTCTAACCTGGCACATTTAGTGTGCATGATGCAGTGGGGATTGCACGAGTGCACATCAATATGATGCTCGTCTGAATGAGGCTCGTCTCATTTCTGCCGATTTTGTTTCCCCCTCTTCTTGTTTCTCTGGAGCAGTCTCTGGGTGACGCTCTTGATCGAAAGATTGAGTCCCTACTTCGAGAGTGGCATCAGAGTCCGGACCTGCTGTTCAGCATTCACCCTGTCGACGGAAGTTTCCTCGTCTGGTTTGTACCGATTAGTACTTTTAAGGCAAAAGCCTTGCGTGTCCCATTGCTCAAAAAAGCAGTGTTGTTGTGCCCGAAAGATGGCCATAGATATATGTCATCAAGGACGCGCCGTTCAATCGTATGCTCAAGGACAACACCGTCCTTGGCATCGTCCTAGGCGTCGTCCTCTAGGCATTGTCCTTGAAGTCATCGCAGAGGTTGTACTAGACGTCGTCCTAGACGTCGTTCTCGAAGTTGTCCCAGACGTCCTAAAGGTCGTCCTGGACAGCGTCCTTGAGGTCGTCCGAGAGGTCATCATTGGTGCCCTAGATGCTGTCCTTGATGCCATCCCCGATGTCATCCTAGAGGTCGTCCTAGGCGCTGTACTTGGCGTCTATCTATAGGACGTTGTCCTTGACATCCTACATGTCATTTTAAACTATAAGTGTAGAAACATTACTCGAAAACGTTTCTCCCGTGAAACTATGATGCTTTCGCCTTCCTACACGTAAGGAGTCTTAAGTGTCCTCCTGTAATTTTTTGTTACCGCTTACCTGCTGCTGTAGTTTCGTAGAATTGTCACTTCTGTTCATCAAGCTCGCTTTCGTATTGAGCTTGTATGTGTGATCATCCCCGAGTGAAAGTTCTCGCCAAACCAGTCAATTGCACGCTTTTCAACGCTTCATGAAGAAATACCGCTCACCTCACGCGAGGATGTGCAGAGGGAGCGATCACATGACCCAAGATCCATGGTTGACTGGTCCAACGAGAAATCAGCTTCTACTGTCCTGTCGGCTTAGCGATGAATGGAGCACAGTGGGTGCTGGAACATGCCGGCCATATTTGTCAGCCGAGAAACGCATTGACTTTTATCTCTTTTTTTTACACAGGATTTGTTTTAGGGGCGAAGCTCCTTAGGGTCTAGCCTTGTCCGTTGTTCGTGCTCACATCGATTGCCATCCCATCTGTCTTCTTAAAAAAGAAAAAATGTTTGCACAGTCGACAGGATTCGAATCTGTGCGGGGAGACCCCAATGGATTCTAGTCCATCGCCTTAACCATTCGGCCACGACTGCAGGACGAGTAGGGGGCTCTGAGATGTGGTTGTAACTCAAGAGTTTGGGATGTCATGGATGAAACGTTGCATGTAGCCGCTCAACGTCTATACAGGAGAGGGCGCTGCGGTCAAATGCGTATATAATCGCGTTAAACTTTGCATGCATTGCCTCACCGTTTATAGACGAGAGGGCGCTGCGGTCAAATGCTCAAATGCGTATATAACCACGTTCCATAAAATCAGTATCATCAGCACCACCAGAGCTTCGCCCCAATCAACATCATTCACCACGTGGAGATGCGGTCATTTTTGGTCTAAATTTAGATTTGGTGTAAAGTTATACACCACTTCACGTTTTCCCGCCAAATTCAGGGGGAAACGCTACCTGCTAAATTTTGCTGAGCTTAGTGTGACTCCGCCCCGAGCTATAGAAAGCTCACGAAAAAACACTCGGCGCAGCTCAAAACAGGGTGCAACTTCTGCCTCTTCCAACTTTATCCATGGAACTAAAGGCCCGTTCACTTGCTTGTGACCTTTTGGAACCTCTTAATATCTCTTACAACGAGAGGACACACTGGTGCCATCTATTGGGTGGCAGTGTAAACTTGTCGGTCCAGCATATTTTCTATTCCTCTCGTGCATCATCCTTTCTTTCTTGGCTCGAGAAACTTTTGTCAAAGTTCTAAACGACCATTTCTCACATTTGACCTCGGAAATCCTTCAAAACCTTCGCTCTTGTGAAGTGCAGTTCCAGGTTCACCGCATAGATGGCGCCAGCGTGCCAGTGTGTTTTCTTGTCCTAAGAAATTTTAAGAGATTTCAACAGGCCTCGTCTTTCTTGGTCGTACTCGGTTGCAAGTGTGTGAACGGGCCTTAAGAGTTCTTTGTGTTTCTAAAATTTAAAAACTGCACTTTGAACTTTGTGTTGGAACAACCGAACAGAAAGAAAACAGTCTTGATTTTAAGTTCGCAGCTCTTCTGGCTGTGTTTAAAATCCTGCAGCATGCCGAAACTGTGCTGTTTGAACCGCGATGCTTGGTACGACAAACAATTGTTTTGTTCATTGCTTTAATAATAGTACCAGACCCTATTGAGGCCATAATAGGAGAGGCATAACATAACATCATAATCCCAGGTAGTACAGCTTTTTGGGCCGAAATTTGCTTTTATTCTGGAAATTTAGAGCCTTAAAAGGCCAAAAGGGGCCAAGTTAGAGGCAAACGACTTATTTTGGCCAGGGTAGGAGAATCTCGGTCCTAATTTGCCAAACAAGTGCCAAAGTTAGGCTTTACTGCTGTTGTTTGGCTGTCATCTGGCATCTTTGGGCCTAAATCACCTACCAATAGGTTTCACTGCTGCTTCTTTGGTTCAAGTGGGGCACTTTGGCAGCTATGTGGTAAGCCCACGAAAAGCCAATAAAATTACAAAGAAAAGTACTACACCGGCACTAACTGAGTTCTCAGAGCTAAATCATATTACCGCAATATCCCAAGTCATCGCCCACCCCACTTTTTGGGCAAATACCAATTTCCAAAAAAATACCCAGTGACCGCCCACCCCTACAAATACCCCAACGCAGACATCGCGATCCGTTAACATTCATCTTAACCAAATGACGCGGCCGCGGACCTTATGGTTGGAGGACGTTTGTGACAGAGCAAAACGAAGGAGGGAAAGACACTTCACTTTGTTTGCGCATTTCCTCCCTGATTTCCACGACCCTGAGGTTGGAGTACATGAGAGCGCGACGAAAACGATGGAGATAACAGCATGAAACTTTTTTTTGCTTATAAAAAAGTTTTGTTCGGACAAAACAAGGAATCGGAAAGGTAACACAAGCAGTAACCTATTCGGGGATATGAAGGTCACCGAACGCCCCACATCCTGGAACATAACTGCGGAGTGTAAGGTCAAAGATGTAAGGCCAGAGTCAGCCTCCACCGAAATAAGGTCACCGCGAATACCCATCCACTCTCCTAGAACGTCGCGACGGCGACTGGTAAGGTTGTGCAATGTTCGAGACGGAGCCAACGGGTAAATAAAGACTCGCTGGAATGCTGCACACAGACGTTTGCAAAGCGTCCTAGTTCGAGCTCCGCGTTCGTGGTGTCGTCCATGCCACGCAGCAACGCCGCCTCAGCCCACGTTGATAGCTTGCCGTGCACAGACGCAAATATGTGTGCTCCAACCAAGAAAGTTGCACAAGAGCCTGCCTCTTGTAATTGACAGGGCGCCCAAATTGGCCCGACGTCGAAGTGTTTGCCAACGTGATTGCTGGCTTTCCCGCTTCCCCAGCATCACTCTTCGTCGCTTTCACCTGCCCGCTCGCTCGCTCGTTGTTCCTGGTTGGTTTTTCTAGTTCCTTGTTGGCTCTCTGTCACGCTTTCACGGAACAATGTTCGCACTGCCTGCTGATTTGCAGTCGTCATCGTGCGTATGCAAGCAACAGACTTCACATTAGTTAAATATTTTTTCACGAGAATTTCTTGTATAAAACAATGAAACTAATTTGAGTTCTGAGTTTAATGTATTTCTTGTGCAGCTGCGCTAGATATTTACAAAAGAATGGGCGTTTCTTTTTAGTTTTTTTGAAACTTTTTCTGGTTACCCACCAAGACATAGTGCGCCCCAAGTTTTTATGAATTTCAGGCAGCAGGGAAGGGAGGGGGGGCAAGGCAAGGATTTGGGATATTACGGTAGGCCCAAGTCAGGTCCTTAGGATTGCCAAGCTTGTGCCAAGTTAGGCATTTCTCTGGCATGTCACCTCAGGTATGGCCCACAGCCAAAATGGTCATGGACCTAATGGTCCTCCAGTAACCTATGGCATGCACTTACTCTAATAAGAATTGTCGCTCGATGGATTGATTTTTCGTTGCCGCAGGCTGGTTGACTGGCTGGACGAGTGCAGCCCAGGGTCGTTTCGCCAAGCTTTGGTGAGCTTCTCGTCGCGGATTCCGAGCGCCATCCCCCTGGGGGATGCGGCCTCCCTCTCCCACCACCTGGCCCTGTACCTGCCCACGGCGGGTCTGGACTTGCGCACTGTCCTCCAGGGCCTGGGAAGCTGGACACAGCTGCCGGTGCCGGCCGTGCAGCTGCCGCCGGTGCGTCATCTACTCGCCTCGGTGTTCTTCCTTCCCTCTCAGGGAATGCTTTTCTACAGCGAAGTTGTTATGCAGTAGGATCTGTGAAAAAATGCATCCGCGGATGTTGACAGAAAACTCCCCATTGGTCGTGGCATAAATAAGAAGAGGGGGCAACCAGCGTGAGTCAGCCTTTCTTGGCATTATTAGATAGGTCCAGTTCCCTTGTTATCATCTCTAGGCATTGACCTCGAGGTTGTCCTAGAAGTCGTTTTTGAGGTCGTCCTAGAAGTCATCCTTGAGGTCTTCCTAGACGTTGTCCTCGAGGTCATCCTAGAAGTCGTCCTCAAGGTCGTTTTAGAAGTCATCCTTGAGCTCGTCCGAGAGGTTGTCCTAGGTGTCCTCCTCGAGGTCATCCTAGACGTCGTTTTGGGGTCATCCTAGAAGTTGTCCTTGAGGTTGTCCGAGGCGTCATCCTTGAGGTTGGCCTAGAAGTCGTCCTTGAGGTCGTCTGCTTTTCGCAGAGCACCTGTGCACTGCGAGGAAGGAATGCCCGTGGAGCTCACGGACTGCGCGGGTATTGCTTCCCCGCAATACACAGGTGCTCGGTGAGAAGCACATTCAACGGGGCTAACCTGCCACGATTTTGCAAAAGTTATGGTAGGCAGCAATCTCTTGACAGTCCGCGTTTATCATTCTTGTGTTTTTTGTCAAATTTGAAGTAGAAGAAAGAATGTTTGCATATATAGCAAACAAATTTTTAAATTTGTTGTTTACATGCCACAGTTCACGTATGGTTAAAATTAAGTGAGCTTAGAAGTGGAGAAGTGGAAGATTGGGAACAATCTTCACAAGTTCATCTGAATTTTGGTTTCAGCATAATGCACGGCAGTGAGAAGCCTGTAAGAAACAATTCGACATTCTATTTGATAATATTCAGCCAAAGCCACCGTTCGCTTTGAATTCGCTTCAAACTCAAAGTCTTCTATATGCATATGCCTAACAAGTTATAGATTAACACCCAACTTAAGAAAAAATGCCGTAATACGACCTTCATCCAAATTTAAATACGTAAATACAATAGAAGAACAGGCATGAAGAAAATGATTCCTCAGCCACTGGCCCTTTTGGAATGTGGTAGTGCTACACGAGGAACCCCACATTTCCAGACGAAACAGTCGGACATAAGAGAAAAAAATACTTTGTTTCAAAGTTTCTTTTGAAAGTTATTTAGCACTCCTGTCTCTAGTGTGTAATGGCCGCTGATGGTCATCTTCTCTTGCCTTCAGGGGGACCAAGGCGGCGAGGAGGCCGAGGAGGCGGGCCCCAAGCCCTTCTGCTGCCTTGCTGCACCCTCGCCCAGCGTGTGCATGCTCTCCAAGCACCACAACGGGTCGCTCAACCTCTGGCACCTCACCTTCAGCGAGGAGTCGCGCTTCACCCACGTGAGTCTGGTGTTCCTACTTATAATCGAACGAACCTTTGTGCTCGGTACTTACGGGCAGCACGGGCTTCGTGTGCTTTTGGATTTCGTGGAGCTGGCACTTTGTGGAACTTGCAGCAACTATGAGCCCGGGTAGGTCAAAGACTTGACGTTGCTACTACAGGCACGCCTGACTGGCATTTCACCACACTTTTTTTAAAATATTGTCAGGTGATTTTTTATTTTTTGCATTATTCCGGATTGCTGCGGCACTCATGGTAATTCTCACAACCAGTGGCACATATAGCAGGGAAGACAGATATGGTGGGTGCCTGTCCAGTTTACATGGGCTGGCAACCAGGTTTAGGACATTGCTGCCACTACTGTGATGCACGTTTTTTATTTTCCTCCTGTTTGCATCACTCAATTCCACGTGCAGGACTGTAACGGTCTCCCTATTAACTTGGCGTCTCCCGAGATATTATTGTTAACAGCCTCGCATGACTATACCTTCTTTCCTGACTGATTAGTCTCAGTTTATAACAGCCAATAATTCAATCCTTCTATGGTTACCTCAGCTGTGCAACAAGGCCCTCTCCTAGGCCTTGTTGCACAGCACGCAATCGCACGGCACACGCCGCTCATTTGTATGCTCAAGGATGATGCTGTCCTTGGTGTTATCCTTGCGGTCATCCTATAACTCGCCCTAGACCTGTAGGACGACCTCACTTGTCACAGTACGTGAAAAACAAGCGGTGGCGTTGCGGTGACCATCAAAATATGTCGTCAAGCGTCATCAACGTGATGTCATCAAGCATCACCCTACATCATCAGCGTGATGTCACTGCCGGAGCGTTGTGTGCAAAAGGTGCGCTTCGTACTTCATCTGTGCTCGTTGTGTGCTTCATGCGATGAACTGTGAGGCAACCGCGTCTACACCTATGGCCTCGACATCGGCAGCAGCGTCTACATCTACGGCGGCTCTCGCAAGCAAACGTGGCCGCTCACGCGAATACGCCACAGCCTCCTTTAGTGTCCACCTCTAGGTGTCATTCTCAATGTCGTCCTAGACGTCATCCTCTAGGCATCATTCTCAACGTCGTCCTAGAAGTCCTAGACGTCTTTCTTGATGTCCTTCTAGAGGCCGTCCTAGACGTCATTTTTGACGTCGTCCTAAAGAACATCTTAGACGTTATTCCCTAGGCGTCGTTCGAGACGTCGTTCCAGAGATCGTCCTTGACTGGCTTTCGCCTTCCGATATGTAAGTATTCTTAAGTGTACTCGTGTAATTTTTTTATTCCTAGAGTTGATGGTTTAGCAAAAAAAAGAAATTTAGGGCCAAATTCAGAATGTCGCAGCCTAGGGGGTGCAAGCTACCACCTAACACAAAGGGTATAGCCTCTACCATCCATCTATCCATTCATTCTTGTCACAGGTGCTGAGTATCGGTCACGCTTCAAGAGTCTCGGGCCATCGGTTCCGCATCAACGACATTACGTGCCACCCTGTGCTTCCGCTGCTGCTGACAACCTCGCACCACAACCTGCCAAGGGTCAAGGACCCAGCGGACCACGAAGACCAGCTTCCGCGACAGGACAGCAAAGAGGAGCGGGACGGGAGGAAGCGGCGGGATTCCAGTTTAGCTGCCGCACCGACGGAGGGCTTTTGCAGCGAGCTCATCCTCTGGAAGGTGGAGTCCGTCGGACCTCTGTCCAAGTCTGGGGGAGTGGCGGAGCTGGCACGGATCAACTCGCTGGAGCCGTCTGCTTTCTCCAACGTGGCCTGGGTGCCCACATTGCTGCCCAGGTGAGCCTGAAATGCCTGCATTGCTCTCTGCCACAGGCTGGCCTGGCACCAAAGCTTTTAGGAATGTGAGCGACTTGTCGCTAATTTTAAGGTGTCGGGACAAACGCACGGTGGGGTTCCTGCACTTGATGATGATGAATAGCTACAGCGTGGTTTCTCAAAACGGGTTCCTAGGAAACCGGTGATTCCCCGGAGTATTATGAACAATAAATAGCACAAAAGACAGACAAGGACAGGAACACAAAGACGGGACTAGCGCTTCGCGTTTGCCTTCATGTTCTTGTTGTCTGTCCTTTGCACTATTTATTGTTCATAATGCTTATCCAACTAGCCCTCCTTAATATTTTAGCGGCATGTCGAAGCAAAACTTCGGACAGCTACCGCCATCTATGAACGATGGCGGCAACCTTGCCAACTTGCGGCCGGCCATTACTTTTCCACGGACAAGTGGCGTGTCGGCACAAAACTCGAGCCAGTTCACCGTCGCCCTCACTCACATAAGACGAGAAGAGTCACCCATTGTGTTCCATGCTGTCTCTTTCCCGGCGTCCGCGTCAGAGGCCACCTGCGTTTGTGCCATCGAGCATGCCTTGTGATCGGCGCAGCCCCCTCGGGTATCCCAAATAGCGGCCAGGCTCTTTAAATCGACTGCAAAATTTGGTTTCTTTACCTATTACGCTACGATTTTGTGCAGCGTTGCCTACCGATGGTGCATTTTTTTTTTTGTAAAATTTGCAGAGCGAATTTATTTGAGGAAAAAGTATAGAAAGAAAAAGGCTTAAAGACCGATGACCAATTCGCGCTTTCCACTTTTCCCTCGCTTCCTCCTTTCCCCGTTCTACCCTGTCCACCGTTGTCTTTTCCTCCTCCCCCATGGTGAGGAGGATCTTCTGCCTTGCAGAATCTCGAATCTGGTCGTCAGCCTTTAACTCCTATGGAAACCCAGTGAAGCCACCGGTCTTCAATCAATAGGGCGCCTTATTGTTTGAAGACTGGAGACTCGCTGCATTTCCATAGGAGCTAAGCCTTTTTCTTTCCTTACTTTTTCCTCAGGTAAGTTCACTCTTTTCAAATTTTACAAAAAAAATGCACCACCTGTGGGTAATGCTGCCCAAAATCGTAGCGCGATAGCTTAAGCAACCGAATTTCGCGGTCTATTTAAAGAGGCTGGCTGCTATTTGCGACACCCGATAGAATAAAACGTCATCGTCTCACCTAACAATACAGCTTCGCTGGTCTTCCTTATATACCAGAGTGGAAAGGCTGAAAGTTTTTTTTTAAACGAAAGACTTTGCTCCAAGTGTATGGGGGAACAGTCCAAGTTGATTTTTCGTCAGAGCAAAGTGATAAATTTGTCGTATGTACAACAATGTGGTAAAGCAAGTCTGTTTTGTACTGTTTCCTAGTGTTATGCTGGCGCTACTGTCGTTTTGTAAGTTTATTACCTTTATCATGCAGCACCACTTTAGGGAGCATTTCGAATTCTCCGAGCGCCTGCTTCGTGGCCTCGGACGGTCGGCGGTTGCGGGTGTACCAGGCGGTGATAGACGCTCGCACGCTGCTCGCCGAAGTGCAGGCTGCGCGTCGCCGGGACAACGCCGACGTGAGTTCTCTACTTTCAGCACCCATCGCTGGGGCCTTCGTTGTGCGCCCTTAGTTTTCGCATGAAGCCGAGAGGTTGTCCGTCCAAACTATTGTCAAACCATGTTTACCGACTGAATGTTAATATAAACTAAGCCACCTGGAGCTGTAGCACATCTGCATTTGGTGAACAAGCTCCTGCTTCCACTTGCTTCGCACTCTGAAGGCTCGTTCACACAATAACATCGGACTCTGATTGGCTGCACTATGACCAAGTGGCACCACTGGTGGCCATTGCTTGACACCAGATAACTCGTCGAACCCTACGAGAAAAAATGTGTAAAGAGAGAGTTCTCATTTGTCTTGCTATTCCTGCGAAACCTTGTAAAAGTTTCTTTGCAAGACACTTCACACGAGCTTCAAAAAGTTTATTTTTATTCGTTCCTCTCGTAGACTTGCACGTATTGCCTGGTGTCAAGCAACGGCCACTGGCAGTGCCACCATCGGGCTCCCAATCCACGATCCAGCCGACCACAATAGAAATTGGTGCCATTGGGTAGCCCTGCAAACCCTTCTGATCTACGTATAGTTAGGCTGAAGGTTTCACAGCACTTACGAGATGAAACATAGATGTCTATGAGAACTGGTCTCTGTCGGACTTATCTCAAGCCCCTGGTGAAAGAATAAAGCATAAGATACCTGCGTGCCTACATAAATACTTAGAGGTCGGAAGCAGGGGGGGTAAAGGTGGGTGAGGAGGAGTGGCAAATCCCGCGCGCCGACATCCTGGGTCCCGAGTGAAAGATCGTGAAAGAGAGCGACAGAGCACGAGAGAAAGAAACCAATGTTGCCAGCTGAAGGACGAAAAGTCGCAATGGTAATCGCAAAGACTAAAAACTCTCAGCAATATAAATAGTGATAATTTAGCGTTGTAAACTAAATTTTGAGCTATTCTAACGCTTATAAAAAGTGGTGTATTCATTACGCTGCATTAACTTCCCTTCTGTCGAAATCTCTAAAATCCGGTGGTTGCGCGGTTTCGTATTTCTGGGGCGCGGCCAACGCCGCGGCCATCCGCAAAGCCTATGGCGAAGCTGGTGATCTCGGTTATCTGGTTTAGTTTAGAGTTGACGGAAGGCTGCACATCTGCGCGCTATGCAAAAAGAAAGCTTCGAAAGGAACGCGAATATCTTTCCACCGGTAAGTTTGTGGATTGTTGAAGTTCATGTAACTGCTCTGATGATATAATTATATTTGTGAAGTCGAAGGCAGTTGGTAACCATGTGGGACCCCGAGGGTCTGCCTGCATGCTCCGCCGCTTGCGGCAGCCAGAATGCATGGGAAAATGGCGGACCTTTTTTTCTAGAGTTAGTATGTATGATCTCTATGGTCGGAAGTGCTGTGAGGCAACCGGTCGGATGGTTCCAGCGTGTTGTCATGTTAAGCCACCACAAGATGTAGAATCAGTCACGGTGAAACACGAAGTTGTGAACCAGGCTTTAGCGCACTTGAGGACCAGGCAACTGTCACCAGTTTTCTGCTAGCTATGAGTACTCTGACCAGGATATCTGTTTAACGTTATGGCAGACTTGTCTGACAATAGGTTGGAAAATGAGGTTTCTTGAGGCGTGTTTGGGATGAGCTACCATCAGAGTCACCATCAATTGCAAAGGCATTCGTTGGTGTCTGTGGTTCTTACAGGTGGCGAGCGTTTCGAGCACAACTTCTTCCGGCATTGACGCGCAGCATGTGTACCTTCAAGACGACTTCCGCATCGTGAGCCTTCAGTCGACAGCGCGTCCCGGTTGCGTGGTGGAACTGGACGCGATTGCAGAGGCCACCCACGTGAGATACCCTTTTCGTGCTCGTGCGGTTCGTTGCCACTCGGCTTGCAGCCAGAACGAGTGGCCACGTGATCTTACGCCGCTTCTTGGTGCACTTACCTCGCAACTAGAATTGTGTGGATATTCTAATTTTTGAATAGTAGTTTCGAATAATATGCTATTCAATATTCGCTTTGAAATGAATTGCGATGTTCTTACTCTTCGAAGTGTTGATCGCAAAAGGTTAGTCCCGTTGAGTGCGCTTCTCGCCGAGCAGCTGTGCACAGTGGGGAAGCAACACCTGCGAAGCTCTCTGGCTTTGTGGGTATTGCTTCCCCGCAGTGCACGGGTGCTCGGTGACAAAGTGAACTCCATGGGGCTAACCCGCCGCAATTATTTGAGAGAAAAGTTGGGCAGCGATGTCTCCTCAACCCGCGTTCATCATTGGTGTTTTTTTTTTTATCAAATTTGAAATTGAAAAAAGAATAATTGGGTATGGCGAGCAGATTTATAAATCCCCTGACTAAGACAGCTGCGACAAATTTGTCATTTACATGGCACAGTTCATAAATATAGTACTTATATAAGTGGAAGGTTGGGAACAGCCTTCACGAGTTCAACTCAATTTTTGTTTAAGCATGGTGAATGGTAATGAAAGGCTTGAAGAAACTATTCGATATTCGATTTGAGTCCAAAACCACCATTTGCTTCGAATTTGCTTCAAACTTAAAATCCACTAGTCGCACATGCCTAAACTATGTCAACATGCCTGTAAAAAGATTTATGATCCCTTTGTTTTGTTTTTTTAATTTTGAACCTGCAGTGCCATCAGGCATTGCTGCAAAAGGTAAAGAAACATTAAAACATTTTTCAGAATTGGGGAAACTTGGGGCACAAACAATTGCAGAGGCAATGCATTATGTTCCCTAGTAACCTTTACGAAAAAATAACTTTTACTCAATTTCGTTGTGGTACAGAGCTTGTGTATTTTGTAATGTGGGCTTTACATTGTGAAATATAATTGGGAGGTGAAGAGTATGACAAACTACTAATGCAAGTGGTTTTATGATAGATACTGAATAAAAACTTGAAACATAAATGCTTTTATTGAAGTACCAATGAATTCTATTGTGGTGCTTTTATCCTATCACTAAAACTTCTGTAACAGTTGTACCATCCTAGGACGACGCGAGCAGCATGGTTTTTCATTCTCATTTTAGAGAGATAGCTGTTATACGGGGCCACAGGGGCTTCCCAGCTGCACTCGCTGAGTCGGTGTTTTGCCAGGCAGGAAACTTTGTTCCACATGCGCTCACACATGCACTGACCTGTGACGCCTCGAAGAGCACATGCACTTTGGTCTTGCTAGGTGGCGGTGTTTTCTATTTCTTCTACGGCAGGTGGGGGAGGCCGCTACACATTCCTAACCATAGAATTCGATTTGCGTGTACAGTCTCCACCGACGTAATAGATCCATTCTCCTTGACAGTTTTTGCTGCAGTGCTAAGCACAAGTTGGCCTTATGAACCTCATTTTTGGAGCGAGAATAAAACGAAAGGTTTGTTTATTTCCTCACCCAGAGTAACGTGGGCCTGGCCAAAGTGAATCCCACAGAGCTGCCGAAAACTGCGTCGGTGAATGGGTCTTTCATATGGTTGGAGGTTGTACTGTCGGACGTAAAGCAACCCACAATTCGTAGCGATACGTGTCTCGAATTTGGTCTTGGGCAGAGGCGTTGACTCGTGCAAGCAGTGCGATCCTTTTCTACGCACAGAGTGTCCCCCCAAAACAAAATTATGTCTTTTTCGCCCCCAAAGAAAACTGTGCGTCGCCAAACGCTCATTCTCTGCTTGAATGTAGCGCCAGTTGTCCGAACCAGATGCCGACGCTTCAAAACTTCAAAAGTAGTTAGTAGTTTTTATTAAATTTTAAATTGGAAAATGGCCGTCGACGGAGCTCTCAAATGCATGGAGCTGAACGGCACCAGGTACTAAAAACGGGCACAAATGGGCGCCCCATTTTATCGTTGAGATTTCCAGAAAATCTTTTTCATAACTTTTGACTGAGATGATGGTTAGTTTAGGACCACTAGCCCTAAATTTGGGTAAAGAATAAGCGTTCGGCAATGCGCAGTTCATTTTCGTGCTCAAATAAACTCTAAATATGTTTTTTTGAATACCCCATACTTCAGTGGCCACGAGGTCGTGTTGTATCTGCGATCGAGTAAATTAAGAGTGGATACGCATAAAAGCGGGTCTCGCCACACACAACAACAGCCGTCGCTGTCACGTCTCTGCATTTGTGCAAAGTTTCACAGCCCCCGTTTCCGTTTCGCGAGTCCGACACCGTTTCGTGATCGTAGTTGTTGCGGGTGCGCAGGACTGGCAGAACACGCAACTTCTGCACGTGTTCCAAGAGCAGCTGATCGTGGGGGCCAAGAGCGGGGGCACCCTGGCCGGCGTCTTGGGCCCCCAGGAGGAGTCGCAGGAGCGCCAGGTGGGTCTGCTGGAGACCTCGTACCAGGCGTTTGTGGACCTGCGCCACAGCTCGGACTTTGAGGAGCCCTTCTACCTGGTGGTGCTCGAGAAGGCCGAGTCGGGGCGCTCAGCTCTGCACATGTGGCGCCTCGTCATCAGCTCCAGGGCTTCTACCGACGGTGCGTGCTTTCCTTTCTATTCGTCGCCGCTCCAACAACGAACCGTTTGCGAAAGTTCCCACGCCTGTGTCGGAGGATGAACGGCCGCAAACGAGGCTTTTATAGTCCGTTGCAGCTCAAGAAGGTAGAGCGAGGGTAAGACGGGCCGGGGAAGAGGAAGCAGACAGAACGCTGGAGAAGAGAGGGGGAACCTCCTCCTCTCTTTAGCATTCCGTCTGCTTCCTCCTTCCCGACCCGTCTTATCATCGCCCTGCCTTCTTGAGTTGCAACGAACTACAGCCGTAAACCATTGCAATCCATTCTTTTCGTGTGTTATGTCACGAAGTGGATTGCAAAAAAAATAATTTAAGCATGCGTTAGTCATATTTGATGAACTCGGAGACACGCATAATGTGTTGCAAATGACCTGGGCACATGCTGTGCGTGTGTGTGTGACATCACATCAGGTCGTGACTGTGACGTTGCACGGTGTCGCATGATGTCAGTATGCCTCGTGGCACCCTGACCACAAGGTCATATAGGTAAGTGAAATAGCCCCTATGGGGCTATATTGCTTCTATGACTTTGACCTTTATGTTGGTTGAGCTTAACGCTCGATCGTAACATGTCGCTGTTCTCGTGAAGCCCATCCCTATAAAACATTCGGTGTTAAAACTTGATTAAGCGCTATTTTATTTTTTCTTTACTCTGCTTGGCAGAAGATTTCTTGTGCATTGGATTGTGCCAAGAGAGCTAGTTCGAGAGTTATTAGCTTTTTAAGTTGGAGCTGGACATCGTTCGCTCTTTCTGCATCACTGCCGCAATCGCTGTTGCACACTCAATAAGCGTAGTATTGACTTACTAGATAATGCCACTGCTCCGGCGTACTCTCCCATTGGTACGCCTCGTATTCTAAGCACGAGACACGAGATGGCACGAAATGCATGACCAGAACGTGAGACACAGACAGACCTAAGAAGATGCTAGTACTGTACGGTGGTGTCATTTGGTGCGTTAGTAATTGCGCCTTTTATTGCCATCGCCAAAAGCGGACTCTGTAAGAAGCTATGGTCACTGACATGTTAAGAACAGCAGGGAGGTCCTTCAGTTGTCTCGCTCCTAGCACAACCTTAAAAAAAAGTGCCTTTGTCCACAATGTGCAAAGGGAAAGTGATTCGCGCATCCTCGTGATCCTCGCATCGCCGCATACACGCAGCATGGGTAGCCTCTCGTCGGTGGTCAACGTGAGCGTGGCCCTGGTCGCGAGCCATGGATGCCAGCCCTTTCCTCCATGCTCGCTTTTGGGATGGAGTACGGCCTTGGCGTAATGGCGCCATTAGGAAAAGTCTGCGGCAGTGGCAACACAAGCGAAGGCGCAAATTTTCCCGGGGTTGTTGAGCGGTGAAGGTAGGGCGTAATGTTGGCATTCAGTGACGAGTGGAGAGGGGGACGCTTGCAGGCGATTAAGGCGAAGCTCCGCGGGGAAGGTGGATGCAAGGCGACGAGTTCTGGCAGAACATGTTTTACGTTTCGTGTCGTGGTTTGAGAAGTAGAGTTGTCGTGGAATTTAAAGTGGTGGAAGTTCCTAAAACCCTCCAGTGTTACGTGTAGCAACTGGACACTTCCAAAGTGGGATTTCGTATGACATGAGCAATGCTTTAAAGTACCGTGTTGAGGTTATCGTTAGCAGATGTTGGGGAAGACGCTCCGTCGATGCTTGCTGCTCGTCGCACCGTTATTGACGAGTCTTTGGGGCTCTCCTCTCTTCTTCCTTCATGCGGCATGGCCTATGGAAATGCCCGACTTATCTCTCTTGCGCCATGGGGGGAGAGAAGAAGCATTTTTGCATCTTTGCTGTGACACTGCCATTCTCATTCGGTGTCTGTAGCTGAGCAAGGGTGTTTAATTTTCAGGGGGGATGGCACAGACTTCTGGCCGTCTGCCCGAAGACCTGCCACCTCATGACAGTGACCACTCACTGTCGTCCCGAAGCAACAGCCCCGAACTGGCAGCGTCCGGTCAGGGGGGACCGAATTCGGCGTCACCGCGAGCGTCTCCTCTGCGCATTACGACCTGCAAGGTGAGAGCTTTGTCAGGGGGAGTGGGCTGCACGCTGAACAAAATACGAGTACCGTGTTTTGCGGTCTGTAAGTCGAACCTTTGTGTAAGTCGCACCTGTCGTAAAATATCAGTGCACTCCATTAAGCGCCTGTCTACTCCTCAATTCTGTAACATTCAGGAAATATACAAATGACGTATCTTCACATATAGGTTGACCTAAAAGCACCCGTCTTCCAGCTTTACAGAATTATCTTCAGATTTTGATTGGGTGCTCGCTCAGGATTTTTTATGTATATGTTTTCTAAGGTCGGCCCAGAAAAACTGCATTGAAAAGTCCACCTATATGTACCGTATTATGATCGCAATATATGCGCAAGCGAGAGCAAGTTTCGATGTTCTCGTCAACGAATCGAATGAAAAGCATGTACAACCCCTATTGCAAATTTCTGCAGTTAAGCCTCGCACTTAGAGAAGTAAAAATGAAAGGACATAATTTGCACCAATGTATATAAAACACACTAATGGATTTTTAGAAAACAATAAAACACAACTTATATGTTGAAAAGCACAGTGCTTACTTATCCTTGAAAGGTGATATGTGAAAATGTGTTGGTTGCTCGGTTCGTTTTGGTGTTTCAAAATAAGGGATTTGCGTGCTGCTTTACCACTGTCTTCGCCACAGTTAGCGCTAAGGTTGTTTCGGTGGCGCCCTCTTACGGTTCCCGTCCGCGACGTCACAACTGGGATTCGCCTCACCATGATGTCGCGAGTTGCTATCCTGACCACTTGTCACCAGTCGCAAACTGCAAGTTGATGGTGTGTCCAAAAAGCATGGTGGAAGCTGGGAGTCATCGCATTCTTAAACCAATGCCATCAAAGTTGGCAGTCCGGCATTACTCTTCTTTTTGTTCATGAAAGCAACAACAAATGCGGCTAAAGACGCTATAGCCAGTGTTTGTCCGATTGTGCGTTCTACACCGACAGCGACGCCTTTAATGAGAAAAAGGGGCAAATTTTAAAATAATTTTTGATATTTAAGTTATTTCCACGAAAATTCGTTTAATTTTCAGTCAAGGGTGCAGGCTTCTACGTCGACGTGTAGCATGGTGCCGTCGCTTTGTTTGCGGCTTGAGAATGTACGACGCCTACGTTTCCCGCAGGTGTGCACGCAAGAGCTCCCTTTGCCCCAGGGAGTGGAAATCGCACATGCTGCCCCGGCGGCTGGGCACCTGAGCTCTTCCAACATTTACCCAGCGTGCTTTGCACCCTACGTGTTGTCCACGGCCTGCTCGGACGGGCTGACCAGGTGAGTTTCACTTGGACCCACGCGAATAACGAAGGGCAGGGTCGAATCGAATCAAGTATGGAGCTGGAAATGTTACGTTGGATACATTTCACAAAAAGTGTAATAAACTGCTAAAAAGAATTCGCCGTCTTTTTCGCATTTCCTAGAAGGAGACCTTGTTGCGCCTGCGGTTGTCGGTCGCAGCAAAGCCTGGCACGAGTCGCCAATTCCGGCGAGCAATCCGTGACTGCTCTGGGTCGAGAACTTTGCTCAGTGGGCCCTCGGTAGCAGCAGAACCGACCACACATACTATGGAGGCTCTTGCTGACAGGCTTGATGTACACAGTGCGACACGGTTAATGCGAACACGACTTTGGCATTCTTTTGCGTCTTACTTCGAAAGTGCACCGGCGGGCATCGAAATCTACCGTTTTCATTATCACTTTCTACCACTATGATAGTTTCAATGACGCTCCATCAAAACTGTGAGAACAACAAAAGAAACCAATGAAGGCTCTTTTTCTTTCATTCGTTTTGTTTTATTTTATAATATGTTGCAGCAGTAATGTGCAATCAGTGCTTGGATCCATGGCCAAATGCTAGTTTGAGGTTCAACAACAAAATAGATTTTTGAACGTGGCAGGCAACACGCGCTACGTGAAATAAAAATGCTATCATTGCAGGATACTAACGTAATAGATGATTCTACATTTTACTAATGTGATGCGCGATACGGCAAATTTCTGATCTCAACTTTCATCTAGCAACTCGAGAAAAAATTAATTTTAAAGATTCTACCTAAAAGTTCATTTTCACTTTCACATTGCTGTTTATATTATTCCAAATCAAGGCACTGTTAAACTCGATTTGCCTTCGTCATAGGTAATGCGACACAATCTTAAATTAAACGGACTGCTTGTTCCAGCCCTCGTATGTCATAGTGAAAAACAGTGCAAAAAAGACGGGACACAAAGTAGAAGACGGATACAGGACATACGCTGACTAACAACCGAAGGTTTATTGAAACTTCCACGCATGCACAGTGTCGTTCAATGACAGCTTTTACTATGTCGTTCAACCAACCAGCCCAGCAAGCTACCTCGTATGTCATGTCGGAGATTTCAACAGACTTGGGGGAAGTGGGCCAGTGGATTCCATCATTGCGGCAGAGTCGTATATGGAGAGAGTTTGGCCAGTCTATGATCTTGCCGCCGTGACGGCCCCCTCCCGAGTGAGCCAATCAGGTTGTGGCGCAGAGCGAGAAGCGTGGGCACATGCGCGTTAACTCCTGGCTGCTCCCAGCTGAGCGGGGAGGGCCGCCATTTTCATTCATTCGCCCGGCGGAATGCATGGGATCGACATCCAAATTTCGGTTCTTTCCTTTTATTTGGCAGGCTCTGGCAAGAAAATGATATAGTGTTATTCCTCAGTGGCTTAAAATCCTAACTAATGAAGTTTCTCCACGTTTGAATGCAAACTTTTATTCAGGCAAAAAAGGAATAAGCTCGTAGCAGACGACGCGTAGCCTCAACAGTGCTCGGCGCCGACTGCGTTGCGTCAAAATGGCAATCGTCTCCTCTTTGCTCCCTTCTTTCTCTCTCATTCCTTCGGCGCTCTCCTTCTTTCCCTTCACTTTTCTCCTCTCCGGCGCCTTCATCGCCACACCCAGTGGCCAAACTCTCCCCACATACGGCTCTGCATTGCGGGAACTGTTCGGGCTTGTTTGCACTATTAGTGTCGCGGAGTGTATGCCATCAAAGCAGCGCGGGAGTGACCAGGGCGGGCACAGCAAGAAGATGGAGTAACGAGCATTGTGGCTGCAAAAAAAGGGGGTGCTGGGCCCAGCAGCAGCAATTTGTTTGGTGTGGTGCATCACGTGTGCGACAGACCGTGATTTCTGACGGACGTGAGCGAATGCATTCTAAATGCCATGAATATAGGAATACGTCGAGCGAAGTCAAAGAAACGAACAAATTATTATTTTTTTAACTTCTTTATTTTTGCATATACACTGCGTGCGGGAACTATAGGGGGCGCTTTGAAAAACGCGCGCTGCGCCGCTAGCGGAGGAGCTGGCGTTCGACTGTGAGGCGCGTTCAGCAGCCTGCGGCGCCTTTTCGCATGCCAAGCTGTGGCGGCGGAAGCGCGCACGGACGAAACTTTTGCTTTTTGAGCCGATACGTTGAGGGGGACGTTGCATGAATGCTGGGGCAGACCTAAGAAGGGCATTTAGCTGTTCTCCTCTTCTTATATATTGAGTTTTAGTCGTTATTCGGGGGAATTTCTCTAGTTGCGGCCAAAAAAGGAGTTGGAGCAATTTTCCGAAAAGCAAGACGGCCGCCACCATAATTGCTTTGAGTGGAAAATTTATTTCGCTCGTCGCTGTAAACGTAGGACTGCTGGAGCGATGATATTTGGAGGCGAGTGAGATGTCCACTAAGTTTCTGCACGAAGTGTGCCAAGTTTCATTAAGACAGCAGGTGTGAAAGTTGTTTAGAATGAAGAAATAAAGCTGTACGGTATATCCGATATTGAACCCAAAATGTTGTGTTATAGCGGGCTGTGCACAGTGAAGATTTGGGCACACAGGTGCTTGGACTTGACAGTAACATGGCACAGCACTTATTATACAAAAAAAAAAAAAAGGTGGCATAGGGAAATTAGGTGAAAATTTGGTTTGGGTGGCGTAACTCAATGGGAACCGGTTTTGACCATGAAAAGGCTGTCAAAAGAATACCACTGGTCGGGGGAGGTGGAGACTTTAGAGGTAGGAAGGTACTAGTGGACTGTACTTTCATTTGAAACAACTTTACGAAAAGTGGTTCCAAAGCCGAGAAAACAAAGTTGTCAGCCAACACACGGTTTGGCTGCCAAGGGCTTTTGCGGTCAGCTGTTGTGTAATAACTTGTTGTGTGAGGTGCTGGTTTTCGGCCCACAGGTACTTTGACATGACCGTCACTTGGCACAACACTTATTATAACAAAAATAGTTGGCATAGCGAAACCAGGTGGAAATTTAGTTTGGGCGGCGTAACTAAATGGGAACTGGCTTTGACCGTCAAAGGCTGTCAGAAAATACCACTCATCGTGGGAGGTGCACACTTTACAGGTAGGAAGGGACCAGTGGACGGTACTTCTAGTTCGAACCACTTTGCGATAGGTGGCTCTAAAGCCGAGAAAAAAAACATTGCTGTCTACAGAACTCGGGGTGTCAGTGCTTCCACATCCAAAAGGAGGCTGATCAAGAAAGAAAGCACACCACATAAACTTCCATACTCAAACGCCGATTCTCCAGTGATTCCGAGTTTCGTGGTTGTTTTCTTTAGATTTATATTTGTCACTTTTTTTACCGTTCAAATCTTTCTTCATGAAGTACAGATTGCGTGCCATATTTGTCCGGAAATATCATCGACACGTACGATGGGGACGAAACTTCTTTGGAGGGCATTCCTCCAACGAAATTGGCACTGCATACCCGCCAGTGTGGGATGGCATTTCAATTCATCTCATCGGCGCTGACACATGTAGGCGTTGCTGGTACGAAAACAAACGCAGAGCACAAAGCGGCAGTGTAGAATATGTCAGCCGTGCCGACACAGTGGCAGACATGATCGGGACACCAAATTTCTCGCGTCGTACGGCACGGCTCCATCGTTGTTGCTGTCCCACAAAACATCGGCGAGGTGAAAAACTGTGAAACTTTGTCTCCACGAGATACGACGCATAACTATTGAAGCACTTAATGACGCAGCACAAGCAGCACTTCATGCTGTGAACCCAGCGCAACAGCACCACTCTGACTTCAACGCGTACCAACGTACGCGGTGTGGTTTCGGTTTCGTTTTCTCTGGGGAGCTCACTGCCTACCTTCGGTACCGGCCGCGCGGCGGCGCGCCAGTCGCGTCGCACGGAGTGTATACCGTATTTACTCACATAATAAACACACTCGCATATTAAACGCACCCCCCACAAGGGGCATCAATATTTTGACTTTTTTTTTCCCTCCCGTAATCAACACACCTCCAATTTTTTCATCCGCGAGTCTCGAATTGTGTCCAATTTAGCAAGCCACCAAGCCAGTTTTCTTTTGCCGCCAAGCGGTCAGGCCAAGTCAAGCCAAGCCAAGCCGCTCTCGTAATGGCTGCAAGTGCGTTGTTGCAGAAGTGATCAACCGCGAAACCGAGTGTCGCGCACACTTGACGAAGCTTGGGTCGACGAATTGCCGAGCCCCGGACATTCTTCGCCTATCGCATGCATTGATGTCAACAAACAAGCCGTCCGTCATCTGTGGTCCGCCTTCAGACACTGAAATCGTGAAAGTGGTTAGGCTTAATTTCACATCCTTCGGGTAAATGCGTTTAATTAATCCGTAACAGAATGGCACAGCGAGGTGCATGCTGCGCTGTAGGCTGAGAGTGTCTGGTAGCCTCTCTGTGAACGAAACTTGATCTGTGCGAGCGGGCTTCGGTGGTTGGGGGTTGGACTTCGTACGAGTTTTTATACGCATACTCACGGATATACCCGAGTGCGCTGCCGGATACTAGCAATATATATCGCCTAAGAATGGTCGGATTGCCTTTCGTGCTGAGTGAGCTTAGTAGGGCGCTTTTTTCGGCAAGAGGCACCCCAAAAGCGCCCTAAAAAGGTTTGCAATTTATAAAGCATGGTTATTGTGGCGCGCCCCTGACCAGCCGTGGGTGCGCCTCCATCACTGGAGATGTGCCACAGTACCTTGCCGTGTCATATTGGCATCTAATATGACATTTGCACAAAGTGTGTAAATGCAAAAATTTTACCTCATGTAATGAACGCCCCCCAAATATGTGTCAATTTTTCGGGAAAAAAGTGCGTTCATTATGCGAGTAAATACGGTACTGGGGCGCTCACTTTTAGATTGGGCTTTTATGAATGGAGAGCGCTTGTCTCTGTCTTCTTTGCACTCCCATGTTTGCTTGCTTCAAACAATTTTAAAATGCACTCGTTGTAGGTTTTGGAAGTGCCTGGTGGATCGCGACGAAAAGAACAACCCCAGCTACGCGTGGGTGGAGTGGGAGATGACCCTGAACAAGGCGTCAAGCGCCATACCCGTGCCTGGTGAGTGCCTCCATCTTGGTTTCATTTCATATTCTAACTGCTGCAAAGAGGTTGGGTATAGATAACCCAGTGGGCTAGCACACACCAGCTTGGAGCAGGTGGAGCGAAAGCTCACACGGCAGAACCCAGGGACCCTGGGTTCAATCCTCACCCTTGCCCGTTTCGATCTGGATGAGCATCGTACCGGCGTGCGGTCGTGTATCACTCTTGCGTGGTGCTCGTTAAAGACCCCAAGCTAGCGTTCGTACTGCACTGGCTAAATTGCTGATCTACAGCTGGGAGACAAGTCGCCCACTGAGGCCGACTAACTTCTGGCTGTTTAAACATACACACATCATTACTATTATGTTGCAAAGCAGTATATGAAGTAGAAATCGAAGCCATATTTTTTTTTGGAATGAATGGTTTCTAGTTATTTCTCTTTTCTAGCATATCCATATCACTCCCATGCCCCTTTGGCACACCCTTATCACTGGTGCTAAACTCCTTTGATATACCATTTCATGGCAAACAATATTTTTTTGATTCTCAGAGTCAGGAATCTTGTTCTTTCCTCACTTCTCTCCTGGTACACTATATGCTTTTGTGAAAACATGGCACTTTTTTACATCTTCCCAGAGATTGGTATACATTAATAAATTTTACCACCTCACTTTTTGTCCAAGCGCACTATGTCACCATGTTAATTGTTTTAATAGCGGCATTTGACTTCGAGAAAGACCAGAAAATCGCTGGCTAGTTGTACGGGCTAATTTTGTCGTGCCTCACGTGTCCTTGCAATCGCTCATCACAGTTGTCTCTTTGCTGCCTCAGGGACACCTCTGAGCGTGAGCTGCGCGTACAGCGGCCGAGTGGCGTGCGCCTACAAGCGGGGCCAGTCGTTCACGCGACCAACGTCCGTCAACCCCTCCGACCGTTTTGTCAATCTCGGCGTGGCCATTTACGAGTGCGAGTCCACGGGCGGCTCCGAATGGATCCTCGAAGACACCGTGCTCCTCAACAACGTCAGGTGCGTGTCGACGGAATGTCGCGTCAAAGGTCATTCGGCATTACGAGCGTGTTGCTCATCTTCCTAGCTCGAGGGTTTGAGACTTCTTTGGGGCTTGGAGGAAGCCTTTGCTGCTTTGAGTGAGAGTCGAGGAAACTTGAGCTTTCTTTGACACTTGCAGTGAAGCAGCCCAAAAGTTTGTTACTTTTGTTAAATTTGTTAGCAAACTTGGTTAACAGTGTTCTTTAATAATTTTAAACATAGGGAAAAAAAAAAGCTTTAATCAACTTTGCTAACAATTGGTTAATACTAGACAGTTTTCGAATAGGGGAACCCAAGCTGTTTGGAGTGCCTTGAGCATTGGGGTTCCTATTATAATGCTTCCTATGGGCAGTGCAAGTTCGTCTGCTTCTTGCACAAGGGTTGCGATGATGTCAGAATGCCGAGTTCTTATTGGCTGATGGAAAAAAATACCGTAGTAGGTAGGCCTCTAGGCACCCAGCATTGAGGTCTACCCGCCATCCTTTCAATTAAAGCCAATCAGAGCTCAGCGTTGTTCAGACGTCACCGCAACCCCTGCGCAAGAAGCAGACGACTTGGTCTCTGCATTGGTTTTTTAACATACTTTGTTAACAGTAAGTTAATGTTGGAAACTAACTTTGCTAGCAATATGTTAGTGTTAACAAACTTTGTTAAATTTGTTAACATTGTTAACTGACTTTGTAGACATGCTGTCAAATTTGTTAACAAGCTTCGTTAACAATTGTTTAATGATGCTAACAAACTTTGTTAACAATTTTTTAGTATTAACAAACTACATTAACAGTTGGTTAACATTGTTAACAAACTTTGTAAACATTTGGTTAACATTCTTAAACTTTGTAAATGCTCAGTGCAGGAGGTGCACGTAAATCGAACGAGCCCAGTGCATGTCTCAGCAATGCATAAATTGCGCTCGTACTACTAAAAGGCTGCCTTACTAGGGGTCAAAACTACAGCAAACTATTTGGAAAGCAAGTTGTTTGCTCTTTGTGCACGAGTTGCGGTGACGTCTGAACAACGCCGAGTTCTGATGGGCTTTGATTGAAAGGATAGCGGGTAGACCTAAATGCTAGATGCCTCGAGGTCTACCCACTATTTCTTTTCAATCAGCCAATAAGAACTCGGCGTTCTGACCTCATTGCAACCCCTGTGCAAGGAGCAGACGAACTTGTGCTCTGCATACACTTTTGTCTGCTTTCTGCTGCGCCTTTCAAAATATAGCCTCTCGAGTGGCTCGGTTCACAGACGAGGGTTTGGCCTCGCCCTCTGCTTTCCCCCTGCAGCCTAGCACGCATGGACCAGACGGCGCCGGGCGTCGACCTTGCCCCACTCATGGACTCGACGCTGCGCCACCGCAAGACTGCCGACACGCTCGTTCAGCGGCTGACCTCGGACGGGGACCTGAGCGGTCCCCCCGCGGGGTCCCTGCAGCGGCTGCTGGCAGTGCCCAGCTACGCAACGCTGCACACGCTGCGTCGGGCCGTCATCGAACAGGGCAACCAGTGCCCGCTGGTGCACAAGTCGCTGGTGCAGCTGGACTGGGTGTCGTCGGAGGACGGCTCGCACGTGCTCACGGTCGCGGTCGGGTCGAGGGTGCTGCTCTTCACTCCGGTGTCGCAGGACCTCATCCAGCAGGGGGGCGGGGGCCTCGAGCAGAGGGTGAGGATCTCGTGTTTTACGCCTCTCTTGCGCTTCTTTTGCACCGACGGCCGCGAATGGAAACGCGGTCGTCCTATGCGGAAGCTCCTGCCGGCTCAAGCGAGCGCGCCGGGGCTGGAGTTTGCATCGAAAAGTAGCGGGTGCATGCCGAAGGCCAGGCGTTCAAAAGAGATGCCGTTCTCACTTTGACAGTGGCCGCGGCCGAACCCTCATCGTGCCGGCGCACGTGCACGACCCTCCGAGTGGGCAAACTTGCACGCCGTACGGCTAGAAGTCAGAAAGTTTGTGGGGGTCCGAAAAACACGACTTTCGGTTACGGCTCACCGATTAGGCTCGTCGTAGGCGGAGCGCAGATCGGGCATGGGGATGGATTCAAAAGCGGAATCGGAAATGGTGTGAAATCCTTAAATCCATGTCTAGGAGGACGTGCAGAAGCGACGAGGAGGCCACAATGATAGCGAATCACAGGAGCGTCAAGCTGCTGTTGCTTTGACATACATTGAGTGATAGCATAAATGCGCTCAAGTTTTTGTTGTCTGCTTATTTAGTTCTTTTTTTACTTTCTAGAGTCGTGCAAACATTTAAATTTTCAGATTTTATTTCGAATGATACGCTATTCGATATTCTCTTCAAGATTAATTGTGATATTCATGTTTTTTTAAGCGTCGATCGTGGTGAGTTATCCCCGTTGAGCGTGGTTCTCACCGTGCTCTGGTGCACTGCAGAGAAGCAACACCCGCAGAGCTCGCTTGTGTGGGTGTTGCTACTCCACAGTGCACCGAACACTCAAAGGGGGCTAACCCGCCGCTATCAACACTTCAAAAGGCCCAAATATTGCGGTCGTGTGCTTAGGGGGAAAGCACACTTTTAAAGTGGGACTATGTACACTCAGCATCTGGCTTCGCAGCTTGCTTGCCAAGCTAATAACTATCTGATTGAACAGTATACTTCTTCAGCTGAGACTTAAATGCCTTGTGTCCGAGCCCTTTGATTAATTTATAAGTGATAGCTCAATCAATGCAGGCGTTCGCTGTCTGCTTTGACACGGAGAGCCTTGTGTTCCCTCTCTTTGGAATGTGTCCCGACTTTCTGTGACTTCACCACGTGGTCACGTCGAATTCTAGGTGCGATTTGACATGACGTGACATGGCTAGTCTTTTATAAAAGAAGTGCTTGATTTATCTTGATCCCATACGTGAAGTCGGTTTACACGCAACATTTTTTCGTGGCGTTCCGTCAGGCTTTCCTCAGGGATTCGAGCCCTTAAGTGCATTCTGTGTTAAAAAAAATTGGCAGCAAAGTTTCAAAGTTTTATAATGCATCAAATACAGCATTTCAGGAGTGATTGTTTGAATTTTTTTTAAAAATATTTTGTGCAGTTGTTTTGGGGAGTGAGGAAGAGCCTATATTTTGTCACTTGAGCAGGGAACTAATTTGATGCACACATCACGTGGTATTATTTTCCCTGGCAAATTTAACTGAGAAACCGAGCCGGTGCATCAGTCACCGAACATCAATTTCCCTGCCAAATTCAGTGAAGAAGTTGAATTCGTGTAGACGCCACTCGATGTCTGGTGACGCGATGTAAGATTTCCCGTTATATTCAGTGGGGGAACTACTTTGGTGTACAGGGCTCGTAACGGGTCGCGTGACGTCAATTTTCCCAGCAAACTAAGTGAAGAAGCCGAATTAGTGTTTAAGTTACGTGACGTCAATTTTCCCCACTAAATTTGGCGGGAAATACGCGGACGGACAAAATTATGGGATTTGGGGGCGTTGGAAGGTGTTTTGTGCTTTAAAACAGTGCAGTCCATCAGACTCGAGCGCAAGTGTGTGAATTAGCCTCGACGTGTGTGAATTAGCCTCGACGTGTCTTGAATCGTGATGTGACGGACCCTCTTATTTTCTTCGGATAGGGTTTGGGTTCCGGCGGGACCCGCCCCCTCCTCAAGCAAATGTCCTCCCTGGGGGCGCCCGTGGCTGCGGCCGGAGCGGAGGCGGTGCGCTGGCTCCAGATCCGTTGCACCAAGCTGGAGACGGCAGACGGACTGCCGGCCCTGCCCATGCAGCTGTCCTGGGTCAGGGACGGCATCCTGGTGGTGGGCATGGACAGCGAAATGCACATCTACTCCCAGTGGAGGCCGCAGAAGGGGGCTCCTAAGGGTGAGCAGACCCAACGTATCAAAAAGCGCGGTTCTTTATAAACCGACTGTTATAAGCGGTACATTGTATATGCGGTATCGTCGTAAGCGGATCGCACTGTATTCAGCGGTTCTTGGCTGCGGCATTTGGTCAGCTTCCATATGTCACATTCTTTAGTAATTATAGAGGATCCACCAAATTTTCATTTGGAGCTTAAGTTAGCACTCTTTTGTATATCAAATTATCGATATATCAAACAATTTTGCAATCCCCTTGGAATTCGATATATCTGGGTTCAACCGTACATGCACACTCTTTTGTTTGTGGGCTTTAGAAACATGGCATCATCATCCGCTAGAGTCAAGAGGCCATGTGAAACATAGCACACGTCATTTTCACTGCCTTTCGTGGTATTTAGAGCCCATGAAAAGACTGTGTCGTTTTTATGCATCTTAAAATCCACACATTAAAACAAATTTTGTCGTTTTAATTGTCTATTCTAGTTTGTTGTTTGGTTACATTTGGTTGTAGGAGTGTTTAGACTGTGAAAAGTTCAATACTGTCGAGACCGGTTATAACGAAGTTGGTTATAACGAAGTAGCGGCTACAGCGAAGCGATCACGATTTCCCATTCGCTTTTGCACCTTGTTAACCGAACCCGGCTATAACGAAATAGCGGATATAGCGAAGTGATTTCCGATTCCCGTTGACTTCGTTATAACTGGTCTTTACAGTATAAATTAAAATTTCTCACTCAAGGAGAAAGTATACAGAACCGTGAGGGTTTTTCGGTCCGACCCAGTGTTGCAAATGGGGGTTCTCTTTGTGCCAGGCATGAGGGGTGCTCCCCAGTGTGGGGCGGAAGAAGAGGACCTGTGCCGCGTGCGGATGGTTCCCGAGGAAGAGTTGCTGGGACGCGTTCAGGAAATGTCCCAGCTCCGGCTGGGGCCGGGGGCACCCCTCGGCTTGGCCCGCAACGCCTCTTCCTCGTCGTCCCAGGCACTGGACAAGAAGAAGATTCGGGTGGACGCATCTTCCGCGCGACTAGCGTCTGCCGCCAAGTAAGCATCCCACTCTACGCTTCCATAACTAAGCGAAAACACTAACGCTACCTGTCGGGTGGCCCTAAGACTATTCCGTCTTGCGTGTCTTTCCTAAGAATTTTTTTGTGCGTCCTTTCGTTTTGGATTTGAAAAACTTTTGACAACATTGTGAGCGACCATTTCTTGTAGATACACAGTACATATGTTTGATCCTGCAAGTACCGCAAAACCTTAATACTCTCTGCAGGGTGCTCCTGTTTGCCATGCAGGCTTAAAAGTATTTTTTATTTAATAAACCAATGAACCGAAGGGAATTGAAACCTTTCACAAAGTTGTATTTGGGTGGTGCCTCGATTATACTCAAATTTTAAAGTAGGTTTCGGGAAAGTGATTAGGCCTAAAAATAACCTGTTTTTTTCCTATGCTCGGGAAGGAAAACGGTAAATACTTCCTGATCGAAGCCGTTGCTCAAAGATGGCACAACATAAAAATGGAAGCCTCTTTGAGGTGATTTCCCGAGAGCAGGTCCGGCAGATACGAGCGCGTGTGGTACCATCTGTGAGTAGCAGCGTAAGCAGAAAGTCTTTGCCGTTTGCGCACTGTGGGGAAGCAACTCTGCAGTGCACCGGTGCTCGGTAGGAAGCGTGCTGAGCGGGACTGGCCCGCCACAATCGACACTTCGAAAAATACAAATATTGCAGTTTATCTGCAAGCTTCGCGGGTGTGGCTTCTCTGCAGTGCACCGGTGCTTGGTAAGAGCAACCTGACATGACCAACACTGCAGAAAGTACAAATATTGCACTCTCGTGCTTAGGAAGAAAGCTCGTTTCCAAAACAGGATGGTACACACGCACACTCATTGTATTTAAAAAAGAATGGGAACTTCGTGAAGGTTGATATCTACATTGCAGTACGCAGCAGAGATGCCCCGACAACCTCTATTAATCATACGTGATTGAAGAAGAGATATTTTTTATATAGAAAGAATATTTAAAAATCTTGTTAATTATGTACAACATGGCATCTCTATATCGTTAAACACCAGGCAAGCGCCCACTCAAACTTTCGAGATAATTGCAAAAAAAAATGGGGGATGGGTGCTTGTCCGGTCATCAGTTTTACATATACATGTACTGTGCATATTTTCTTATATTTTACAAATTTGGTAATGGACGCTTAATGTGGCATGGGTGGATGTGTGGTATTCTGCGGTAGGTTAAATTTTATGTCAAATGCATAATTTTATTTGCCATCTCAATGTAGGTGTTGGACTTGGAGGCCACACTCAATAAATATAGTTAGATTAAAATTAACTTACCGTAGGATACCGTGCATCCACCCATGCCACACTAAGCGCCCATACCCAAATTTGTAAGATCTAAGGAAATATGCACAGTACATTGATATGTAAAATTGATGACCGGACAAGCGGCCATCCCCCATTTTTTTGCGATTATCTCTTAAATTTTGAGTGGGCGCTTGCCCGGTATTTTACGGTATCTTACCAATGGACAAGTGGAAGCTTGGCAACAACCTTTACAAGTTCAGTTGGGTCTTCGTTTAAAAAAACCCTGAAAACAAAAAAAAAATTTTTTTAAACAGTCTGGTTGAGATATGCATGTCAAAAAATCAATTTTAGGCGAAAACGAATTTTTTTTTTTTTAGCAATTTTGACGGTGCGAGACTCTGTTTAGTTGGTAGTCACCTCCTTTCCACTTGTTTTTTCTCTCGGAATTTCGGGCACATGGAGGAGCGGTGAATCGGCTTCGCCTTCACGTTGAGGTGGAAAGAGCGAATGACCATTCCATGACGTCACAGACTTTGCACGCAGAATTTCAAATAAATCTCTCGCCACCGAAATCACTTTAAAAAAACTTTTTTTTTTTTGCGTAATATATTTTGTTTTACTTGCATGTCCCAACCAGGCTGTTAAGAAAAGTTTTTTTTTTCTTGTCAGGGGCCCTTTAAGCTTGCTGCAAAAGTGCAAGGAGAAACTACTTGATATTGGATTTGAAAATATTTGGCCAAAATCCCTATTCACTCGAATTAACGTCAAACTCAAGATCCACTATTTGCACATGCCTAAATATTTCTAAATAATCTAGGGGAGTACAAATATTAGAAATTTTGAATATAATTTTTCTATTCGAATCTTGTTCAATTTGGTAATTGCATATTGAAAGAACTAAGAATATTTGGGCAATTAGCTCGCAATTTGTGTCCAGGCGTGCTCTGAACATTCAGGGGTCTCTAAAAAAAATTTGTTTTTTACACATATTTTATATTTGGTTCAACATCACGAGTCATTTTTCCTTACTCTTCATATCCAACTCGTGTTAAAAAAATTGTAGTGTAGATGCACTTCTAATTTAAGTGCCATGTGGAGAACTTTGTGATGAGGCAGATTCATTTCCTTGCCTGCAGAGAGTCTGAAATGACGCTAGGCCCAATGCCGGACCTGGGCCTCTTTGAGACGAGTCGGCTGGCCTGGCCCATGCTGCCCCAGTACCACCCCAAGCAGCTCATGGAGCTGCTGGGCTTCGGAAAGATCCGCAGGGTCAAGGCCATCCTCAGCCACCTGGTCCGCTGCGTCTCCAAGACGGGACAGGTGAGTTCGCTGTTGTGCCAAAATGCAAATTGACGTAGCGCGACCGCGCATGAAGGGTGACTAACTTCTTTTGCGAGAGTAAGAGATGTCGGACATGTTGAATTTCCCGGCGGTTCCCAAATTTCCGTCGATGCGTCTTATAAAATGGCACTACTTGCATTAATCTCTTTTGGAAGGATGAACCTCAACTGCGCAAGACGTTGGCTATATTGAAATTTTTACTATGCTGCCGCCTGCCTTCTGTAAACTAAAGTGGTAGCTAAGGGCAGCCTGTAAGACTCTGGGGACTTGAGCGATTCTGGGGACCTGAGGGAATCAGTTCTAGGGAATCCGTGGAACATAGGGAACTAAGGGAATTTGGAGATTTTAGGGAATCTGGGAATTTCATGAAATCTGGGTATTTAGGGAATGGGGAAATTTCAGAAAAAGTGTGAAATTAGGAAATATGAAGATTTAGGGAATCTGGGGATTCTAGGTAATTTGTGAAGACGAAGAGATTGGCAGCCATGTATATGGAGCAAAGAAAAGTGGACACAATTATAGACCCTTTAAAAAATGGGCTTCTTTTCAGCACTTCGTTTATATCCTGCACTTGACAAGACTGATTCTGTTACACTTTCTGTAGCATTATGCTGTATGGTGTCAGTAAGTGTCTCTGACCGGTGTGTTTACTGCTTAGTAAAAAGTGGTTCCTCGATTTCCGCCTGGTGACGCGATGGAAGTGTAGTGCTGTCGCCGGCTGTGATCCTGGCAGTGTCGCAACAGCTGCGACGACAGCGACACTCACGTTCGCTCGTGCTTTTCGCGAGCATTTCTACGACCCACCGCCAGGATTGCAACATCCGACAGCATGACACTCTGGCTGGTCACTTCGGGACCACTTTCGACGTGTCGGTGGGACAGGACGCCGTACACACCGCTTGTAGGCACGTTTCGGGCACCGTAGTTGTGGTGTCATCGACGACGCGCCGAACGCTCTGCGAGATGGGTCCTTTGGTCATTTGGAGAGCAGGCTCCGAGCGGCGGGGCAGGCGGAGGAGCCGACGGTGGGATAGCCGAGGGTGCCGCCGAAGAAGAGGCGGTCGAGGACAGCATGCGAGGGTGGTCGCGCTCGCGCACCCTGTCCCTGGCCGCGCCCGCCACCGGACCGTCGGGGACCCACAGTCCGAAGGACGGCGGCAACGTGGTGCCCGAAGAGCTGCAACTGGACTACGTGGAGATCCAGTCGATCCCACCGCTGCCCCTCTTTGCGCTGCTGGCAGCGGACAAGCAGACGGCGCAGCTGGCGGCGCTCGGGCGGATGGACATCTCGCCCGGCGCAGACGCCACAGAGGTGGCCTCGCCGCAGGAACAGGTACGGTTGCCTTGGGGACTTCTGGTGCATGGATGCCAGCTTTTGGGCTGCGATTACCTCGGGTCGCACAATTTAAAACGTGCTCTGTGCCGCCAGGGTGTGTGAAAATGTGATAGCCGAGGGCAGCCTGTAAGAAATCTGGGGACCTGGAGAAATCAGAAATTTAGAAAATCTGGGGAGTTTTGAAAACGTGGGAAATATAGGGAGTCTGGATTTTAGGCAATTTGGGGATTTAGTTGAATTTGGGTATTTAGGGAATGTGGGAATTTTAGAGTCTAAATTTAAGTAATCTGTGAATTTGGGGAATCTGGGAATTTTAGGGAATTTGTGAAGACGAAGAGATTGGCAGCAATGTAAATGGTGCAAAGAAAATTGGACATCATCAGAGACCCTTTCGTTTACAACTCCTTGTAACACTGAATTCGAGCGCAGCTCTTGAGGAGGAGGAGGAGGTGGGAAGGGTACTGAGGGGAGGGTATACCCGTCCTCTCTCCTCTTCACCTCGTGATCCTGCCTGCTACTTTTCCTTCCCACTCCTCCTTCACCTCCTCCTCTCCTCATCCTTCAACCTCCTACCCTCATCTCCTCTTCCTCCCTCCTCCCCCTCCTCCTCCTCAAAGGGGGGGGGTCACACGACCTCACAGTCATGACGCCGACGCCGCTCAAGCCGGAAACGGGTGCCTAAAAGCTGCACTCTAAAATGGGCTTTTTTTCAGCACTTCGTTGATATCCTGCACTTGACAAGAGTGCTTGTTACCCTTTCTATAGCATTCTACAGCACCTTCTGTCTTCACACATTATTAATAAGTTTGGCCATGTCGGTCCACTTCATTTTAACCTGTCACATTGAAGTCGTGATATTTACTTCTCTTTGGTATTCTATTGATATTTACATCGGATAATAAATTTGCAATTGTCCGAGTCGACTGTATTCTTCCACGTAGGTCATGGAATTTCATAAAAACGCTCGAGAGGAACCTCTAAAATTGCTCGAATTTGTGGAACCTTTGGCTATAGGGGATAGTGCACTGATAAGAGCCTCGTCATTTCTTCATTCAGCATGACTACAGCACATTGTTTGAGAGTGCACCGAAGAAGGACAAGTCCCTGGAAGACTTCCTTCAGGAGGAGGATGCTCAGCCCAAGGCCAAACCGTTACGAGACCGCCACAAGTCTGCACCTGACAAGAACCCGAACCATTTTGGAATGCGCCAGGTGAGAGTGCGAGTTTCCTTCTACTTCCTTTAATGCGTAGGTTGCATTTATGGGGTTGGCTCTCGCAATACCTCCTAAAAGACAAGGCCCGCCAATGCCGTCATTGTTAGCTGATGCCCGAATCGCCCCAAGTGGCAAACATGCCGAAGCTCGGCAAGAGATAGGCAGACACGTCCGTGTTGGTGTCGCCGCTTGTTCTCGAGGACTTCATGGTGCTATGTGACGCTGAGGACTAGTTTGGGAGCTCTGGCAACCTGTGCAAATACTCTGGGGAACGCCTTGGTTGCTAGGAGCCTAGCTTGCGAACCCACGGCCTGAGTGTTGAAGAAATTTTAGACACGCAAGGTTACGATGATGTTGGAGGTACCCAATGTTTGGTTCTCTCCAGGCTCGTCTGCTCACCCAGCTGCTGACGCACTGCCACCTCCCGGGCCTGTCGAGCGTGGACCAAATGCACCTGCTCGCTCTGGCCGACACCATCGCCTCCTTCCACGCCACCCTTGCCGACCGCTTCGACTCCGAGATTGTCCACAGTGGGTGTCGCCGCTTTTACTCTAGAGTAGCCTTGTCAGCATGCCCAGAGAGGTCCGACGTTCATTTCGAGATGAACTGCAGTATTCATTAAGTGTTGGTCGCAGCGGGTTGACCCTGTTAAGTGCGCTTCTTATCGGGCGTGGGTGCACTGCAGAGATGTACTCCTGTCAGTCGGCTGTTACTTATGACTCGGATATGCATTAGACGTGGCAGCGGTGAACGTTGTTTGTATAACCTTTTGTTTTAATTTTTTTTTTTCCAGCTGTGCCAAAGGAGAGCGTTCGGCAGAACTATGAAATGGACATTCAGGCCACTCCTGGTGAGTTTCAAAGAAAACCCGTGTCAAATCACCTACATTATTGTAAATGTCTCGAAGAAAGCTTTGATAAAATATTGTGATCTTTAATGCAGTTGTGGGTGACTTGAGGTGAGACACTACCCAGAAAAAAAGATTAATTTCTGCAAAAACAGTTGATTTTTAAAAATTCTATATTTATATCCACCAGCATCTAGAGAGTATTCCCAGAAAGTGTCATTCGTTTACACTCCATAGTTATATTCTTTATAAATTATTTTCGGTGTGCTAATGCTAAAGAAAAAATAGAGGTTCGAGCATTTTGAGCTTGTTTTTCTCCATTCCACTTTTTGGCATAAATTTCACTTGAAAACTATCATTCAGTAATGGGACAAAAGGAAAGGCTCACTCATTGTTTTTCCTAACTGGAATTTAACGGGCAATGCAACTGTGGCTGTGCTTGTTTACTTTGTGGATGTCTTTTATAAAAGAATTTAAGATTTTGTTGATAACATAAAAGGCAACAAATTTATTAAAATTTTCAGCGAGATGTTAGCATAAAGTAAATTATTTTATGGAAATTTTGTTTTCACAGTTGCACTCTCTAAGCATTCTGGATTTTGGGCGTTACATTAGGTTTCTAACAATAGTTTTCTTAAACAATGTCAGTGTGTTGCTGATAAAAATGGCTATAATCTTTTTTACAATGCATGTACAGGGATAAAACTTTGCACTGCATTCTGCCTTGCAACTGCCAGTATATGCCGTAAATTTCATTCATATTAGGACAAAGGTTCAGAAGATGACTCTTTTGCGTAGCCCTTTCTTAAACAACACGGGAATCTTCTTGCTTGATGCAGGAGAAATGATGACCTCAAGCTCATGAGAGCAAATAAAGGGTTACTAACGCATTTTTCTACATCTTCTTTTCATGGTGCGAATGCAATCTAAGTGCCTTAGGCATCCTAGAAAAACCAAAGTGACAATCATGTGTAGACTTTTTTCCTATTAAAAACGCAACCAAACATTGCATTACACCTTTCTTTAGATACATCTCGACAGAAAAACGGCCGTGTTGAGACGTCTGGTTGCGTTTTTTATGAGAAAAAAAGGTTATGCACATTTGTAGTTACGAGTTTTCTTTGATGCTTACGGTGCATAGATTGAGAGAGGAACTTGAAAACTGATTTAGTACCTCTTTAAAGGCGGACATAGAATATGTCCGCCTTCTTTTTTGTTGGGCTGTTGTATGTCTGGACCGACCTGATAATCAATGCCACTGAAGTGATATCTTTTGCGCCACTTCTTTTTGTTTGCTTCACTGCCTTGCGGCGGCAAACTAAAGAGGAGTATCGTGCCGTCGCGTAAAGCTCTTTCTCGTTTTGACGACCAATCTGCCTGTCACTGAAGCCGTTTGCACCACTCCTGCGTCGTCTTTTCACCATGGCCCAGGGCCCCGCCCGGCCAAACTACGGGTACTGAAATGTGCCTTCAACTGGTGTGTTTACCGTTCTGTCCCATTCACGCATTGAGAGTGGTCCCAAATTGGCGACAGATTCTGTCGCAGGGGCCAGCGTGCCATGCCGACAGATGTCGCGATCCTGGTGGTTAATTGTAGAAATGCCGGTGAAAAAGGCAAGCAAACACGAGAGTCGCTGCCGTCGCGGCGTCTCATCTTGCGTCTGCTTTGGTTTCCGTCGACCGTCTGGCTGCAGGGTGATGTTCAGTGGAAGAGGCGTCTGCCGCATGCGGCTCTGCTGTGTCTTGCAACAGCACGACACTGTCATACTGTTGCCATGACATGGCGGCAGCATAACAAGTGTCGTGTGACAGCATGACACTTTTACGATGTCATCAGGCGGAAATCGAGGGATCACTTTTGAGGACGCGGTAAATGCATCGGGTGGAATTCGAAGGACCACTTTTGAGGATGCGGTAAACACGCCAATCGGAGCCATGTTCCCAGCGCCATAGCTGAAGGCAACTCCACCGGTTATTCCCAAGACTCCCTGGACGACTGTGGGCTGCGCTACTTCTTGGCGGTGCGCCACCACACGTACCTGGTGCGGTGCCTGCCGCTGGCGCACCGGGCCCAGCTTCAGCGCCAGGGCCTGGGCTCCCACAACCTGGTTTGGGCCTTTCACTCGGAGACCCAGGAGGAACTTGTGCAGCTGATCCCCAGCCTGCAGAAGCCCACCCTACGCTGGGCCGAGCTGAGGGAGCTCGGCCTCGGCTGGTGGATACGCTCCAACCAGCTGCTCCGCAGAATCGTTGAGAAGGTCTCAGTTTTATTTATTTTCAATTTCTTTGGCCCGTCCCGGCACATTGTTAAGCTTTGTTCTCTTCTGATGTATTTTGGCGATTCTTTGATGGGAAAGGATTGTGCACACTTCGAGATTGTTTGCATAATGCCTGCAGCGCAATCCCATCATCTAAATTTTGAGCACCGTCGATTCCAGGCATGCCTCGTTTTGTTACCACCAAGAAATTTAAAGAGAATGTTGGTAGTGTATTTCACTAAGTATCTATCTTCGAAAAAAAAAGAAAGAAGCTTGTAGAAAGGTCCCACGGAAGTTTCTTTTCTAGTTCTAGCCTACCTGCGGTTATAAGTGACTTTGAACTTGAGCGCTTCTGGTTGTTGCTCTTTTTGAACAAGAAAGGGTGCTTAGAGCCTAGTGGTGCCTGTTTGAGTGGGATTTACGGCATTTACGAGGTCCCAAATACATTTCTTTTCTCAAAGTAACGTTTGTAACTCCGTGAAACACTTAATTTTAAGCGTGCCAGAGGCATGTTTAACACTCAAAACCTGCCCAAGGCCTTTGTTTTTTTAATACTGTTTTGCAAGAACAGGAAGACTGCTTATATATATATATATATAATAGTGCCTTGAATAGACTCAGACGAAATGCTTTGCAGTGACATTGCACCCCTGTCGGTAGGTTGGAGTCGCCGCTGAGGCATCTGTGATCTGACGGCGACTTAGTTTTGTAGAAGGCGTCATGAGACTGAGATTTTGGTTACATATGAAGTAAACTCCCCATAATTTACATTAAACTATAAAGATTTTTGCTAGGATGTGCCAGATGCCCTTCGTTCCTCTGGCACTTAAACCATAACATTTGCTTTAAAGCACTGGACTGTTTGAGAAAGAAGATCAGAAAGATCTGCTAAAAGTGGAACAGACACCACTCTGCAAAATCCGGCTTCACTGAGTCATGGTCACCTATCTGGGGTATTGGTAGAGGATGTCCACTTGCTGGGTCCCTGGGCACGTCAGACGCAAAGCAGAAGCCCGAGTCTATGGAGCTCGCCGATTGGACTCTGGTGACGCCGCCGCTGTGCTCTTGTCACCAGAGTCCAATCGACGTACTCCGCCAACTTTCAGCTCCAATGGTGTGTTCGACGAGTCTAGAGCCCCTGGTCTGTTACGTGTGTCGATAAGACAGTACAGTAAACCCTCGTCAACTCGAAGAAACTGGAAACAAATTTGAGATAAGCGGAATTTCAAGACCAGCAAAGAAGCAAATATTTTTTTTGTACCAATCGCACCTTGTGCAAATGGAACCCTTCTAACAATCGCGTCACTGGACTTGACACTTGCTCACACGGCACCGTGGGGAGAACAAAACGACTGCAACAAACAAACAACACTCATGCAATGAGACGGCAGAACTGGGAAGCAAGGATGCAAAAGTGAAGACGATAACATTGAGAGTGAGGGAAAGGGAAACAGTGGGTCCCGAACCCTCCGCTTGCCAATCCAAGATTTGGGAGAAAAAAGGAAAAAAGGAAGACGAGAAACATCCTTGAGGTGCATGCTGCTCCGCACGTTGTCACGTGCATGAACATGGAACTTTTTGTTTTGTTTTGTTTTGCACGTTGTTGTGCACACAACAATGAAAACTTTTTTTTTTGGATTAGTGGTGGTTTGTTAGTTAATGTTTGGGCCACTGTGTTTATTGTTTGCTGTGCCCAAACTTTTTAAATTTTTCTTCACAAGATTTCGAAATGTCTGAGGACCCTTCTAAAAACTAGTGATGGACCGAATCTGTCGAACTTCAGATTCAGCGAAGTCCGGCACTTACCAAACTTTTGAAGGAGAGTTCAGCAAAGATTCAACAAACATTGTGCACGCGTGCGAACGCGACTGTGCGAGGGGGTTGATGGGGCCACGGCATTGCAAATGGACGCTGTGTGGTGGTGCGGTTACCATCGTAGAGTGTAGTACTACCAGTGGTTACGGCGAGGTGCGGAGTATATGGTAACTGCGTTTGTCAGACTTTGTGAGTGTGAATTTCACAAACTCCGGTTATATGCGTTTGTTTAATACATAAGTAAATGGCGCAGCGAGGTGCACACTTTGTCGCAGGTTGAGAGAGTCTGAAGACCCTGGTAACAGCCGTTCTCCTCCGCGAATGAAACTTGATGGGTGCGAGCGGGTTTCGGTGGTTGGACTTCGTACGAGAGTTCTTATATGCGTAGTCACATTATATAGCTGAGCGTAGCCGCGAGATGCTAGCAACACATATCAGGTTCTTTTCAATACTTTGTGCCTCAAGAACAGAAGATCGGCCAGGAATCGATGCGGCCCACTGCGCAAGTACGTTCTGGATAATGTGATATTACATTGATCTTTCCAGTGATGCAACGAGGTAGTTCCAACATTGACTGACTAGTACTTCAAAGCACTCCTCACAATTATAGCAATCCTGTTTTTGGCTCACAAGTACGGTTTGTGCCAAAACAAAATAATATTGCTTTTTAATCAGCGTTATTTCACGGTTTTCATCTATCTATATAAAACTAAACGTGAAACTGTCATGCTCGACGTTGCACATCCGACATTCCTAGCTTTTCCCGTCCTCCTAAACATCCGCATCTGTCCTAACATAAGAAACCAGCATTTTAAAAGCTAAGAACGAGGCATTGTGAATCTGGGACGCACACTTCCATGCAAAGCTGGCGTCAAGTTACTGAAATCGAAAAACATGCATAGTATTTACAATAATATTGTTAGTGTCACGAATGACGACAGATGAGGTGATGAATCACTAAATAAGGAGGCAAACTTATGCCCAAACAAAGTATAATTGAACGGGAAGAACAGCCGTAGCGGCAGGATTGAGTGCAGGTGAAAACTGATTTGTACGGTGCGGCAAAGCTTCGTATAAGCTTCCATGGGAGCCTTGAATATTTTGCCTCAATCCTTTTCGAACCATGCACTCTGAACATGAATAGGCTAAACAGTTCTCCAACCTTCTTGAATGTTCTATTTTCATAAAGAGAGATAAAACGACACGCAGTGCCGGGAATCGAACCAGAGCCACCTGCGTGTGAACCAAACGAGCTGCTGACTCTGCTACATAAGCGTGAAGCATTATCTCTTTTGGGGAAGGCTTAGTAACCGTTGCATTCATTTTCGCGCACAAAACAATGACTCACAGAGAAAGTAAGAACCCTGTGTTACCACCTTTATTTTAACAATGTACAGCGCTGATGAGGCCACAAAACCTAAACTCGCGATTCGTGACTGTGCCCGCTACTACCCGACCTTGTTGTCACACCACTTCTGCAAAAAGTCACCGTAAATTTGCCAGTAAACACACAGATATGACACTGATAAAATTTATCTTGCAGAGTATCACCTTATTTAGTAAGAAATGTGTCAATGTGCATTAAAAAAGCCTAAAAACTTTTTCACCCAAAAACCAAAATATCAACTTTTAAGCTTGGCAGTGAGGTATTTTTGCCGAATCTTTGTGGAATCTTTAGTAAAGTTTGGCAAAACTTCGGCTTTACTGAATCTCAAGGTTCGGCTCTGAATTTTCGATTTGGCAAAAGTTTGGCCCATCACTACTGAAAACCTTTAGAGACAAGCTATGAGTAAATACATTATGCCTATGGGAGTTCATTCCACGACAAGAAAATCTTTCGACCTAACCAATATTTTGGAATGGCCGAGTTCGTGGGATCACCGTACCTCTGTGTCTTTGTTGACGATGTGAACCCCAATGCAACCCTTTGTTTTTGCCCCAGCTGGCAAAGAGCTCGTTCCAAGCCCACTCCAACCCACTGGACGCCGCCCTCTTTTACATGGCTCTCAAGAAGAAAAACATTTTGGCCGGGCTGTTCAGGTGAGACCCGCTAATGTTGTCATTTGAACACACAGAATGTGTCATGGGGCTGGTTCGTATTAGTTTTCTTGCTGCAAGCTTCCTGTAACGGAAGAGCATCACTCGAAAAAGGGTTGAACACGGGTGAAACACAAGTCGCTGCCAGTATGCTCGTTTCCAACCTGCTTTGTGATGGGCTTTGTTAGGAACGTGGCAAATACAGCACTAGGGCTTTCCTATCTGGGATGTGCCAAGCAGGCATGCTTGCACGTTTGGTGGGAGTGTGTGGAGGATGTGAGGGGAAGAGAATGCAGCACGTGTTGCGGGGGAAACAGGGAGTCGCGGAATAGAGGGGTCAAAGCTGGGGTGTGGCTGCAAGAGAAATTATTAATAGGGCCATGCGAATATTCAAACTTTTGAGTAGTAGTTTCAAATATGCAATTCGCTTTGAGGTGAATCGTGATATTTGTGCTTTTCGAGGTGTTGACCACGTCGGGTCAGTCCTGCTGAGTGCGCTTCTCGCCGGGTACTTTTGCACTGCGGGGAAGTGACACTCTTGAAGCTCGCGAGCTCTGCAGGTGTTGCTTCTCCGCAATGCACAGGTGCTCGGTGAGGAGCACACTCCATGGGGCTAATCGGCCACGATTATGCGAGAGTAGATGTTGGGCAGCTATGTCTCAACAGCCTGCATTCATAATTCATGCGTGTTCTTTTTTTCTCATATTTGAATTTGAAGAAAGAATATTTACACGTAGGTAGAGAGCAGATTTGGAAATACCCTTGATTAGGATAGCTGCGACAAATTTGTAGTTTACATGCCAGTTTACGAATGTAGTTATACTACAATTAAGTGAGCTTAGAAGTGGACAAGTGAAAGCTCGGGAACAACCTCCACAAAATCAGCTTGATTTTCGTTTAGGCTGTAAGGTCGCTCGATAATAATCGCCTCTCGATCGGTCTGTGCTTCGCTCGTCTCCCAAGGAGTGGCACAACACAATGAGAAGACAGACACAATGAGAAGAAGGAGGTTTACTTTACTTCCCGGTTGCCCATCCTCAAGAGCCGGCACTCCGGGCCCGCCGACCCTGGTTGTCGCCCATCGTTCAGAGCTCGCGGTCGGAGTTGGTGTCCTGGCCTGCATATCGTCCTCCCCATGCCAGTGCTGCATAGGCTAGCTGTTCCGGGCTATCGCTCGGTGTGGAACCACTCTGGGATCGTCGTGGCCCGGGCCGGCCTGGCCAGGGCTCGCTGTTCTCGCCATTCTCAATTTGAACCTCGCTGGGGGACCACTCCGGGGATTGCCACGGGCCAGACCGGCTTTGTCGTTCCCACCGGCCCCAGCCTTGCGCAGCACACTCCGTCACTCGCCAGCTCGTGTCTCCTCGGCCCACCGCTTCTCACATGCTCCCCGCCCAGTCGTCTTCCACCCCCGTCTCCCACAAAGCACGGTACATTAGCAGAAAGCTTGGGGAAACCATTCGATATTCAATTTGAAAATATTCGCCCAAGACCACCCTTCGCTTTGAATTCGGTTCAAACTCAAAATCCACTATTCACACGTCGCCAGAAATTAACTGCAATTTTTTCCTGCTGGGGCACTAGCTTTTACAGGCGTTTCTTTTGGAGACTCCATAGGCCTGTTTCTCTTGGCCAGGGGGTGCGAGTGCGTCCTCAAGGTGTGCCCTCGTAATGCTGGCTGTAGCGCTTTCTGGACGTGACCATGAAGGCAGCACCATAGCATATGATAATGCGCGTGCCACGTTTGAATGTGGGCCTTTGTCGGTGCCTGTTCATGTGCACTAACGGAGTGCCTAAAGAAATAAAACGGCCTCTGTGCTCTCTCGAAATCTCAAGGATGCATCCTTTTCGGCTGTTTTGCTTCTTCTGTTTTCTTTCGCAGCGCCCGTGAGCAATGGAAGGGAGCGTAACGACATGCAATCGAAACGCGCTCTAAAAGTATCACATTTTTCTCGCCAGAGGTGCTGCTCGAAACAAGAGAGCTACTGGCCTATGCGCGGCAATGTTCGCGCCGTTGAGGCACAAAATGCATGCCAAGTTCCTTTGTGCGGCATCATTGCAAAGCGAGAGACAATACATACTGTGTTATGGCCTCCTTTACTGCAGTAATGCAAGAAAGGGTCAACATTTTTTCTCGTTGTTGTTGCAGGTCGGTGAGCGACAAGCGGATGTCGGACTTCTTCCAGAACAACTTCGTTCAGGACCGCTGGCGAAAGGCCGCCCTCAAGAATGCGTACGTCCTTCTCGGGAAGCAACAGTTCGAACACGCCGCTGCCTTTTTTCTCCTGGCCGGCTCCGTCAAGGACGCCGTTCAGGTGAGACCTCTCGCTCCTATTTGTACTTTACGGGTGAGCATACTTCCACAACGGCGGGTCGGTTCATTGGGAAACCCCAACTGGGGAAGTCGGGCTTCTGGCAGAGAAATGGGGTGCGTGCATGCGTGTGTTTGTGTGCCAATGAGAGACTGAACGCATGCGCGCACGTATGCGTGCATACGCGCGTGCCGTTTGCACATGTGTTTGTGTATGCACGTGCGTTCCGTCTCGTGTGACTCGGCAGCCCCGACAGTTGCGTCCTTCCGACTCCTCTCGCGGACACACCAACTTTCCCGAGCTCGCCTCATGTGTGTTTGGGGACGCAGCTGGCAAACTGGCACAGAACGGCACGGGGTGCGCGATTTACACGAACGTACAAGGTGTACAAGTAGATACGGTAGCTACGAGTGGTGTGCACGACCGTCCAAGCAAACAAACTTGCACTCCTTACGACTAAAATGCCGAAAGTTTGTAGCGGGTCCGAAGAATGCGACCTTCGGTTACAGCGTGCCGAGGAGGCTGGTTTCGTAGACAGGCACAGGAGCGGAATAAAAAAAAGGAGAAACGAAAACGGCGTGAGAATCTTCGTAATCGTGCTCGGGAAGAGGCCCAGAAACGACGACGCCACAACGATGGCAAGTTACTCAAATGCCGACTTCCCGTCGCTACGGCACGTGTCACGCCGTAGCCTAAATGCACTCGGATTCGTTTATTTTTTTAGGCCGAAAGCCTTGTATGTCTCAGCGTTCAGTCGACCTTCAAAGCCCTTGAGCAAAAACACGTCGAGACACAAGAGGTATGAAAACTGGCGACACGAGAGGTACCAAAACCCACGGTTCGCCACTGGACCACGAGATGGCGTTGCTTGTGCCAAAATTGGTGGAGGCGCTATATTCCTCCAAAACGAAATTTCGCGAGGGGTGTGCGAATACCAAATACTGTAAAACCCTTTATTTTCGCGGCCCCTATTTTTCGTGAATCGGTCACAGATGACATAATCGCGACCACTAAATTTCGCAAATTCCAGATGCCTGCATTGAAAATCCTAAGGACCGAAATTTTCGTGCGCCCTTAAATTTCGCGAATTCTTCAATTCGTGAAATTCTCGAAAATTGAGGGCTCGCGAACATTAAGGGTTTTACAGTAGTAGTTATCAAATCGAATACCCAATCGAATTAAGTAAAAAAAGTTGAATATTGAATTGAATATTGAATAGAATCTTGAATAGTGATTTTATTGGAAGGAATTTTTCAAAGTGTGCTGTTAATGAGATTATTATATGTGGAGATTATGTGCTTGGTGCAGAATATGCATCTCGTAAGGAACAAAAGCTCAAATATATAAAAGTTCTGAAAAAAAAAAAATGACCGCATCTCTACGTGGTGAATGATGTTGACTGGGGCGAAGCTCTGGTGGTGCTGATACGCTGAGCCGCAGCATGCCGAGCTTTTCGTTCGTTTTCATCCATGTCAGAAAGAGAATGTGTTGTAGGAAACGTGGTTATATACGCATTTCAGCATTTGACCGCAGCGCCCTCTCCTGTATAGACGTTGAGCAGCTACATGTTACGTTTCATCCATGACGTCCCCAGCTCTTGAGTTACTACCACATCTCAGAGCCCCCTACTTGTCCCGCAGTCGTGGCCGAGTGGTTAAGGCGATAGACTAGAAGTCCATTGGGGTCTCCCCGCACAGGTTCGAATCCTGTCGACTGCGCAAACATTTTTTCTTTTTTTAAGAAGGCAGATGGGATGGCAATCGGTGTGAGCACGGACGCCGGATGGACAAGGCTGGACCCTAAGGAGCTTCACCCCTAAAAATAATGTGGTTAGGTGGCGCAAATCACCGTCTAACTGCCGCTATGCATCCATTCCTCTGTCCGTCTATCCTGTTTTAGAGAGCCTAGATCTAAAAGAGGGAGCAAGTAAAACTGAAACCACAGAAATGGCTCCAGCGCAGATTTGTTGTAAGTGCGCATGTGTTGTGTAGTCGCGCGGGAAGAAGGCGAGCAAACGAAAGAGCGACGACGCCTGCCCAATCGACGCTTACGTCCTTTCGTCGCCTTCTCGCAGTTCGTAATTCAAATGCGGCTATCGAACAGTTGGAAACCCTTTCAAATCTAGGCACACTATTTTTCCGTTCCATTTCATTCCAAATCAGAATTTGTGGCTTGCAGTTCCGAAAGAATGACCGAAACGATGACGACAACTCGGCTGGTTAAAAAGTTAACGTAGTTTACTTTTTGTGATCTTGCAGTCGCCAATTTTTGTGAGTGTGGCAAGTGTGTTCTACATCGGCGCTTCAATTTGAAACGAGGGGCTTTACTCGTGAAAAGAGTTAGGCATGGCGTGGAATTCCGGCCTCCCAACAATTCCTCTCTGGAAGCGGCGCAAACGGGATGTTTTGGTTGTGATTCAAGGTTAAATTGCGTCACGATCATGAGTAAATCTGGGTGCTATAAAGTTTGTGGCGTTCGTTGCCTTTCTTTTTCTAACTTGTGCATTAGATTTTTGTGCAATGGTAGGACCAAGAGGTGTTTCTCGCATATTGATAGACGTGCTGCGCTGCGAAGTTCTACAGAACAAACGCGTGACTAAAAAATTGAAAATGAAAAGGATGAGTTTACATTGAGATGAGGAGAAACACAACGAACACAAATGGGCGCAGACTAACAACTGTTTATTCTTTTCTTTTTCCTCCTTTTCAGGAGGAAAAAGCTAGCCCAAACCCAAGTCCAAGCTTTATTAATTTCTCGCATGGTTTGTTGAACATCACGACGCTAACATCGAGACAAAAAACTGCTCTTTTGTCAGCTCCGCGCTGACCGCACGTCTTTGGCTGAATATTATGAATATTCGAGTGACCGAATACTAGGAATTCGATTCATGAAGAGTATTATTCGGGAACTTGCTATTCGATTTGAATTTGTATATTCGAGTATTTGCACACCCCTTTCTTTCGCTCTTGCCCCTCGGCTTGCGTCGAACCAGCGACCTTTCATTCAGTAGTCCGACGCAATACACCTCTGCCACATCCGTAATTCATGTGTCTGTTTTTAATGCATCGGGGCTTGGGCTTTCGCCTTCAAGTCGTCTTAAAGATAACATAAGAGACACTGTGTTGTTTTTTTTACCAACCCCCTTTAGGTGTGCCTGAACAAACTGGAAGACCTGCAGCTGGCCATGGTAGTGGTGAGGCTACACGAGGGCGACCTGGACTCCACCCCGGAGCACCTCCAGCGCCTCCTCGATGTGGAGGTGCTGGGCCAGCCCGAGGGGGCCGCGTCCTCGTCCCTGGCCCTGGCCCACCCGGACCCCTTCTTCCGCTCGATGGCGCTGTGGCTGCTGCAGCGCTACGAGGAGGCCCTCACCACGCTGCTCCAGACCCACGTGGGGCAGCAGCACCACAGGAACAGCGCCCAGGTGCAGCCGCCCTCCACCCCGGTGACCGCGCCCACGGGGAAAGGAGCCGTGCCCAACGTGCCTGCGGACACAGGTTCGGAGACATTTGGGTCGAGGTCTAGGGGTCGGTCTTTTGCCGAGCTCCTTAGACTCGACATCGACTGTGAAAGCGATAATGTTGTGCAGAGAGAAGCTGAGGGAGTGGAGATGAGGAGAGCATGCAGGGGATGTCGGAGTATAGATGCAAAGGCTCAACATTCAAATGCTGGCATCGGCGGGATACCGCGCGAGGAACAGACGACGCTGATAGGTGGGGAGATTGAGGGGCAGAGAGCTAGCCTTTGCGTCTACCCACTAATCCCTCCAATCAGAGTGGGCGGTTTCATATTCTCCTTTCCCTTTGTTTTTCTCCTTATGTGGGAACCCTTCGCAAACCTTCCTTGCTCACGTTGGTCGTGCCCTAGCAAGCAAGGCCACTGAGTGCGTGTGAGCAAGAAAGTGCAGCTCGGTTGCTGATGCTCTTCCATGGTTTGACACTCTCTCATGGCTAATGCTCTCCTATAAAATAAAGCTCTCCCATGGCCACGGAGAAAGTGTGAGGAAGAGAGTTCAGCTCAGTTGCTAATGCTCTTTCACTGTTTGAAACTCACCCATGGTGGATGCTCTCTTATTGTGTGAAGCTCTCCTATGGCCACAAAGGGAGTGTATGCAACATCGGTTGGTGATGCTCTCCCATAGTTTGAAACTCTTATGTGGCTGACACTCCTGATGCTATTCCATGGCTGACTCTCTCATGGTTTGATGTTACGGCACACATGACCAATGGTGTTGTGCCGCACGGAGTTAGATGTGGTAGCAGTGTGCTGACATTTCCCTCTTTATGGGGGCTCTAAAGTATGGGTTAGGAACTGCGTATTAGTAGAATAATTTAGTTTCCACAAAAGCATTTCAGGGTCGGAGTTTATGCGCGGCGGCATTTCAGAAAAAAAATATGCGATGCCCCTAAAGAAGAGGTGCTTCGACGAAGTAAAAGAGGGGTCGTTTATATATTCACAATTTCTTCCTCACGTATCATGTTCCACATCCTTTCAATAGCAAATTCTGTTCAGTAAAAAAACCCCATCAATTGCTATCGCCAGCAGAGTATCACATACTGTTGTTGGAACAACCGGCTGAAACTCCCTAAAACTTCCATGCAGCCGACCCCGGCGTGTTCAACTTCTACCTGTACCTCCGCACGCACCCGCTGGTGGTGCGGCGCCACCTGGCCAAGTCGATGAGCGACCGGCGCCGCCAGGGACGCGCCGTCCTGCTCTCCGGGTTCAAGCCTGGCAGCCCGGTCTCAAAGACTTTGGCCACGGGTGGTGGCGACACCATCACGCCGCTCGAGCGCCGCCTCTTCTTCACCACGAGCCACGCGCACTTCCGCGCCGGCTGCCCGCCCCTGGCCCTCGAGGTTCTATCGCGCCTCCCCAACTGCATCCTCGACGAAGACGCGACTCTCGCCGAAGAGGGGTCAACGGGAAATCGGGAAGACCTCGCCAACGGGTTGGACGAGGCGCAGAAGGCGTCGGAGTTCGACTGGAGTCAGCCGCTGAGCGTGGAGAAGCCTCAGAAGGCCGGCGAGTTTGACTGGAGTCAACCGCTGAGCATGGAGAAGCCTCAGAAGGCCGACGAGTTTGACTGGAGTCAGCCGCTGAGCACGGGCGGTGTCCAGAAGGAGGAAGATTTAGACTGGAGCCAGCCGTCGGGCGTGGCAGCGACGCAACGGGCGTCGAACTTCGACTGGAGTCAGCCGTTGGCGGCGGACGTCGAAGACGACGCCGGGAACAAGAGTTTAAAGCAGCAGGACGCGTCGGGTTAGTCGATCAACATAGGGAGTTTTTTGGAGAAGTTTGACTTTGCGATTGTTTTTGTATTCATCCTTTTTCAGAGGATGCCCAGTCTCAGAACCGGGTGGAAACTTTGGACATCATGGCCCAGCAGCTCAAGTTCATGGCCTGCCTGAAGGTGGGGAACGTTTGCCAACATAAAATCATTGATGACAATTGGTTATTGGCGGCACGGAAAAACAGATGAACCTTGGTGTGCAGCCAAATTTCTGATCATCCTTAAGTTGCCTCCTACTAGTGTGTCATTAATATTGTAAGGTATGATATTATTGATTCGTCAGTATGTATACAAAGAAATTTTTATGCAGTTATAGTTGGTGATAGGTTAAGAATGTAATAGAAGCTCCGTCTCTAGCATGCTCTCATCTTCTGTTCCATCATGCTTTGGCTGTGTGTTCTCATGAGACACCGAATTGTTATTGAAGGTAGAAAGCTCATGCTGGAGACGGAGTTTCTACTGCATGTCTAACCTGCCTTCTACTATAGTAAAGTATCTCTATAAAATTTGAAAGAAATCCCCATAGTAGGAAAAGAGAGGGAGAGATAATAGATGCTGTATAGGAGAACGGCAGTGAATACAGAATGGACAATCCCTTCATGCCAAGCATTTAAAACTTAAAAACAAAAAAAATAAATGCACCATTCGTAACTTCACGGCAAATAAACGAATGCGTAAAAATTGCTATGCTGTTACGGCGATGATGGCTTTCGAGGAACATTAAGTTGCCTTCCGGAATGCAATCGCTTACCTTTTGGAACTTAAGGTTATCAAAACCAATGAATTGCTGATGATTGATGTCCTGAATTGTGATCAAACTTTTTCTGCGCAAATTGGTACCATGGGGAATCAGCTTTGGATTTCGGCGATTCATCTGGTATGTTCTGCGCTGACTTACCATGTACTAGTGGGGGGATTGGTGGCCGAGTCTATTAACGCGCTGGAGCTCGGACCACGAGGAGTGAAAGCTTGCGCTCAGATCCCAGGGATCCTGGGTTCCATCCCCACCCCTGCCCGTTTCGATCTGGATGAGCATCGTACCGGTGTGTGGTTGTGTATCACTACTGCGTGGTGCGCGTTAAAGACTCCAGGCTAGCGGTGGTTCTACACTGGCTGAATTCCTCAACTTCAACGTAGACACCAGATGCCCACTGGAGCCGGCTGACTTCCCGCTGGATTACAGATCATGATGGAGGAGCTGAGCACACTGGCCACTGGCTTTGAGGTGGATGGAGGCCAGCTGAGGCACCAGCTGTACCTGTGGCTGGAGCGCTGCGTGGCCGCACTCAAGGAGCTGTGCCAGTACGGTGCTACCATGGTTCCCCCAACAGGGTCCTCAGGTGTGTGTTTCTGTGGCATGGGGACTTACACCGGGAGGGTGTTGTTCTACGGATACCTTTCATTCTGTTCTTTGGCAACGCCGGGGGAGCTGTGGTGCTGTCTTGCATGCTAACTTACAACTTTGTTCTTACGTAAAACATGCCTTTTTGCTATGTGCAAATGGTAGATTTTGAGTTTGTAGTGAATTCAAAGTGAGTAGTGGTTTTGGCTGAATATTTTCCAATCGAATAGATTCTCAGTCTTTTACTACCGTGCACCACGCTAGAACGAAAATTCAGCTAAACTCGTTAAAGTTGTTTCCAACCTCCCACTCGTCCACTTCTAAACTCAGTTAATTTTAATATGTTTTAATATATATATTAATAATATATAATATAATATAATATTAATAATATATAATATAATATTAATAATATATTTATTATATTTTAATATGAACTGTGGCACGTAAACAACGAATTTGTCACAGCTATTCTAATCGAGAGGATATAGAAATCTGCTTGCAATACGCAAATATTCTTACCATATGTACTCAAATATAAGTCGATCATAAATATAGGATGATGCCTTTATATTACACTTGCGAAGAATAAAAATAAAAAAAATATTCAAATATAGGTTGATTTTTTTTTTTTAAGAACAGAGGAAATTTTAGTTAAAAGAATTAAACAAATCTTTATTTAAAGCGCTCTCTGCTAAATCACAGCGCGATGCCAAAAACTTAATCATTGTCAGAACTTCTGGACATGTCATTGTCATCGGAAGCTTCGGCAACTTCGTCGGCGTCCCCACAAATTCGCAACAATATCTCAACGACACCATTGCAAAATGGCGACAAGAAAAAACTTAAGGAAATGGAGACGGGCGAAGCAACGAAAGACCGAATATACCTAAACACGCGAGCAACCAGAAGGGAATTCTCTGCGTTTTCTTTTGCTGCGCATCTGAAAGGGAAGAGGGCCGGAGGCAACGCGTGATGTGTCACGTCCCCCTTGCATCGCAAGAGGCACCGTAAGCGGCGCCGGCCGCGGCAGCCGCGGACAGGCACGAAACCCGACCCCCGAAGGATGCGCGTGAGCTAAGGCCCGCCGGCTGCTGCTATTTTAGTTGTTTTCGTGCACCAAAAGCTTGTTGAAACAACAAGCGGCGCGGCGCTATGGCGACACCGGCTCTGTGACTTGTTAGCTTTATGCGCTCGATAGGGTCGCGAAATTTGGTCATGAATGTAGGTCGAAATTCTCTGGTCTTAATTTTTGACTACTTTTCCTAAAGAAAAGGTAGAGTTATCTTTAAATAAATGTGGTACTTCTATTTCAAATGTGATGAAAAAACTTGGAGGACGCTTAAGCTGTGCCTTTAAGAGTGGAACGCGATAGCGTTATCCGGCCCTGTTCGTATCTCCTCCTCATTCGCTTCTCATGGTCGTCCTTCTAGTGAGCAGGAAGTGCGGCGGACATGGCCTAGACGGTAGCGTGTCTGGCTCGTTACCAATGGGTCGTGGGTTTGAATCCCGCCTAAAATTCTTCAGATTATTCTTTAAGGCAAATGAATTACTTTATAAAGGGAAATCATTTGAGAGATGGGGTGACCTTTAATTCGCATTACATGTCAGTCTCGAATAGTATCGCGATACTTGTATCGCAATAGGTACTGTAACTTGTTACTTTTTTTACAGCAAAGCTGTTACACGCTAGGGTCTGGGAAACAATGCATCCTCACATATCGACAGAAAACTCCCCATTAGTCGTGGCAAGTATGAATAAATAAAAACAAAAAGAGGGGTCAAGTATGAATACATAAAAACAGAAAGGGGGGGAAACCAGCGTGAGTCAGCCTTCCTTGGCATCATTAGATAGTGACGTCCTGATCCCTTGTTATCATCTCTAGTCATCGTCCTTGAGGTCGTCCTAGGCGTTGTCCTCTAGGCATTGTCCTTGAGGTCATCCTAGAAGTCGTCCTTGAGGTTGTCCTAGACGTCGTCCTTGAGGTCGTCCTCAAGGTCATCCTAGAAGTTGTCCTTGAGGTCGTTTGAGAGGTCGTCCTGTAGGCGTCGTCCTCGAGGTCGTCCTTGAGGTCGTCTTAGACATCGTCCGACAGGTCGTCCTAGGCGTCATTCTCGAGGTCGTCCTTGAAGTCGTAGACGTCGTCCTCGTGGTCATCCTAGACTTCGTCCTAGAAGTCGGTCCTTGAGGTCGTCCTAGACATCGACGATCCTTAAGGTCGTCCTAGAAGTCGTCCTTGAGGTCGTCCTAGACGTCGTCCTCTAGGCATCGTCCTAGACGTCGTAAAGATAGAAGCTTTACTGGTCCTCCATCTTCACGGGAAGTGAAAGGCCTTTACAATTTTTTAATGTGAAAGCATTAACTGTCTCATGGAGCAAGCTGATGTCATCAGCTTTGAAACCATGCAAAACGGCACCTTAATGAAACCATGCTCAAAGCTAGCCAACGGCACCTTTTACACTTCGGTCCCAGTGGTAAGAGGCTCCCATTGGCCGCTGCGCATCAGTTTGTGTGGTGTCGTCCTGACTGTCTTATCACACTGTCGTGTTATCACTGACCACCGCTTTCGCTCGCCTCTCATCAGTTATATGGCGCGTGGCAATATATACGGCCCATGGAATAAACCGAGGGGTTCGTTCTGCTGGGAACTATGTTGCTGTCTGTGCCTTCCTTGCGCTGCAAGGCACACGACAGTTTGAACAATCGCTCACCCGATGGCGCTGCATGTCTGCGAGGCAGCGGCTCCACCGTTCCACGTCTAACGTCAGTGCGTTGTACGCCGCAGATTAAAGAAGGGAGTGAAAAGCGGCGTGCATGCTTTCGCATTCACAACTCATAAGAAGTGCTTAGGTGTACCTCGAGCTTTTTTTTTTTGTAACTTTTAACTGTAACGCTATACATTTTTTTAAGTAACTATAACGATAACTTATACTTTTTTGGAACCGTAGCTAAAAAGTATCTTTAAAGATACAGATACTTTTCGTAAAAAAATGGCCCTATTTTGTGAGCACTACAGCAAGTTTGACCTTGTGCTTAGGTTGGGCCGCACTTTAAACACAACAAAATAAAACAAGAACTCGAAACTTTTTCGTCGGAGCAAAGGGCCGGCCCAGAGGGCAGAAAATTTTCTACTTCTGTTTTTTTTTTTCATCGAGCGGAAAAGTGCATTTATCATTTGCTTTACTTTAACTTTTTTGTGCATGGCTTTCTTGCCCCGTCTTCACCCTTCCCGGCCTCATCGAACATTGACGCCTCTTCAGCCAAGCGACAGAGTCACCTCCCGGAAATACGCAAGGCATAGACACCTAAGGCTCTGTTTTACTCCGACGTTGAGTGCAAAGAATGCAGCATAGTGCAGAACGCGCGTTTCATTGTCTGGCGAGCAGAAACTCGATATCTACGACCAGTCAGTATCTGTGTGCGCTGCATTACGCCGCTTTGGCTACACTCAACGTCATTCTATAGCAGAGCCTTAACGGTGAACTTTTTAATGCTGAACGAGAGCCTGTCGTCTGTGCCGCAGCAGTTGCGGTGATAGCTTTCTTTGTTCGAATCCCGACCGAGGTGCCCGCAATATGACGGAGGCTTGTTGCGGAGAAGGCGCCGTGTAACCGAGCTTTCGGTTGCACGTCAAAAGATCCCCAGGTGGTCCAAATTAATCCTCAGTCCTCCGCTGGGGCGTGCCAGATGCCCGTCGTAGGTTTGGCACGTAAAACCCCCAAATTTGACTTTGATTTGATAGCTTTCTTTGCGGAAGCGAATCGCCGCCGGTAGACACTGTCTGACCGGGGACACAGACTATGCTTCTACTGGTCGACCTGCCCTTTCCAGGGGCTGTGAGCTCGTGATCCACGGTCGAGTCTTGTTCTGCGTTGCACGGATGAAATTAAAAAGCAAAGCAGAACGCCTTCCAGGACGACCTTGTGTTGTTTACGTTCACTCTTTTCTTTACCTTGTTTGATACTAACGGCCTTTTCCACTTTATTCAGTTCCAAAAGGTTCATCCTTCTGCGCCCCCCCCTAATATTCAAATGAACCTTCCTGTTCATCGGTATTTTCTCCTGTCAGCTGAAAAAGTGGAATAATAGAGCTCTTAAGTGAAAGAGGAAGGTAATAAATATTAATTGCAGTCATTGTGCATTGTCATCAATGTCTTCATAGTTAAATTTAAAAAAGTATCTTCAAAGTATCTAACTGTAACTGTAACTTAAATACATTTTTGACAAACTATACAATTCTATACAAGAAGCTGGACCCATATGGAACTAGTTTCATAATCGAACTCCGGCTGTAGTTGGATTAAGAACGTAGCCTAATTTCAGTCGGAATGTCATAATAGGGAAGGTTCATGTGCCATTACTTTGCAAGAGTGTTTTCGGTTAGGTGCCAGCAACGGAAGTCAACAGGCGGACTACCAGCCAAACGCTGGCGCAGCTCTCTTCTCCTTACCGATTGAACACCCGTGCCAGTGGAACCTGCCTCCATGTTACCCCGAGTGGGGGTAAAAGATCATGTGTTCAGACATACAGCGGTGCTCCACTCCGTGAAACGAGCGTGCCCGGTCTTCCCCTGAGAAAGAGCACAAGAAAGAGCGACAGAAAAGCAGAGGAAACAAAATTTACCAGTCCTATGTTAATTTACAGTACATTTACAATGATAGCTGCGACAACTCAGGGCGAAATTTTTGAGCACTGGCGTCGCATTCACACACCGTGGGGTGTGTGAACAAAAGCGTTCGGAACAAAAAAGACATCTTACTATTTTGTTCATAACACTTTTTTTTTTTTTTTTTGTTCTGGAGAGCTTAAAGGGGCGGTGCAATGATTTTAACAGTGAATGAATGTGCAGCTTGTATTTTTTATATTGTTTACTTCGGCATAAGAGAAAAAGTGCCACCATACCCCAAAATATATTTCGCTGCGTAATCGCAAAGAAAAAACCCTTTTTTTCCCAACCTGCGGCCACATGGTGGCCGCAAATGGAACCTGTGGTTTGACGTCATTCGGAGTGGTTTTTGTAAGTGATAGTGTTAGGCAATTGTAAGCTTGATTTAAGGTTAAGTTTAAAAAATCTTGTTGTTTAGGCACGCAGAAACGCTTCAAAAGCCTAATATTGCCGCTAAAAGGGTATGAATTATTTGTGGCGCCATCTACCGCAAGTCAACAGAACCTGCCATCGCCGTCATCCGTCGACGCCCGTGGCGCCTGCGGCGGCTACACGAGCAACCCGGACGTTTTGTCTTTCCCTCGCTCGACGGAGTGCGTTGGTCGTGGTCCGTAGTATCGTGGAATCGTTATTGTTCCTGGTGTCTCGACCTCGACTTTGACTTCGACTGCCCGCCGCGCCGCCATGTTGGTCGGGAATCGACGGGAGAGCGGGAGAGCGGCGAGCGCTGGGGAAACGGAAGCCAGAAGAACCCAACCGGAAACCAACGCCACTCCGAATGATGTCACAGGCGAAGCTGGTGCCGCTTCAATGTTGAGTTGAGGGGTGCCAGAGATACCAATTTCTTTTATTTTTTTTAATGAAAATTAGGGCAAGTAGGAAAGAATAGTTTTCGGTCCTTCGTTTATATGTGGCCGGGATCAATTCCCGCAATTAATTAGCCAAAGTCCGCAAATTGTTGCACCGCCCCTTTAAAAGCGCGTCTTCCGGCACGAGCTTTTGGTATTGACAGTGCTACTAGGGCATTTTGTTATTGGCTATTTTTTTTTCCATAGAGCTCATGCAGTGGGCGTCGGGTGCTACAAAACCTTCAGGTTTAAAGCGGCTTGTTAACGCCGTGGCGCATATCAGCAGTAACTCCTCCACTTCGCACACAGCGGACCCGGGTTCGATTTCCGCGGGTGGCGGGCAATCTTTTTCGATGCTTTGGCAACGTGGACGACGGACGCCCTGCACCGCCAACTACAACCTCAACCGTGACAACAACCATAACTACTACATCAACAGCCACTACTGCGACCACAACATCAACAACGGACATCATTTTCAGTGGTGGGAAAAACCCATAATAGCTATTGCTGTAAAAAAGAAAAAGCAGACTCCTTTTTCACAATGGGTTGACGTAGCGGGCTGGTTCGAGGACGCTGGTCGGCGCCGCCACATTCAATTGTTTTATTTTCTGCACGTTCCATCTACTGCGTCTCACGCTCCAACAGGCTCTGAGAAAGTTGCATTTGCACCGCAACAGATGACTCCCACGAGCGAGACATCCAGGGGCCGCTTGTGCGCTTACCTCGCACGACACGGGGCCTGCTTCGCGCCATCTGGTTCCTACACATGTGCACTGTTTCTTCACACTAACGCATCACATTCTGCATCAGCCCTGCCTTTGCCACGCTGGTATCTTTCCTCGTTGCAATCTTCTCGATTACTGCATATGAACGCGATTCAGTTTCATTCTTGCCTTTCGTCCCATCCACGTCCTCCGTTCCAGCGTCCGAGACCTCCCTGCATCCGGACGCCGTGGGCGAGGCCAGTTCGGTTGACGGCGCGAACCGACCTTCCGCCGACGGCCAGCTAGGGTTGGCGGGTGGCGGGCCCGTTCCGACGCTGCACGCCATCTTGGTGGCGGACAAGCAGGACTTTGAGGCGAAGCTGGTGCGCGCGGCAAGGCGCAAGCTGTGGCTCAAGGCCAACGAGGCACTGCTCCGGACCCTCCTTTCCTACACTGGGCTCCACGGTGCTCATGGAGGGGGCTTGGCGGCCGTGCGCATGGAGCTGAACCTTCTGCTTCAGGTGGGTGGGTTGGCAGATGTGTGCGAACGGCCGTGCACCCTTCTGTATTTCAAGCTTTTCGTTTGGTCGTCGACTATCTTGGTACGTCTAGACAAGATGCGAGGGTAGTCCACGCTGGTAAGAAGAGCCAACATCTCCTGGAAGCCTCAGAGTGGCAGTTCACATTTCGTTGAGATTTAGCTTTTCTAGGTCTCATAGGTAAGTTTGTTAAGAAGTGAAATCTCATAGCCAAGTTTATTAAGAAGCAAAGTCTCGTACCTAAGTCTTTGAAGAAGTCTCGGAGCTATGAGTCTCTGAGGAAGCAGTCTCATAGCTAACTTGTTGAAAAAATGGTCTTATTGCAAGGTTTCTGAAGTCTGTGAAGTTTATGAAGATGTGAAGTCTCATAGCTAAATCTTTAAAGAGGTGAACACTCACAGCTATGCAGTCTAGCTTGGTTATATCACACCCGGGTATTTTGAATTATTGTTTATATCGAACAGTCCAATCATCCCCTTGAAAAGTCACATGTAATAGTATAGAGCGTTGTCTTTTTGTATCGAACTCCCATGGCAGGGGCACTCGATATACGCCTCGCAAGTGGGCTCATTTTCGTCTTCTGCGCATAAGAAAGAAAGTAGCGGTGACGTCAGAACGCCGAACCCTGATTGGCTGATCGCAACCCCCTATCTCAGCATCGTCTGCTCCTTTGAAACGTCGTCTGCTCGCAACATCGTCTGCGTCTGTCTTACCTTTCCTGCGACTTTCGGAGCGAACTTGACCTCGCCTTTAAGAGAGGGCAGACGAAATAACTTGAGCGGTACGTTGTTTTTGTCTAACAACTAGCAGACGCGCATCAAGGAGGGAAATCAAAGGACTCACTGGCGAGGTGTCCCGGGGCGCCGAGGTTTCTTTGCTTAGAACCGAGACAAGTTCCCTCCCAAATACTTTTCCCCTCCATTCGTGTGCGGCGAGACCCCTCACTCTTTAACGGCGTCGGCGGGTTGGCGCAGTTAACGTCGTCTACTTTACGTCTGCTAGTCAAAGCGGTCAAAGCGGTGGCTGCTTTACCTTTGCTGCGTCTGTCGGAGATTCACCGCTTTTTCATCGGTGAGAGTCACCGTTGCCTCGGGAAACAAGGAGATAGCAAGAGGAAGAAATTGACCCCTTAATCTAAAATTGAGGTCAGCGATCAAAGTATGATATGGGAAGGGTTCACAAGGGTCGCGCGGGCATATTCCACTCAGCACGCCAGCCGGTCGTGGGCATACGGTCGCCGAGTCGCGGAGTGCCTGCTAGGCCTAACTGCCCAGCTCGTTTGGTCGCGTTCGGTGGGATCGTGGCCGTGGGAGCTTTTCCCGGGTGTTTGTGGATCCAGCGTTCTTGTTCGTCGTGGTCTGTTTCAAGTACTTTTTACTTTTTTCTTGCTGCTTGAAGTCGGGACGCGTCAGAAGCGCACGTAAAAAAATAAACGTCCGCGGGTCGTCGCGACCGCGACGCTGTCGGCCATGCTGATTTGATCGTAAGAAGTGCGTAAGACAGCTTCGGAGCTGTCGCAGAATTTCGTCGTAACCTGCGCAAAACTTAAGAAAATTTCGTTTCGTGAATACGAATTTGTTCTTAAGTTTTGTCTTACGCACATTTTTGGCGTGAGATCGTTTCGTGAATCTGGCCTCTGCACTTCCGAAAGTCGCAGGAAAGGTAAGACAGACGCAGACGACGTAGCGAGCAGACGACGTTGCAAAGGAGCAGACGACGCTCAGATAGGGGGGCGCGATCAGCCAATCAGGGCTTGGCGTTCTGACGTCACCGCTACCCCCTGCGCGAGAAGCAGACGAACTTGCCTCCGCATAGCGAACGAAGCACAGCGGCCCATCGCTTCTCCTGCGGTCAGATTACGCCCATGAAGCACATAGCTTGCGTTGCCGGGATGGCAGACCGCCAAGCCAGCATACGTGCACGGGAACACTCAAAAAAAAAAAACATATGTAAAAAAAAGAGCAATTATAAAAAAAGAAAGTGGGGGATGGCAAAAACAAAGGGAAGGGCACGTGGGCACGTAGGGAGGGCAGGGTGTGCCCCTTAGCCCCAAAATTAATAAGCAAAAAAAGAATGACCGTATCTCCACGTGGTGAATGATGTTGATTGGGGCGAAGCTCTGGTGGTGCTGATGACACTGATTTTGTTCATAGGTAGTGCTGATGGTGCTGATATTTTTTTTGTCTATAAACGTTGAGCCAATTCATGCAAAGTTTACACGATTATCGTATTTACTCGCACAATGAACGCACTCGCGTAATGAACGCACCCCCCAAGTCGGCTCTCAAAATTTCTACTTTTTTTTCACTCACGTAATAAACGCACCCCCAACTCGGAAGTCAAAATTTTGACCCCCTCCCCCCACACGCGCGAAGTGAACACACTTTTTTATCCTGGTGCAGCGAGGTCGCGAATGTATGGGCAGCGTGGGCGAACAAAACACCTTGCAAAAGGCGTTAAAAGAAATTCGCAAAGATCCAACGGAAGCAAGAAAAAAAAAAAAAACATGGAGAGGAGCTTTTTTTTTTTTTGCACACTGCAGTCTGGACTTTGGGTTCGCGCGCCGCCGCGTGCAAGGAGGTAAGAAAGAGAAGCGGAGAAGCACTCTAAGCAAACGAAACAGCTTGCAAAAGGTGGCAAACAAAAAAAGAAAAAAACAAACAAACATGGAACTGAGAAAAAAACAGAAGAAAAAGAGGAGCTTTTTTTTTCTTTGTACAGCGCAGTTTGGTTAGGGGGTCCTGCGCGCGCCGGGGGCAAGGAGATAAGAAAGATAAGCGGAGAGCCTTCACCTAAGCAAACAAAACAGCTTGCCAAAGGCGGCAAAAAAAAAAAGGAACCAAGAAAAAAAGAAAGCAAGAGTTTTTTTTTTTTTTTGCACAGTTTAGTTTGGTTAGGGGGTCGGGCGCTGCGCGCAGAGATAAGAAGTTACTTCGATTTTTCAGGATAAAAGGTCCCTTCATTATGCAAGTAAATATGGACACAAAAATTTTACTTCGCGTAATGAACGCCCCCCCTAACTTTGCATCGATTTTTCGGGAAAAAAAGTGTGTTCATTCTGCGAGTAAATACGGTATATACGCATTTGACCGCAGCGCCCCCTCCTGTATAGACGTTGAGCAACTACATGCAACGTTTCATCCATGACATCCCCAGCTCTTGAGTTACTACCACATCTCAGAGCCCCCTACTTGTCCCGCACTCGTGGTCGAGTGGTTAAGGCGATGGACTAGAAATCCATTGGGGTCTCCCCGAACAGGTTCGAACCCTGTCAACTGCACAAACATTTTTTCTTTTTTTAAGAAGACAGATGGGATGGCAATCTATGTGAGCACGGACGCCGGACAGACAAGGCTAGACCCTAAGGAGCTTCGCCTCTAAAAAAGTCTTTGTCAATTGTTGAGTGTGTCGACAACAATGGTTGAGCAATCGCACTTTGAACGCCTCATCTTTGTTTACCTTTTCCTTTTGCCGTTTTTGCCTTGCGCGTTTTTTCTTTTTGCCTTTCTTTTTTTGCTGCCTGAATTTAGTGAGGTTTTTTTTGTTGCTTGCTAGATTTTATTGTATGAATTGAGCGTTTTTGTTTGTTTTTATGCAACTCGCTTTTCCCGTTTTTTAATTTTTTTTTTTAAAATTCGAGTTCTTTTGTTGGTGGGCGCAGGTCGCGCGCGCGTAAACGATCGCAAACATTGTCGGTCGCATAAACGCCGCGGTGTTTGTGGTCTTCCCCAACTACCGTAAGCTCTACTGTATTTAGCGACTCTTAGTGGCTCTATTTGGTAAGGTCTCATTTGTCGCGGCCTTCAGTATTAGCAGAGACGCGCGGAAATTTCAACTGGGAGCTGATGTTAACATATTTTTGTATATCAAATTATTGATATATCGAACTATTGTACAATCCCCTTTGAATTCGATATATCCGGGTTTGACTGTAGTCCGTGTAGAAACTAGGTAAGTTCCTTAGCAACAAAATGTCAGCTGGCCTTCTGAAACTTTGAAAAGGTGCCCTTTTGAAACCAATTTGGCATCTTGAGAAAATATCTCTCGGTTACCGTCTAAGTGCTCCTGTTTCTGGGCACCACATATTGAGAACCTACAGTGCCTCTGACGAGACTTTGCTCACATTCCAAATTAATGTGCCAAATCAATGGCACATTAATTTGGAATATGACAACCATAGTACTAATAGAAATGTGACTTCACCTCTAGATTTGTTACAACCTGGCTACTGTGAACAGTAGTTCAGGGGTGACTTTTGACTAATGGTATTAATTTCTACATTTAGTGCGAGTGTCTTCTCCCTTGTCTTAGAGGCTAGTTTGTAAATTCAGCCTGCAATACAACAAAAACTAATATTTTTTAAATTCTGTAATGAGCTTCGGTGGAAACCAATTTCTCTAGTGTTTCTGAGGCCAAGAGCTACATTTTTCTTCAAGGATACGTCTCAAGTTGTATTTTCTTTTTTGTCTCGCAGGAATTGCAACAGGACCGATCACAGCAGCAGCTCCTGTCGCCGCTTCCATTCCCAACCACGCTTCCCTTGCTGGCTGCCAGCGTGGCCTGTCAAAAGACAGTGGTGGCCGACCCTGTTCGTCTTCTTCAGGTAACCTTCAGCTTCGTTCAAGGTCATATACATTCAAAGTGAATGTGTACCAACTAATCCATATGTCGACTTTGTTCGTTGAGAGTGTGCCCGCCCGGTTGTCATAGAATAAACACTCTATGAAACTTAATGGCCTATTCGTCTGGGGCACGCCGCACCCGTCCAGTGCAGCAAACTCTTCCCACTTTAGTACAGGAAAGACTGGCGGGGAGAGAAAGAAGCTCCCCTCTCCCCTCTAGCCTTCTGTGTACCACGAACCACACTGCACCGGTGCGATGCGGGCCCAGACGAATTGGCCATAAGCTTGAATCAATCTGAAGATCACCGTCTCTTTGACGTGACTTTAGCTTGTTTTGAGGTTATATAAAGGTCATGATGACTAAGTTTGTAAGGAGGGCGATCAAGTACAGGCAGATGGGAAACTTTGGGGATCTGCTCATTAAGAGTATGTTTGCCTAGCTGCATCAACTACAAAGCTCGGTACAGTAGAACCTTGTTGATACGTTTTCGGTTAATGCGTTTTCTTGGCTGCTGCGTTCAAAAACGCCAATCCCGTTTACTTCCAAAGAGATACATGTATTAGTTTCATGCCTGTTACGTTTGCTTTCCCAGTTGTTACGTCCAAAAATGTCGGCATCGCGGTGCCTCAGCGCGCCGGGCGCCGCGGTGGCTTTGAAGCGAAGCTAGCGGAGCAAAGCCAAACCATGCAATGCGGGTCGCAGGGCATGCACGGGCACGCAGAAGATGCCTGTCCTCCCTTCGGTCCTTTTCCCCTCTTTTCTGTCTCTCTGTCTCCTCGTTGTGCTTTGCTGAGCTCTGCGACAGCTTCCCATCTTGCCCGGGTGTGACCTTGGAGCACTGCTTGGACGGGGAGCAAGGCTGGCGAGGCGGCAAACGCTCGTCCTTTCTTGCTCTCTCTTTCGTCTGTCCTTTTCTTTCTCTGCACGAGGTGCACCTGCATGCACGCTGCGCTTCTAGTTTCTGTTCCACTCGATCGCGTGAACCGTGGTGTTTCGGAGTACGTGCGCTTTGCGCCCACTGACGACGGTCATGGCATTGCAAAAAAGGAAGGTGTCTTTTTTTAAAGAGATATACTTCGGACGGTGGATTGCAGTCCCAGCCGGAAGAGATCTGACGTCGCAAGAGACCTCGGACTCGCGCCGTCAACCTTAAACAGCATCGTCGCCAAACGAAAGGAGATCGAGGCGTTACCTCTGAACCGCAGAGCATAGCGGTCACCGTGGCCGACCTCACTACTGCCGACAACGAAGAAAGTGATGAAGATGTCGAGCAAGAAACAAACGATTAAGCTGCACCCACGTTTGCGGACGCGATCGTTGCGTTGGACACCTTGCGCTGCTGCGTAAATGTTCTCGACTGTGCGGAGAGTGAGAGAGGACTGCGGCTCCTGGAGAAACTACTATTACTGCTTAACAATAATTTGAAGCAACAGGCGGATATTACGCACTTTTGTGAACATGTCTTAGTCCTCAACAGTTCTGTAATTGCCCATAAAATAAACCATTGTATAAGAGCTGCTCTCTATCTCATGTAGCGCCCCCCTAAGTGCATTATTAGTGGTGCCATCTGCCCGAGGTGAAAGGAACTATTCCTCCCTTGAGCCTCACCTCGTTTTGCTACTACACCATTTAAACTTGTTTGGAGAATAGCAAACTCTTTGCTCTCCCCCCTCTCTTCATTTCCACATCGCTCAGACCTACTTTCAAATACGGTCAGAGGCCGCGCGTGCTGGAGGCTCGGAAAGAGAACCCAACTGGATACTTCCTATCCCCCTTGTGCGTCACTGCACATGTAACTTGGAAGACGGTGTACTATTGAGGCCGGTTATAAGGAAGTCAACAGGAATCGGAAATCACTTCGCTATGTAACCGACTTCGGTCATTGAAGGGCAAAAGAGGGAATGGGAAATCGTGATCGCTTCGCTGTAGCCGCTTTTTCGTTATAACCGACTTTGTTATAACCGGTCTTGACTATACGAGTTGAGGGTGGTTTGGAGGCACCGAAGATGTCAATTGTTTGACTTTTGTTTTCTAAACTAACGCACATAAGCAAATTTTTTTTTTTACAGCGGAGCTGTTAAGAGCTAGGTTCCCCAGGATCGTGTTTGGTACCAAAGAACTGTCGACACAAACCTTCACGAACCTCTGAACCACTGTGCTCTGGATAGCTAAAGCCATCTATCTATAAGCGATGGCGGCAACCAAGCAACCAGTGTGGTTGCCGCCGTCGCTCACAGATGGCGGCAACCTTTTCAGCTATTATAGAAGAATGGATAGTTGAGCGAGTTGGTGGGAATTCATCGTAGGAAACAGCTCGAAAAACAGATGAGGGACGAAGAAGAAACGCACGTGACGAGCGCAGTGCATGTCACGTGTGTTTCTTCTTCGTCCTCGTCTGTTTTGCGCGCTGTTTTCTATGCTCTGATCAGTTTCGGTTTGGACTCACGATGGGTGGGCCGCGTGTCCTTTCTTCGGGGAAAGAAGACCGAGTGCGGAAGTAGCGGCGACGTACGCAGCAGCGCGAATGGGTCCTCAACCGCCGCGTGCTTCGAGCGCTTCAAATTCCTTTGCGAAAGAAGAGCAGGTCGCTTGCCTGGAAAGCTACCGCCGAGAACAGGAGCAACAGCTCCGCTGCTCCTCCTTCTTCACCAAAATGGAAAGGCTGAAAGCATCTTTTTTTTATTTAGACGTGACTGGGAACATTTACCACAATTATTTGACTGAAGTCCAAACATTGTTGCACAACCCCTTTAAATAAAGACTGGAATTTTCAAACTTTCAGCCTTTTCACTCTGGTGAACAAGGAAGAGCAGCGGAGCTGTAGCTTCTGTTCTCGGCGGTGGCTTTCCAGGCGAGCGATCTGCTCTTCTTTCGCAAAAGAATCTGACGCGTTCGACGCACTCGGCGGTTGCGGACCCATTCGCGCTGCTGCATACGTCACCGCTTTTTCCGCACCCGGTCTTCTTTCCCCGAAGAAAGGGCATGCAGCCAACCCATCGTGAGTCCAAACCGAAGCTGATAAGTGCGTAGGAAACAGCGTGTAAAACAGACAAGGATGAACAAGAAACACACGTGACGTGCGCTGCGGTCGTCACGTGTGTTTCTTCTTCGCCCTCGTCTCTTTTTTGCGCTGTTTCCTACAATGAATTCCCACCAATTCGCCCAACTATCCATTCTTCTATGATAGCTGGAAAGGTTGCTGCCGTCGCTTATAGATGGCGATAGCTGTCCAGAGATTCGTGTAGGTTTGTGTCGACATTTCTTTGGTACTGAACACGACCCTGGGAAACCTAGCCCTTAACAGCTCCGCTGTAAACTAAATTTAGTATCGTCCTATGCCGTTTCATGTTCCTTACTGCTCTGGCTGGAGTGGTCGATTACGACATATATGAAATCGAGCGATCTCGAACACAATTCTTCTGAGCATAGAAAGACATGGGGACAAAGTTTGTCAACGTGGCGTCCTGCAACGTCGACAAGCCGGAAGTAGGTCGTGTGAAACTGCCCCGTAGAAGCAAAACACAAGACTCATCACGTGGTCGTCACCCCTCAAACTTCCTCCGCCGTCTGTCCCACCCCGCAGCTGATGGCCCAAGACATCCTGCAGACCGTGGTGGAGTTCCAGGAGCCCCCTGGGGCTGCTACCAGTGCCAGCACCTTCTCGAGGGTCTCGGTGCTCTGGGACCTGGGCACCTCCCTGTCCGCCTGCATCTACCAGGCCCTGTGTGACAGCGACAGCTTTGGGGGCAAGGTGCAAGGCACCAACAGGGGGCTGGACGTTGAGGACTGCCTCAGGTGAACCGTCTTTCTTGGCCCCTTGTGCTCGACACGTTTTGCCTGGCTTACCTAGATTCCCTGTAGCGTAACATGACCTCAACTAAGCTAACCAATGTAACCTGTCCTAAACTAACATGGATTCTTAATTGAACTTGCCGTAAAATACCAAGCGTGACTCCCTGCAGGAATAAGTGTTTAGCCATTCTTTTGAAACATCGGGAGCAAAGAACTTATTGAGCGTCCACGCCGGTAATTTTCTGAGCCTACTGACTTAACCGAGGTGTTCCTCTGCATAAGCTGCTTCTCCGAGAAGCTGGTGCAAGGCAGTGAAGGTTTAGATTGGAGTGTTTTGAGCGTTCTGTTTGATGAATCGAATCCAAGTGCAGATCCCAGTCCCGGTGCTTACGAGCATACGCCCTACGTTGGGCGCCATTTGTATGAAATCGCGTACTGCCGCCGATACGCCAGATCCCACGTGGTCCGTCAAACAACCCAAGTCCAGCCTGGATCTTTCACGGGAGCAGGATTCTGCTCCCTTTTACTGGTTCATCCAACAGAACGCTCAAAGCACTCAATCTAAAATACAAAGACACGTGACATTACACCAATATTCGCACTCGCCCGTAAAGCCAAAGCTAAACACAAAGAGGGCCCCCAGGCCTCGTGTCCCGCGATTACCCGAGATCCGGTCGCACACACTTGCCTGTTCTCGGTACCGCCCAGAGTCCTAAGAGGCCGTTCGCCCCCCGGTTCATTGTCTATATTACGATGGGCGAAGAAATTTCTCCTTGCCCGCCCTGGGGCACCTGCAGCGCCATCCAGTGGCTAGGAGAGAAAGCGGCACGTCGGGAGCCGAATTCGAGATCCCGATCGACCTTGCGGTGACATGATCATGTGATCGTGTCTGAGGCGAGGCAACTGCATAGCCGCCTCGCGGCCACGATGCCAGAGGTTTGATGGGCACCCTCGTAAATGCACGGTGTGGCCTAACGCATGCGAGAGTGTGAAGGGATAATGCTTGATGCGAGAGTGCGGGCGCAAAGCAGACTTAACGAGAGTGGCACGACTGCTGCATTACTGCTCCTATACTGCACGACTGCTCCTATATTGCATTAATACTGCTCTACAGCTATGGACCGTTTGCTTGCAGCCTGAGTGTCGTGTACCAGAACAGCCACCTCTTGGCTGGTCATGCTCACCGGCGACCACGGCTCAGCAGCAGCGAGGAGCCCCTTACACCGACCACCCTTCCGAGCAAGTGGCCGGGTAAGTGCGCCGTAATTAATTCAATAATTAGTTAACGATTAGTGATCATTAATGGTGTGTACCAGAAACGAAAGATAGCACATCCTTTCTCATGCAAAAGTTTTCATCATGTGGGAGGATTTGAGTGTAAGAGCGTATCTCGAAAATTTGTGCAACTAAATGTCCCAGAAGATAGGTTATCTTTCACTTGGTCAATACAGTAGACTTTAAATAATTCAAACTTCAGGAAGCCACAAATTTTGTTTGAATTATCAGAAATTAATTTAAGGGGGGAGGCTGGTCTTTAACTTTTTGTTTTTTATTTTTCATTTATCGTACTGAAATTTAGTATAGTGATGTATTTCTCAGTGCTGATTTCAAATATGCAATTAGTTTTCAGATAGCTTTACTAGATCTTGAGTTACCAGTAAATTTGTCATTTTAATTAGGTCCTCTTTACGGGTCATTAGCGTAAAAGTTTTCCGAATATATCAAAAATGTTTATAGAATTGCATTCACCAAGACATGTTTTGTGCGGTGATGCTATTTTTGCTGCTTTATATATCATACAATAATTTTAATTAATTAGTCTCAAAAAGATATAGCTTCCCGTTTTATGCAACTTGATTGCGAATGTTTTTTACCGATGAAATATCATTAAATCAGTCTTAAAATAGCATCACCGCACAAAACATATCTTGGAGAATGCAATTCTATAAAAATTTCTGATATATTTTTACCAATTTTATGGTAACGACCCGTAAGGAGGACCTAATTAAAATAACAAATTTATTAATAACTCAAGATTTAGTAGAGCTATCTGATAACAAATTGCATATTTGAAATCACCACAGAGAAATACATCATTATACAAAATTCCAGCACGATAAATGAAAAATAAAAAACCATAAGTTAAAAACCAGCCTCCCCCCTTAAATATTATGATTTGCTATATGGATGGCTAATCATAAGCAGGCATATTCCACACATGAAACATTGATGAAATGAGATAAGTATATCCACCTTAAGAAATATTGTCTATCCAGGACTGTTTAGACAGAACGTTACTGCTCAAAACAAAATTAAGTTTGTTCATCCAACAAAAAAATGAAAGGCATTTACAACTCCCTGTAACACTGAATTAGAGTGCAGCTCTTGAGGAGGAGGAGGAGGAGGAGGAAAGGGTATACCCCTCCTCCTTCTCCTCCTCCTCCCCTCATTCTTCAATCTCCTCCGGGGGGGGGGGGGGGTCACCTGACTTCGGGGGGAGGGCGGGGTCACGTGACCTCGCAGGTACGGCGACGCCGACGCTGACGCCGCTCAAGCCGGAAACGGGCCCCTAAGAGCTGCACTCTAAAAGTTTTCTATTGTGAACTATTAGCCCCATAGACCGTGCTTCTTGCAGCGCACCAATGCATTGAGGAGAAGCAACATCCACGGAAGCGAGCTCCGAGGGTGTTGCTTCTCCGCAGTAGATCAACGTTCGGAAAGAAGTGCACTCAATGGGGCCGCGAGAACAAAACATATGAATTGCACGAAAACGCCGTTCGAATTAAGCAACTTATAAATGCATAGAAAACATTGCGGGAAAGCCTCAAATTTTGAGATTTGTTTAAATTAACCAGCAGTATGAAACATTTGAGTTTGAATTATCGCGAGCCTACTGTAGTTTATAAGTATGGGTTGTCCTTCCATTGGGTTGATGCAAAATAAAAAAAAACTTTTTAATTGTGCGATATTTTCAGTGCACCCAATTGAAAATGGCATACAGGCGAGAATGCTAGGAGAGATGTTCCGTGATACTCTAAAAGATGACCACTGCCCCACGAGAGCCATCTGAGAGAGAATTGTGGGTGGGCTAACTTTTGGTGTACGACCCAAAAAGAAGTTGCAAAAAATGTGCTGTACTTGTTTGCTCTTCCTTTCGTGCCAGCATCAGCTGCCATAGCCTTCACTGCGGGTGTCATTTTATTTGAAGAGCAGTGATAAACTCTGTTAGATCAATTGCCTTCTAAGTTGTCAAATGAAACTATTTTTAAAACTTGTGTGACCTCTACCCCATGGCACAAATCTTCAGACCCCATGTAAAACAAGGATGGTCCATCTTTTAGGGTGGGCCATCTTTTGGGATATTTTGGCCGTTCAATCTTCTAAGAATTTGATTTATTTTCAAAGGAAGCATCTTTTTAAGAAGGACCTTTTTGAGCTGCTGTCTTCTGTTTGAGATTCACCGCTCATTTTAGATGTGACCAGGTGTATAGTTGGGTAAGTTGGTGGATGACGAGAATAACTAAAGCAGTACAAAATAAGACACGGAGACAAGGTGAGACATACACAAACACGGCGCTGACTCTGGACTGTCGTTTGTTTTCATAACAAAACGCATTGACACAAAAGAAGATATGAGGGAACCAAGATGGCATCTCTCCATTAAACCATAAAGTATGTGTGCCAAACTAATCTTTTTTTTTGGCCGTACAGTTTTGTTTGTATTAGTGTGAAATCCGTAGCTCTCTTCGAGAGTGAATTGCCACCGATTAATAAGTCTGGTACATCTCTTCTTTGATGGAGGGACACCCTGTCTTGTTCTCTCTGTGTCACCTTTCGCGTCAATGCATTTTGTTTTGAAAGGAAACTGCAGTCGAAAGTCAGCGCCGTGTTTGTCTGCGTCTTCCTCCTATCCTCGTGTTCTTTCTTGTGCCCCTTGGTTCAGTCTCGTCTTAGACGGGCCACTTTCTTGGAGCCCGGCAGTCGTCCGCGATACCAATTTTCGGCGGTTTGGGCACGACGCTCTCTCAGGGGTGCAGTCGTTGCGCGCCCTGATGGCGCGCGACAAGGATGAGGACGGCCCCCGGCTCCACACGCTGCTGTGCGAGTCCTTCGTGGCGGTGTTCCTGAGCCAGCTGATTCACGCGCTGGCCTCGTGCGACTGCCACGTGCTGTTCCGCCTGGTCGGGCAGCGGATCACCAAGCAGACCTGGGGCATGCTCTTCGGGGGAGGGGCCAAGAAGCTCCTCAGGGTCACAACGTCCGGCACCAGCGGTGGCACGACGCCGAGCGTGGCCCCCGAGAGTGAGTACGCTTTGCGCTGGGCTGCGCGTGGAGGTTGTGTGTGAGGTGTTGAAGGGATAAGATTGCCTAACCTATCTTTGCCTAATCTTACCTAAGCTAAATTTGCGTAGCGTAACCTTGCCTATCTTGTATAGCCTAACCTGACCCTGCCTAACCTAAATTTTCCTAACCTTGTCTAACCTTGCCTAGCCTGACCTAACCTTGCCTAACCTCACCAAAACTTGCAGCTAACCTAACCTAACCTAACCTTGCCTAGCCTTGCAGCTAACCTAACCTAACCTGATCTGATTTAATCTTGCCTAGCCTGACCTAATCTCGCCTAACCTAACTTTGTTTAACCTTGTAGCGAACCTTACCTTGCCTAAACCAACCTTGCCTAACCTAAACTAAGCTTGCCTACCATCCAATTGTTTACCTTTTCACTTTTTTGGAAATTTATGGGATTTAGTTTATGGGTCACAGTAATAATATATCAAAATTATCAAGAAAGAAAGAAACTAAGTTGCTTAAAAATTGTACAGTCAGACACCTTTACGGCGAAGTCTGTGGTACCTTTGAAATTTTTCCAAGTGCAGGTAACTTTGTTGTAGTAGTTGAGCGCAAGAACTGAACCACGTGAAGCCGAATTTGTGCTATCGCATATTGACATACCTCCGCAACATTTGAGGTGTTTTAGGAAAAAGTATAGCGTCATATATAGCGTGAGCGACATCAGAAACGAGGTTTACTACGTGGACAACTGATTTGTCGAAAGGGAGAACGGTGGCCGAGTCTGCTAGCACATGACAGCTTGTAGCATGTGGGGCGAACGCTCGCTCTGCAGAAGTCAGGCATCTTAAGCTGGATTACCACTTTTTTTTTTCTAAATGAAAATTGTACTGGCACACATTTTAGTACTCATCATTCACAACGCAAGTTAAAGACCTTTAGCTAGCGGTCCTACCGCCGGTACCGCCACTGGCAAAGTTTGCCGGGACGCCAGGCGCTCCTTACTGTAGACTAATTTCCCACCGTCCAAACTTCTGCGCAACAATGTTAACTGACTTATCAAAATATGAATCTGAACAATCGCTATACCACCGGCATCGACCTCCGATCACTCAACAAATGACACGCGTTTGCCGACTGGGTAAATCTGCCAGCTGCTCGGCTTTTTCAAACTGCTCTATTATTCGGACATTGTTTCGTTCCCTGCGAAGTCCGAAAAATCGGTCAGCGACTGTACTTTATTAAACGGGCATTCATTATAAAGGCGTCCGACTGTATTCGTTTCATTAGCCTCTCATTTAATGTTCTTGTCGAACGTCGCTGCTGTGTCGATCATGCTTTTCAGAGGAGGCCACAGCGACGGTAGAGACGGGCATCTTTGACGCGCTGACGCGGCAAAGGGTCAAGTGGAACATGAAGATCCTGCCCCAGCTCAAGACCGAGGCCCCACAAACCAAGGAGAGGGAGGACCGACCCACCTACAGGGAGCTCTTCGTGCCACCCGTCCTGTCCATGATGTCGTGCCTCATGTCCAAGGTGGGCAGGCTGCCGTCACATTGCATTTGTATGAGTGTGAGGTCTCGATTACGATCCCTCCGATAGCGACGGGGATTTTTCCTACTCGCCGTAAAATGCCGAGCATGCACCCATGTCACAATAAGAGCCTATGTGCTAGTAGAGTGGAAAGTTGGGCTAGTTGGTAGTTATTCATCTTGGTTTTAAAAGCGCACAAAAGACGAGGACAGAGTAAGAAACACAAACGACGGAGAGCGCTCGTCCGTCGTTTGTGTTTCTTACTCTGTCCTCGTCTTTTATGCGCTACTCGTGAAACATAAAAAAAGTGTGACACCGAAATTGTAGCTGTTGCCACGCCGGTTCTTGACGAAATGCGTTAGCATCTAGCGCAGGGTTTCCGACTTTGCGTAGGATGGGAATCCCAACCTCGCAACGGTTTGCATACCGTTGTCTTCGGAGAGCCAGTCCGTTCTCTTGGGCAGCGGCAGTTTCGGATTCAGCCACCGCGTCTTCCCTCAGTCGCCGCCCACGGTCCGTAGACTGTTTGTTGTCTTCGAAGAGACAATTTTTTCTCCCGGGTGTCGGCGTTTTCGCGCAAACGAAGTTGTTGCTGCGCCTCGGTTTTACGTTGTCGCTTACGCTGTGCCACGGCCACTTGATCCCCTCCTCTCCCACTCCCATGGCTCATCATTGGAAGTGTGCCAGAAAATGTAAGAGCGAAAGTGTGCCACTTTCTCTCTTACGTAAGAGGAAAAGTGGACGTAACAAGCGAACAAACGAAGCGAAAGAGCAAGGCGGGAACTGTGCCGTGGATTCACGAAACCGGTTCTGCCCGGATCTGGTCCAAGCCACGACTGTCCTAACGAAAGACGGCTGCATGTACCAGGGCAATAAGTGCTGACGTGTTTAATAAGCAAAAGACAGATCAAGCACCCAACCCAGACTTCCGATCACGCTTGTCTAACCAAGGTACTTCTACACGTCGGCTGCTTCTCCCAGCGTGCCTGTGCAGTGCAACGAAGCTTGCTGTGAGTGCACATGTCTAAAGTGGTAAAGCCCAATCTTTCGGGGGTGCAGTTATTGCGCGCCCCGATGGCGTGCAACGACTGCGCCCCCTTTCTTGGCCCTTCCGCATTTTTGCTCATTGTGGTTACAAGTGTTACTTCTCCAATTTTTTAAAAATTATCTCCAACTTTTGGATGATAGTCTCATTCTGCAATAAGTCAGAAACAGATTGATCTGCACAAACGGAGTATCCGGGAAAACAATATACAGCATTTGTTTTAATGCAATATTAAACTACAGTAAAATGCCGGGCGAGCGGTTACTCAAAATTTAGAGATAATTGCAAAAAAAATGGGGGATGGGCGCTTGTCCGGTCATCAATTTTACATATAAATGTACTGTGCATATTTTTTCAAATGTTGGAAATTTGGATATGGGTGCTTAATGTGGAATGGGGGATGTGCGGTATTCTAAGGTATGCTTTGCTGAGCACTTTGTCTATGCCCAAATGTAGCGCTGATGGTCTGGACCAGATGCCACAAAAATTACGAGCGACTTTCGAAAATTTTTAACAAGGAATTGGGGCCCATTCTCGGTAGCCGGCACCCTTTGTCTCCATGTATTTTGGAGGCTTTGCCGGCCGCCATTTTCCCATTGAAAATTTCTGAAGGTCGCTTATAACCTTCGAATCGTATAATGGCAAGCTCTGAAACTTTTGCGTCTGGTCTGGACCGCAAGTGCTTAAATTCGGGTGCATCTTTTTAAATTCGTAGCGTTTTAAGGCCCAGCTCTCAAGGCGCAATCACACTTTCAAGTCGCAACAGTCGCAGTCGCTTCCAGACTGAATTTTCGGTACGGTCACTGAGTCGCCCGGCAGCTAAACCAATGGGCAGCACCTCGAAAGTGACGCGTGGTGCGCTTCCCATTTGTTTACGCCCAGCACGCCGCACTTTGGCGGGAGAAGCAACCGACATGTCCGTCCGTCGCCCCGGTTCACAGCAGCTGCCATGGATATAGAGCCACGAAAGCAGCACACCAATTTGAACAAGTGCCCCCAGAAAACATCTCCACGTGGTGAATGATGTTGATTGGGGCGAAGCTCTGGTGGTGCTTGTCTGCGTAGACGCTGAGCCACAGCATGCCGAGCCTTTTGTTCGTTTTCATTCATGTCAGAAAGAGAGTGTGTGGTATGGAACGTGGTTATATACGCATTTCAGCATTTGAGCGCAGCGCCCTCTCGTCTATAAATGGTGAGCCAATGCATGCAAAGTTTAACGCAATTATATACGCATTTGACTGCAGCGCCCTCTCCTTTATAGACGTTGAGCGGCTACATGCAATGTTTCATCCATGACATCCCCAGCTCTTGAGTTACTACCACATCTCAGAGCCCCCTACTCGTTCCGCAGTCGTGGCCGAGTGGTTAAGGCGATGGACTAGAAATCCATTGGGGTCTCCCCGCACAGGTTCAAATCCTGTCAACTGCGACACTTTTTTTTTGCCTTACACGAGCACGGGAGCATGTGAGCTCATGAGCACGATCGCGAGCACCAGCAAGATCGATGTGAGTATGGACGCCGGACGGACAAGGCTAGACCCTAAGGTGCTTCGCCCCTAAAACTTGGCCCGGCAGCAAATCTGCGTAACTTTTGGCCGGACGGGCATGTACGTACTTCGCCGCGATAGCTTGAGCGAGCTCGTGACGATGCGGCGATCATGCTTCGTCGTATGGTTCCAAAGGACCCGGGCCAACGTAACGAGTTTTTTTGTGAAGCCTAAAAACGAAGCCTGGCTAAAAGCGTGGCTGCAAGGCTCTACACTGATTGGTTGACCGGTGGGAGAGGAGGAGTGGGGTACTCAAAGCCGATTGGTAAATGGGGAGGTCATGTGACCAGAGGGCTAGGCAAGGTGGAGCTCGACCCCTCAGCGCACTGAGGGAGAGGAGCTCGAGAGTATGGAAGGCTCCGGAAGATCACCAGGCTGGTCATCCCGATTAGCGGTAGCATTGCTTCATTCTAGGAACAACCGTCAAGTGTACGCACAGTATGCGTTAAACGACCTGATGAAGAGCACCGTGAACGTAGGCATCTGGCATCGGGAAACTTGGAGCATTGTGAAACGTTTGTGACGCTAGAAATTTCCACGTGCAATCGCCCAGCAATTTTTTCATACGGCAACAACGACACATGTGATAGCAATGAAAACGTTAACCCGAGCTGTGGCGGGGACGATGGAATCGACGCTGGCTCCCGAGAGCTTCTGAGAAGTAATTCGCCGGTCGCTTGCTGTGTGAACGTCAGCGGTTGCTCATCACACGTTGGCAGTTGAGCGCTTAACCGCCGCGATTCGCTTTCACATGTGCAGATGTAGCACCGATAGAGCTTGAAGTATGCATGGCAAAGCATGCCGCTCGTGTGCAGTCGGCGATTGCTCTTGGAGTAGGAGCTTTCCCCAGTGTACACTCGGCGGCAGAAAAACCAACAACACATACTATGAATGCTCTTGCTAGCAGGCTTCACAAACTTGAGCAGAGGTGTTTGCCATGCATTTGGAACGCATTGTTAGTAATAGGGTTGTGCGAATATGCGAAACTTTCGAAAATTGAAGCGAATAATGTTATATTTGACTCAAACTTTTAATTGAATGGGGCTAGTCATCACTTTAGAATATTTTCTAAGTATTTCGAAGTCTGAAGTGCTGCGTAAATTACCTCAACTCGGACAAAAAATAAATGAACGAAAACAGTATCCAGTGTGTACTTGAAATGAGTTTACCATCCAAGGCTGGAATGCAAACAGCCATAAAAGTAGGAGCAACAAGTCTACTCTTGAATCTGTTGCACCAAAGCGCGAGACTTAAAGCGGTGGCGTCAAAGCGCAAGACTTACAGCGGTGGCGCCAAAGCGCGAGACTTAGAGCGGTGACTCATGCAACGTCAGCAGCTAATGACGTTTCAAGCGCGCGGAACGAGCAGCACCGACGGCACCGAGCTCCATTTCGAAGAGAACAGCACGAGCCTGGCAGCGTTCGACGATGTCGCAGGGCGGTCTCAGCAGAGCCCCTTTTTATGTCTTTTCAGTTTTTGTGTGGTGATAAAGATAAGTTTGTTGATTTGATTCGACGGACGTCTTTCCTGACCCCCACAAATTGGTGACCTGAGGAACGCCGCACCTCTGAAGCCCTTTCCCTGCTGCGCCAAGCTCATCAACCGCTTCCAGTCGTCATGGCGCAGTCTGGTGAACCTACCACTGGTGGACTTTCAGCTTTACACCTTCGACTGCCTCAGTTCTGGCCAGCGGACCCTCAGATCTGGTTCGCGCAGGTGGAGAGCCAGTTCGCCACGGCCCGGATAACATCACAAGTCCAGAGGTTCCACCACATCATCGCAGCGCTTCCGCCAAACATCGCAGCGGAAATTCGGGATCTGGTCCTGACACTGCCGGCAGACTCCCCTTACGACATCCTCAAGGCGGAGCTCATACGGAAGACCACGTTGTCGGAACAGCGGCGACTACAACAGCTCCTTACTTCAGAGGAGCTGGGCGACCGCAAGCCAACACAACTACTGCGTCGCCTTCAACAACTGTTGGGTGAGAAGGCGCCGACATTCGATGTAGCGCTGCTGCGAGAACTTTTTCTGCAACGGCTCCCGGCAGGTGTCCGCATGGTTCTCGCCGCTGCCGCTGGACTCAACCTTGAGGATCTGGCAAAGCTCGCGGACTCTGTCATGGAAGTCGCAGTGCCCACCATCGCACACGTCCAAAACCAGTCCGGACTATCGCTTCCCACGACTCCTTCGGCCGAAGTGGTGACACCTCCATGTGACGTCAACAACATTTGAGAGGAGTTCCACAAGGAGATTGGACGACTCTCTGCACAGATCGCCGCTCTCACCGATCGCATTCCAGCAGGCCAACGACCACGGTCATCTTCCCGACAGTGTAGGCCTCGACATCCCTTGCCCTCCCAAGGTACGTGCTGGTACCATTGCACTTTCGGCGCGCAAGCTAAGAAATGCGTTTCACCATGCACGGCCTTGGAAAACGCCAAGACCCACCACTAGAGGTGGCGAGTGGTGCCGGTTCCGAAACCAGCCGTCTGTTTTTTGTACTAGACAAGAATACTGGTCTTCGGTTCTTAGTCGACACCGGCGCCGCAGTAAGCGTCCTACCCGTGACGGCCATGTCAACCAAGCCGCAGCGCGCTAACGTCACCTTGCAGGCCGCAAACAAGTCCGCTATCGCGACGTATGGTGAACGAGCACTGACCCTCAACATCGGGTTAAGAAGACCGCTAAGATGGATTTTCCTGGTTGCCGACGTGACAGACCCGATCCCTGGAGCAGATTTTCTCCACAAGTATAACCTGCTAGTGGACATGCAATGGTTACGCCTTGTAGATGCCACGACTCACCTAGCCGTCCAAGGCATAGCATCCATCTCACCACTCCCAGTACGTTGCATTCCAATCACTACAAAGTTTGAAGACCTACTCCAGCAGTTCCCGTCGCTTACACGTCCCGCCAACTTTCTGCAACCAGTAAAGCATGATGTGACACATCACATCGTAACGTCCGGACCTCCCACTCATGCTCGTCCACGATGCCTTCTAGACGAACGATTGAAGATAGCGAAAGCCGAGTTCGAGCACATGCTTGAACTCGGCATCATCAGACCATCGTCCAGCCCATGGGCATCACCCCTCCATATGGTGCAAAAGAAACCCCCGGGTGATTGGCGGCCCTGCGGAGACTACCGCGCTCTGAACAACACCACCGTTCCAGACCGCTATCCCCTACCCTACATCACGGACTTCTCAGCGTCCCTGGAGGGAGCTACCATCTTTTCGAAAATTGACCTGGTCAAAGCGTACCATCAGATCCCCATGGAACCAGGTGACATACCGAAAACAGCCATCACAACACCTTTTGGACTTTTCGAGTACGTGAGGATGGCCTTCGGCCTTCGTAACGCGGCCCAGACATTTCAACGGTTTGTCGACAGCGTCACCAGTGGGTTTACCTTTTTGTTTTGCCTATGTCGACGACATCCTGGTGTCCAGCGCTAACGCCGAACAACATCTCGAACACCTGGAGATCCTTTTCCAGCGCATGGCGGAATACGGGCTCATCATCAACAAGGCCAAGTGCGAGTTCGGCGTTTCACAACTGGATTTTGTTGGCCACAGGGTCGACTCCAAGGGTGTTCGCCCTCTTCCATCCAAAGTCGACGTAGTCAAGAACTTCCCAACGCCTACATCACGCAGGAAGCTGCGCGAGTTCCTTGGCCTCGTGAATTTCTATCGCCGTTTTCTGCCGCATTGCGCCACTGTCCTCCAACCCCTGACTGATCTCCTAAAGGGAACTCAGCGGGACACCACACCTCTACCATGGTCTCCAGATGCAGCGGAGGCATTCCTAACCATCAAGTCATCGCTCGCAGAAGCATCAATGTTGGCGCACCCGCTCGCTGGTGCACCTCTCTCGATCATGACGGATGCCTCGGACGTCGCTGTAGGAGGAGTACTGCAGCAGTTCACTGACGGAAACTGGCAGCCCCTTGGGTTCTTTTCCAAGAAGTTGGCACCAGCCGAGTCCCGGTACAGCACTTTTGGACGAGAACTACTAGGCATATACCTCACCATCAAACATTTTCGGCATTATTTAGAGGGTCGGCAATTTCACATCCTCACCGACCATAAGCCGACAACTTACGCACTTCAAACAACCAGCAACCGTCTCTCTCCTCGAGAGAGTCGGCACCTGTCATATATTGCGGAGTTCACAAGTGACATCCGCCACATCAAAGGCACAGGCAACTGGGCTGCTGATGCGTTGTCACGGATACCTTGCTGCAATGCCATTCCCACCGCTGTGGATTTCGCCGCTCTAGCAGCAGCACAGCAAGGCGACCAAGATATGCCGAAGCTACGATCCGCATCTAGCAACCTTGACCTGCGTGACGTGTTGCTGCCAGGCTGCGACACAACAATAATTTGTGACATGTCCACGGGATCACCCCGACCGGTGGTACCTCCAACGTTTCGGCGATCCATTTTCAACTCACTGCACAACCTTTCTCATCCCGGCATTCGGGCGACCCAACATCTCATCGCCCAACGCTTCGTTTGGCAAGAGTTTAACAAAGATGTGCGTGAATGGGCTCGCACTTGTCTGCATTGTCAGCTGTCTAAGGTTCATCGACATACCTTTGCACCTTTCGCCACAGTACAGACACCCACCGCTCGCTTCGACAACATCCACGTGGACATCGTCGGTCCTTTGCCACCATCCGACGGAGCCATCTACATGCTCACTTGCATAGACAGATTCACCCGCTGGCCAGAAGTTGTCCCTATCGCAGACATCCGCGCGGAAACCATTGCGAAGACAATCGTCAGTGGTTGGATTTCACGATTTGGAGTTCCGTTATCTATTTCCACCGACAGAGGCGCACAATTCGAATCTCGTTTGTTTAACGAGATCATGACTCTTATCGGGTCCTCCCGAATTCTAACAACAGCCTACCATCCCGCTGCTAACGACCTTGTGGAAAGATTTCATCGTACCCTAAAGGCCGCACTAAGAGCACACAATGACCCGAACAACTGGAGCACACTTCTTCCCATCGTGCTTCTAGGCCTCCGCACAACACTTAAGCCAGACTTGGGATGCACTGCCACAGACCTAGTCTATGGGCAGTCACTTCGCCTCCCTGGAGAAATGTTTGTGACGTCTCCTACTTCTACCGTGCCCGATCCTTTCAGCTATGCCACCCAGCTTCGAGAAGTTATGCGGAACCTGCGTGCCACACCAACAAGGCAGCACGACCGTCATCCGACGTACGTATGCGACGAGTTAACCTCGGCCACACACGTTTTCTTGCGTCGAGATGCAGTCCGGAAGCCTCTGCAACAACCTTACGATGGCCCTTTCAAGGTCCTCGAAAGGCGCGACAAGTATTTCGTTCTGGATTTGAACGGGCGGCATGACACCATCTGCGTCGACCGCCTGAAGCCTGCTCACATTGAACTATCGTCCGCATCCAGCCTACACCCTCTACATTGGCCGCCTTCATGCCAGCCGTCGGCAGCATCCTTACAAGCCACTGAGCATCAGCATCATCGCTCCGTCTCTTGGGCACAACATCGCCCTGGCGACTCCTCTAGGGGGGGAGCCCTTGTAGCGCCAAAGCGCGAGACTTAGAGCGGTGGCGTCAAACCGCGAGACTTACAGCGGTGGCGCCAAAGCGCGAGACTTAGAGCAGTGACTCACACAACGTCAGCAGCTAATGACGTTTCAAGCGCGCGGCACGAGCAGCACCGACGGCACCGAGCTCCGGGTTCGAAGAGAACATCACGAGCCTGGCAGCGTTCGACGATGTAGCAGGGCGGTCTCAGGGGAGCACCCTTTTTTATGTTCTTTTCAGTTTTTGTGTGGTGATAAAGATAAGTTTGTTGATTTGCATCGACAGACGTCTTTCCTGACCCCCACAAATCTATTGCGGATTGCGTTTATAAGAGCTTACATCAAAGTGTCTGTGCAAACAAGTCTCAGCATTTTTTCCCCTAATAATCCGTGTCTTCTGGTGCCACGATTGTTCATTAGTTGTGATTGGGACCCTGATTATGGATGATACACATTATGGATGATTATTTGGGGAAATGAAAGTGTCCATATTAATGAGATATGACTTTATTGAAATAAGAGTAATTGTGCGGGCGACCTGGTGGACGATCGCTAGAGAATCCCCCGACCTTGTTGTGCTTTTCCTTTTTTTTTTGTGTCTCAAGGGTTTTCTGCCATGACAATGGACGGCTGCAAACTATTTGCTTCGCTTCAAAATTATTTGATTCAATAGGCCCTTTGCAAAAATCCCAAAAGCCCGTGCGCGCCACGCGACAAAAAAGGGTAGTCCTCAATATGCCCCTCCCATCATCTTTCCTCCCGCTTCCACGCGGCATACGTGAACAGGCGCAGGTTGCCATGGCAACAACGTTCGAAACATTTGAGAGCCGAGTCATACCAGCGACGAGCCGACGAGCGCACGGAAACGGGAGAGAGGGTATAGCGTTAGCTATCTTGCGAGGCTGTCCTTTTCTCATCCCTCTCCTTTGTACCAGCTCTGTCGTCTGCTGCACCAATGCTTTGTTTAACCTAGTTGAACCCTACCACGGTTGCGATGCAAAATAAGTGGATTCGGTGACGCTGCAAGACATGAGGGTAAGTTACGACGAATAACGTATGCAAATAAGTGAATAACTTCACCTGTCGTGATGCCTTTACGCTGCCACAAATCCAGTATGCTGCCAAGGACGTACAACGTTCTGGCAGATGGCTGCTGGCGGTAGCTGCCGCGACTTGCGCACAGTCACGTAGGCGCAACGAGAAAGTGCTTAATTTGTACCGAGGGTTCCCAAAATTTCCTGCTGTTGTTGCTCCGCACGTTTTGCAACGTGTCTAACCGTATTTACTCACACAAAGAAACTATTCGCTTCGTATTTGCTTCGAACTGAAAAATGATTATTCGCACATCCCTAGCTCGTAACCCAGCACGTAGAAGACCAAGTTCCAAAAGTGGAGTGTTTTTTTCGAACAAGTTTCTTCTATTTGAATGCCATCACGAGCGAAGGGTTTGGATGAAGAACCTATTGTTTTGCCGCAGCCATCTTTGCCAGACCAGTGGGGACCCCTGGACTACGACTCGGCGGAATCAGTGCCGAGCGACGAAGAGGAAGCCGGTGAGGATGAAGATGAAGACCACGACGAAGACGACGTGTTCGGGGACCTGACGGCGGATCGCAGACGTGCGTCTCAGGCGTCTCGGCTGGAGCAGCTAGACCCCGGGTCATACGCGTGGGCCCTGATGCGCTACGCCACCCTCAAGCTGGCACAGCATAGCCTGAGGGACTTCCTTGCGGTTGCGGGAATCGAGCTTCAGGGTGAGTGAATTTCGTTGGTGACTGGCACGGGTGTCACCGGTGTGGACGAAGGTGCCGACAGGAGTCCCTGTTGCATTATAACTTAAGATAAAATACAACACAAGTGCAGTAGGCTCGCGATAATTAAAACTCTGATATTTCAAGCAACTGGTTATTTCAAACGAATTTCGAAATTTCGGTTGTCTGGCCACGTTTTTAATGTATTCATAAGCCGCTCAATTCAAATGACATTTTCGTGTAATTCATACTTTTTGTTCCCGCGGCCTCGTTGAGTGCGCGTCTTTTTTAGCACACTGCAGAGAAGCAATATCCGCGGAGCTTGCTTCCGTGAGTGTTGCTTCTCTGCAGTGCACCGGTGTGCGGTGAGAAGCGCACTCAACGGGGCTCAAACAGGGCATACATCAAGAGCCCTGTGCAAATAAGAGCCTGGTCATCCGCAAACTTTGTATCCACATCCAAACCGCATTTGCAGTGTTTTTAATCATTGCATCCGCATTTGCAGAGCAGCTGACCTTCAATCTGCACATTTCTTTTTATTATGAAATCAAGTGTTAATAAAAATAAAAAAGCATCTGAATTGTATCCAATAAGCTGTCTGCTTACCTTTGTACAAAGAACTCTTCATCTCGGAATACGATGAAAGTAATATTATCGTATTCTGTTTTATCGTACCTATAAAATAAGCGATCATTGTTCCAGAGAAACTTCGAATCGCTGGAAAGATAATGGCAGTTATGAGGTGAGATCGTCTTAGGGGTCCATGACACTGACACTCTGTCCAGAAGATGCACTCGAAAGGAAGAAAAATCTAACATTTAGTTTCCCTTTTTGTTTGTAAAACCCACTCCAAGCAGATGCATTTTTTATAAGCATGAAAATGAACAAAGGACAGGCTAATAACTTTATGTCATTTTGTTTAGGCTAAACAATAAAAAAGTGAGAGAAGAAAGGCGCTCACTCATTGCAGCAAAGTACTTGTGTATATGTAATGAGGTGCAAGTACACCACTGGGGAAATATAACAATATTCAATAGTGGCAACAACTGCTATCAGTTTCCGTTTTAAACACGAATCCTCAACTGCATGCTTGGAACCATATACTTAATAACAACTCGGTGCCAACTGTCGAGAAAAAGAAAACGCGCCCACACGCAACATTTCACTTGTCGAGGTGGCTGTGTAGAAGAAACAGATTATCGCCAACATGGACGGATTCAGACTGGTTCGCCTCTCTGAAATTAAGACCCACTAATAATAAGTCTCTCTCCATTAGTGCACTTGGTGGTGGGATGGCATGCACAGCCTACACTACAAGAATGAGGTGCGGGAACTCGTGCTGGCGCAAGTTCTGCCACTCCAAAGGATTGAATTCAGTCTCCTCGATCTACTTATAGGTGAAGAAGCCACTTACGGGCTGCTTCTACTTTCTTCTGGCTTGTATGTTTTGGGTTTTCTTTGCCCCAAAGAATGTTTTCCGCTCTTTCCCTGCCAAACAAGAACATGCTTTCCCGGGACAACTGATACTCTTGCATTTTTTACTTTTTCTATGGGCAGCATTTTTGGCGATATAGAATGTTCTAAGGCGACCTTTGGTGAGAATCAAATCTTTCTTGACGTAAAGAACAATTTTCTTCCCAATTAACACCCTTTATCTAAGAGATTAGCTTGATCCCGCAATACATTCGATGATGCACTTCATAGTGTCACGCACTTATTCACTCTACACGGTGCGGTCACACACGTTTCTGGGCCGCCTCGGCAAAAATGTAGATCCGGACCCGCATCCGATTTGCACTCCGCCAAATCTGATTCATTTTTATCCGCATCTGCCAGTTTACGGCGGATATACGTGCATGATCCGCGGATATGCAGGGCTCTACATAGTACATGAACTGTGAAAAAGGGCAGCACGTGAAAATTTCTATGGCAACTTGTGCGGACGCTGTGACATGGTAGCACGGCATAGGTCTATGTGACAGCATCTGCAGAAGTTGCTGTGAAAACTGCTGCGCGGTGCTACTTTTCATTGTTCATGTGTCCTCTACTTAAATGAATATGTCATACATTTCACAAATGGTTCACGTGTGGCACAATCAGTAGGCCTATGTAAGGAAATAATCAAATACTGTAAAATGCTTAAAGGGGCACTTAAGAGGATCCTGCGATCGTCTCTTCTTGGTCGTAACAGATTCTACGGGCCCTATGCATCCTAATGCCTAAAAATTACAATCACAGACGCCGATTTCTCTATTAAAAACGTAAAGAAAGGTCGGGACACAGCACTTTCTGATCCAATTTTACCACTTGTTAAAGGCGGGGCATAGAGAGGTGGCTTGCAATTGGTTGACGGGCGCCCATTGTCGCCGTGCTGACACCGCTACTGGGATATGCCCCGTCTTTCCTGTGCGGAAAAATGGTTCAGAGACTGGTGTGTCCTGACCAGGGTGTAAGATAGACAGGTGGGGAAACGAGAGCCGAATGAGCGACCGGATGGTGTCCCCCTCGGTTTTCTCTTTTTCTGTGGTGCCATCTATGTGGAGCACTGCGAACTCTCACTCCGGGTGGGCGACCGCTGGCGACCGGCTAAACTGACGGAGATGGTTTCTCGTGGATTTTCAATGGAGGACTGTCGTGCTCTCGGTTTATTTGTGCACTCTCCCATAGAGTTCCATGCGAATCCGATTCCAATTTTTTTCCTCTCGCCGCAGCGCCATCTGTCGCAAATCGGGGGTACCCGCAAGCAGACGAGTACACAATCCGGTCACGGCACTGCGGCAGGCTTCTATGGGCCGTTTCCCCACCTGTCTACCTTACACCCTGGTCCCGACTTTTCATCACGTTTTAATGCAATAGCATCATGAAGCTACTGATTGCAGATTTCTGTCTGTCTGGTATCTGGTCTCCTAATGTGCACTAAGTATGCACAGTAGGACGTTTTGGCTGAGATGTTCAAACCGGCGAACTTGCAGAGCTTCCAGTGACGAGCCCCTTGCTACACGCTTCCCTGCGTTCCCTGGACCACTGGCTGCGCCACCTGCGGGAGGCCCTGGAGGCTCACGGGGGTCCTCCACCGGGGCTGCTTCCCAACAGTTACGTGGAAGGTGCCGGCGCGCCCCAAGGGGCCCCGACACAAGGCCCCCCGATCCTCAAGTACAAGGTCCTCCTCGAACTGGACAACACCCCTTTCAGGTGAGGCGCTTGACGATGAAAAAAGGACAGCTCGAAACATGTAAGGGCTAGTAAAAAAAGGCTCAAGGTACACCTAAGCACTTCTTATGAGTTTTGAATGCAAAAGCATGCACGTCATTCTTCCGCTCCCTTATTTCGACGGCAGCGTATGCGTCGACGGCAGAGCATGCCCTCTCCTCGCCGCTCTGATCTTGGACACTTCGTATTACCGGTGTGCTGACGGACACGCAGAGCCATGGGATGGCGGTCGTTGAAACTGACGCGCAGCAGCCAATGGGAGCCTGGTTCCTTGAAACTACGACGCGTGCCAGCCAATGGGACTGAAGCCGAAATCCATCAGCTTCACTCCACTGCTTTGGGATCGGGGAAACTAGGTGCCATTTGGCTAGGCTTTTTGCGTCGTTTCATAGCCGGGAGCTGGCTTCACTTGGGGAAAGGATTTAAGATGCCGTTTGGCGCGGCTTCAAAGCTGGTGACGTCTGCTCACTCTATGGGACCAGTTAATGATTTCGCATTAAAAAGACAGACAAACGTGGCACTGATTATCAGCTGAATGCCAGCATTACTTTCATCATCAGTTTTGTCGTCAGGGGGCATGCTCGAGTCTTTTCGGCAAATGTTGTACTTACATGAATGTGAAGTAACTCTACATCGAAGATCAGAATGTAAAATTTCTGTGATTAAAATCTTCCACAGTTAGTTACCCTGGACATTTGCAAATACATACTGATTTGCAAGCTTTCAGCTGATCGGTTTTCCCGCACGCCGTGCGGCAAAGCCCGTGGAACACCTGCAATATTTGTGAATTCTGGAAAGAAATTGAGTGTCCTTGAACAAAGTATGTCTCTTTATATTTTTCTGCTTGGACTTTCTGGAACAGCCAAATTTGATGGATCGGTGCAAGGTTTTTTGTGTTCTTGGGGGGGAATTCCAAATTTGGCCTCAAAGTGAAGTAGGGGGCGTTTCGGCTTTGACTATCGAATCAGAACATTTCAGTATGCTTCTACAGCAATAGCAGCTAGTGCTCATTCCCGGTGAAAACTGCTCATGTGCGAATGCGAAACCCCACTCCCTGGCGTTCCTCAGACATATACATGCAAACTACAACAAGGCTCTCTCTTGCTCCCCCCCGCCCCCAAATCCCCCACCCTTCCCCCCTGTAGCCTCGACTGTTCTGAAAATCCCACGTCACCACGGTTAGAGCGCTCTTTGCTTCCCCATCGTTCCTACTACATCCAAATACCCTCTGGCAACGCTGTCTCTTCTTCCACTCCTCCCCCCCCTTCTGGCTGCTGCTGTTGCAGAATATTCACATGGTTGCTTTGTGCAGACATGCTCTCTCACCTCCTTAGTGCCGCCGCCCAGGTTTCGTTCTCATGTGCTTTTTGCACCTCTACAGAACAGCTCACATACATACTTTCGCTTCTTCCACTTCACAGGCAATTCTAAAAAAGCGTGTAAGCAAAAAAAAAAAAAGAAGAAGCACTTCACTGTGTTCCCTTCTAACACGCGCAACATTTCGCAGAATCGTTCCACCAAAGCATAGATCGATCCTCGCACGTGTCTCCTGCATCGATTCCGCCGAAAGCAAAGAACCCACTGCAGACATTGTACAGCACATTGGCTGTAGGTAAATCTCCTTCGACGTGCTTTTCCACAATGCAGCATCTACCGCTGTCAATCGCAGCACACTTTGCGTGGTCCTTTTTTTCTCACTTCCCCATCACTGCTCCAATGCATATTGCACCATGAGCGTGTCTTGTTCATGATCCCTTCGTAGATAAGTATGTATAAACCGGAATAAAGGTCAAATTATTTTTGGAAATGCACTGGAAAAAGTTGACCCTCGTCGTGTAACCGGTCATCGGCAGAAAGGATAAAAAAAGCCTGGCAACTGTGGGTGCCTGATGCCACCATTTTATTTTTTAATGCGTTAGCATCAGTACCTAAATGACAGCGAAAAGCTGATTGCATTCGTCTGCGGACAAAACAGTTTAAAGAGAAGTGCACCGCATGGAGGGGAGGTGAGTAGTGAAGGACAAAGGCGAGAGGGAGGACGTCAGAAGGCGAAAACCAATGCGCGCGCGGGAAACCGGTGAACGGCGAAAGCAGCGTCAAAGCGTGCAAGGCGGGTGAACGAGAAAGGGGAGTGGAAGCGGCACCTAGCTCGGCTGGTCGAAATACGGCGCAAGAAGCAGCAAGCTGACGCCGGTCTACGTGCAGCAGAGGCTGGGGAGAGGCGGGCTCGGCAGGCCCGCTTTGCTGGAAAATTATTAAAGGAAGATCCATTGGTGGATTCTTGGGAAATGCGTTGGCATGACCCTTGGGAAACACCACACACGTCATCCTTTGGGAAACGCTAACACTGACCCTGTTATGAAGCCAAAAAGAGGCAGCAAAAAAAAGAGGAAGCAAAAGAAAGTTCAAAGAGAGGGCCAAAACACAAAAGTGAACGGGTCAGTGTTAGCGTTCTCCAAAAGGGGACATGCGTCGTATTTCTCAAGGGTCATGCCAATGCATTTCCTGAGGATCCACCAATGGATTTTTGTGCTACTTCTGCTTCTTGTAACGATCATCATTGCTGCTTCCCGAGCGAGAATCAGCAGAAGTAGACGCCAATTTACTGCCTTCAAGGGAAAAGCACTCGCATATGTAGAAACGCATGGCAGTCTGACACCCACTGGCCACTTGCAGTGACTGCCACTTTCGACCGGCATAGAAGTCGCTCTTGGACGAAATGGCGTGCAAGTCCTTCCGCAAGTGCAGCATCAGCATGGCGATTGACGGCAGAGGAGACGACATGTTCTGAGACGCGGACGGCAACAAACGCTTGTCACAGACGAAGGTTTTGAAGAATCGGAGCAACGCTCGCTCACGTGTGTCATATTGTATGTAAATGCAAAGCACTGCAAAGAAAATAAATGTGCTGTAATCTCTTGCTGGGCTGTATTCGTCAGATTTTCTTCCTAGCTATGATTGTACTTCGTAATAAAAGCTTTTCTTTTTTTTCAACACTTTGTAAATTGAGGGTTTGACCTGTATTCCAGGTTTTTACTATCACACTGTTAGTGAACGTTTCACATTTATATGGGGTGCCGACCTTGGTGATGAACTTTGGTGTTGGACATGGCTTATTTTTTATGTACAAATTATGAAAGAAGTCCTTAGATTGTGCAGTTTGAAGGGCTCAATTTCCGCATTGCAGCTGTATCGCGCGGCCAATTCAGTGTTTTGGGCGATGTTTCCTCGAATTGTTCAAAATTCCACTGGTTCCTGCATTAACCAATCCCCCTTTTATCGCAACAGCCGAAGCAGGCACCCGGCTGCCCTGCCGGCTCGGCGACTCTGGAACTACCTGGTGCGACAAGAAGAGGTCCAGGAGTTGTTCATCCGTTACCTCTTCTCGCACAAGGTGGCGCCACCAACAGAGGTGAGGCTGCCAAAGAACACCCATAGTTTTAGAGCGGCTTGGTACTCCGAATTACCGAGAGGCTTGCCTCGACGGAATCTCTAGAGAGCGCATTACGCACTTCACAATCTTTCTAATAACTTTTTGCGCACTCAGCATTTATAGGGCCAGCTCTTAGCACTGTTGTGTCTGGGACGTTGCGACATCGCGTGACACGATCTAACATCTCGTCACGTCACATTACACCACGATTTTGCAGAGGACACTTAAGTGCTATGCATTTAGAGCGCCTCTGGAATATACCAAGGAGACGTGCAGTCTTTTGTTTTAGGCACTTTTTTTTGTATTCTTGTTGGCCTGAACTGAGCATCAGTGAATGTTTCACTCAGGACGTTGCAACTGTTGCCGCCGTGCCGGCGAGCGACGCCGGAGACGACCGCTCCATGGATGGTGCCTTGCCGGATCCAGTCCGCATCATCCACAAGGACCAGGAGAGCATATCGGCCTTTTGCGTCAGCCAGGTGAGGCCGCAGGTAGACTTAGAGGCAGGAGTGGTGCCGTGCCAGCGCTCAAAGTAGATCTCAAGAGGGGCAGTCTGTATTGCTTTTGTGTTTTTTTGTGTTGAACGGTTTAAAATGACAATTTGGCTGCTTGGAAAGCTAGGAGATCCTTTTGGGGCACGAAGAAGCAAGATTGTTGGTTCAAAGGTTGACACTTGCGAGTGTTTGCACACAAACGGTGTTCATTCCTGACTTTGCAATTTGTGCGAGACGTGCGAGAAAATACTGGCGGAGTTTACAGATGCCGTGTGATAAGTAGGCCCTAAGGTAACATCTGAGGACGAGTACATCGATAATTTTACAATTTACTAGCTCAGGTTTGCAATTAACACGACCCTGACTACCTAAAATGGAAAAAATTGGAAGTTGCACGTTCGTGCCAACCGTGCAAAGCTCTTTACTCCCGTCATATGTTCAAAAAGCACGGTGTACAGGAGAAACAATTTATTAGAAATAGTAGAGCTTTTTGTCAGTTGCAATAAATGTTTTTGCGTTCCTTCAGTATCCAAGTCTGACCTCCACTTCCGAGCCATCTCGATCTTTATGTGCATTGAGGCAAACCATTTTCTTTCTTTTGCGTATTTCTTTTTAACACAGAATCTCTGTAAGGACCAGGATCCCCGAGGAATCTGTACTTCAGAGAACTATTTGGGCTAAAGAATAGGTAATTGAGAAGAAATAGTCATTAGTTGAGAAAAAGGAGCAAAATTCTAAACAGGACCCAACGGGAATCCAACCGATGACCCCACGATCATGAGCCTAACGCTCAACCGCTGTGCCATAAAGGACACTTACAAAAAGGAAGCACCATTCAAATGCCTAATGCCGGACACCGGTGTTCAGCGTTTGCGTTCGTTCATTGTTGAGACAAGGGTGGCGAGCTTCTGCCAACCAGAGCTCGTCAGTAAGACATCCCCGTGTACTCTCATCTCCTAAAAAGTTTGCTACTAGCTTCAAAGAGGTCCACAGAAACACATTTTGTGTATAGCCAATATACTACTACTACTAATAATAACAATTAATATTTTGGTTCAGGAGAACCACAGCGCCCGCAGAAAGGCAAGTGGCCCATACCACGAAGGTCTCTGGCGCTGCATCTAATGATGATGTGATCAGGTTGTGTACAGATGACAGAGGTGTGCTGATCTTCTTTATCCATAGGATTGACATAAATACTTTTTTGGGGGGACACGGACACACTTACTTTAGGCAAAATCGAACCACACGCAGTCGAGAGACCTGAGGGTACTTAACCTTTATCCGAAGGTACTTACTCGGATGGTGACACCATCGACCCGAAGTTCGACAGTGCCGCCATCTGACATAGAGTACACGAAACAAGTCACGACCAAAACTCGAGACAGGCTCGTGGTCACGTCTCGGTGCGGTGGACAACTGCCGCTCGTGGTTAATTAACAGGCACGGGTTTAGAACGGTAAAGCGTGGGAGCTTTGGGAGACTCCGGTGTCCGGATTTTGTTCCTTCATCGTCTCAGTCCGAGAAGAACGAGCTTTTGCGGTGCTTGGTGCACTCCTTCAGGTGAACGACGGCATCCTAGCGCTGGCCACGCCCAAAGAGCTCCAGGAACTCGACATCACGGTGCTGCTGGAACCAGCTCCCTGGCTGGACGACGAGGCAGAGTTTGACATCCTCAACCTGAACCGGTATCGTGTCCCGCCAATACCACTTATACTTCAGACGGCACCGAAAGTGCACCATCACGGCATTTGTCACGCCGTGATGGTACATGTGTTCTATCCTGGCTGAACCAATCGTAAACAGAAAAGGCCCATTGACTTGCACTTCTGACACCGCGTGATTGGCCCCCTTAGCGTGTTTACCGCTCGTGGCGAGTTAGGATCCACTAACAGTGGCGTAGTGCACAGGCCTCGTGTTCCAGGTGGCAAAGATTCTACTCCGACAGCTGTTACACGAGATTCCTGTTGCTTATTATGGACTCCGAATGGTGTAAATTAGTCCTTAGTCTCTCACGGGGGCCTACCGGATGCCTCAAGTTGGTTCGACGCATAAACCTTTGGGGGGGTTAACTATGTAGTTCCACCGGAGATTACCCTGACTTGGCGCTGCCTCGCATCTAGGGCAACGTCGCTTGATTAGGTCGGGTGTGGAACTCCCGTGGAAGGTGGTACCCCCCGTCATTCACTTCTGTCTACCTTCCGTCATTTGAAGCGCCATCTAGGTTTCCGTTCGAAAACTGTTTTTTTCCTTAGAGTATAATGGAACGCCATCTGGACGCTGTGCTTCAAAACATACGTATCCCATAGAATACGCTGTAGTTAGTATGGCAGCCGTCCGGCGCGTCGAGCAGCAAGAGGCAAGGCGTGGTGAGTGAGGGGGGTACTGCTCATGCAGGCAGGGTCTATGAGCAGTTCCGTAACTGAGCTAATGTAATAACGTTGGGCTGGGGAAGGTGGGGATCTTGACCTGTGGCATTAGTGCTTACCGAGCAGCAGCACCGTAAGGAAAGCAGGAGGGGATTTCTTGCTGCCAGTCAATACTAGTGTTGTGAAGAAATAAAAGTAGTAATTAGTATCTGGGGCTTTAATACTACCACCATACTGAGCTTGGTGTCGAAACCCTATGCAGGAACTGCTTATAAATGTCTTTTTTTGTGTGCGCAAGATCAGGAGTCGGCTGGAGGCAATTGAGGCTGAAAAAAAAAGATGTGGGCTGCAGTTTCTAGGTATACTAAGCTTTCTTTTAATTGAGTGAGGTTCATTTAATGTCACACTGCTTGTAACACTCTACTTTCAAATTATATAGCCCTAGCTAACACAAGAATTCTCTTCGGTTCCATTAAGGTGTGGTTGATAACCTTAGAAAAGAGGGAAGCAAGTGATCTTAAAATGTGTGCTTTTGACGGCCATGTGAACGAGAGGGCATGGTATAATTAAGGCCCTGTAAATAGACAGCGCTATCATAGTTTGGTTCACTTTATGTGCGAGCAAAGCCGAAGCTACAAGCATGATCACGTTGCCTCGAACGATGCTTGCACTGTATGAGCAGTCATGCGGAAAGCTCAGTGCTCGCTCACATAGCCTCTGCTACGCTCACACTTCAAGTAAAGTGTGGCAAAGGGAGTGCCTTAAGTTGGAACAGGGAACTGCTAGCATAGGAAGGAAACGTAAGAAGTCCTTAGGTGCCCAAACACTTTCCTACACATAACAAAGAAATTTTTTTCCGGAACAGGCCTCCTGATCAGGCAGTTGCCCAGTCATTGGACTTCCTGGTAGTGCAACATCCGTTGGATCGGTTCAACGCGGCACCGGGCGCGGGTGGTCTGGGCGGCGCTTCGACCTTCAACAGTCCGACCAGCGCCAATCCACCCAGTCTTTCGGCACAGACAGGTCGAGGAACAACCATGGTATGTTGATGGCGGAATTTACGTTGCGTCTCACTGATTGGCATCGAAGTGAGACCCGTTTGTTACATTGTTTAGTTAAACCTAAAGCCACTGAATAAGCTACACTCCTACCTTCCCCGATTTTTTTTTTGTGTGTGTTGTTATTTTTATGTTTAGTGCAGAGTAGTGTTGTGCAAATATTCAAATTTTATAACTGTAGTTTCGAACAACACACTATTTGGTATTTGTTTAATGCATTGTTTAGTTACACCTAAAGCCACTGAATAAGCTGTACTCCTACCTTCCCCATTTTTTTTTTTGTATGTGTTGCCATTTTTATGTTTAGTGCGGAGTAGTGTTGTGCGAAGATTCAAATTTTATAATTGTAGTTTCGAACAACACGCTATTTGGTATTCGCTTCGAGGTGAACTGCAATATTCATGCTTTCCGAAATGTTGATTGTGGCGAGTTAGCTCCGTTGAGTGCGCTTCCCATCGTGCAGTGTGGGGAAGCAATGCCCGCTGAGCCCACGAGCTCTGCGAGTATTGCTTCCCCGCAGTGCACCGGTGCTCGGTGAGAAGCGCACTCATCGGTCATCGGGGCTAACCCGCCGCGTTTATGCAAAAGTATATGTTAGGCAGCAATGTCTTGACAACCCGCTTTCATCATTAGTGCTTTCTCTTTTTGTCAAATTTGAAATTGAAGAAAGAATATTTGCATATAGCAAGCAGATCTATAAATCCCCTCGATTAGGGTAACTGTGACAAATCTGTCGTTTACATGCCACAGTTCATATTGTAGTTATATTTAAATAACCGAGTTTAGAATTGGACAAGTGGAAGGTAAGGAACAACCTTCACGAGTTAAGCAGAATTTTCGTTCTGAGCATGGTGCACGGCACTGAAATACTTTGGGAAACTATTTGATTTGAAAATATTCGACCAAAACCACTATTATTTGCTTTGAAGTCAATTGAAACTCAAAATTCATCATTCGTACATGACTAATGCAGTGTTATTGGCGATTGGTAAAGATTTGAAAATGTCACTTCTCGAGCTTCAGGTATGGGTCCGGCAAGCTGGGGCGGTACTGTCTTGCCTTGTTGCAAGCAGTTTTTCTACATTTCTGTTTGAGGGAAAACAGTTTTCTGCAATTTAAGAAATATGCCTCATATTATCACCTTTAACAGTGATTCTAAGCACCCAGATGGCAAAACTGTCGTTACTCTGAAGCGTAGATTAGTTGGCGGCTCTGGTTGACCCCAAAGACAAATCTGAAACGACAAGAGACCAGGTAAGGGTGTGGCACGCTTAGTGCGGACGAGCGGTCGACTCTTCTTGAAAGGCGTCCATTGAGGCATTTGTGTGGTGGGGAATGCTCGTTCGGAGACCCAACTTAAGCGGTAACATTCGGATCTCATCAATCTGTCCGACCGTGTAAAGCGTGAAAAACTATGGATGCCATGCTAACCGTTTCGTGCAGTGTGCGTACTTGCAATTTTTATCTCATAAATTTTTTTATTGAATGTGAAGAAACTGGTTTGTGGAGTTCTGGCGTGTCGAGGAGATGCCAGACGTTTCTGAGAGATCTCACAAACCTCTCGAGGTTTGAGTTCGAAAATGTTTAAATATTTTAGACCTTACTCAAAGTCGACCGCCTTGAATGTCGTGCGCTTTTTCGAAAAGTTGGGCTTAAACGTTACGGGCTTATCGAGGGCCAAGTTTGACAAATTTGAGCTTCATGAAAGCACTTTCATCAGGTTCAAAAACTTATTTCACAAAGTCTAAGGATGTAACATCATGCTCTTGACGTGAACACATGAGACGGCATAGCACCTTTAGCACCCGAGGCGATATGTGCAACCCTGCCAGAACCTCACAAACCGATTCTGAACAAGGTTTTCACTCTCACACTTGATTCATAGTTTCCGCTCTGCTCTTATTAACTCTTCCCGATCTTACCCACTAACATTGAGGCGTGGTACTCTCTCTCTTCTCTTTTCTTAACCCCCTGTCTACCCCCCTACTCCCATAATAACCTCCTTTCCTCTCTTGGTGCTGCATAAAACCATGCCCCACCCCCCAAAAAAAGATGAAAGGGCTCAATTTCCCCGGGAGCTCAAACCCCCACTTCTGTCAGTTTGTGCTCGAGCGAAGCCGTCACATGATCAAACCGGTGAGTGCCTTCGAACAAAATAGTGGCCTCAATCATGTCTCTGGTGCCGCCAAATGATGTGGAGGAGGAATCACTTGAAATGGTAGCCGGAAGTCGAGATAGATTGAAACAGAACCCATTTCTTTTTTTGCAGATAACACTTAGAATAGAAGTACTGTCATAAGGGAAGCTGAAGAAAGAATGGTGCCAAATTAGACATGGGCCTTAATCCTACCCTACTGCATATTTTGTTGTCCTCGTATAGGCATTGCTGTGAGCCAACATCTTTCATAACGGAGAACTTTGTATTTCTGTATGATAGAGCAATGCCTGCAGGAGTGTTGCGGCAGCATAAGTATAGTCATGAACCAAAGCGAGCTAGAAGACACAAAATATGGTCTTTGTTGCTGGATCCCATCAAGATGGTCTTTGTCGCTAGAACACATGAACATGCTCTTAGTCACTAGAACACATGAACGTGCTCTCTGTCACTAGAACAGATGAGGATTCCCTTTGTCACCAAAAGCACATGAACATGCTCTTTGTCTTTAGAACAAATGAATATGCTCTTTGTCACTACAGTCAAACCCGACTATATCGAATCCGTTTACACCGATTTATCCCTCAAATCGAACAATTTTTGTGCAGAGTAATATTAGTAGTGATAATATATAGCAAAAACTATTGTTGCATTGAACAAAAATAGCAGCCGCTACCGATATATCGAACTGCCGAGAGTGCCGTTTTGCTCTGCAAGCTGGCTTTCCCCAATGCGAGCGGTCGCATTGGGGGAAAGCCAGATTGCAAAGTACGCTGACTTTTTTTTTTTTTTTGGCAACCGCATTGATTGTTTGGAGGAAAAAAAATCTTTTGCGGGGGGAGCGGGGAGAGGCTCTCCGTGCTCCCTTTCACTGCTCCGTCTGCAAAAGAAGAAAAAAAAAAAGTCAGCTTCCTCTGCTAGCTGGCTTTTCCCTAATGCTGCCGCCTGCCTTAGGGGAAAGCCAACTTGCAGAGCAAAACGGCGCTCTGCAGGAGAAGGTGCTCCTGCTCGGACGTGCGCCGTGCTCTCGGCATGGTTTAGCGCTAATGCGCGAATATAAAAGGCAGCGGCCTCAGCATTTTGGAGTCCGTCGATAACGTAGAAAAATATTATGTGGATGCAATAAAGAAAAAGCAGCAAATGCAAGACTATTTTATTGTGTAATATGTCAGCAAAAAGTGGATTTTTGAGAGTCAATTTTATGAAAACTTTTATATCGAAGTACCCACTACATCGAACTGTTAGAATTTTTTTTGCGAGTTCGATATCAACGGGTTTGACTGTAGAATACATGAGGATGCTTTTTGTCACTAGAACACGTGAAGATGCTCTTTTTCACTAGAATGCATGAACATGCCCTCTGTCACTAGAACATATGATCATGCTTTGTTGCTAAAACACATGAACATGCTCTTTGTTGCTACAACAAATGGACATGTTCTTTGTCACTTGAACAAATGGACATGCTGTTTGTCACTTGAACACACGAGGATGCTTTTTGTCACTAGAACAGACGAGCATGCTCTTTGTCACTAGAACACATGATGATGCTTTTTGTCACTAGAACACATGAGGATGCTCTTGGTCATTAGAATGCATGAACATGCCCTCTGTCACTAGAACATATGATCATGCTTTGTTGCTAAAACACATGAACATGCTCTTTGCCTGTAGAACACGACGATGCTCTTTGTCACTAGAAGACATAAACATACATTTTGTCGCGACTACACTCTTTGTCCGTGCTCATCGTTAAAAATCCATGAACACACTCCTCGTCCAGCCTACTCAGTTGACTTAAACAGTGCTTATGAAAGTTTTTAGGCACGTATGCAATCCCCCAAGCAGACCATAGTTAGTGCTATGTCTATCAGGCAGTACTAACGGAAGAGGTGAACGCATTATCAGATTCCTCTGTTCTCTTGTTCACCGCCTATTAAAGTAATATTTAGTGCTGGTGTGGTTAGAAGCCATGGGTGTCATTATACGTCTTAAATTTTTGGGAGATGTAGAATAGGGCTGTTATAAAAAAAACACATTTAAGGTGCTTATGATGAGCAGGTTCTTTGATTTTGAACTAATCCTCTGCCTCCACTGTATTTGGCGCTTTTGTATTTTTGCCTCGCTTGCTATCATTTCTTTCACTGTCACTGTGCTGTCGTCAGTGTTTCATTGGAACGACTCAGCATGTGCCGCTGTGTTTCTTGTTTGCCATTTCATTTTTTGTTTTAGGGTAAGTGTTCTGCCACCAGTACCCCTTAAGAACTCAATGCTTGCATCATGCTTTCTACTTCTCAATGGACCTTCTCCGAGAAGCGTTCTGCGCACGCGCGAGCACTCGATGCCAAGCGGCGGAAGTCTGAACGAAAAATCGAGGAAATTCGGAAGGAGGCTGTATATCAGCGATTAGAACACGTAACTGCAGCATATATATATATAATTGTGTTACACAGAAAAAAGAACGACGACGGAGAGGAAAACACGACGTTTTGGTGGACGCCACGGATGCTCCTCTTTAAAGTCGCGTTGGGCAGCCGCCGCTGCTCAGAGAGCGAAGAAACTGTTAGCGTAGCTCCCATTATCGCTTGGTAGCGCAGGTAGGTCACTTCCTCGATTTTTAGTTCGTGCAGCCACCGCCTGGTGCCGTCGGTATGTGGAAGAGGTCCATTGTGGTGCTGGGTTTGGCAAACATTTTGCAAACATAACTTTTTGGCTGACCCTTTTTTTTTGCTTGTTATGCATCCTATTAATTAGTTTTTATAAGAACTGGAAGGTGTATATTATTAGACAATGAATGGTGTACAATATGTGCCATTGCACTGAAGGGTGTATTGTACATTCCACTAAGGGATATAGTATGTATCATTACACTGTGAATGGTGTATAGTAAATCCCATTACACTGAATAATGTATAATATGCACATCTTGTTTATGAAACCCATTTTGCAACATATTAATACTAGAAAACTATACAAGTGTTACAACATACATGCAAACATTGGTCTTTACTGAACCACACTACTACTTGCTAACAGGTAGGTGTGTCATAAAGGTGCTTCGGCATCAGGAATGTTGCAACGTGTTGGTCCCTCTAGTTGCCTCAGAAGTGGTGTAATATGTGGCTTGACATATACCTGACTCTGGCAATTGCGTTTCTCCTCAGCTGAAGCGACACAAGGTGGACTCCGTTCGCCGGCTAACCTCTCATCCCGTGCTGCCGCTGTGTGAGTGTCTGGTTACTGCATTACGAACGTCCTTACGGAACGGCTTCTGTTGAAGCTACAACAGGCGGAAGCTTTGTAATCACAACATGAGCAACTCCATAGTTACGATGGGAAGACGTTCCGTAGTTACGACGGGAAAAAGCCCCAATTTCATGGCGACGGCTGGGAATGTCGCAAACCTGCCAATGTCTGCTTTCGACCAGATCCAACTTCTAGAGGCTCGTTTACGCATTTGCGTTTGACTGCGTTTGACTTCGTTAAGATTGCTTGCGTCAAGCTGTTGCTATGGCGACCCTTACAACCAGCCAATGGGGAGGCGCTGCATTGCATGACGCAATGTAGCGCAACACAGTCAACGCAAATTTGGGAACCAGCCTTCACGTAAAGTTCGACCAAAGATCAGCTTTAATACGCACGAACGAAAATTGAAATGCAGACAGATGCCCCCTAGTAGACAAGGGGTGCAATATTGGTTGGGTATTTTATTGTTTCACATTTTTAAACTAACGAAAGCATCGAATGTGCGCATGTTTGCTTTTATATTGTGTAGCATTTGGTAATTGTTTTATAAAATAGAAAATAAACTAATTTATAAATTATGGTTTTGCAAATTTTCTAGTTCTTTTTGTGTGGAAGTCGGGCAACGCTGCTAATAAGTCAAACTTCGTCGAATCCAGCCAAAAGTTTTAAGGTTTGCTGAATCGGTCGAACCTCGGGATCTATGAAAGAATGCGACATCTTAGTGACAACAGGAGCCACTCCGTAGGTACGATGGAAGGGTGTCCCGTGGTTATGACGGGAGGAAGTTCTGTTGGAGCTGCTGCATTGCAGCTACGTCGGGAAGTTTTGCTACACTGTCAATTTACTCTTCTACTCTTTCTGCGTCCCAGATTTGTCTGGCTGCCAGGATGGTTCGGTGAGCCTGTGGGAGTGGGGACACACGCAGCCGGTGTCCACCCCTAGACTGGCCGGAACGTTCGCCAAGGTCACCAGCCTTCTGTTCAACCAGCAAGGCAATAAGGTATTTGGACATGTGTCTGGAGAATTTTCTTGCAGTTGGAATTATTTTTTTTTTGTAAGGAAGGTTTTTGTGAAAAAAAAAAGAAGTACTAACTTTGGGTAAGTTTAAGGCAGTCTAAATTCCATGGATTTTTGAAATATGGAGCATAGGGTACAAACCATAGTCAACTAAGTAATACCCAGTGTCTCAAATAGCGGCCAGGCTCTTTAAATCGACCGCAAGAATCGGTTTCTTAACCCCATTGTGCTATGATTTTGAGCAGCATTCCACACAGGTGGTGCATTTTTACGGGCGAAGCTCCTTAGGGTCTAGCCTTGTCCGTTTGGCGTCCATGCTCTCATCGATCTTGCTGGTGCTCGTGCTCGTGTAGGGCAAAAAGAAAATGATGAAAGAAAAGAAAAAATGTTTGCGCAGTCGACAGGATTTGAACCTGTGCGGGGAGACCCCAAGGGATTTCTAGTTCATCGCCTTAACCACTCGGCCACGACTGCGGGATGAGTAGGGGGTTCTGAGATGTGATAGCAACTCAAGAGCTGGGGATGTCACGGATGAAACGTTGCATGTAGCCGCTCAACGTCTATACAGGAGAGGGCGCTGCAGTCAAATGCGTATATAATCGCGTTAAACTTCGCATTCATTGGCTCAACGTTTATAGACGAGAGGGCGCTGCAGTCAAATGCTCAAATGCATATATAACCACGTTCCATACCACACATTCTCTTTCTGACATGGACCATTGACTTAAGCGGTGGAGATGCGTTCCCACGGCTTCTAGCGGATCCAAGCTGATCCGCTAGAAGAACCACTGGCTCTGCATTTCACCGACCATAAAGCAGTAATAATGAAGTCAAAATGCAACCTGGAAGTCAGCACTACCTATGAGCGATAAAAAAAAAAATCAGCACCATCAGCACTGCCTATGAACAAAATCAGTATCATCAGCACCACCAGAGCTTTGCCCCAATCAACATCATTCACCACGTGGAGATGCGGTCCTTTTTACTTTTTCCTCAGCTAAGTTTGCTCTTTGCAAATTTTATAGAAAAACTTGCAGTGGCTTAGCTCGGCTGTGCCAGGATATACGTAGCGTGAGCTTATGCGCACAAAATGAGTGGCGCTATCAAGCGGCTCCGGTGCAGCATCAGACTTGGCTACTGCGCAACGGAGGCGCACAGCTGGGCACGCGGCGGCGCCAGTGCGTCTGCCGCGGCTATGACGTCACTGCTCCGGAATGCGCAGACCGGCGAGGCAGGCGAGGCAACGGCGGAGCGCGCGGCGGCTGCTTCGCATGGCTCTCATAATGAGCCATGCTCGTTATGCGAGCCATGCTCATTATTCGGAGCTCCGCCACTGCTGCCGTGCGCTCCGCATAATGAGCATGGCTCGCATAATGAGCACGGCTCATTATGAGGGCCACGCGAAACTGCTCAACCTCGACCAGTGTAGCTAACGCTACAAAATGCACCACCTGTGGGCAACGCTACACAAAATTGTAGCTTGATAGGTTAAGACAGTGGTTCTCAACCGTTGTTACTTCGCGGACCCCTTGTGGATCGGCGAAGATGACGGGGGACCTCGTTCGTGGTGAGGGGAAGGGGAAAATATAGGTAAATGATGGCAATGATTGAGTAAATGAATAAACTAAGGGCTGGTGTAAAGTAGGCTTCTTTTATTGACACATGCACGAGGAAACTCACCCAAAAATTGGAACGTTTCTTCTCAATCTGGGAAAATAGAAGTTTTATTGCCGGGCTTAGCTGATGAGGCTGAGCTTCGCGGACCCCTAGAATGCCTTCGCGGACCCCCATTTGAGAACCACTGGGTTAAGAAACCGATTCTTGCGGTTGATTTAAAGAGCCTGGCCACTCTTTGAGACACCTGGTAGAATACCTTCTGGGGCAATGCCTATACCAGCATATTTTTAGAGCGTGTCTTGTAACATATGGTATACGGATAGCAACAGTTCATTTTTAAATTGTTTGATAAAGAGTGATTTGAATATTTAAATTTTGATAATTGAACATGTGTAGATGAATGAACCGTGATGATTGAATAGAATATAGGTTATGAAGCCACCAAAAGAAGAAATCTTTGGCTGTATAATGGTTCATTCATTGAATATTTTCGATTCATTCCTCTTTAAAGGTAGCGCAACATAATGAAAATGGCCCGTTGAAATTTTGATATACAGTCATGTCTCGTTAATATGGATACCCCACTATATAGACAACATTTTCAAGGATGAACTGGGTAAATACACACGTTTTTGTTTTGTTATTTTGTACAGTTCACTTTATGAACGATTTTTAGGGGGAACGGAGGTGTCCATATTAATGAGACATCACTGTAATCATTTGAACCAGTAAAATTCACGTTTGAGATAAATGTGAGCTCACCATTTCCAGTTGCTGATTCTAAACTGTTTTACATGTAAACTACTATCTCTTTTTTTACTTGTTTTATAACGAACAAATTCCTAATCTCTCTTATTCTTGCCCCTCTTCCATCAAGTTTGGCGTCACAGACGGTGACGGTAACCTCAGCCTGTGGCAAGTGGGGGTCACATCACCAAATGCCAAGCCTTTCTTTGTGAGTGAAACACTTATTTGCTCTCTTTGGGCATGTCCTGAACTCGATAAAACGCACTTAAAAAGTCTGCATGTCTTCATCATATTTTATGAACCTGGAGATGTATGGAATGTGCTGCAAATGAGCCGGGCACACCTGCTTCTATGACGTTGTAATGTCACGTTACATCATAATGTTACATGACGTCAGGGTGTTGCGTGACAGCAGGCTGTTATGTGACGTCATGGTGCAACCTGACATCACAGTTATGTGATGTCACAGAGACGTGTGACACTGTGACGTCAAAGTCACATTACATCATAATGTCACGTGACATCGCAGTGTGACATGACGTCACAGAGTCACGTGACGTCCTAATGTCAGTATATCATGTGACGTCGCAGAGTCGCATGCACCGTAACGTTAGAGTCGTGTTACATCATGATATCACGTGCCATCAGGGTGTCACTTGACATCATGGGACATCAGCATATCACGTGGCACCGTGACATCAGAATGTCACATGACGTCATGGTATCACATGACATTCTGGCATTCCTCTGGGGCTATACAGGGTCTGTCCCAAAAGTTCCCGGAATAGTTTTTTTTATAAATCATCTATTCAATATCAGTTTACAATCTTTTCAGAACTTTTCAAAGTAATCTCCCCCTGCTTCGATGCACTGTTGCCAACGCTGAACCCAATCACTGAAGGCGCCCTGGAAGCCGTCAACAGGAACCTCCTTCAGTGAGGTCGTCGCAGCTGCTTTTACCGTCTCCAGCGTCCCATGCCGAGTTCCTTTCAGGGTTCTTTTGATTCTTGGGAATAAAAAGAAGTCCGGTGGTGCCAGATCGGGGCTGTACGGTGGCTGGGGCAGCGTTGGCACACATATTTTGGCCAGCAACTCGGAGACAATGAGCGCGGTGTGGCTTGATGCATTGTCATGGTGCAAGATCCAGTTGTCGCAAATTTCTTTTCGGACTCGTCGAACCCTGTTTCGCAACCGTTTGAGCACTTCACAGTAAAACTCCTTGTTGACTGTTTGTCCCTGTGGCACGAATTCACTGTGAACCACACCTTTTCTGTCAAAAAACACAATGAGCATTGCCTTGATTCGCGATTTGCTCATCCTTGCTTTTTTCGGGCGAGGAGACTCCGTGGTGTGCCACTCGCTGCTCTGACGCTTTGATTCGGGATCGTACTCGAAAATCCACGTCTCATCCCCTGTGATCACTCTGTCCAAAAATTCTGGGTCTGTTTCGAAGCGTTCGTGCAATTCCTGACATTTCAACAAACGCTCTTCCTTCATCTCACTCGTCAGGACCTTTGGCACCATTTTCGCGCAGACTTTCCTCATTTGGAGATCCTCTGTTAAAATGCGATGAACGATTGTTTTGGGTATTCCACACTCATCTGCGACCATTCGAACGCTTAATCGCCGGTCCTTGTCCAAAACGTGACACACTTTTTGCACCGAGTCATCCGTTTGTGATGTCGACGGGCGTCCCGAGCGGTCGTCGTCGTTGACGGACTCCCGACCTTCCCGGAACCTCTTGTGCCACATGAAAGTTTGGCTTTTTTTCATTGCGTCGTCGCCGTAGGCTTTCCGAAGCATTTCGAGCGTCTCCGCCCCGTTTTTACCTAGTTGCACACAAAACTTGATTGCATAACGTTTCTCCAAAAACTGGTCCATTTTTTTTCTCGACGAGGGTGCTGTAGATGCCTCTGCGCGGAGCGTGACCTGCCTCAGCAACTGATAGCAGACAACTGAGACCGGTCTCGTTTGGAAGCTTATATCCCCCACTAACTTCTCCACCTGAAGCCCCACCCCGCCAGGCGGCGTTGCCGACCACAAAAAATCAATCCGGGAAGTTTTGGGACAGACCCTGTATGCATGCGGCATGGGTCCCACGTGTAAAATGTAACGGTTTTCTCATAGAAAACGAGTGTATAGGCACATTCTGCGTTAAAAGTAGGGAAGAAGCTGTAAATATTAATTTTCTGCAACTTTTGTACCACCTTCGTGCTAAAGCTGCAAGAAGCAACAAAGTTTTAGCTAAGCTTAAAAGCAACATTAGGTGCATGCCTCGGAAACACGGAGAAATGTTGATCTGCCTTCGTAGAGATTTAACTTGATTACTTTAGGGAAGCGGGCACAGCAGCTGCTTCAGCGGACACCTCACATTGCTCCGTGTCTTTCTTCCCTTCCGCAGAGTGCGTCGTGTCACTCTAAACAAGCGAGTGACTTTGCCTTTGTGAGCTCGTCCAGTCTGATCGCCACAGCGGGACATTCCAATGAAAACCGCAACGTCTGCCTTTGGGACACCCTCCTTCCCCACCGCAAGGCCCTCGTCTCCGGTGAGGAAGCTCCCCGCGACCCTCGCGTTTCGTGACAACGGCCTCCCAAACTGTAACTTGGAATCCGGGAGAAGAATTTCCTGGGAGACCAGAACGTTTCACTCTACGCTGTGTGTCACTAGTTGCGTGCAGTACAGGCGAACGCAATACTGGGTGAGAGGAGAAAGGGCAAGCATTAGGAAGGCTGAGGAGAGGAGAAACCTCGTCTCCTTTCTGACGTTTCTAGTGCTCTCCCTCTCTCCCCTCGCCTGACGTTGCCTTCGCCTGCACTGCACATAACTAGTGATGCAGAGTATAGGATTCTTGGCGAAATGTTGGCTTCTATGTTGAGTCTCCCTGAGTGGGTCCCTTTCTGAACTCTTCTTAGGTAGCAGCTTCCACTTCTTTGAGCTTTGTAAAAGTTTTAAACTTATCTTCACATTTATATGTTCAACCAGTTCGCTGTTTCAAAGAGGATATGCTACTTAGAAGGGTCAGCTTTTGAAGCTCTGGCTTAATATGAATTAAATTTACGTATGTACTGATAGTTGTGAGGCAGAATGCAGTGCAAAGCTTCATCTTTTTACATCAATTGTGAAAAAGGAACACACTGGAACACACTGACATTGTTTAGAGAAACTATCATTAAAAAACTAATTTGCAATACCCAAAATGTTTCTTGACTAGATGTACAGCAGAATGCCTGGACAGTGCACCTGTGAAAACAAAATTTCCAAAAAGTAATATATTTTATGCTAACGTCGCACTGAAAAATCTAATAAACGTTTCGCCTTCTATGTTGTCGACAGAATTTTAACATCTCCTATAAAAGACGTCCACAAAGTAAAAAAACAATGCCACAGTTGCATTGCCCATTAGATTCCAGTTAGTAGAAACAATGAGTGAGCTTTTCCTTTCGTCCCGTTACCAAATGAAACTTTCTAGGAATATTTTTTATATGTTGGCAGATGGCTAATCATGTCGTTTAACACCGGAGACTGTGGTGCAGAAAATGAAAAATTTTTTCATCAAAAGAACAAACACAGAATTTTTTTTTCTTTTCTGGGTAGTTTTTTTTTTTTTTTTTTTTTAAGGTATTGTTTTTGATGCGGGGACCTGAACAACTTTTTTGTGCAAGGGGCCCGTAAGAAAGAAATGATGCGGAATGGTTCGAATGTCTGTGCTCGAACTGCTGATGGGAAACAATCTCTTTGAAATGTATTGCAGTAGGATATGGTTCAATGAAATATGTTACAAACCTCGTTTAGGGGTAAGTAACCAAACTCCTAAGCAACAGAAACAAGTTTAACCTTTTTTGATAGTTACACGGAAAGCAAGTTGTCAGCTTTTCGTGCAAAAATTGCGTCGACCTCGTCGAGGTCAGTACGATGCCGAGCTCCGATTGGCTTTGATTGAAAGGATGGTGGGTATACCTCAATGCTAGATGCCTCAAGGCCTACCCACAATTTTTTTCCATCAGCCAATAAGAACTCGGCGTTTTGACATCGTCGCAACCCTTATGCAAGGAGCAGACAAACTTGCGCTCTGCACAGATTCCAGCAGTGTTCACCCGTTTCCAGTGGGGTTCTGACAAGAAAAACCCTCAGAGTCTCTAACAAAGTGAATGAATTTCCTTTGTCAGAGGATAAAGAGGTTTTGGTACTTTTGGAAGAGAAAAAATTTGACTGCGAGTACCTGTCTGTTTCATGACTTGCGAGTTTAAATATAATTTTATATCTTACTACCCAGATGGCTTTCCGGGTGATTTTTTGCATGTCATTCTGATTGAAAACTTTTCCTCAATTATAATGCATAGAATTTTTTCATATATAGTAAAGATATGGAGATGCACATAGTAATCCAGTTTTGAAGTGTGCTTGTAATACCAGTACAGAGGTGATAAAAGGTGATAAAGTATTGATGTTTTTGTTTTCTTGAAAGTAACTGAGCCTGTAAGGAGGTAGTGCTCTCTACAAGGGTCACTCGAGCTTGGTGTCATCGTTTCTCTCGGCAGCGTTCACCTGCCACGAGCACGGCAGCTCGGCGGTCGTGTTTGCGCCGCAGAACCAGCTGCTCATCTCCGCGGGGAAGAAAGGTGACATCTGTATCCTTTCTTGTGTCGGCGTCGCCCGTATCTCGAAACAAGGGACGTCTTGAAAAGACACTGAACTCCCATAAAATATAGAGCTGCTGATTACGCTCTTTTGCGCACAGAAAGAAATGTGTAAGCAATTGTCGAACTCCCGGCCACTCTCACGAGAGAAGGGGCAATGCGAACACCGACGACAAAACGTGATGCACGGCACTTTAAAAGGAAAGTGCACCGATTCTATGTATTTGAGAGCAAACTCTTGGTTTGCTCTCAAGCCAAGAGTTTGCTCTTGGTTTGAGAGCCCACCGACCTTGCTGCAACGCGTCGCAGCTATCGCTCTAACCGTACTGTGGACTGCTCAATTTTTTTTTAGCAACCACAAAGCCAGTGGGTTACGGTTGAGAGCTCTACAGCTTTCTTCTAAATGGTTTCCTTAAGTGTTTAGTTGTTTCGTGGGTAGGAGAGATTGACAACGTCCGTCATTTGGGCGGTTGTTTTGAGTGGAGCCTTGACCACTGCACCGCAGTCATCTTTGATGTGCGTCAGCGGCAGCTCCGACACAAGTTCCAGGCCCACGATACCGCCATCAAGTGCTTGGCCGTAGATCCGAGAGAAGAGTATTACATATCCGGCTCCGCAGACGGAGACATCAAGGTAAGCCTGGTAACATTCAAGAGGAGGTCCTGGTCACAATCATTTTTCTGTCAATTCCATTCAATTTATATTACATTGTCACATATACTACAGCATTTCTTGCGAAGCACAAGCATTAGCTCATTGTTTTCCTATCTAGGTATTATAGTTTCCGAGGAAATTTCAACTTTGTCACATACATTTCTGTCCGACTTTTCTAAAATACCCCCATCAAAAACTATGCATATCCTAGAAACAGTAGACAGTGAAACAAAACTATTCTTGTAATTTTAGCTTAAGCAAAAAAAAATGTTATCTCAATTTGAAATTTATTTTGTTAAGGATTAGAAAGGAGTCATTAAACTCTTTGCCACTTAGAAAATTTTTGTAAGTTAACATTTTTCAGAAATATTAATTTTGTTGCACTATCTGATTTGTAAAGTATCCAACCCTAAAAAGAAATATATTCAGATCAAAGTTCTAGATCCAAAGATACTGTGGCAAAACAATTTTTGTTGGGGTGAAAAAATAAACCCCCAAAAAACATAGAAAGCTTTCCAAGACATGCTTGTGAACAGCTCAAGTAAAAAATTTTGAATCGATGCAACTATGTAAATGTGCACTTCCTGAGTGTAGAAATTAGAAAATATGTTGTAAATGCACCTATAAACGAGGAATTTTTTTTGTTTTATAATTTTTGCTTTTTAAGATTAGGATCTCACTTCAAGTGATACACTAGCCAGTGCAGTTCATCATCATTATTATGTTTTTGTCTTTGAACAAAACCTCATTTAACTAGCAAGGTTAAACCAGCCGGCATGGCACCGTATTCCATGGCTGTCTGTCGGGTCCCTATCATTTTGCCGAAACTCGTTTCGTGGAATTATGTTTCGTGGACAACTTTTCATGAACACACGATTCGTCGACACTTTCGTTTTGTCGACACTCATTACGCGAGTTGCACGGTGTATGGACATTTCGTCACGCGTGTATCACTGGGGTGCACGTTAACCTACCCCCCACCTGCATTCATGCCGCTTTGCGGCAACAGTCTGAGGCGGCTCATTACAAAAATTTGAGCTCACCTGAGCGACCCGTACACGCCGCTTCATGGCGACAGCCTCCTGCAGCTTATTACAGAATAAAGCTAATTTGAGCTGTCGATGAAACGATTTGTCGATGAAATAATCTCAATACACTACAATTATCATTACCATTTATTCAACCTTGAGGGCCTCTAGGGATTTAAGATGAAAAATAAGAACTTGCATTCCCCATGTAAGCTTGCCCTTCTAGTACTTGTACTAAGCGTTAGCTTTTCAATGGTCTAAGCAACACGGTTTTGTTTGGCATCTCTTTCACACGAGGGTGTGTGTGAATGGAACGCAAGGCAAAGCCACGGGTTCTCGCAGATGTGCAAGGCTGCAGTGGTGGATAAACAACTTTGACAAAGTTGCAGAAAAAAAAAAAGAAGAAAAAAAAAAAGAAACGAGCATAGGGATGTTATAGGATGCCACCAAACGTAACTTTGTCAGGCACCTGCTCCTCGTCTTTTTAAGTCTTTTTTGCGTGAAATTACGGTCCGTAAAAACGCAGGGGTTGAGGACAACCACGCATAAGAAAGGCATTTAGAAAACGCTCGCTTCTGCGGTTTACAATGGAGGGCGCTTCACAAGAACCACGTTAAAATGTGGAAGAAACCAAGAAATTAAAGAGATTAACAATTCCCTGTAATACCAAATTAGAGTGCAGCTTTTGAGGAGGAGGAAAGGAGGGTATGGAGAGAAGGGTATTCTCTCTTCCTCCTCCCCCTTGTGACGTCATGAAGGTCACTGTGAAGGTTGTGACCTTCATCGTGACCTTCACAAGTGACCTTCGTGACGTCATTCGTGACCCTCGTGATGTCACGTGCGATGTCATTATGCGAAACGTCCCATAATGCAACGTGCACTTACGCTGACGGGGATGGCGCCAACGATGCTGCTCAAGCCAGAAACGGGCGCCTAAGAGCTGTGCTCTAGAAACGGTGCAAAGACTTAATGTTGTTGTTTTTTTGCGTTTTTATTTTAGGTGTGGGGCCTGTCCGTGCACGTGCTGCTGTACGCGTTTCCCAACGAGCACTCGCGGAGCACGCTGTTCCGTAACATCGGCATGGGAGTGACGCACCTGTCGACCGACGCCCACGGACGCCTCTACTCGTGCGGAGCCGACGGATCCATGAAGCTGCGCCAACTCCCCGACCGAGACGCCGTGGTCGCGAGCTTCATCTAGAAGTTCGCGCCGCCTTCGCCGCACTTCACACCTCGCTCCGGAACCTCGTCGCAAGCTTCGCCAAAACTCCGGGCTCGTTTTCCCCGTTCGACTTCATTCCCGACACATTCTTCTTTTTTTACGTTTGCGGTACGCCGCGTTGTCAGTTTATCTAGCTTTTTCCGCAGTTCGAACGGAACGGTAACTTGACAGACGTGCCCCGGTGTTTTACGAGAGTTACGCCGGCATCGAAGCGAACGCTTCGCTTTCTTCCGTCAAGGAGGCAAGATGGCCGATCTCGAGCTGCGACTCTGCCGCCTTTCCTTTTTTATTTTTTTGCCGGTTCTTTGTTCTTGGACGTGAGGTTATAGCTGTGATAAGTTGCTCCCCCCCTCCCGTTAGGTACGGCCACCCGCACCCATTCTCGTCCCGAAACGTGCACTTGTGGAGTTTCGCGTCATCGTCGGCCACGGCCGTCTGTTGTGCGGGGAACAAAGGGGGAATGTCGGATCGCCTTATGCAACAGAAAAAGAAGAGAAAAAAAAAAAAAAGCTCGCGTCAGACGTTTTGTTTTTGATTAAACTTATTCTCGATGGTGGGCCGCCGATGCAAGCGCGGAACCTGTTGAGGTGTCGCGGATGCCGCCAAGTTATGTGTCAGTCCGTTTTCGTCGCTAGTCATGTTTTTAAATGGCAGTCGAGACTCGTCGCGTCTTCGGAGAACGCAAGGACTCCGTGCAAGCGGAGAGCCGAGAGAAACGCGCCTCGACGGCGGCGTCGAACGTCTGCTACGATGTCTCGTTTCGATTCGGAGCGAAAACGCGATTCTAGCAAACGACAACGTGCAGTGCTGTGGCGCGTGTGCCAGAGTTCTAAAGCTCCGGGTTGCGTATGTACATAATGTATTTATGAATGTGGAATTTTTTTCGGCTTACACCTTCTGGGTTCTACTTAGCGCCGATTTTTTTTAGATGCAACTGAATTACGGAGAGTACTGCGAGATGTGTCGACGATTGTGTCCTAAAATAAAGATGTGTTTATGGTGTAACTTGTTCTTTCTTCTAGGAGCGAGAAGTGCCGCATTAGAGGTGCGCTGGCAGGTAAAACGATTAAAAACTGTGCCTGGACATTACCCTCAAAATTCGAAACTCAGTATTTGTCAAGTAAAAAGAACAATTTCTTTAAGCAGAATTTGAAGTTCCCTTGCTATCAGCGCCAGTGCAGTGACGTCAATGATTGAGTCGTCCTGCAACTCGAGTTTCTCTTGCGCCTGCAAACAGAGTGTTGTGTTCACCTGCGTCCCATTATCAACCACTTGCGTGCCGGCTATTGCTGTGAGCCAGACATGTATGTAACGCGTTACAAGTAACGAGTTAATTCTACCTAGTTACTATTTTCGGTAACGAGTAACGTATTTAGTTACTTTTTAGAAAAGGAACGAGTCGCGTATTTAGTTACTTTGAAGGCCAAGTAACGAGTAATGGTATTTCGTTACTTTTGAGGAGTAACGTGTACAACACCGCTTAAACGGTCTTGTTTTTATTCTAGCCTGAGTATGCGTCTATTGCGAGAACGGTAGGTGGGCAACCCGAAAAACATCTAAACTGTACGATAGTACAGGAACGTATATCGCTGAACACGTAAGTCGAACAGTTCGACTAATCTGTCCAGCGATAAACGTTGCTGTACTGAACTGTACAGCTGGGAATGTCCTTCACCCAGTGAACGCAATAAGGTTCATTGGTTGAACTTTCTAGAGCCGGGTACGGACAGAATGTAAATTCTGAGGTTGTGAACACGAGAAGGCAAAGAACCCATTACCCGCTGTCCTCAATGAAGGCGCAGTTCTTAAAGATTCACCAGCTCTTCCTGAAGCACAACACTGCCGTTCCTTCGAGCGCGTCGGTAGAACGACTCTTCAGTATCGCCGGAGATGTATTTTTAAGGAGCGGGGAAACATAACTGGTGAAAACTTCGAGAGGTAGCTACTGCATAAGTGCTACGACTACTGAAAAGAAAAGAAGAAACCATGAAACAAAAACAGTTGTGTATTTGGTCGTCCAAGTAACGTGAAAAGTAACTCGTTACCTTTAACGTAACTCGCGCGTTCCTTTTGAGAATCGATAACGAGTAACGGTATTTAGTTAGTTTTTTGGGTAACGTATACATGTCTGCTTTGAGCAGACGACGCTTCGCTTTCAAGTTTGAAGTTCTTTTAGGGCCCTTTCAGCGATCTCAATCTCTCTGAAACTGTGTGAGGTCGGAGAAAACACGCAGTGGACTTTTGTGAGTGATGTGAGGGACCACGACGCACCGGTTCTGCGTGAAAGGCTGTCCCAGTGGAGTCACAACCGAAACTACAGTACACAGACACCAAACCCAGTTGTTTTGACCGGTTGACGATTTTTTTTTTTTCGAAGTCTGAGAGGTTGTTTGATTCCCCCACTCGCCGATCATCCTCGGCGCTACATGTGTCGAGCGTCGCCGTGTTTTCTGAGGGAGGATAGAAAGCCGGGAGGCGACATCACTCCAGACTCCGATTTTCTGTATTTCAAAAGCAAAGGTTGTAGTGCATCAGCAATTGCATTAAAAAACATGTTTTACGGATGCCATTATTAAATATTAGAAAAATGTTGCTTACAAAGCTTCTAAATTTCATGATTGATTACACTATAAATAAAAAGCGGGAGAGAAAAGCACCAAAAGTAAAAAAGTGCACACACGTGTGGAAATTATTTTGGCATGTTTATGACTACAACTTGCATCATTTTTGACACCGACAAAACAATACTACCTCTGGGGTATCGGTGCCCCTTTAAGAATTATGTATGCCTTTTCTCTTGCTGTTGTTAGAAAAGATGTCGTGCAACAGCACTCGGGACCCTTTGCCTGGTGTGCTGCGGACGTCTGTCGAGGCAATCTTTCATCTGATGGTGTCGCATGACATAACATCATGCAATGAAGCGTCGCGACATCAGTGTCATGTTGTGACATTTGTGACCTCGACATGCGACGCAACATCGCGAGATGTGTGTAATGTTGTGAAAGTGCGAAGTGACACTGTGAATCGTACACAAAATCGGGTCTTTATACAAAACTTGGCAATCAAGCTGTGACAGACGTATGAACACAATCTCGCAGTTTGATGGCCTTAGTATTGCTATCATACTAGAGGTGGTTTCACTGACAAATGAACTTGTATCACAAGGTTGCCCAAGCTTTCTTGTAATATGCATCGATATCCGTGGAAAGCCAGGAGCAGGCAGCAGGTTTCCTATGCATGCTTGGCTGTATTGTGGAAAAGCAGCAAAATAGGAGTGGCCCCCATATGGTTCTTTAAAACCAAATTGCACGCTAAATTTTTTTTTTTTTTGTACAAAACTATTATTATTTTTGTCTAAGCATGGCTAACTAATAAGTCAAGTACAACTGACATAATCCTTGAATCCAGTGTCGTGCACAAACAGTAATATGCCATACAGGGGATCAAAGATGAGCCAGATTTACAAAGTCAACCACACTTTTTGTTTCACTTTACCGAAACTATCGCACAAGTCGCAACACGCGACAGGCTTAGTTTAGCTTCCCTCGCTTGTCCGCTTTCCGCGATTGTTCTTGCACAAATGCCCTTCGCAGCAGAGAGGCGACCTGTCACACCGACACAGCACCGTAGTTCACAGTCACAAAATCTTAACACCGACGGTGGGGTCAGACGGACGTTTCCAGGGCTGCGTCGCGACCCTTGTCATCTTCCGCAAAGGCTAAGGTTGTCGGTCGACAGCTTGCCAAGGGTTCCGTGGCAGCGGCGGCTTTTCCATTGTTGCCAGCTGGGGTGGAGTCGAAGTCGACTCGCCGCGATTCGTCGGCGTCCCGATTGGGCAGACAGTCTTGCGCCACTGGTTTGTGCACCGGCGTGCCTTTGTCGTGGGAAGCAATGCTGCAATAGAGCATGACAGCATGTCCAATTCGGTCCACCGAAATTTACTTGGGGACACAATTAGCCTTAACGACTCGAGAACAAACTTCCAAACAATACTATATTCAAGAAAGTAAACAGATGAAAAACACACAACTTTCACAAAATATCTCGGATTCAATCTCCAAGAACTCGACTCTAAGAAACGGTGCATTTCGCATGCACCAAGAAAGGATGGCAGATATATTTATTTAGGCCACCCATAAATCTTTGGTACTGGGGCCCCCCGTGAAAAAAGTACTATAGTATAGACCTTTCCAGCGGTAGTCTCGAACGAAGCGATTTACAGCGCGCGTGCCTGGTTTTGAGAGAGTAGGTACGTCAGCGTCGCCCGACTGCTCTGGGCTGTGAATTTTCTAGTCGGTGGGCTGTGGCAGCCTGCGTAGGCGCACTTGTGGACGGTGGAGACTAAATTGCCGCATTCTATTTTTTATTTTCTGTTCTACTATGGAGAACAGAATTTCCTGCGGTTTTTAAGAACGCCTTGAACTATTATTGGGAACAAAAACAAAGAAATGAAAGCTGTTTTGGTGAGTCCATGCGCGAAAAGAAATGCAACTGGAATGTTTGTTTCATTTTATGTTGATCCTTCTACGGCACCATACACTCAGCCGTGTCAATCTACAATCTACAAAAATATTTGACCACACAGGATATCCACATTGCATGGATATTCCTTACCCACATGTAATTCAATGAGTTTCATCAATCGAACAACATGTATTGTACGTACCCCACGGTGCCGCGTCATCCAGACAGGATTTGAGCAAGGTCTCAAATCATATCCAATATACAGTGTCGACGATTGGACGGAATCCAGCGTGTTTCGAGACGTTTTGAAGAGAGCTGCTTTTTTTGCACAGCTTCGAAGCAAATGAACGAACGTCTGACCACACCCCAGACCCAACCCTATCACCTACTTTTTGCGAAACCAGGAACATAGCTGGGAAGGCTTTTTGGAGATTATCTCAACGAAAATATTTCTTGAAGAATGTCAAACGAGCCGCGTCGCTTGCTGCTTAACGTTCGCTCTCTTCGCTCGTTTCTAGCGAAGGCTGTTCAGCCAACGAGCCCCGACATTCTCTGGTTCTCACAGTAGAAGAAAAACACAAAGGGTAAGCATCCTAAGCAGGCAAACAAGGTAAAAATTGCCCGCATCTCCACGTGGTGAATGATGTTGATTGGGCAAAGCTCTGGTGGTGCTTGTCTGCGTAGACGCTGAGCTGCAGCATGCCGAGCCTTTCGTTTGTTTTCATCCATGTCAGAAAGAGAATGTGTGGTACGGAACGTGGTTATATACGCATTTGAGCATTTGACCGCAGCGCCCTCTCGTCTATAAACGTTGAGAGAACGCATGCAATTTTTATTCTGGTTATATACGCATTTGACCGCAGCACCCTCTCCTGTATAGACGTTGAGTGGCTACATGCAACGTTTCATCCATGACATCCCCAGCTCTTGAGTGGTACCACCGCATCTCAGAGCCCCCTACTCGTCCTGCAGTCGTGGCCGAGTGGTTAAGGCGATGGACTAGAAATCCGTTGGGGTCTCCCCGCATAGGTTCGAATCTTGTCGACTGTGCAAACATTTTTTTTTTGCTTTACACGAGCACGTGAGCACGAGCAAGATCGATGTGAGCACGGACGCCAGACGAACAAGGCTAGATCCTAAGGAGCTTCGCCCCTAAAACTTCCAAGAAAAGCCGGCGAACTCCGAATGCACAATGCAGGTGGGGAGCCACGCTGACAGGGTTTCCCCAGCTCAGGCAGGTGGCAGAAAGTTCTGGCTGATAGGGGTCGCTCGGTTCGCAAAATGGCGGCGGCCAGAGAGCTCTTTTTGCAAAGCCGTGGACCCTTTGGGGTCTGCGAAGGCATTCTAGGGGTCCGTGAAGTCCTGCATCATCAGTCAAGCTCGGCAATAAAGGTTGTCTCTCTTCAGATTGAAAAGAAATGTTCCTATTTTCGGTGAGTTTTCTCATGTGTATATCAATGAGAGAAGTCTGATTCACACTAGCCCTTAGTTATATCCATTTATTAAATTATTATCATAATTAACCTGTAACTCTATATTTCCCTCACCATGAACTTGGTCCTACATCATATTTGTCGATCCACAAGGGGTCCGCGAAACATCAAGGGTTGAGAACCACTGGTCTATATGTTTCGTGTCCATTTTGTGTAATTTTTTCATCTTGTATCATAAGTGAACCCATATATTCTTTTCGTCAATGGCCATTAAAAAGATTGCAAAGAAGCCCAAGTTCTGCTGAACCAATAATAGAAAGAATTCAGTTCTGTCCCACATTTCACTGTCATTAAAGCAAAAATAGAACCATGCATAGGACCTGAGGTTCGTTAGAAACAACTCCTGGTACGCATCTTGGGGATGTAAATTTCCTCTATATAAATTTTTACAGAATTGCAAGCCCTAACATGCGTCATTTTTACATCCTTGAACTCATGACCAAAGCTCATTCGAGGTGACTAATTGCTAACAGCAAGGCAAAGAAGAAGTTCTAAAAAAACTGCTTGCAACGTTTAATGTAGCTCAAACCAACATTTAATGGCTATTTTCAGATGACACTTTTGCTTTCATTTTAGAAGTACGTACTATGTAAACAGTAGGTAACAAACGGTGTTCAAATGGACAATTCATGTCGGCACTGTGTTCAGTGCGACGTTGTCGCTGCTGGCATAATATGCGTTTGCTTTGTCCACGACCGCTTCGTCAAAATTCAGATTTTTCGGCTAAGCTTTGGGCATTCACTTCTCACAACACTTAATACACATATTTCAGTTTTCATTTCTCAGGTGAGTCCTTACCTCTTCTTTAGCTCTTCAAGGATGTCCATGAATGCAAGATATTGCTCCTGCCCAAACTCCTAGAAAAGAGATAACAGGCTTGAGTAGGATGATCTCAAAGGATCATGCAAGAGTGGCCACGTTCGATAAAGAGACGTTTTCACACATGGGAAAGGATGCGACTATACAGTTGGTACAAGAGGTCATGATCAGTATCCAAATCAAAAACGAGTGAAGTCGGGGATGGCCATATGGACACACGCAAAAGAGCCATAAAAAAGAACAATTTTAAGTGAAGCTGTGTCGTATCTTGATGTGCAATTGACTGTTAACAATGTGAAAATATGTACTACCATAATATCCCAAAAGATAACCCACCCCTATTCTTGGCACAATTTTCTGTTTTTTTTTTGTTTTTTTTTAAATTACCGAAAGATAGCTTAATTTTAGTAATTGCACTGCCCTGCCCAACGGTGACCTCGGTCAAAAGGGAGTTAGTGAGCCAAGGCAGGAGATATGCAAAGGCCACTGACTGGTAAGTTTTCTACGCTTTATTGTCCCTCAATGAAATAACAAGTTTGGCAAATCAAAAATGGCATTTTTAAAAGTTCTTTTGATTGCACATTGAAGTAGGCCTCCTCTTCATTTTCATCCGATTTCTCCCGCTTTTAGGCGGGCTATATCTCGGGATATAGCGGTTGATGAGAACTTCTCTGTTGTACCTTGGGACCATGCCTGGCATGTTCGTAGAGATCAAGAAACTTGTGAATGCTGCGCAAGTCGCAGTCGGCAAAGGGGCCTCCATGCACCTGACGCAGAAGAAACACCCGAACGTCCTGCCCAGGCTTGCGTGTCTTTGTCTTGTCCTTACAGCAGAGCAGCTCCTCTGAAGGAGTAAATTGAACGGATTACACCTTTCAGATACATCCTTAACTCTCGCAGAAACGGGTTTATCCATGGAAAAACCTACCTAGTTCAGCCAAGCTGTCCACAACGGCCATACGAAACAGATGCTGGGGCTGTGCTATGAAAAGAAGTGGCGAGAGTTAACTTTGGCTCTTTTTTTTTCCAATGTTCACCGATTTGACAAAAGGAGGCACATAACCTCATGACAAAGCATGCAGGATGCGGACACACACACAATTAAAGTTTCACCGTTTGGTTTGGCTGACATTTTAAAAGTTAAAAGATAAAAGTGCCTAGCACCTGAGCTGGCCAGAATGACATATAAATGAGAGCATTATATGCAGAGTAGCATATATTCTACTCTGCATATAAATATGAAGCACATACATGAACCTTGTTGACAAATTTCATTCAATGAAAAACTGAAGGTTTTGCATAAATAATAGAAAGTGGTGCCTTCGTGCTGGCTGAATGTGAAATAAGTTGGACTGGATTGCTTGAAGGACAACGTGTACTACCTTCGAAATGAAAATCTTTTCCTTTCATTGCTGAAGACTCGGAGTGTGAAATACATCAATGCCGTGCCATGTAAAAGCTGCAGGTTGGCCTTTATATTAAAGTGGACATAAAATGTGTTGTTTCCTTCAATCGTGATAACACGCAATGATGATCAGTCAACCTTCTGGTAATTGAAGCCGACAAACTTCCGTACCTGACGCCAGACAGTTTCCCTCGTCAAAGTACGACTTTTCACTTCGCTTCAGGAGCACTGGCTCGAATGTTATGTCCTTGATTATGAGCAGTCTCCTATCCACTTCATCTTTCAGTGACTGGAAACAATTGTGGAAAATGCACGAGATCGTTACATGAGAACAGCTAGTAGTAAAAATATTGATGTTACACAGGCGAACAAGAAAGCCCATACCTTTGACACGCCATGACCAATGGGGACATGTGGACTGTGCTTGGACTTGAGCGTAAACCTCATGATCTGTCTCTTTGTAAATATAAATAGTAGCAGAAAGGTCTAGAGAAACAAAACAAAAAAGAAAGAAAAACGCCCATTAAACACTGCGCAGAGGAGCTCCTCTTGAGAAGGAAAGCAACTAATTGCACGAAGTTTCATAGAAGCTTGATGCTTTCTTACCAGAACACCAAGCGCGATGCAGATAATAATTGCAACTCCAGAGAGCCGATCCGCCATACCGTTGATCTCAGTTTGGCACGTCCAAAAATGGATTTGTCCTCGAGATATTTTGATACTCCATAGACAAAGTTAGCAGCAGCATTACAAACCGCCGCTCAATCAACACACTTGACGTGTACTCGACTAGCTACCTCAAGGCGACCTACTAGGCTAACAACAGGTGCGAACAGTCGTTCACTACTTCCTAGAGACACGAAACATCAGTTGCCCATTGAATAAGCTGCAATTACGACAGCTGTTCAGGAAGTTTCACGAGTTTAACGAGGAGTGCAGTTGAAACCGAAACCCTAAAAAAGCAAAGAGGGCGCACAGGAACGGAGTGGTTCGCTAAAATCAGGTTACTTCGCAAAATAACCAAATACAAGAATCCGATTGGCTGCCCCGTGTTGAAGCGACCTTTCTTTTGCGAACCGTCCGTCAAAGCACGTGACCACAATGCTCTTCGTGCGTTGCCACCCCAACAAGATGGCTGACAGCGACTCGGAGAAAAGTCCGCCTCCGAACGATGAAAAAGCACCGATGCTTCACATGGGGCCCCGAGTTGTCACCATCTGCAAGACTGAAACGGGGTTCGGCTTCAACGTTCGCGGCCAAGTGAGCGAAGGTGGCCCGCTCAAGAGCATCAACGGCGAGCTCTACGCTCCTCTCCAGCACGTCAGCGCCGTTCTCGAAGGGGGAGCCGCCGAAGAGGCTGGAATTCGTCGCGGTGACAGAATCCTTGAAGTGTAAGCTGTGTTAATACCTTCGCAATTCACTTCCTACTCTCTCCTCCCGTGTTCGGCGTGTGCGGGAAACCGACCGTGACCCAGCGTTGTGCGGTGAAGCCGTGTGCTTTTCCTTTTGAAACCGTCGATAGACCTCGTTTGTTGGTGTTTGGTGCGTAAAGTTCTAATTAAGCCTAATCGGTGCCGTATTTTTCCGCTTGGTTACCCCGTTCCCAGTCAGCTGTTCGCCTCTCCGACCCAATTTTACGTGACATGATTGTTAAGCTGCGTTCCGTGCTGACGCGAGCCCGTTTTTTGGGCGTCCGTGATCGTAGCATCGACGCGCAGAAATCGCGTCGGTGGTTGTCACAGCGAGATTTTTGTTTTTGTTTTTTAAAGTAAATGTTCGATGTCCGATCATTTTTTATTGGCGACTCAGTAAACTTGTTCGCGGATGGATTACTCACGTGAACAGCGACCTTGACGCTACGCTTATCTTTTCTGCAGACCTCGCGAATTAGAGATATCACGGAGTTCTCTGTTTTTTACTTCTTAAGATTTGGGTAGGATAATTTGTAGTCTGGACGACTTCGGTTCGTGCGTGAACTTCGAGATTCAGAGGAACAGACGTTAAAAAATGTTCGTAAAGTTTCACAAAAAAAAAAAAAAAAATTTGGTTGATTTTGGATGTCTGTCACCTCCTGAAAAAAGGAAAAGAAGGTTTATGCTCGGTTCACACACTGCACAAAGTTTGAGGTGCGCACAGTGAATCGTAGGCTGTAAAACGAGCCGGAAAACTCGGCACCTGCATGCAGAAAGCTCAAACTTTTTCTGAATGTGCATTAAGGTGGTCAGTTTTACCTTGTGAAATTTCAAGGTGTAATTAATAATAATAATAATAATCTTTATTTGCAAGAGCAATGTAACCCCGGGTGGCTTGCGAGGCGAAGACAGAAAGGCGAGAGCCCGTACACTAGAGTGCCTGTCAGCCAACCACCCGTAAAGAATGAGGCCAACCAACTTTTCAAAGTGTTGCAACTTGCGCTTTATTATTGTCGCTTGTAGTTTTGAGCAGTTTATTCAGTGTCGGCTGCACCGCGATTATTTAGCGATTACCTTTCATCAATCCACCTCTTTCGGCGGAAGTGCCCCCTGTCAAAGACTTGGTTCGTTCGAGGATTTCTTGGTAGGAAACTCGATTAAAGAAAAGATGCCAGTAGCAAGGAGAGGGGCGATGCCTCTTTGTACTACTTAGGAGGCAAAAGATAAGCCACAATGGTCACAAAAGCAATGTCTGGGATCTGAATCAAGGTCACCGTAGCCCACTGGAGCTGACAAGATCTAGTGTCCTCACTGGGGTGAATGTTTGCTCTCGCTTGTGCCAGACTCGTGTAGCTTCGTATTGGAAAACCCTCGAACCGGGTTTCCGGAAAAGGGTAAATTGGCACGGGACGTTCGGACAGGGTGTACGGGGCAAGTAAGTGTACCAAAACAAGTCCCACGTGCAGAATTGAGGAGCTGTGAAAAGTTGAGAGGGTGGGGTCGTTTGTGCGACAAAGCTTAGTCCCGGTGGACATTGCCCTCTTCGGAGGATACCAAACATCTTGGACTTGAGTTCATTGTAGTGCATCGGGTAGTTCCTAGTTGACAAAACAACATAACCTTAAAACTATTTAATCTCCCCTTTCTTAGAGGCCAAGTCCTCGTTTGTAAACAACTGGTGGATGTCCGAAAGCAATGAATCGTGAGGCAGCCATTGCTGCAACGAACAGAACACCAAAGCTCGGCACCCTCCGGCCGCACCTTCTGTGCAAGGAGCAGACGTACCTGCTCGCTCCGCTTGCAGAAAAAGAAAGAGGATTTCTGTCTGCCTATTATGTCCTCCAATTGGAGCTTGGCACCGTGACGTCGCCATACATCTGTTCAATAAGCAGACGAACTTGCCCGCCGCTTGAAGTGTCGATTGCTAAGTTCGCTCGTGATTTTGCTTTGCAGCAATGGAGTCAATGTCGAAGGTGCAACCCACAAGCAGGTCGTGGACCTTATCAAATCTGGTGGCGACAAGCTCACGCTAACGGTCATTTCAGTCACAGCTCAGGTGTGTCTTTGGTGATGCAATTTGCCTGCTCTGCATTCCGTGGTGGGCCGCTTTCGAGCATGTTCTGTGCCCTGTTCTCACTAGGAAGCTGAACGGCTGGAGCCCAGCGACGATTCCTCTGGTGTTTCTTACGTCGACTACAGCGAAAAACGTTCCCTACCAATCTCCATTCCGGACTACAACTGGCTAGAGCGGTCGGGCGACAAGTTTGTGGTAAGGGTGCCTTCTCACTGGCTGCTTCTTTCCTATCTGTTTTGAAATAGTCTTGGTACGCATAGAGGCTGGAATTGTTAAGTAGTTCATACGTACAGGGTGTTTTGTGTAACGCCGATGAAATCGTGCCTCTAGTCTGCCTCGCCGGAAGCCTCTCTTACCGTTGCAACCAGGCTTTCAATAGTCTGACAGGCAGCACCATCTTAGGTCAACTCTTTCCTGACCACGGGGACGGTAGGATTTTTCAAAGGATCTGTGCACACGCTTTTATTTTCCTAACCGATTTGCGTCTGGAGCAGTATGACCCATAAAAATGCGACCTATTAGTTGTTCTTTCACAAGAAACGAAAGTTAACATGATATGGGAAAAATATTCGAAAATTTTATTTCTTGAAAGTACAATGTATGTGCAAAACGCGTATGAAGGCCAAATTTTTTACAGCTATGTCAAATAAAATTAATTCAGAATACACAAAATGTGCCCCACACCCTTAGCTATTACCTCTGAAAGTTAGCACACTCTAACTGACGTCTATTTCTGGTTTGTCAGAGTTAGCTTCCGTAACACGTGTGCTTTTCAATGAAGGAATGCTTATATTGGTGAAACACAGCTCACATCCCCAGCAGAATATGCTTTCTTTGTGTTCTACCTGGGTTTTGTCATAGCTTTGATTGCATTCCCTTCATATTTAGCATTTTTGTCCACCTTGCTGCGAGCATAAAACGTGCACGCCGACTTGGGACAGCATTGGAAATGACAGTGATGCTTACCGACAACCATCTGCTAAGCGACGCCTATAACATTATCTAAATTGTCTCCGTAGCTTTTGAGGTCTAAAAAAATATCCCACAATACAGTTTAATTATGTCAATAATGCCATCTTTGTTTCAAAGACTGATGTAAGCCGTTAGCCATGTTATACAAGTGCAACCACCGTTCCCGGGTCTATTTTTGACTGCACACCAGCTTGTGATGAAGCTCAACCCTACGTTAAAACCGAAACTACAGTTCTTCGGCTATCCACGAGATTGTGGAACATAATTTTCCGCACTAAATTTAATTTCTTGCCGGCGCTTGGAATTTTTATTGATCACCTGTGAGCGATTGCCTATGGGCACTCAGGAAAAAGTTAAGCTCTGGCAAAATTATGAAGGTTGCTGATTTTCCTCAAAATTGGTTCATCATATCAACAGACACATCTGAACTAGTTTCGCAAATTACGAGTCACCATATTTTTTTTTTCCCGCGAAGTTGTTGAAACTTAGTCTTGTCTGAGAGACCCTACTGGCAGCACTGAAGACGTGATGTCAGACGTTATAATAGAGGGGCAGTATAGCTCGCAAAACCTCTGGAGTGCCCCTTTAAGTTATTGTGACTAGGGATGCCGCAAACTTTTTTCGAATCGAAGTTTCGATGATCGAATCAAGCGGTTCGAAAGGTTCGAAAGATTTCGAATTTTTGAACTTTCCATATCGAGAAATTCGACGGAAGTTGAATTTTCGAACTTATTAAACTAAGAAGTTCGATGCTTTTCGAATTTTCGAACTTATTACGCTGCAAAATTCGATGCTTGTCGAACTTTCAAACTTGATAGACCGAAAAATTCGATGATTTTCGAACTTTCGAATTTCTTGCACTAAAAAGTTCGAAACTTTTCGAACTTCCTACGCTAAGAAATTCGGTAATTTTTGAACTTTCCAACTTATTAATCTAAAGAATTCGAAAATTGTCAAACTCTCAATTCCTGAAAAGTCAAAAGTTCGACGAACTTCGGACTTTTAGGGTAAAAGTTCGAAGTTCGTCGAACTTCGAAAGACCGGCGGGCGGTTTCATTTGGATTCAAGCAGTGAGGTACATTCGTAATTTTTTTCGCAATTTTACATGGGGTGCCGCATTCCTTGCAAAAGACAATGCCGTTTATTTCAATCATCTGGCATGCTTGGTTTTAGAAAAATAGATTCCCGAAGGATCGAGGAAGGACGACGGGTTTTTGACGATTGTCGTTTGTGCCATATTTCAAGCGCGCTATAGCCGAAGCTATTTATGGTAGAGATGTTACACTTTTTAAGAATGATCTATATATAGCCTAGGTGGGTGTCATCTTAAGATATGATTATCGTTCAACACCGAGTTCCGAATAAATATCCAGACATGTACCTACGGACAATTATGCCCTAAACTTGGTAATTTTTTTCGCCTAGATTGTTTGGGGTATCACATTTAAATTAACACCAGAGACAGTACATATCATTACCATCTGCAGAATACAAAATAATGTATTTATTGTTTTTTTGTTTTTTTTCACGTTGAGGAATAAATTAACTCATGGGGGAAGAATTCTAAAATTGTTCAAGTTCAGCGCGTCATAAAAGAAAGTTTTTTTCTCATTTTACGTTTTTGGGACGTGTTTCTTTTGGCCTGTACACATTTCAGTAGGAGAAACTTGTTTCATAGTTCTGGGCCTCTGAATATGCAAGAATACAACACTTCCGGCGGGTTCTTATTAGATTTTTTTTTCTCCGGCTTTTTATTTTTGAATTTATTGTTATGTTTATTTATTGAATATTTTTTACCAATGGCACAGTTATTTAGGTCGAAAAGACATAGCTTTGAACTCTCGAGCCACCGTGCATGTGACGAGTAGTGCCTCCTGACAACGAGTTTCTAAAGGCCTGTTCACACATGCAGCGGAGTGCTACAAGCATAGCTTTAACTTGTGCTAAGCACGTGCCGACGGGAGCGTCCACCAGCTTTGTATCGCACCGTCAAAACTGTCGCTCATGGCATGCGATAAGTACCTGATGGCACGTGAGCAGCGTTACATCAGCGCTTCGCTGCAATGACCATCTACGCTATCTTTTATGCAGTGAAGAGCGACAATGGCTATAGATATGCATAAATAATTTCAGATTAAAATAAGCTCGACCATGCCCTCCTCCCCGTATTGTTTTCTTTAACAATCCGAAATATCTGGGAGGGGGGGGAGACTGGAGCTCCCCCCCCCCCCCCCCCCCCTCGTTTTTCCTCTTCCGACGCCACTGGTATGGTAGGACGCTCCTCGACCTCAAGTTGCGTCAGCTTCCGTGCTTTTTGCTCGGCGTTTCTTCCGCCCCAGAAAATAAGCCTCCAAAGCAATTACAAACAAAAAAATTGTCAAGGTGCAGGCGAGCTGGTGTATGTTGATCATGATGCAAAATCCCAAGACTGGGAATGAAATTCGCAAGAAATAGTGTAAGAAGAAAGAAAAAAAAGTGAGAGCCGTTTACAACTTCCTGTAACGCCGAATTGGAGCGCAGCTCTTGAGGAGGAGGAGTGGAGGGTATATTCCTCCTCCTCCCTCGTGATCATGCCTGCGAGTCCTCCTCCCCTCCTGCTCCCCCTCCCTCTCCTTTACTCGGGGGGAGGGGCGACGCCGACGCCAACGCCGACGCCGACGCCGCACAGGCTGGAAACGGGTCATGTGACCCCCTCCCCCCGAGGTCACGTGACCCGCCCGGACCATACTACACAATGAGGGGAGGAGGAGAAGGAGGGGGAGGAAGAGGAGGAGGAGGAGAGGGAGGGGCGCGGTTACGCCGACGGCGACGCCAACGGCGACGCCGACGCTGCTCAGGCTGGAAACGGGCCCCTAAGAGCTGCGCTCTAAAAGGGCACAGGACAACGTCTCAAACTCAGCTGAGTTGAGTTTGAGACGACGTCCTGAGCTGAGTTTTCAGCTGAGTTGTGTTTGAGACGTTGTCCTGTCCCTTTTTTTCTGTCTTCTTACACTTTTTCTTTCAAATTTCATTCCCAGTCTCAAGATTTTGCATCATGTACAAACTAAACTTACTATATGCCAGCGTCACTCGGGCGGCGTTCGATCGGATTACTACCAGCATGCAAGGGGGTAGGGGGGCAGAGTATCGTTAAACAGTGCATTCGTAGGATCACTACTTCGTAACGCACGTTAATGACCACCCCGGGCTGGCGGTCACAATTACTGATCTATTGTTACACGTCACTGCACTGGCAAATATTCCAGCACATCCGGGGCACTCGTCGTCTCATTTAATTGTCTGACCAACTTCGCGCAGTCTAAATATCACACCCGAACTTTTCTAAACCTAATTTCGTGAGAACCAGTGAGGCGTGAAAACGTTATTTGGAACTGAAACTGCGGCGAAACATGAGAACCGGACTTCAAACTTTGCGCACTTGGACTTCAAAAAAATTTAAAACCTCCAAAGTTTTTTTTTTTTTTTTTTTGAATTTAGTTTTAAAAAGGAATCGAAACCTTTGAACTTTTCTAACTTTATGTAGAAAGAAATTCGAAACATTCGAATCTCTCGAATTTCAAATGAGGGAAGTTCGAAATCTTCAAATTTTATCGAACCTCAAGTAAACAAATATTCGAAATAATCGAATTCGAACTTTTAGAAACCGTGAAAGCTTCAAACTTTTCGAATTCGAAACCCCACTATTTTGGAAAGTTGCGAATTTTTCGAATTCGAACCTCCCTACGGTCGAAAATATAGAAACTTTTCTAAATCGAACATCAGTTCGGTTAGAAAATATAGAAATCTTTCGAATTTGAACCTAGGGTGGTTCCCTAATTGCCACAATCCCTAATTGTGGGTTCACAACGGGGTCACAATCCCTAATTGTGACCCCGGAATGCCCCGCAGCTGCATTTGTCGGACTTTATCTCTTTCTCAGATGTCCGAGTGCCCTGCCAAAGTGTGACGCAGCGCTATCGTCTGATTGCTCGGGGTCACGTCCCGCCCGGAGTTGCTCTCTTCGCCCGCTGGCTGCGCCGACGCGCTTTCTGTTCATTGCCCTAGGTTTGTAACGGCATTCTTTTTGCTCTGCCCAGGTATATAACATCTACATGGCAGGCAGGCACCTGTGTTCCAGGCGGTACCGGGAGTTCTCGGTGCTGCACGTGAACCTCAGGAAGGAGTTCCCGGACTTCAGCTTCCCCAAGCTGCCCGGGAAGTGGCCCTTCTCGCTGTCGGACCAGCAACTGGACGCCCGGCGTCGGGGCTTAGAGCAATACCTCGAGAAAGGTGCCCCCATCTTTCCAGAGTCCACAGTACGTCAATGCCCAACACATGCATTTTTCCATTCCACAGTGTGTGCCATCCGAGTCATAGCGGAGAGCGACACTATGCAGGACTTCTTGACCGACATGGATGACGAACACGTGAGCTACTTCACTTTTCCTTGTAACGTGGACGGGCTACAGGGGAGGTTTTTAAGGAATAGATGGACACGAGACAGCGACACGAAAGGGGCGTCGTCATTCCGTCATCGGCGTTCTGTCGTCGGTGCTCTGCTGTCGGTGTTGCACGACTGTGTCACCACGCATGCGACCATGTCATCTGACGTAACGTACCGTGACGTGTCGCGTTATATGGCGTATTGCGACACCTCACATGGGTCACATGCGCGATGCAGTACGGGTGTACAAGTCGGTGAAAGCACAATCGCACCGTTTTTAACAAATTTTCTTTCATGTACAGCATACTCTTTGATTCGAACTCCAGGAAGCCACGAATTTTGTTTGATTTATCAAGAAATCATTTGCTTATAATGCAAGCTAAAATTATGCTTTGCCATATGAATGGCTATGCATACAAAGCAGATATTTGACGATTTCCTCTACATAGGCCTATTGATCACACATGAAACATTTGTGAAATGCATGACATCAGTTTATTTATCCCTCAAAAAATGTTGTTTATTTTGGACTGTTTAGACAGCACATGACAACTCAACCAAAACAAAGTTTGTTCAGGTGAAGTTGTTGTCTAATGTGGACTGGGGACACATGGGCAATGAAAACGGTCACTGCGCGGCAGCTTTCATAGCAACTTGCGCAGACGCCTTGACGTGAACCTACGCCATGTCACAGTGTCTGCACAAGGTGTTATGAAAATTTTCGCCTAGTGCCCGTTTTCATAGCCCTTGTGTGCTCACTGGAGCCCCTTTGAGTGTGCTTCTCAGCGAACTCTGGTGCACCGCAGAGAAGCAACACCCGCGGAAGCAAGCTTTGCAGGTGTTGTTTCTCCGCGGCGCACCGGCGTTCGGAGAGGAACATGCTCTACGGGGGCTGTGAAAACAAAAAGTAGGAACTACACGAAAACCCCAATCGAATTAAGCGGCTTATGAATACATTAAAAACATGGTGAAACAACCAAAATTTTAAAATCTGTTTAAATTAAATAGAAGTATGAAATATCAGTTTGAATTATTTCGAGCCTACTGCATGAAGCTTTTGTTAAGGATGTAAACAACAGTCTGTTTCAGTGGAATCCTTGATCGAAGGGTGACTAATCATTTTTCTTTTCTCCTTCAAGGGTGGGAGCTCCAGTCTGGTGGACCTCAAGGTCTTGCTGCCCGATCGGACGACCGTGGTCGTCAAGGTGCGGAAGAACAGCTCGACGGAGGAGGCAAGCTTTTTTTCTCTTGTTCAAGTGACTTGGGAACGTAAGAAAATTGACTCGGTGGGTGTTGACAATTCTTCCAGTAGTCGTGCTCTGCATTTCATGACGGCCACTGCTCGTGGAGGACACGTGTTTAGCTCTTTCCTGACTGCTCGTAGAGCGTCAATCACCCATGATCGAAGGCCATGGGGGGCCCATTCCAAAACTCCTAAGGAAATTTCGGAACTCTTGTAGGTAGCTTGAAAACTGCCGCTTTGGTTTCTCTGTTACTCTTTCTTTTTGCGTGGCAGCGATTTTTAGGCCAAGTGTGAAACCGGCGGTGCGTTGTTGTTGGCAGCCATGGCCGCTTCCACGGGTCCGGCACGCACTTTCAAGCGCGGCAGTTCTCGCGAATCCTTTGTCGATTTTCGAGTTCCCATGACCTGCACATCACTGCTTTATAGACTGCGTAGCCCAATGACATGACAGTCGGGAGGGTTGAATTGATTTTTGGTAGCTGAAAATATTTTTGAGCTAGAGCTTTAGATTTCTTTTTCTGAACTTTTCGTTGTGAATATGAAAAGCATTTCATATGTATGCCATAGAATACCGAGCATCCAACCATTCCACCTTAAGCGCCCAATCCCAAATTTGTAACATCTGAGAAAATATGCACTGTACATTAATATGTAAAATTGATGACCAGACAAGCGGCCATCCCCCATTTTTTCACGATTATCTCTAAATTTTGAGTGGGTGATTGCTCGGTATTTTACGGTATATATTACTTTTTACACATTTTTTTTTTTTCGGTACAGTGCAATCCACATGTAACAATGTACTGCTTATAATGATCAGTTTCTAGACTAGAAACTGATTGTTTCTAGTCTAGAAACTCTAGAAGCTGATACAACAATAATCAGTCATAACCATTGAATTTTTGTGTTTTCTCGTTTTCGTTATAAGTACTATGGCCATATTTTATTTGGTTTGGACCAAGCTTTGAAAAAAATGTTGCATTTGACAAATTAATTATTGCGCTATCATTCAAGTCTCGCTTGCATCATTCAGAAGCCCATTTATTTAGATTCATTTCTACGTATGGCATCGTTCTGGAAACCTAACGGTTTTCTTCGGAAAGGAAATGTAATAAAAAAGGTTTTTTCCTCGTGGTCAGGAAAAGGTTAAACTTGAGCGTTATTTGTCCATCTCGCAGGTGTACCAGGCGGTAGTGGAGAAGGCGGCCATCCCTTCAGAGGTGGCACGCTACTTCGCCCTGTTTGAGATTGTGGAGTATGGGTTCGAGAGGCGGCTGGGCCCGTCGGAGTTCCCGCACAACCTGTACATCCAGAACTACTCGACGGCCACCTCCACCTGCCTGCTGGTGCGCAAGTGGCTCTTCACCAGGGAGACAGAGGTGCGCCTGGCCGACGCCCACCCCATCGCCGCCACCTTCTTCTTCTGGCAGGTAAGTGTGCTCCCCGTTGTTTTGTTTTTTTAAAGCGATTGGCTGTCTTGGGTTCTTCAGGCCACTTTGAGACACATTTCTGGCCGTTTATTTTCCCCGCTAAGTTTAGCGGGAAATATGACGTTGCATGACTTGACGTCTCGTGAAAATGACTTGATGCGCAAATTCAGTTTCCGCACTAAATTTAGTCCAGAGAATGACCTCGCATGATGTCACAAGACCTATACTCAGTTTCCCTGCTAGATTTAGCGTGAAAATTTGCGTTCCATGGCTCTGATGTCACACGACGTACACAAATTCAATTTACCCGCTAAATTTAGCGGGAAAATTGAGATGCGACCTGCCACGGCTCTTTCAATTAGGTCCGCAGCTAATCGCTTGAAGGGGTACTCCAGTGATTTTTTTATGGTTGGTGATTTGCCTCAAAATTCTCTCAGCACATCAATAGACACGGTTCTACCAGCCCACAAGTATTGTGCGGAAAAAATGTATATTTTGTGAAGTTATTGAATTTTTGAATTTCGTTCTCATCGTGTTTCTTAAACCGAGAGCCCCTACTGGCAACACTGGAGTGGGACGACAAAAATGGTGCAACTTGTGCGGTGCACTATGTTCCTAACTGATTACGAGACGTTTGATGGTGGAGAAAGAATGCTTGGAAGCTTATTCACTTAGAAGCAGAAAAAAAAAAAAAAAAAAAAAAGCTCAGCTTAATTAGGTCAGACTTACCTGCGCGACCTGAAAGTCTGTACCATTTACAACGTCACACCACTGGATAGTGCGCGGAAATTTGGAGTTTGGTTTCTGCATCATCTTCATGCACGGTGTTCTTAATAGCTATTTTGAATTTCGAGACAAAAAATTCGGCTGAGACGCTTAAAACTGCGTACATGTAGGAATGCACTTAAAACTGCTTATGTGTAAGAATACAAAAGCATTCCTACACGTAAGCAGTTCTAAGTGTGTCTGCCGAATGTTTTGCGAATGCAGCGCGCCACATCTTCCTTTTTCACACGGCGCGCCGGTGGTGACATCACAGTTCCCCACTCCACTGGCGCGGCCCCCCCGCCGGCTCCACGACTTCCGTGACGACGCATCTGCGTTGTTGTGCTTTTCTTTCTGTATTATTTCTGAGGCGCGTCCACTTTGACCTTGAGCGCCCGGCCGGCTTCTGCGACGCATCTGATGTGACACGTCGCGGCCAGTGGGAATTCTGCTTGTGGGTGCCGTTTTTCTGCTGCCGACAGTTACAAATAACGCTGGCTTCGCTCCATGGAACAGTTAATGCTTTCGCATTAATAAATAGCCTACCGTGAAGACTAAGGTCAGGTTATTCAGATAATGCAATTTGTTTGGGTAGCTCAAAAAAACTGCCGGAGTACCCCTTTAATTAGACAACAACATTGTTGGTTCTGCCCCAAGTCTTTCTGTTTTTAGCATAGATTATGTTTATGGCTTGGACTTCGTTGCGGTGTTACATTACATTATTCGGTAAAGTTTGAACTGGACAGTACATCCTCTTACAAACTGGCATATAACTGTAACTTGGTGCATTTGCTTTGGTTTATTTAGTGCTGTAAAATAACCAACATCAATAATTGCTTAACTTGTTTGACAGTTGAAGGCTTTGCAGACCCTAAGAAAGCCTTCAGGGACCTCGAAGGGTCCATGGACCTCCACTTAAAAACCACCAGTCTAAACTGTCAAACTTGGTTATGTGTCTCTCGATGTGACGCTCGTCAGCAGGGTTGCTTAAATACACACCGGAGTTTGCTCTCGTAGCTTTTGGAACGCACGCTTGCACTCAAAGCCTCTGCATCGCGAGGATTTGCCAAACTGTTTTGTTGGCGTGTTGCAGGCAATCGACGACGTGAACAAGGGCCAAATCAAGCCTGGCAATAAGTTGTACGAGCTGAAGGCACTGCAGGATTGCTCACGAAAGATGGAGGCAAGTCCGCCTTTTTCTCCATTTTTCTCTCTCTGGAATTTAGGTCGACAGTTTTCTGTACCCGGTTTGGTGCGGCATATTCGCGACTCCCCCTGTCTATAGACCCTTTCAGGCAACTTTTCATGGGCGCCGCCATCTTCACGTCACGTGACCCTGCCGCCATAGCCGCCCTTCAGTTTCTCGCCGTTCCTCCGCGTTGCGTGCTGCACTGGCCACTACCGGAGCTTTGTTTTCACGTTCTTTTACGTTCCGCGTTGAAATCGCGTGTTTTCTTTAGGTCTTTTCGATATTTCGGGCTTTCATTTAATCATTTGATATCTATATTTCAACTTAGCTCTTGTATTTTCTTCTTTATGAAATGGAATCGGACAGCGAATGGATCAGCGATACAAGATTATGGCTTCAGAGACCATGTAAGCTCATCCCATTCTAACGTTTTTCTCGCTAATAAAGGGCAGCAACACCATTGCGACATATGCGAATTTCTACTGACGCAATAAGGCTATCCAGTCGTGCTTCTCGCTGCATGTGCGCGCTCGTTTCCGTAAAGCCGACCTGATGCAAGCGATTTAGCGTGCGACGAGACGAGCGACGGTGACAACGACGAGAGTCAGCGACGAAGATTTCTCACTGTCGCCTGTTGCATCGCTCGGTTTTTTGAGTTTCTAGAAAACGTCGCTCACCGTCTTGGTCGTTTTCTCGCGTCGCTTCCGTGCGGTTTACCTCATCGCCCGACTGCCCGAGCGACAGCGAAGCGGGTCACCGTCGCTTGTCTCGTTGCTCGCCGAATAGCTTGCATGCGGTTTATACTTAATATCGAGGCGCCAATGGTTCAATGGTGTGTGCATGGAAATTGAGTATAAACCGCATGCAAGCTATTTGGCGAGCGGCCAGATAAGCGACGGCGACGAGGAAAACTGCATGGAAGCGACGGAGCAAGCGACCAAGACGGTGAGCGACGTTTTCTAGAAATCCCAAAAAAAGAGAGCGATGCGACGGGCACAGTGAGAAATCTCCGTCGCTCGTCTGTCGCACGCTAAATCGCTTACATGGCGGGTCGACTTTACGGAAACGAGCGCGCACATGCAGCGAGAAGCACGACTGTGATAGCCTTACTGCGTCAGTGGCAATTTACATATGTTGCAATAGTGTTGACTGCCCTTTATTAGTGACAAAAACTTAAGAATGGGATGAACTTACATGGTCATTGGAGCCTCATAATCTTGTATCGTCGATCCATTCGCTGTCCGATTCCATTCCATAAATAAGAAAATACAAGAGCTATGTCGAAATATATATATATCAAATGATTAAATGAAAGTCTTAAATATTTAAAGGACCTAAAGAAAATACAAGATTTCAACGCGGAACGTAAAAGAAGACGAAAATGAAGCTCCGGTAGTCGCCTATGCAGCACACAACGCGGAGCAACGGCGAGAAACTGAAGGTCGGCCATGGCGGCCCGGAGAGCGTGCGAAGGGCGCGCCGACTGGTGGCAGCTCGAGTAACTGACTCGCTGAAAGCGTCTATAGGTGGTGCCACTCGCTTTCCTACGTGGCAGTTATAGTGAGGGTCAGAGATGCGTGCCAGCACACCAACTTTATTTTGCGACAAATGTGTCCAACCCAGACACTTTAAAGTATTTTAGAAAGTTCATTGTTCCTTTAAAGACCGGTTCTTTCATACACCTTAGACGTAGCATAAAATATTGTATTGGTAAAAAATCGGTGCTGATATTTGTGTTGTTGCTGCGTTTTTTTACTCGGATAATTGTCATGTGAAATAATTAACTGCATATCCTTTAATGGATTTTGGGGCATTTAGATGATTAATTGCTTAGCATTTATTCCCAGCACGAGAATAACAAAATCAATCAAAATTTTACAAAATATCACCGGGGTGGAATGAGTTCAAAAAACGTAAATTAAGAGATGCGGTTCTCACAAAACCCAAAAACAGAATCTGAGTTGGACAACAGAAGTGTGTGTGTGGTTTTTAAGGCAACGCATGTTAAAGATTATTACGGTTAAGCAGCATATTTTCGTGATTGTGGCATTTATTGGGGCCTACATTACCACAATGTTTATGAATTGTAATACTATTAGGATATTTTAATACATAGTTTTTCAAGCTCTAATGTAATTTGTTACTCATTTTCCAATTTCAAACGTGCAAACAACCGTGGCAATGCAAAGTTGAAAAATTATTATCACTGGTGCCAATTGCAAAATTTTTAATGAACAAGTTATAAAATAAAAAGTCTCAAATCAATTAAAACATTCTAGCTAGTCTAAGAAATCCACCAAAAATGATATTAATTGCGGGTAAAGCATACGAGGCTATCAGAGTCGCGACTTTTGGCAATGGGCAAAACTTCAAAATTTGCCGTCAATCAATCCAGACCAAATGCCCCAAAATACAAAATGAGGAATTCCGTAATTTTTGCACACTGTCTTTCGCCGATCTCAGCCTTTCCGATTCGAAGGAAGGCCTACTCGCTTGGACGTCTGCTCACTGCATCACGTTTTGTTGGCGTCGGAAAACCAGTAAAACAGTAGTGAGTTCTAGTATCACGTATTCAAGCAAACGCAACCACTGTGTGCTTCCTTTTAGCATTGCGTGTTCCACACTGCTCATGCACGAAGCCCGAATTTCTTTGTCATAGATTGGCGCGTGGCAACAATGTGCATGCGCAGCAGAAAGCACGCGCCTCTACCGCAAACAGCACTTGCGTTTGCTTCAATACGCAATACTAAAACTCTCTAGTAAGGTACAATCCTATGCCGGCTGCAGCACTACATTGGGACGGTGAAAAGCGTTGTTTACGTTCAGAAATGATCGTTTACGAGCCACGATCGCGAGCAGTAACGCCGTGCTCGCTGAGCAAAAGAAACGGGAGACTCTCGCTAGAGCGCTTCCCGAGCTGGGGACACGAATGCAAAAAATCTAAAACTATGAGCCCTTTGCCATTTTTTAGAGCGCAGCTCTAGGGCGCCCGTTTCCGGCTTGAGCGGCGTCGCCGTGGCGTAATTATGCGGTGCGTTATAGGGAATGTCCCATAATGCACCGCGGCAACGCACGTGTTGCATTATGGGACGTTTCCCATTATGCACCAGGCTGGAGGAAGGGGAGGGGCATGCCTTCCCCTCTGTTCCCTCCCCTCCTCCTCAAAAGCTGCACTCTAATTCGGTACTACAGGGAGTTGTAAACGTCTTTCATTTTTTTACTGCGTCCTCAAGCTGAGTGCAGTCGCCTCTGTTTATAACAAATCCGGATTCAGCGAATTATTGTCTATGATGAATGCCCAAATATTTTAAACGAAAGTGCACGAAAAATGTACTTTTATGACGGACAACCTATTGGCTGTATCAAACTCTGAAACAGAAAATGGCCGTCAGAAAGGGAAAAATGCCCCTCAGAAAAACACAAAAAAATGACCGCATCTCCACGTGGTGAATAATGTTGACTGGGGCGAAGCTCTGGTGGTTCTGATGATACTGATTTTATTGTTCATAGGTAGATGATGGTGCTGGTTTTTTTTTTATTGCTCTTAGGTAGTGCTGAGTTCCGGGTTGCGTTTCGACTTCATTATTACTGCTTTATGGTTAGTGAAATGCAGAGCCAGTGGTTCTTCTAGCAAATCAGCTTGGATCCGCTAGAAGCCGTGGGAACGCGTCTCCACCGCTTAAGTCAACGGTCTATGTCGGAAAGAGAATGTGTGGTATGGAACGTGGTTATATATGCATTTGAGCATTTGACTGCAGTGCCCTCTTGTCTATAAACGTTGAGCCAATGCATGCAAATTTTATCGCGATTATATACGCATTTGACCGCAGCGCCCTCTCCTGTATAGACCTTGAGCGGCTACATGCAACGTTTCATCCATGACATCCCCAGCTCTTGAGTTACTACCACATCTCAGAGCCCCCGACTCGTCCCGCAGTCGTGGTCGAGTTGTTAAGGCAATGAACTAGAAATCCATTGGGGTCTCCCCGCACAGGTTCGAATCCTGTCGACTGCGCAAACTTTTTCTTTTTATGTGAGCACGGACGCCGGACAGACGGACGAGGCTAGACCCTAAGGAGCTTTGCCCCTAAAAGGCTGGGAGCAAAATGGCGGCGCTTTTTTTGAGTCGCCAGAGAAATGGCACAGCGGTGACTGTAATTTGCGTGACCTCGACTCGTGACGGCGTGTGCAGCCCGAAATCGTTTGGTTCCGATCTAATGCCGAAATTTTGTGTGTCGGCAGTTTTAGGTGTGATTCTGGGGACTCTTTTTGCTCTTTGTTTGCCAAGATAGGCCTTTTCGCTAAAGTACTCGAGCATCCAGAATAAATGTTAAGGATGCAGGTATACAAGCTGCACACACTCGCCTTGTCAATGCCAGAGATTCAAAGTGATTAATAAAAACTAGCTGTTGACAGATGCACATGCAAAGAAGAGATTCAAAGTGATTAATAGGAACTAGCTGTTGACAAATGCACATGCAACGCTCCTTTTGTTTTAGGTTTTCCTTAGAACATTTACAACTGCTGCAGATGTGAACACGTGCAGTGCATGCAACTACGCTCACGGCGTGGTCCTCGGGGGCTCCGATAATTTAGCAAAAATGCGACAGTCCATTTGGTTTACCTCATTTTTGGGGAACGTAGAGCAGAGTATGAAGTGATTTATTCTTGGGGTGACTGTACGGTGCTTCTCAGCAGACAGTTGCGGAACTCGCATTGTGATAGAGTAGTCCGACGGACCTTTGACGTTTCGGTTTCGTGTCCAGTACCTGGAGTTGGTCCGGACGCTGGAGGGCTACGGGGAGCTGTCTTTCCCGCACTGCACCTGCGATGCCCGCAAGGACGGCCACGTGGTCTCCACCCTCGGGATGGACGGGCTCAAGCTCCAAGCCTGCAGGGACGACGGGACTCTAGAGGTGGGTGCGGTTGGCCGGACTTCCGGTCGCGCCACAGGCGTTCGGCCCGTACAACTCTGCAGGGAACCCCGACGAACTGCGTCGCTTCCGGTGACATACGCAGTAATCCCTTGTTATTACAAAATCGCTTTTTTCGAATTATCGCTTTTATCAAAGTTCAACATGGGTCCCGACCGAAATGCATGTGTTTTGAATTGGATTATTCTAAGTGTATCGGTGGCCAACGACGCTTATTACGAAGCAATGATGCCGAAAGAACGCAAGCCTACACGGAGGCGTACAGAGACCCTTGCGTTCCCTCCCCCTTCCGCACCGAGGCAAATGGCAAACTGGGAAAATGGAATCAAACAGGTGACGGAGGGCGGAGCGCGCAGAGCTGGCAGAGTGCCGCTTCCGATGCCAATGCACAGACGCGGGGACGCGGGCAGGGGTAGCGTCAATGTTCCCACGCTATTCACGGCACCCGCAGCCGACGTTGCCAGACTCCTGTCGGAATCGGGTCAAGGGAGCGATGGAGCCTGGAGGAGATCATCCTTTGGAATCTCCCAATGCACACGCCTGTGCGGGCGCGCTTGCGGTGTACTACACGCATACATGTGTTGTATGGGAGGCTGGGAGTGTTTACCGAAAGTCGCTTGGGTCTGCGAGGTTGAGACAAGTGGCCAGCCGAAGTCCAAAATTGCCAAAGAATTTGACATTCCGGCACCGGCTGTTCGACATTGTCCACCATTTTGTAGAATAATCTAGGCATATTGGATGGGTTCGAGAATTTTCTCACGCATGAGAAAGACGCCCGCGACCCGAAAATGAAAGATCGCCAACTGCTTTGCGCATGTCGGAGTTTCTCTCGCGAGCATGCTTGCCAAGCCGGGATGCGATTTCCATAGCTGCAACGATCTCTACAGGAGTGTGACAACATGTTGGCGAAGTCACTGAGGATAACTTAGACTCATTCGTGCTTGTCGATGCGGACATTCTCGTTGTTGCTCCTGCCACGGATGCTGCGATCATAGGCCTTGCGTGCGGCCAGGGTAAACACGAAGCGACGTCGGAGAGGTACCTCGAGAAACGCCGACGACTGCGGAGATGCAAAACATCCTATGGCTGCTTCGAAACAAAGTGGAGTGCAGCGGCAATGACTGCGTTTTTGCGATGCCTGGAGCAATTCGAGGATAACTAATTCTCGTATGAAATTAACGGCAAACTCCACTTAATTAGTTTTTTACTCGGTAAAGCTGCCGCGAGATGTTCATAACCAAAGTTTGTTCAATTAAATATATGGTCAGAGCGTTCTGCAGTGTTCCCGTCCCCCTTGAAGGCTGCTGGCGCTGTTTTTATGGCTCTATTGCTTTTATCATACCCGTATCATCACCATATTTTCACAAATGTGGGTTGACCCATCTTTCAGTTTTTGAAAATCTTAAAGGGGTGGGGGGAGGTCGACTTATAATTGACCCAAAGCATTCCACCGCAGACAAAAACAAAACAATTGCGATATTAAAGGGGCACTGACACATCAAAATCATATTTTTTTTATTATCCGAAACAATTGAAAACGATGCCGGGACATTACCCTCAAAATTTGAAATTTTGGAATTCAGTATTTGTGAAGTAAAAAAACAATTTCCAAATGCCGAATTCGAAGTTCCCGCGCGATCGGCGCCGGTGCCTTGACGTCAAAAATTGCGGAGACCTGAGAGTCGACTTCCTTTCACCACTCCCTGCTGTTGCCATGGCGACCCAAAGCGAGGAGGAAAGGAGTGAGCGCAAGCGAACGCCGGCGGACCGGTTTTGAGCGGTGTCGCCCGTTTTCCGTTGGAGGATACAAATCCAGGAGACGGCACCACAACGAACTCCCGATTTTTGGTATTTCAAAAAGAAGGGCCGTAGTGCTTTCGCAATTGCGTTAAAAAACATGTTTTAGGATTGCCGTTAATAAATGTTATAGAGATGTCGCCTACAAAGCTTCTAAATTTCATGATTCTTGACGTCACCGATCAAAAGAAGCGAGGAGGCGAGAGGCGGGAAAATCAAACGCCAAAAATAAAAAGGCGCGCGCGCGCGCGGGAAAGTTTTTTTTCGCGATGCGGTTTTTTTTGCGTGTCTATGACTGCAACTTGCATCGTTTTAGACAATAAAAATAAATACGACCTTTGGGGTGTCAGTGCCCCTTTAAGAACACCTCGACTTGTTACAAATTCAGTTGGCTGTACCTGGAGCATTGAGTTATTCTGTGCGCTCAATTTACAAGTTCTTTTTTTTTCTTTTTTTTTTTGCGAACGAGTATTATGATAGCAATTCGCAAATTAGCCTGAATGTATGGCTGTGAACAGCGCACGGCGCACGCGACTCTTGGTGGTGGCGGCACTTTGTAAGAGCCACTCCGGGATGGCCGCTGGTACCTGCCTTGCGCCTCACTCTTCGTGCTTCTTTACGCAGTATTTAGCAAGATCCACAATTGCACGTCGTTCGATCGAGTGTTGAGATCATGCTGGAGCGCCAACTATGTTTTTTTGTATTGACACGCGTGGTTCGGGCAGTTTAGGTTTTTGGTGCTCGTTTCTGGCCATTCTTCATCCAGAAGCAACCACTAACTGCGCCACTGGATGAAAGTTCGACCCGTCGGCGCGGGTGGTGCTCCAGTGGAGCCTGCAATGGCGCGGAGTCCTAACTGCGACGGCAAACTAAAAACCTTCCGCAGGCCAAAGTCTGGATAGTTGGGGCCGCCTTTTGGAGTGGGAGGTCAGGCTCGCAATGTACGCCGCAGAAGCGCACAATCAGTCCCTGCCCGGGACGTGCAACGCGTTCGCCAGGCAAGCGCGGAAGACACTGTTGATGCTGTAATTTGTGAAGTGCGAGAATTCGTTAGACGACGCCGACGACATGCTTTGAGAACGTGGCAGCGATCATGACGGGACTGACATCACCAGTGTGGACGAATCAGTCTCTAGTCGCGGACTGAGTGAGAAGGGCAGGGAGCAGCTTTAAGCGCGATCCAAACCAACGCTTCTTTTTGCGCCTGTAGGTCGTGCGGCTGCGGATGTGACGCATTTCGTGACGTTTTGGCTGTTTCCGGGCGCGCTTTCTGAGTCAGAACCGTGCGCTTTGGTTTGGACGGGCAAAACTTCGGGCGAGCGCGCACGCGCGGACGCAGGCAAGAGCGCACAAGCAAGGTGCAACTGCGACAGACTGGCCGGCCAGATGGCGAGAGAAAGAGAGAGAGAGATCGCGTTGTCATGTTGGAAGAGAATAAAAGGGGGGGAGGAGAGGGCAGCCAGACGGCGAGAAACGCGGAGCCGGAACTAGCTCGCCCTCCACCGATTGGCCGGCACACAGGAGCGCCCTACTACGTCACCCCGCTTTTTTGTGCGCGTTGAGAAGAAGTTGAAATTATCCAACTTTCTTGTGCGCGCCCGGAAGGAGCGAAGAAGCGGCGCGACGTCACGAAAATACGTCACATCCGCAGCCGCACGACCTACAGGCGCAAAAAGAAGCGTTGGTTTGGATCGCGCTTTAGTTGTCCCGCCGGCAGCGTGAGCTTCGTAATTTCGACAACTCCTAGGCATCTCATGTGCCTCGCACATGCATGCGCAGCCAAAGCACGATAGAAAGCACCAATCGCGTGCCGGAGGCTGGGCTTTTGAAAGAGATATTCTGTTGTTCTCACGTGTTCGCCGTAAAATGCGCCTCTAAAGATTTTTTTTTTTTTTTTTTGCTGTTGTGCAATGTGGGAGGACGACTTACAATCGTGTAAATATGGTACCGCTTGGTATATAGAATTTTTCTTGCATCCTGTTGGCTTTGTTATAACGAGAGATTACTGTACTTGACACATCCTATTTTATTGTAGAAGCTACCGACATAAAGAGCGTCCATGATCGTCGTCACCTCTTGGGGTTGGACAGGCTTCCAACATAAGGGGTGTCATCACTGTTCATCCCCTCTTATGATAATGAACAGTGCAGTTGTTTGGACTAGATGCCTAAAGCTACCAATATAAGGAGTGCCCATCACTCCTTATGTTGCTAGCTTTCCATCACTCTCCGTCACCTCCTGGTGATGGACAGTGCAGCCATTTGGACCGGATGCCTTGCTGGGACATCGCAACGATGTCGTAACTAGCGTCAACCTGTCTCAACGAGGTAAGTATTTGAGCATTGCGGCGTCTTCCGCAGTCAGGGTGTGTAACTTACTCAATCGCCGTTGATATTTAGGGGTGGCGCCTGCTTCTTCGTGTGCTCACGTTCTGTGCAGTATCCCCTCTCGGATGGTGTCAAGCTGCCTTTCGGCGTTTTCGTGCAGGCGCAAGTGATAGAGTTTCTCTGGGACTCGGTCGCAGAATGGGAGGTGGACGAGGAGGGGATGGCCTTTGCGTTCCAGTACACGCGTCCCGACAAGAAACCGCGCTGGGTCAAGATTTTCACGCCTTACGTGAGTTACTCTGCTTCCTTCCTTCCTTACTGCCATTCCACGTGCGTTTTAAAGAGAGTCAGTCGATGAAATGCGAAGACTGTTCGGTGAGCAGAAGCTCGATTAATGGCAGCCCTCATTTCAAAAATTGATACCTTTTATGTATTGAGGTAATATTTAGAAAAGCAGGCTGGCATCCGTTGCCTGTGAGCACTTTTACTTCCGATGCAGAACCAGTTGCGTTTGTTTGAGCGAACTTTAGTTATGGAACCACTAAGGCGAGAAAAGCCTTCCGAACATGGGACATGTGGGCCTCGTCAAAACGCAATCATATAGTCTACTTGTACTCTGCCGGGTTCGTGGCGAAATTGATAAATTGGCTCATCCTCTGATAGGTGTGTTTGTGACAAGACCTTCAACCATAGGAAAATTGTCTCATTCTCTAATGGGTTGTTTTGCTAACCAGTTATTTGTTCACCCACTATCGGCCGTAGAACTCAATGTCAACTCTGTGAAAGTGATGGAGTGCATCACGGAGATCAGTTCCAGCGGCACAGACGGTTACTAATTTTCGTAAATTGAAACATGCAATTACTTTGCTTGTTAGGCTTAGGAAACGTGCCAGGGGAAACCTTTTCATAATTCTTTGTGATAACTGAATGAAATTTTAAGTTTATAGTGCTTGATCTCTTGTTGCATAAATCTGGCATTAATTTTGATATAGCCTGTTTTTCTTTTAATTCTAAATGCAATGCACACGCAAAATAAAACAAAAAAAAAGACATGTTCTTGCATGCACATGGGACATGTGAACACACTTAACTAGTAAAATCGGCCAATACACTCCTTTAAACCACCGAATGCAAACAGAAACAAAAATGCTGTGTACGAAAACTCTTTGATTTTAAAATAAATTAAAATTGGAAAAATGCTTTTTTTTTAACAGCTCAGTTTTTTTTTGTTTTCATAGACATAAAATGAATGCATTCTAATTAAACTTTGATACAGTCGAATCTCGTTAATTCAAACTCAAGGGGGACCGAAAATTTGTTTGAATAAAGCAAAGTTTGATTTACCGGGAGTTTCCCCCCATAGAGGAGCATAGGATGGGACCTTCATGTTAGTTTGAATTAAGAGAGTTTGAATTAACGAGATTCAACTGTAGTTGCATTCCGCATATACTCGAGCTTATGCACACCAAATTTGGTTGTCATAGGACAATATCAAGAACAAACATTGTTGTGCCAAACTGCAAAGACGTCACAAAATTGCAAAAAGAGAAAATTGCTTTCAAACATTACCATAGACTTGTAGCGGCACACTTTCACATCAAGGGAAAAAAAACTTTGTTATTATTTTTTTGTGAAAAATTGAAGCTACAAAAGATTGTGATGGAGAGGAGATGGCCAGGCCTACTTCTGAAAATAATTGTGGCCTCCATTTATGCATTTCTAGGTCGCGGGGTTGTCTTCAAATGCAAACTTGACTAATTTCACAACAATACTCGGTCCTCTTTTTTGTTTTTCTTTACATAAAATACAAAGATTTAAAGATAAAAAGATGCTCAAGCTTGAAATAACATTTTTAATAAAATGCTGCCATCTTTCGACCTGCATCGCCCCTTAGAAATCTTTCCTTGTATCTTGCAGTTCCTCTTCATGTTTGACTGCTTCGAGCGGATACAGGAGGAGCGGACCTGGCGGATGGCCAAGACTTCTTTCGGCTAATCGACCCGACGCGGAACCCCCCCCCCCCCACCCCTTCTTTCCAGACCCACGTTTTAGCTCCGTCTTAACGGAAATGGGAAGCAAAAAGAAAAACCCGGAAAAGGCGACAGAGGAACTGCGCAAACGTGGCAGCAACCAAAACCACCCTCCCCCGTCCCTTCGTACGACACTGCTGCGTAGTCCTCGCTTGTTGTTTATACGTGTACATAAACGGGCCTTGTACATAGTAGGTAGGAAATGTCTAGCAGTCCCGAGAGGCCGCCCGCCCATGAGGAGTCAGCTCTCCGTTTCCGTGCGCACTGTCAATCGTTTCCGGTCAACGGCGGGGAGAGGCGAGCGATCGAAAATGGCGTCATTGCGCTTGCTGAGGGGGAGGAAGTCAGGATTCATAGACTGTCGCGCCGTCGATCCTTCGGTGGTGCGAAGACTTCGCATTGTCGCTGGTCTTCGGTCAAAAACACTGCGTTGTCGATCGCTTTCGTACGAGAACGACGGAACACTGTGCGAGGTATCGCATCGTCCGTTTTCGGTTGAAAACGTCGCGTTGTTGGTCGTCTTCGGTCGAGATTGAAGGAACGTGGTCGAAAACTTTGCATTGTCAATCGTTTTCAGTCTAGGATAACGACATGTCCGAGACGGTCATCATTGATATTTTTTGGTCGAAAAACGTCACACTGTCGAAGACCTCTCTTTGTCGATCGTTTTCGGTTGAAAACAACTGGACGCAGTCAAAACGCTAGCGTGTCGGCGTGTTGCCGTCAGCAATGTCGAAAAGGGGTTTCGTCACGTCTGCCCAAATTTAGCACCTTGCGAAAGCAGAGGAACGAGTTCTGCATGAATGGTCCAGTCCAGTTTTTTTTTTATTGTTGTTGGTTGTTGTTGCACTCATTCTTTGGAAGCCTCGTGCAGACTCGCGTTTACGAGGTCCAAGGTGGCCGCGGGGAAGCGGTCATGTGACGGGACGCCCGTGCGGGATGTTTGACGTGAAACGTGTTTGCGAGCTGGCCCGCGGCGTCCAGTTTGTAAGCGCGAGGATGTTTGCGGGGCGAGCACAATTTGGACTTTGTCGTCTAGTCATTTTGCGCGAGACCTTCAAACAAGTTCTCTCAGTTTCCTCAGGTTCAACGCCTGTGCAGCTTTTTTTTCTTTCTCTTACCTTACTTTTTTTTTTTTTTTTGGTTACACATAGTAAGAAGGCTGTAAAGACGTCCCTAAAAGTGCCTTTGCGTTCCGTTCGTTCGACGTGGTTCCCTCGTACACCTTTAAACGCGAGCGTTTTCGATTCAGCGGCGTTTGCATCTTTCTCGAAGCGGTTGTGGACCTTTCTTGGGGAGAGTTCTGCACGACTGTGGACCCTCCCCACGCAGCGGCCAAAACTGGAACTACGGTTGGCGTCCGGCGGTAGAGGAGTTGAGCCACCTTTCCTACCTCAGTGGCGACTCCGGGAGGAAACAGGAGAGGCAATGGCAATTCGCGTTCCGGATACCAAACGTAGTTTGAGCTTTCGCCGCTCGACGTCTTCTTTATACGGAAAAATTCCATTGGCCGTCTGGTCTACTACACGCAATCTTGAAGGCAGCAGAGAAGAATCTTAACCGGAATCCAGTTCTAGCATTTGCACGAAACTCGGTGAAAATGTGTTTCTTAGCCCCGAAGCTCTCTTAATTTATTCCTAATCTATGCATCCTCAGAAGCGAGTTCCCGTGTGTCCTGCACTGTAAATAGAGCTCCGCGAGGGTTCTTTTGTGGTTTTTATTCCCACTGCCTTCGGAATTTGCTCGAGAGTTCGGTATGCCAACTTCCAGAGAGCAGTTCCATGTACCTAGTGTCAGGTTCGGGCAATCGGCTAACGGCCATTTAATCTTGCGCCAAACAAACCTCTTTTAGCCCAATGTTCCCCGCACGAGCAACTCCTGTAACAACGCCACGTTCCGTTCCACTCTTTATTAGAACTTAATAGTAGGACACAAAGAAAGATCCGACGGACCATAGTCGGGTCTTTGCCGTGGACTTCAAATTTCGCAAAATGCATTCCATTTTTTTTTTTTTTTACCCGGACTTTCTGCAGAGACATCATTCCCCCACGGTCCATTTGCAAAACCAAACTTGGCATTTCGAAACGAGTTTTTTTTGTTTTGTGTGCATGTGTGATTTTGTTTGAGGAAGGCTGCCGAGGAGAGTGTGACAGCGGCGCACGCTCTTCTGTCTACACGCCAGAGCTAATTTTTGTGGACTTTGGCCAAATCTGCAGCTGCCTTCAGACGGAATCTGTTTGCAAAGAGCAGAGAATCGTGGCTTGGGAGATTGACTTGTGGCGGCTTATTGTTTTTGTTTAGGAGTCTCTTAAAATAAACGTTTAGTGAGAGCTGGAGAAGGGTTGCCCTGTCTTTTTTTTCCCTGCCCTTCCAAAGAATGGTGCCTTTTTCATGCTCTAATGTAACATAATGCAATGGGGTAAGTGCACAAGCCGATTTAAAAGTTGCTAAATTTGGTTGTGTTATGTACGTTGGGGAACGGCATAAAGATGCTCGCTTTATGGTAGGGGTGTACAAATATCTTAACATTGGGAAATCCTAGTTTTGTGTTTGGTATGCATGTAATAAAAAGAAAATTGACATTGACCGTTTATCTTCACAGTCCTGTAATGCGTGAAGTGCAAATTCTAAAATGCAATCGTTTAAAATTGTTGAGAAGACCTTAAACCGTTGTTTCAGGGAGTGAAGAACCTTTATTTTTTTCAATTTCCCCGCTACGTTGAATGGGGAAACTGGATGCACAGGTCGCGTGGCATCAATTTTCCGGCTAGATTTAGTGGGAAAATTGTGTGTGCCACATGTAGTCAGGTTATGCCACTTCAATTTTCCCGCTAAACTGGGCGGGGAAACGGAAGGTGTTTAGGTCGCACGACATTGATTTCTTCACCAAATTTGGCGGGGAAACTGAATTGGTGTGAAGGTGATGTGACATCAAATTTCCCTCTAAATTTAGTGCAGAAAGTGAACTGGTGTGTACAGTCGGTAACAGGTTAAAGGGTCTCAGCCAGGGGAAACGCTTATAGGGTTTTAGCCCCCCCCCCCCTAAAAAAAAAAGTCCAGCCGACCCTATAATATGTGCATTTTAACCCCCCTCCCCCTCTGCGTACCCAAAACCCAAGTCGTCACCCCAGCCAGCCCGGCCTCCCCCCCCCCCCCCCCCCCCCCCCCCCCCCCCCCCCCCCCCACCCCCCCGAAAAAAGTTCCTATGCCACTGCCCGTCACCGACTGTAGACCTACTTCACAAGGGCACCGCCAACTTGAAATATTGCCACTTGTAGTATGGACAAAAACATTGTTTTGCCGTCGCCACCCCAATAGAATACATTTAGGATATAAGAGTAACCGTCGCCCGTTCCCGTTTTGTCTCCCCTTTATTTTTTTGCTCTTTGCAAGGTGAAATGGTTTCTCGTTGCCCATACGAGAGTAAGCGAAAAATGTCTATAGGTCTTGTGACACCGAATTTCCAGCTAAATTTAGTGGGGAAACTTAATTGGTGAATAGGTCAATTGATGTCCCATGACCTAAACAGTTCAGTGTTCCTGCTAAATTTAGTGGGAAATGCACAAATGGTAGCTACTTTAAAGTTCCATTGAAATCGCCCCAAAAAAGCCGACATGAAAAAAAGATGTAGTTTTAACTAGCAGACACTCGGAAACTACATGTAAAAAACAAGCAAATCTTAATTTGGAAAAAAAAAAAAATTGTCTAAAATATTGTTGGGAAAATAACAGTAAAGGGTGATTCTGCGGCACACTTTGAATGCCAACCTCTTTTTGTAAACACAATTGAAATTGGCCTTTACCTGGCTCTAAGAGAACCATGTGAATCCAAAGGCATAGCCAGGAATATTTTAATCTATGGGGGGATTATTTTATGATTGGGTTGTAGAGTGGGAAGAGTTTAGCTCTGAAATCCCCCTTGTGCCGATGCCACAAAGTAAATCGCCTCTCGTTTAGACTCAGCCTTGTAAGTTTGGGCCCAACCTCAAATAAAGCGAACTCGAAGTCCTCCGAAACAACACCGATCAGCCAAAACATTATGACCACCTACCTAATAACGTGTTGGTTCACCTTTGGCATGCAAAAGAGCCGAAGGGGTCGTCTGCTGCGAAGTTCCACGTTCCATATCCAACAGAGTTCGATGAACTGTGTGCTTGGACACGGCCGTATACCTCGGAACCGCCTTGTACCTACCTGTCAGTTGAGCCACAAGTAGTCGCCTGTATTGCTTCACCAAGCAAGATAGGCAACTACCCTATATTGCTTCCGACGTCCAGATTTTCTGATGAAGCGCGGACGCGCAACACCTCAGCGTCTATTAACTGTTTCACAGTCATCCTCCCACTCTTGATGAGTACTAACAGCGGCAGCTCATAAACACCCACCGAGCTCTGCAGTTTTCCAGATACTTGCTCCGAGCCTTGGGGTCGTTACAATCTGCCCTTCGTCACAGCTGCTTAAATGGGCAGCCTTTCAATGTACTACATGCACACATAGTGGACAAAATGATCACTTTACATATCCCCGACAGCCATTGACTATCGTCCGCATCGGCAGGCAAGTAGGTAATGCGTATGGGCGCATCTGCTGGGCGCGCTCATTCCCACAGCGTAGGGGTGGCCCTAATGTTTTGGCTCCTCGGCGTATCTGGAATAAGAAGCAGATTTTATTGAGCAAGTGAACTACCCAAACCTCCGGCGTAGTTTCCGGGCATCTTGTTCTACTCAAACAAAAATTCCTAAACAAAAGAATATATAGTGTGCCTGCTCCTTTCAGGGGTGGGGTGTTGTTTCTTTCTTCCAGAAGATGGGATTTTTTTTTGTCAGGATGTGACCCAAACTGTAAAACCTCAAAAATAATTTCTACAAAAATTGTAGAGAAGATAACAGCGAAGCTGTTATCTTCATGACATCGAGGACGACCTCAAGGACAACTAACACAACCTCAAGGACGACTTCTAGGACAAGCTCAAGGACGATGCCTAGGCCGACCTCTAGGACGACTCCTAGAGGACGACCTTGAAGATGATGCCTAGAGATGATAACAAGGGATGATGTTCCTCACTATCTACTAATGCCAAGGAAGGCTGACTCGCGCTGGTTGCCCCATCTTTGTTTTTATTTATTTATACTTGTCACGACCAATGGGGAGTTTTCTGTCGACATGCGAGACGCAGTTCTTCCCAGACCCTAACATATCCCAGCTTCAATGTAAAAAAAAAAAATCCTTGACCGACTGAGCGTGTTGACAGCGGTCGCACGATACCGCTGTTGTTTTAATGCCTCGTTCAAACCTTTTCGTTTAAAGCAAAGCTGTTATGCGCTAGGATCTGGGGAAAAATGTGTCCGTGGATGTTGACAAAAAAACTCCCTATTGGTCCTGACAAGTATGAATAAATAAAAACAAAGATGGGGGCAACCAGCGTGACTCGGCCTTTCTTGGCATTATTAGATAGTGAGGTCCTGGTCCCTTGTTATCATCTCTAGGCATCGTCCTCGAGGTAGTCCTAGGCGTCATCCTAGAAGTTGTCCTAGAGGTCGTCCTCTAGGCACTGTCCTAGACGTAAAAAAAAACAGCTTTGCTGGTCCTCCATCTGCACGTGAAGTGGAAGGGCTCTAAGATATTTATTTGTTGCAGAACGTTTAGTTTAATGTTTTTATTTGCCGTTTCCTTCCTTGATGCCACATAATTTCACACCAAATGTGAATGTAATTCAGAGCGGTCGTTCCGGTTGCAACGGACGCAGCCGTAGCTAACACGCTGATTGCAGATGTCTGAACCAGCCTGATGTCCTCTGAAAGGCAACGAGACCCATGAATTTTATCGGCTGTTGTCATAAAAACTCGTGCGCTGGCATTTTGCAATGCAGTTATTTTGTTTTTGCCGCTCGGCGTATACCCTTTAGTGTGCCTGTGCTTTGGCACTTCTGGCTGAACTCTAAGCAGCAAAGGATCCTTTTCTGCTTATCTTTACCCTTGTGAAACGTGCTGGCAGCAATTATAATCTATCCGATTAGTCATTACTTTGACAGGTATTTGCTAAGTGGCAAAAAGAAAACAGAAATTTAATACAATTGAAATATTATGAATACTAAATACATGATTAAGTCTTTAATATAGGCATGCCCCTCCAGCACATGGTCCCAGCTAAGCTTAAATTGTGCCTAAACAGGAAGAACATCTTGCCTGTAGACTGAGACGATTCGACTGCCCAGTAGTACTCGCACGAACCAATGTTGTATACGAAATGAGCGAGTCAAGTGGTTGCAAACATTGCCAAACTACACGTTTGCGACGACTGCCAGTCGAAGACTTGCAAATGTGTTCAAACGAAAAAAGTTGTCTGGACAGGAAAGCTGAGAGCAGGTTTGTCTGCATCTTGCACAGGAGGTAGCGATGATGTCAAAATGCCAAGCACCTATTGGCCAATTGAAAAATAGTGGGTAGACTTCGAGGCATCTAGCATTCAAGTTTACCCACTATCCTTTCAATCATGGCCAATCTGAGCTCGGCGTCGTCCTGACTTCGCCGCAACTCCCACGCGAGAAGCAGACGGCTTTCTCTCTGCATACTTTCGAGGGGCGTAACTGGTATGCATAATTTCTCTTTCTTTGGAAAAAAACATTGTTCTTTTGACAACTCAATTTTTTTATTCGACGCTTATTCGTCGGACGGAGTGCATCAATTTACAGTGTCTCTGAAGAAAGCCTGCCGACAATTTATGCCGCAGGCGCCGTTACGTTGCAGTGCCGTGAATGCGTCTCAGACTCTGGCGTGTTTACTGCGTCCAAAAATAGCGGTCCCTCAATTTCTGCTTGGCGTCGTCTTAGAAGTGTTACCGGTCGTGGTCCCGGCGGCGTCTCAGTGGTGGTGCTGGATGTGGGAGACATCCGTTCCAACGCAGGTTTCTCTCTCCATTGGGACAGTCCACGGAGGCTTCGGCAGCCAAAGGTCGGGACGGCGCAACGACGCTTGCGCGTTCACTTGTCTCCGCAGCACCCGTCGACGACAACGACAGGAGCGTTGTCGTCGAATGGATGCATTCGCTTGTGCTTTTCACCGTTCACGGCCTGCCGCCGGGACCGCGACGTCCAACGGCATGACGCTCTGGCTTCTGCGACATCGTCGGTTTCTGCCTCGGGACAAGATGCTAAACACGCTGGCTGGAGACGCCTTCGGGGCACCGCGGTTACGTGTAGGTATGGGAGAAAACGGGTCTGCTATCGACCTGCGTTCAAAGTTCTGCGTACAGGGGGCGGTCACGGTCCCAGCTTGAAGTGATTCAGCTGGTTGATCGTCCAGTCGCCTTGCACACCCTTGGTGTATTCGCGGATGAACCTGCGCGCGAAGAAGGTGTGACGTAAAACAAATGCGCACTTTTCGTCGTGCCAACAAACACCCGGGAGTGCAGGATGTAAAACCGTGTACTTGTTTTACTCATTTTTTTTTTTCTTCGCCAAATTCGACGAAGAATTTGAATTATTCTGTCAGTTGAGCGTTTCCGGGTCACGCATTGTTGAACCCCCCCCCCCTCTCAATTCAATGGGTCACGCTACCTAAACACCAGAATTGGTGTTTAGGTAGCGTGACATCAATTTGCCCGCTAAATTTAGCGAGCAAACCATCGTAATATTCCGAGAGGTGCCCAACCCCCGAAAGATAACCTGCCCCCTATTTTTGGCACGATTTGCTATTCTTTCAGAAAACACCAAAAGATGACCCACCTCTAATAATTGCGGGGCCTTGGCCCACGGTGACCGCGGCAGAACTGGTGTCATTCAGTCACTTCGGAAGATAAATGAACATTGCAAACTGGGAAGGACAGTTTTCTACGCTCCATTGCCCCTCAATGTGAAAGCAAGCTTGGCACTCTTACAAAGTTTCTTGATTGCACGCCGAGAGTTAGCCCACTCCTCGTATTCACCCAATTTGCTCTCGCTTTTAGGTGGGCCATCTCTCTGGATATTACAGTACTTTTTTTTTTATTGATCACGTGACATTGATTTCCTTCGCTGAAATTAGTGGGGAAAATGGATTGTGTAATGCTCCCAGTGAGTCACCCCCTCATGGTGCTTGTTCATGACGAATCTCTCGTGAAAAAACAACCCATAAAATACATTCCATGCTTAAAAAAAAAAGGAAAAACCTAGCATTTAGTTATTTCACACCTTTTATAAGAGACAGATTTGTGAGTCACTTGCACAAAATGTATTACTTTTGGGAACAAGCAGATTGTTGTGTTACAGCCAACCAACGGAGCTACCCATAATTTTAATGATTTAGACCATAAAACAATTAAAACAATAAAACAATGCTGAAAAAGTAAGAAATAGCGAAAAAAAAAGAGACAACTGGAAAAAATGTTGGACGTCGAAGAACTACAGTTGCAGATGGGATGGGCATGGCAGGGGGGAGTTTAGTCATCCCGCAACCAGTGCAAGCTCCCCACCTCGCCTCCGAGCGTGCACACACAGTCAAAGCATGGTGGAGGGCACGTGCGCATGCTGGAAGTCTGACATTCGAAGGAGGTTCCCTGCCATTTTTGCCCTGTCGGTAACTGTAGTGCAGCGTTAGTTGAAAAAGCACGTCTAGCAAAAGCATGTCTGCGAACAAGTTTGGATCGTCTTTAAGCAGTGTAGGGGCTGGGACACCTTTGAGCAATTTGGTTCGACATGAAACATGCTCGCGACTAATGCCAATGCCGTAATCGTCGCCTTTTTAACTAGAAAAAGTGGCATCACCTGTAGTTGGCGACGTGCACCCTACTCCGGACCTGCTCCATGGTCTCGTCTGGCAGCGAAGGTGACTGTCGTATCCTTTCCAGACCGGGCATGTAATGGTAGACGACGGTTGCTTCGACGAACCTCTGGTCGTTCCCTGCAAGAACGGAAAGACCAACTGACTTGACGGTTTCCGGTCTCCACTGAACCTCCAAAACCGGTTTACGGTAGAATTAACCTTGCCAACATAATCCCAGCATCACGTCACCCACATCTTGCCGTGCAACATATGGTCTAGCACAGGCACGTAGCCAGGACTTTGTTTCAGGGGGGCTCGCCCATGACCAAATGTTGTATGAGGGGAGGGGGGAGAGAAGGCCCCAACAAAATGGAAGATTTCGGGGAGGGGGGGGGCGGCCATGGGCCACCCTTCTGGCTACGTGCCTGGTCTAGCAGTATATGTGAGAAAGAGAGATGCTTGACAACTGGGGTTAATCAGGTGGAAGTGAAGAAAAGATATTTGCGCATAACAGGACTAGTACTCTTAAATCCTATCGATAAGATGTAGCACGAACATATCTATAGGATTTTATGTCGCTTGCTTCATTTACTTGCCATCATAATGTAGGCATTAAATTTTCGGAGGCCACAGACAATAAATATATATGGGGTGGTCCATATCGCCAGGGTCAATCTAAAATGGACCGTAAAACATTGCACATAGCAATCTAAACCTTTCGTCAAAAGAGTCGATTGCTGGGCTAGTTGGTTTTGGAATTTGGAAGGTGGCCAATAGATCAAACGTGAAAGTAGTGTTTTCCGCACCAAACAAACTTAGTAGATTATGTAGGATGACAGATCCTTTTTGTAAGGCCCCTTCTGGCTGCGCGGTAAAACACAGGGATCCCTTCGTTGAATGTGCGGAGGGAGTAGTATATCAGATCCCCTTATCATGCGGAAACAAGTATATAGGTCAGACAGGTAGGTGTGTTAATGATAGGCTGAGGGAGCACAAACTTAAAGTAGGAAATTATCGGGACGGTCATCTGTCTGATCATTGTGAAAGGTGCAAGTGTATGCCGTTGTTTTCCGAGAGCAAGATTCTGGCACGGCACAAGGAAAAAACTGTGAGGGAGATAATCGAGGCAGATGAGATTAGGAAGGGTGGTGCAGCATGTGTCAGCGTGGCCTCAATTGATTTACTGGACAAGGAGCGTGCGTTCCTCAATGACGCGGCCTGGCACCGGGTTGGCTAGTGACGGAGCAAAATCAGAAACTCTGATGGTATAAAAGTGTCGTTTCACGTAATAAAATCAGTTGTTAGTAGCGCACTGTGCTGTCTGTTTCTCGCCTCTTTGTCCCGGTTTTTTGAGCGCTAAAATGTATTCCAACTTTCGTCAAAGGTGTATTTCACAGGTCGGTTTTAGAGCGCAGCTCTTAGGGGCCCGTTCCCGGCTTGAGCGGCGTCGCCGTTGGCGTCGGCGTAACCAAGGTCATCCCAAGGTCACGTGACCCCTCCAGGTCACGTGACCCCTCCCAAGGTCATCTCAAGGTCACGTGACCCTCTGAAGGTCACGTGACCCCCAAGTCACGTGACCCCTCTGAGGTCACGTGACCCCTCTGAGGTCACATGACCTCCGAGGTCACGTGGTCTTCTCCCCAAGGTCACGTGATCCCCGAGGTCACGTGACCCCCAAGGTCACGTGACCCCTCTGAAGGTCATCTCAAGGTCACGGGACCCCAAGGAGACCCCCACGTGACCCCCCAGGTCACGTGACCCCTCTGAGGTCACGTGACCCCTCTGAGGTCACGTGACCTTGAGGTGACCCCCATGTGACACCCAAGGTCACGTGACCCCCAGGTCACGCCTCCCCGAGGTCACGTGACCCCCCTCCCCGAAGTCACGTGACACCCCCCCCCCCCCCCCCCGAGGTCACGTGACCCCCCCCCCCGGAGCATATTAAAGAATGAGGGGGGAGGAGGAGAAGGAGGAGGGGTCTACCCTCCCCTCAGTACACTTCACTCCTCCTCCTCAAGAGCTGCGCTCCAATTCGGCGTTACAGGGATTTGTAAACGGCTTTCACTTTTTTTCTTGTAAAATTACAATGCGTAGTTCTCTTTCCGTAAAAAATAAGGCTAAGAAACTTGCCAGGGTCTACGGCGGGCAGCGACACAGACAACATAGGTTTAGTAGCAGGGTGTGTTTGGCGTTTGTATTGATAGATGGCACTACCTCCCTATCGAGACGGCGCGCGACCACCAATGTTTATTAAAATGAACATAATCTTTTTGAAATGTACCTTCGGTTAAAACATAAGTGCGGACAATAAAAGTAAAACTGAAAGTAAAAAAAAGCATCTGCATAACGGCGGCGCCTTTGCTGCCAACGGATCTCGTCTGCATGCCGTCTGCTCTCTTTCACTGGTTGGCTGCACCTTCGGACGCTGCTCCCGTCGCCATCTATCAATACGAACGCCAAACATAGCCGCTACTGAACCCCTGTCGTCTGCGTCGCTGCCCGCCGTAGACACTGGCAAGTTTCTTGGCCTTATTTTTTACAGAAAGAGAACTACGCATTGTAATTTTACAAGAAAAACCAACCTGTGAAATACACCTCTGACGAAAGGTTTAGATTGCTACGTGCAGGCGTTGATTTTTACGGTCCATTTTAGATTGAGCCTGGTGACTTCGACCACCCTATAGTTGGATTAAAATAAACTTGGCTAGACAAGCCGAAGCTTGGGAATTACCTTCACGAGTTTAGCTCGGTTTTCATTTAAAAGCTTAAACTATTCAATATATGATTCGGAAATGTTTGGCCAAAACTACTATTCGCTTCAAAATCGCCAGTGCAAGCCCGGCAATGCGAAAACACATATAATATTAATATCATTCTTGTTTTCACATCACCGGCCTTGTGCCTGCTGCTAAAGTGGTAAATTTAACGCATCCTCACACTTTGTCAATCGAAAATTCACTGATTTAGGGGTTTTCGACGATGCTCAGGAAGTTTCTAATTGAAACCTTTTGTTTATTTTGACGAAGTAAACATGTAATTCACCAATTAAAGATAATTATTTAGGAAATTACGGTGCTTCTTTTCATCCCCAAGGTCCGCTGTGGCTGGCAGTCTGTTCTTGAAAAGAGTTTCTCTTTCTTATAGAACACCCTAGATCAGTGTTGCGGAGTTGCCATTCCGGAGTTGGAATGATTCCGGAATCATTCCGCATTTTCGCGACCCCGGAATGGAATGGGAATGGAATGGCAGCAACGTTGAGGGGAATGGAATGGGAATGGAATTAGATGCCTTTTGCCTGAAATGGGAATGGAATGGGCCCGGTTCTTTTTTTTTTTTTTGTGTTTACAGTTAGCTAAACCGAGCCGGTCAGCAAGTCAGTTACTCAGAAATAAAATGAGCGGGAAACTGCTAGCCCGCGAGGAGCCCTCACAAACCTATACGCAAGAAAATGTAATACAAAAAACAAGCGTCAGAGCAAAGAGCACAGGGTCGGGGGGGAGGGTTGTGTGGCGGTGGCACCTTTCACGGAGGCGCAGGCGACGGGCTTCACCGGCGTTACGCGAGAGCGAAGTAAGAAACCAAGCACCAAGCAAAAGAAACGAAGGGAGCGACAAAGAAAGAAACTGCCTTGCTCGGCTCCTCATCAGCTCTGATAACTCGTTGACTCGCGCACTGCCGAAAGATAATCAGTTATTGTTTTCTTATAGTTCAAGGAGCATTGTTTAGCAGGCGGCCAACCCTGCTGCCTTCCAGGTTCATTCGCGCACACTCCTTTGAAGTGCAAAATGTGGGTTCGCTTCGGCATTAAAACAAAGCGAGACTCACTTCTCTTTTCTTCTCTTGCACATTGCTCCGACGCTTGTTTTTTTATACTGAATTTTTATGTGTAAGTCCGCCTCTTGATCTTTGTTCCGATGCATGTTTTCTGTGTTCTATGTTTTACATTGAAGTGGGTTAGGGTTACAAGCAAGCTAACGGATTCCCACTCATTTCCTTTGACTTGAGTCTCTGCATACTTTGTTTCACCTTGCAATGGACCGCTGCGGACACTACGAGTGACCCCAGGCAATCCAGCACCGTGAGCAGGACTACATGTACGGCACGTTGCTGCGCCCCAGGGTCACACGACACTTAGAAGGCACTCATGCTGTCTGCTGCAGCTCATCATAAGGTGAAGTAGAAAATCGTCACCGCTGTTGTTGCATGACCAAACTGACTAGACCTGCTGAAAGACAGTTTCGTGACATGGTCTACACGGTCCCTCATGCTGCACTGTAGAGGTTGCACTTTTTCAGAGGATGTGTTCTTGCCGCTGTGCATGGAGTCGCTTCCAGCAGCGTACTAGCCGTGTTGCTGGTGTATTTGAAGAATACAGTAATATAGCTGATTTCTGTGCCACGCACAAACTCAATATTTTTTAGGTAATACCAAACAAACACGCTGGCCGCGTATGTCCTAAAAATCAAATGCAAAAAAAAAAAGATTGCAAAAAAAAAAGAAAGAAAATGAGTGGATTTGAGTTTTGCTGTTCGTTGTGAGCCACATGGTCGAAAGCCCGATGTCTTAAACAAGCATCGACATATCAAAGGGCCTTCTTGGTGTTTGCAGTACAATGTAAACAAACACTTTAGTACACCAGCGCTCCGCTTAGTCAAATCGGTGCTTTTTTGAGGCCATTAGCATTTTTTTGCAATAGCGTTGATAATGTCAGCTTTATGCTGCTTATGCCGGCAACACAATGTAGCTGTCAAATGCCAATCTTTACGTTTAGGAATTAGAGGAATGAAATGGAACGATTCAGCCATTCCAGGAGTGGGAATGGGCCCACTGCTCCCATTCCTAGGAGCTGAAAGGAATTGAATTATCGAAAACTCTAATTCCCCAGAATGGAAATGGAATGGAATGGAGGTGCCCATTCCGCAACACTGCCCTAGATCTATTATTTTTTAAAGCCTTCGCAGAAAGACCCAGCATAAGCCTTTCTGCTCCGCGAGATATAAAAGTATGTAAACTTACTGTCGTCCATTATGATGCCAATCTGGTACAGGAAACAGAAGTAAATGTCTGTGAGCTCCACGGACAGCTTCTGACGTTGCTCTTCGGTGAAGCGGGAATAGTTCCTCTGCACTTCGGAAATGGTCTGCATGAAATGTAGCGGCCATTAATACCGCCACTCTTGCGCATCCTGAGGTAGAGTACAGTAACCATTAACAAGTCGAAAACCGAGATGCTACAGGAGGGCGCATACACTCCATGCGTTTGTGCGCCACTCGTCAAAATTAGCAATGCAGGCCAAACTGTTATTTTCTGCAAAAGTGTTTTTTGACAAAGTTTACTGAAGTGATTCTGCTGTGCGCTTGTTAAGACAGCGGGAAATCAGTTGGTCCCAATGGGCGTCTCCACTGTAGGTGACAAATTTAGCCCGTGCAATACGTCTTCAAGCCGGAGGTTTTTAACGTGTGTTATGCAGTGGTGATTACAGAAATGCGCACCGGTACGAAGCACACCCAGATCGAAACTGGCAGGGATGGGGATCGAACCCGGGATCATTGGGTCCCACAGCGCGAGCTTTCGCTCACCGAGCTGTGGTGCACCAACACACTCACCGCCGATCCCCCCAAATGGTGCACCACTCCCCATCAAATTTTTCTATTTTTCTATGTTTAAAAGATTTAAAAATAATATTGCCAATCGGCAGTCACCCACATAACAGAGGAGGGATGCATGGATGCTAATGGCTGTGCCTTTTATAACGGATGGAAGCTTGCACCGCCTAGCCCAGAAACCAAAAGTGTGATTCGTCCCCTTTCCCTTCTAAGTCAATTTGCTCGCCCTTCTGCATTTTTCTAACCACGACCAGGCAGTGTGGGATATTGCCGGGATGACCTTTTGGGAAGGGGGGGGGGGAGGGGGAATTGGGCCAAAAAAGCTAAAAACCTCACTCGCCTATTGGCAATGTTTCCCACGGTAATCTATTTCTTAAAGGGCAACTCCGCTCAATTATGAAGATTTCGGGATAATGAGTGATTTCGAATTAAAAAGCCCTAGTAAAAGACACTGCATCGTTTGCTTCGCGAAAAGTGGGGTATATAACGCGAAAAATGGGGTATATATTTCTAAATCTAATTTTAAACACGAGCGGAAATCGAAACCAAAACTTCGGCTCCGTCCGGCAACATTGGCCTCGGGCCGCCAAGTACATGGCCATCACGTGGTATGAGATGTCACGTGATCCTCGGCCCAACGATGGGCGGGATGGGGGAGGGCGTGCCGCGTGCGGCAGGTGCGAGTGTCATCTGCACCGCACTCTTCGCCACGTTTTGGTGTCTACGGCATTCGACGATGTCTGCACAACTGCGGCATAAGTCTGCGACTCTGCACATGTGGTGTCCATAGTGTGGACGAAACTCCGAGAGGCAATAATCACAAACGGTGAGACGACGACGGTGGTTGTGATGAGGAAGACGGCGGTAACGGCGGGACCACGGCGGGCGGTTGGTCTGCTCCCAAGAAGCGCGCTGCGCAGGCGCGTACGCCAATCACGTGGACACTGCTGAGCGCCGAGAGGCAACGTTGCTGACGTCATGCACTACGCTCGATCAGAGAAGTAAAAACAAGCAAAAGGGGGCCATGGTGATGACGTTTAGCTCAATGTTGGCTCCGCCTATGCCGTAGCCTTGACTGCGCTGTTGGTTGCGCCTGAATTCGCCCGCTCGAGTCAGCCGATTTCGGCAACTTGGCGAGTTGCAAAGTTTACCGGACCGTTTAAGAAACATTTAGACAGAACTGCGTCGTAATATTTGACGTGTGGTCTTCCTAGGCGATACTAAAGAGGACTGCATTGTTTTTTCAAAACCAAAAATGAAGCGGAGTTGCCCTTTAAGTGGAGTACTACCTGTCTAAGAAAGAGAACTAGGAGTATGTATGGAGGTAGCTAGCCACTGAGTAAGCTTCGCTTCGGTGCAACGACAGTTCAGTCATCTTGGTCCTTAAAACCGTGGCTGGCAGTTCACCCTAAGCTCTACCTGAAACCACTGGAAACGGTTTTCCGTCCTCCAAAGACGTTAAAACAGATCGGGACAGAGCGAGACGCTGTTGCCCAAGCCTCCCGACGCAGTGTCCAAAGCTCAAAAAGTTTGGCTTTCTAATCCTAACTGTCGCCGATTGCGCCCGCCCGGCACTAGGCACCAAAATGGCGGTGCCGAGAAGAAATTCGGGGCGAATTAAGGGCAGCTGCCCAAGCCTAACTGATTGGATGAATGGATGGAAGGATGCATGGATGGTAATGGCTGTACCCTTTATAACAAGCGGTAGCTTGCGCACCTAGCCTAGAATTTAAGAATTCAGTCGCTCTAGAGCAGTGTGGCCAATTTAGCAGGTTTCCCGCTAAATTTGGCGGCTTTCAGAGTTGTTTTGCGGGGGAAATTATGGTTTTGCAGTCAGTGAGATTTCTGGCGGTTTTCATGTCGTGTTGGTGTGCTTTCTGGCCAACTAAAATGTGCTCCCATTTATGTTTGTCGGTCGTAAATGGCTTAATTTCTGTGCTGAGCTAGAGTCGCAGTGTCGTTATTTTTACTCACTCTCGACAAAATTGCTGTCTGTGGGAATAACACTCGCGATACCTTTGAGATAAAAAGGAGGCAAACATTGAAACATGGTGTTAAAACAGTCATTCCTGGCCTGCGCCTTAAATCTGGCGGTTTTTCAAGATTCCTTTAGCAAGTTTTAGATTTTTTGAGCTGGAAAAAACTAGTTAGCGGTAGCCTTTCCCCAATCAATAAGAGAAGTTGACCACTTGGCAAGGGACTGATGTGGAGTTGCGTTTCCAACCCCACTCTGACTCGTCGTAACTTGGCAAACGGTGAATGTTACGGCCCCACCGAGCCAGTTGGTGCATCGGAAGGCCTGCCACTAGACTGTACCTCACCAGTTGTGCGCAGTGCTGTCAAAGCCACAGGCAGGAGAGAGAGAGAAAGAGGAAAGCCGTCTTTATACCAATTTTGAGCACCAGGCTAATCATCTATAGGGGGACAAAAGCAACGTCTGGGACATGCGAGAGAGGGTCCAGGTAAGAGAGGAGTTCCTCCTTCCCCTCTCCTCCAACTGCTAGACTTGCCGTCTCGCCCCTGCACCTTTTGGTAAAAACAGTCGCGTGCTTTGCCTCCTTTGCTCTGATTGGCTTGGGGGAGAAGGCCGTAAGCGTTCGTGCTCGCCAAGTTACGGCAAAACGAAGTACAGCACGTTCCGGCACGTCCAAGCTTTCCAACCTTCGAATGCCGTCACTTACAGGGCTGGCAACCAGGCCTTCCAAGGACTTGAAGTCTCCTCTGGCCACCAGGGCAGAGACGTACGTTAACGCCTAGAAACATAAACGAGATTCGCCACCTGTGACAAAACACGAAAACCCATCACGTTCACTGTAGCCAACAGTGAAGGGATGATTGGGGTTGCAAGGTACCTGGGTACTAGTCACTGGAAATCAGTAACCATACTTCGTTTCACCTTAAGTCTGGACACAGCCGACCCTGCTTGCTGGTGGGCTTCAGAAACGCGCCGTCATGCTTCTGTCCATCATTGTTTAGGCAGTCATGTACAGGGAAGGCCCGGGGACCTGCTCTTTTGACGCTATGATTGGTTCTATCAGCTTGTAGGGCCAGCTGCGTCCGGACTTGAGGTGAAACGAAGTATAGGTGCTTTTCATGTATCTCAAATGCTGTTTTATTTTTGGGGGTGAAAAAGTGCCCTTGGTATGATGTTACTATTTCTAACTATAGGTAACTTTTGAAAAGCATGCGTAGGTGTAAACGTCTCTTAAGGGGTATCCACACGAAGGAGAACTCCGCGGAAGGAGCTTGTGACGTCAACAACCCGGGAAACTCCGTCCTTGGCTCCGCCGCGTGCACCTGCGGAGCTCTCATGCTAAAATACGAAGCCTCCACGTCTCCGCCACGGAGGAGAAGGGCGCCTTGAGGCGTCAAAAAGGGATGACGTATGTCTCACGTGATGCGCGCTCCGCGGAGGAAAGTGGCGGATTTCTCCTTCATGTGGATACCCCATTAGGTGCATTCCTTTTACAAATCTGGAGATGTCCCTAGTTATACAAGTACAACACACAGGTGAAACCACCAGTTTCTGTCTTTTATCTCTAGTATTGTTTTTGTGATTAAGCTGTTAACAATTATTCTTACGTAAAAAAAAAAAAAAAAAATGTTTAGCTTTTTTGTTTTGGTGAAGGAAGACCAGCGAAGCTGTACTATAGTGGGAATGAAGTAATGGCCGGCCGCAAGTCAACAAACCAGAGTGGAAAGGTTGCCGCCATCTATGAGCGACGGCGGCAACCAGACAACCGGCTGGCCGGTTGTCTGATTGGCGCCGTCGCTCATAGATGGCGGTAGTTGTCCGGAGTTCCGTGTCGAGATTTGTTTGCCCACGGACACGATACTGCTGTAAAAAAAGTGATGGTCATTGATTTTAAATTATTAGTGTGAGGTGAAATTTCAGGCTAAGAATATTTCGTTGCTATGCGCGAAATGAGTCTACAAAACAGCTGCCGCCAACAGAGCGGCTAAAGACACACTGTGACGGAAATTTTGCCAAACGAAGACTCGCCGAAGACATCAGTCAAGCCAAAGGTCACCTGTTTAGCTCCATTCAAAAACTCCGTCTGGTTGTAGCTCCTGTCCAAGTACGGTTTGATGATGAAGGTAGCCTGAATCCAGTTCTTCAGCGTCAGAAAGAAGCTCGGCCAGACGATGCGTGGACAGTTCATCAAGTCTTGGTCTTGATTACCGCTCCGACTAGCACAGGACCTTTTCGAATTGATGAGAGGTGCACATAGTGCATGTGATGGAGTTACACTACCTCCGAGGCAGTGTGAAGGGGACTGCTGAAGAACGTCCTTATGTGACGAGAAGTGACGGTAACGTAACGTGCTGGCGGCAGCCCGGGGAACGTTAGTGTTGGTTAGAACTTTGAGGAAACTCGCTTGCGGGAACTTCGCCAGTATGCACCTGAAGGACGCCATCTTTCCTGAACGTTGATGTTTACGCTGATCGCGTTTATGCCTCGCACTTTCTGTCTTTTCCGCTCAATTTGGCGAAAATAAAAGTGATCAAAATATAAAAACAAAGTTTTCAGTTGAAAATTAACATTTAATAAATATAAGCGCTAATAGATTGGGTTACTCATTGAGCTGTATGCGGGTTGTTTTAACAACAAACGTCGCTCGCAAGTTACTTTCCAGAAACCCAAACAAAAATAATATTGTAAATAGCACTAGAGGTTTGATTAAATTTATAAATTTTTAGTAAAAGTAGGTAAAGCCATTTTAAAAGTCTAAAAAGTTACATGTTGTAAGTACTGTCAAAGCACACTAGATGGCAGAACACATTGCCCGATTCAAAGGTTTCCGTTTTTATTGTCTATTCACTTGTTTCAGAGGAACATTTGTTTGGATTTTAGTCATCTGTTGCAGAACAGAAGGACTCGGTTGACTCGGTTGACTCGGTTTGGCAGGTGTGTGGGAAGTTGTGGGACGCACAGGAGCAAACAGTAAGTGACAATTGTGTAGGAGGTTTTGTCAGCGACTAACTAAATGGACTTTAACTACTTACCGAACTAAGTGCGTTTCCAGCCACACTACCCTGTATTCAGCTGTCTCTTTAACATAGAACCATTGTCTTTTTACTGTTATCCGCAGCTGATGCACTTATCAACCCTGATCAACCCTGCCCTGTCTAGCCTTGTGCACATTATATTAAATAGTTCTATGGAATTACTCATTCTCAGCAACTTCAAACGAACTCGTCGCGAGCTTACTGTGAGCCAGCGTCACTCCGACCCCGAACCTCCCTTTTTAAGACGCTTTGCAGATGCTTCGGAAGTTTAAGTGCGCACTTTCTTATTAGCATACTGAAGTTTTGTGTGCTGACAGAGACACCACTCAGGTTGCCCTGTCTCCGTGATGTATTCCTAAGGCTACTAATTTGGTTCTTAAATTTGCTGAGCTGAAACTCTTCGTCTGACGAGTCAACTTGCCAGGGACACTCCCACGAATGTCAGTATCTCTTGGGGCGGTCTAGATTTGGTTCGTCGGTGGCTATTATTCTTTCAAACTGAATTTTTGTTTGAAGGGAGCAATGTAGGAAAAACCTAAAAAAACAAAAAAAAAACTTTTTATTTGGCAGTTTACTGTGCGAGTTGAAGGGACCCCCATAAATCAGTTTGTTGTATTGAGCTGAATGTTGTTTTGTTGTTGTTTTTTTTTGTTTTTTTTTTCTTCCAGAGAAGTGGCCAAAGAACATGCCTTAAGGGTATATAAATTTCACCGAACAGACTTACCTGAGTAAAAAGTCGGAAACGCAAAACATGAGATCCCTACTGATGGCGGTCGTCTGCCAGAAGAAAGGCGTTTGATTTTCTTAACAACTGACAAATGGCAGCTGTAAGCTCTCAGGCTAAAGCCTCTCGATAAAGTTGTTTTAAAAGTACCGCCGATCACTGTTGTAGAAACAAGCAAGAGCGGGTGCTCTGCCACCATTCGCTTCCATGGGCTGTTCATTTCAGTGATGCTCCATTATTTGCTTCCAAGGGCTGCTTTCGACCCAGGCCTCGTGCACTGGCACATTTGACGCTACTTGCAAGACAAACCCAAACACATTGAGCGGCTTTATCGCAGGCAAATAGGCAGCTTGCATTATAGAGTTTTCAACTTTGCGTTCGGGGTCATGTGGTTCACGAGTCTCATTTGCTGCACAAGCTGCGAGAAGGTGCCGAAAGCACTGATCGTCTGCAAACGTCTTTGCCTTTCCGCCTGCTTTTCCCCTCGCCGGACGAAAGCGCACTTGCGACCAATCTTCGCAGGTGGCGTCCACCATTAGATTGCAGACTATCCCATTGGTCTGAGATGGACCCTCTCTTCAATCTAGGCTCTCTACAGACGCTATGCTTGAGCAATGCCGTGGTTGCAGACGATAACATGGCACGCGGGCGTTCGGAGGAGGGTGCAGTAGGGAAGGCTCCCCCCCCCCCGTTTGAAATTTCGGGAATATTACGGCGACATGTTTTGGCGCCGTGCTCTTAGGCCACAGTCGGTCACACTGCTAAATAATACATAATTCAAAAGGCACTCTTCAGACGCTGTCCGAGGCTTGTTTTTTTTCTGCATAGCAGTCCTCGACCTCGGCAATAGCAGACAATGTTTCTGAGCCAGAAGTGACACACCCTTTTCCGCACAAGTTGTCAGTGCACGATTATTTTATTCTACAAATGAAGTATAAAAAAAGATTAAGATAAAACAAAAATAAAACAGATGTGTTGTCTCGTTATTTTTCGAAAAAATTATTTTTGGCTACGTGTCAGTCTGCTTTGCACTCTCTGGTTGTTACTGTGTCTCTTTTCTTGTCTGCAACTTTCGCCCATGCTGTTTTGGGGTTTAAGTCATCTTCATAATGTGCTTAACTCTCAGCAAACAGGTAAAAATTGTCTTCTTTTAATGAAAGAGGTCCACCGACATTTTCGGGCAGAGTTTTGGCAGCAACCTTTGGGACGCCCTACTGTTCTACACTCGGTGGGGCACGCCTTAATGAGGAGGGGAACCTCTCAAACAAGTCACCAACAACAGCGGCGTCATCACCGTAGCCCACGCCAAAAAATGTGGTACTCTAGGTGCCTTCACTGCCGACTCCCACTTGTTCAATCTACCGACATCTATTGGCTGCAGTAGGTAGAAATTTCATATTTTTCGTTTCAACCTTTTTACTCGGGTAAGTTTGTCCAGTGAAACTTTTGTGAAACTTTTATACCCTTAAGGCACATTCTTTGGTCACCTCTTTAAAGAAAGTTTTGCTCGATACATTCACAAACCGATTTATACGGTCCCTTCTAACGGTCATCAATCCCTTTGACTAGCCCTGTGGCGCCCGGAATAAACATCTCGCATCCATAAAACATACAGGGACCAGTGTTTATGTGCATGCGCTGTTTGTTTCTTGTGTGTGTGCAAAATCTGCATCCATGAGGCGCACATTCCTTGCCCTCTTATGCTACAACTTTTGCCATTGAAGAAAATATTTATTTTTGGTGATAAGCAGTTTACTTAGTAAGGCTTGTCAGAGGTTGATCGAAACCTCTGAAGCAGCACAACAGAAATGAAGAGTAAAAATTAAACCGCTGGCCAGTAGTTGCTCTGCAATGCTACCCATCACGTGAAGGACTCCGTGATGCTTAACAAGATACCGGCTCGTGGGAGAGAAGGTACAGTCTCCACCAATATGAAAGACCCAATCGTAGTGTGTGGCTGAGACGGGGGCTGGGCCACGCACTCCGAGTGGGTCTTTTGTTATCGGCGGAGTCAACAGAGTCATCTACTTAACCCTTGAAATTACTTGTCCAACTTTTCGGCTCATTTTCTCAGGAATTGTCTGTTGTTAAAGCACTAGTTCTATTCATAGACGCATTTATGTCTCTCGTAAAAACTGTGGTTTAGGTTCAGCAAATTTCCTCAGTGAAAGGGGCACTAAACCATTTCCCACGGTAGTCTGTTTACGGTCATAACTCAGTCTATGGGCCCTTTCTCTATTAAAATCGGTATCAAAGATTGATTACCTTCGAACTATCGTAAATACCGGAGGGCATTGACGGACGAGGAGATTCTGCATGAACGTAACGTTTGGTTTCTTAGGATGCTTAGAGACCACACATTGGGTTACGGCCGTAAATAAACCATCACAAAAAGTGGTTTAGTGCCCTTTTAAAGGGTCACTGAAAAGAAAAAATACAATTTCTTTTGCACAGTCTGGTTGGGACACGCAAGTAAAAAAATTAAGTCTATGCGAAAAAACAAACATTTTTAGAGCAATTTTGACGGCGCGAGACACAATTTAGTAGGTGGTTACCTCCTTTCCACCTGTTTTATCTTGGCATTTCGGGCGTCTGGGGGAGAAGCTGTGGCCATCACGTTAAAGTGGAGAGTATGACCATCTCTTTGAGGTGGAAAGAGTGTATGGCCATTTTGTGATGTCATGAACTTGCATGCATAATTCAGATGCAACTAACATAAATCTTGCGCCATCAATATTGCACACAAAAAAAAAATTTTCTAAAAAAATGTATTTCTTGACACGCACGTCTCACCTAGACTGTTTAGAAAAAACGATTTTTTTCTTTTCAGTGGCTCTTTGAGGCAGAGGCCCTAAACGAGAGGACGCCACATTCAATGCAAATTGAGTTATGCTTGGTGCAAGTTTGTTTGCTTCTTGCACAGGGGTTGTGAAGACGTCGGAACGACGTCGAGCTCAGATTGGCTTTGATTAAAAGGATAGTGGGTTGACCTCAATGCTAGATGCCTTGGGAAGTCTACTCACCATTTTGTTCAATCGGCCAATAGGAGCTCGGCGTCCTGACATCATCACAACCCCTGCTCAAGAAGCAGACGAACTTGCGTTCCGCATTAACTCTGCTCGGGTGTGCCGATTCAGATCTCCACCACCCGCCTCCCTTTCACGGTCCCTCTGACGTTTCACGCCGTCTTTTCGGGAATCAGGCTCCTAGAGTATCTGCCCCGTTGGTGAATGTCGCCGTCGCCGGCGCTGAAGCCTCCCCTTCCTGCCGCCGGTATGGGGACACCGCCAAACGCCGCCGCACGCGGGGGCGCCAAGCTTCGCGCGAGGTCGTCGTCAGCCGGCCGCGGTCCGGACAAAGGTCTACGAGCCCGCTACTGGGCTTACCTGTTCGAGAACCTGCAGCGAGCCGTGGACGAGATCTACCACACCTGCGAGACCGACGAGAGCACCTTGGAGTGCAAGGTGCGGGTGCAGGGTGCTCCGGTGATTTTTCGAGCTACCCCAACTGCCTATGTTTTCGGAATCACCGGCCTTTACCCTTTCCGGTATGCTTTTTAGTATTGCAAATTAAGAATAATTGTGAAATTGGCAATTAAAAATGATGCCAAACCAACATTCATGTACCCACACTTAAACCTGTTTTCAACACTGGTATTTTCTCAGTTGTTTTCTTCTGGCATGGCTCTCTTATTTAAAGGGAACAGTTGTCATGGTAATGCAGCAAATGAGAAGATTCAGATGCTGTTGGGAAGAAATACATTGATACATTAATTTTAATACTACTATACGATGTAAAGATGTATTGGAGGAGGCAAGGACATTTTTTTGTAGCCCTATTACATTGACCGTTGTTCAGTCCAGCCTTGTACAAAGTGTGTTTTTGACACTTCCTCCCTGCACTAACAAGAATTCGAGCTCAGTCACCGATAGGGGCCATTTCCACAATATTTTTTTCTTTGTGGCATTTGATTTCTGATCTTGATATTTTGCTTTTGCAGGAAGCCATTCTTATTCTGGAGAACTACCGGAAGGAGTTCACAGCGCTGATCAACTGGATCCAGCTGAGCAAACAGCTCGAAAGCACTCCCCCTCCAAACAGGTAGGACGGAAAACATTCCCGAGGGATCGGTGGTCGTGTATGTTAACACGTCACAATTCAGAGTATGTGGAGCGAAAGCTCACGCTGCAGGATCCATATCTTCCGGGTTCCGTCCTCACCCCTGCCTGTTTTTATCTGAATCGGCACCACACTGGCGCGCGGTCCTTTACCACTACTGGGTGGTGCTCGTACTATAGACCCCAGGCTTGCAGCAGTACTGCACTGGCTAAGTTTCTCATCTGCTTTGGACACGTCCGACACCCATTGGGGGCTGACTAATTTCTCACTGTGTAAACAAACTCACAACAGAGTTACTTTTACCTGACACTTATAAACAAAACTTTTTTTTTTTGGCATTGATTGCGGAATCTTGCAACCATCCAGGCCGACCTGCCTAACGTGGGAAGTGCGCAAGCCGTCCTTGGGTAAACCCGTTCCGCGGAACTTCATGGCTCCAAGGCCCGGACTTGCGCAGCGACCTTCGCGGCTCACGGTCGGAACGCAGTGTGGTCCGGAGTCCATTCCAGCAGCTGCCGCTCCATGCACGGTCTCTGGGGCCGGCTCGGTGCAGAGCTTAGAGCACCAGGATGCTTCTGGAGCAGACTGTGTTCTCAAGGTGGTGCCAGAGACCGGCAAGTCGATAAGCTCTTCGGATTCAGGTATGACGGTCATTCAGTATATCATATTTTCCAGTGTATAAGACGCACCTGTGTATAAAACGCATCGCCGAAAATTGGGGAAAAAAATTGTGTCTTATGTATGAGACGCATCATTGTTTAAGACGCACCCCCCACTTTTCGCACGTTTCTAAGTAAAAATTAGTATATAGGACGCACCTGTGTTTAAGACGCACCTCCGAAAATTTTTTTAAAAACGTGTGTCTTGCACACCGGAAAATGCGGTACATAAATGGATGGTGTTGGCTATACCTTTTGTATCGGGTGGTAGCTTGTACCATGTAACCTAAAAGCATTTACACCCCTCTCCTTTATATTTAGACCTTTAAAGGGTAACTTTGCTCAATTCTGAAAATTTCGGGATAATGTGTGATTTCACATTAAAAAGCACTAATAAAAAGCACTACGTCATTTGCTTTGCGAAAAGTGTGGTGCATGTTGTTAAATCTTACGTTACACGTGAGCAGAAACCGAAACTTCGGCTCCATCTGGCAGCATTGACCTCGGGTCGCCAAAAACATGACTGTCACTCGGTACAAGATGTCACATATTACCGTAACCCTCTACACGACGGGCGAAAAGGGTGTCGTCTGCACTGCACATTTCGCCAGTTTTCGGTAAGGTTCTTACGTGTTGGTGCCTACTACATTCGGTGACGTCTGCACAGCTGTGGCATCAGTCTGCGCACATGATGCGAATGAAACTCCGAGAGACATTAGGGAGTTTTCATAGATTGTTTCCCGACCTCGGCTAAGCTCTCCCGAACTAGAACACCACTACTGCGCGCGAGTGGCACTAGCCTTGCCTGCAGAGTCGTGGATCTCGCAACAAATTGCGGAGAACATTGCGGGACGAAGACGCCCTAATCACAAACGGTGAGACGCCGACGGCGGTTGTGTCACGGGAGATGGTGATAGCGGCAGGATGGCCGGATGGCTCCCAAGACACGCACTGCGCTGTCGACGGCAATCACTTGGACACCGCTGAGTGCCGAGAAAAAGCGTCACTGACGTCGCCCGTTACGCATGCCTGGAGAAGTAAAAACAAACGAAAAGGGGCAATGGTGATGACGTTTAGCTCAGTGTTGGCTACGGACATGCCGTAGCCTTTACTGTGCTGTTGGTCGTGCCTCAGTTTGCCCACTAGAGTCAGCAGATTTCGGCAATTTGGCACGTTGCAAAGTTTGCCAGACTTTAAAAACATGTAGTCACAACTATGTTTTAATATTTTATCTGTGGTCCTTCTTGGTGATGCTGAAGAGGACTGCATTGTTTTTTTTAAAAACAAAAATGAAGCGGAGTTGCTCTTTAAAGCTGTCATTTACCGAACATTGTGTTCTTCAAGTTCCATTATCGGGCAGCTCTTCATTGAAGAAACCGATTCTCTTATTTCGTTTTGTTTCTTTCAGTTTTTTGTTTTTTAGAAAAATACTTTTAGATTATTGCATTCTTAGTATATATTAGGTATTCTAAAGAAAAACAAATGTTTCTCCGATATTCATTTACTGAGCTAGGTGAATGTTATTTTACATACTCAATTCTGGTCTGCATACTGAATGTCTTACGTAATGTGTCGTCGCATAATCGTGAGCTCTTGGGGAACCTTATGTGCTGCTTATTTCTCATGCTTGCCATTTTGTAGGTACTTCGGCTAACGACAGCCATGCTGACAATGTGGTCAATAAATCATTCCCCGAGTCGAGTGTAGCGTCAACATCGGCCCAAGATTCCGTGGTGACAGTGGAAGATGTTGCAAGAGCACCCGCAACAACCCCAGAGGAGCCAAAGCGTTTGGAAGAGGCCAAGCCTTCTGAAGAAGCCAAGCCTTCTGAAGAGGCCAGGGCTTTAGTAAAAGCAGATAGCTCGGAGCAGGAGAATAGTATTTTAGATATAGCAAGTAGTTCAGAAGAAGTGAAGATAACTGGAAACATTGAGAGTGCCAATGATGCTGATGTTCCTGCGGAACCTGAATGCCTAAGAAACCCTGAAACAGAAGCACCCAAGCCCATAGAAGTGTCTAGCTCTCCAAAACCAGCCATGTTGCCTGAAACATTGGAGATTCCAGAAGTGTCCAACCAGGCCTCTAATATACCTAAGACTTCAGAGGTAGCCAAAGATCAAGATTTATCGAAGTCATCAGAGGCCTCCGAGACTTCCGATAGGTCTAAACCTACGGCGTCGGCTAAGACCCCTGCAGTCTCCAAGACTACGGACACGTCCAAGCCACCAGAAGTCTCCAAGACCTTGGAACGGTCCAAGACACCGGAGCCATCCAAAGCATCGGAGGCCCCTAAGCCTCAAAAGACAGGTCAGGCAGCAGCCATTCTGTCTCAGGCTTGTCCATCAGCCAAGTCAACATCTGCAAGAGTGCCAAGACCAGGACCCCGTCCCAGTGTGACTGATGCCAAATCCAGGATCACTCCAGGTAAAGGCTTGGGGAGATCAGAGGATTATTTCACTTTGTGTGCGTCATGCATAGTGCGGACAATTGTTTTTACGATTTACACAAACTTGTTCTAAATTAGACTCGAGAAAATGGCCAAAGTCCTCAGTCGAGTGGATTAATGGAAATCAAATGCATGTTTGGTAGTTTTCTGAACCAACTCTAGGATTCAGAAAATTCTTGTCTTTTGGGATCTGGACGGTGTAGATCTTTCTTCAGCTCTATGTATTGACCACTGAATGGTTGATGGCGGTAGCGACGGGAAGTCGTGGCTTTTCTAGGTGGTGAGTGGGAGAGCAGCAGGCACATTGAAAGCGTTGTTTCTTGGAGCTAAATGAGGAGAGTTCTGTAAACAAGTTCTGTTCTTCACGGACCTCTAGTAACGAGACGCGTTAAATGAGACTATGGTTACAATTTTTCACATTAATAAAGTCGGCACCTTCGTTCTTGTTTTAGAACCCAAGCCAGCCTCTTACAGTTCTTCGCTGAAGACCGGGTCGCCGTCCCAGCGGTTTCATGCTCCTTCACGGCCTTCAGTACCTCCTTCCTCTAGGCCCGGAGCTGTCAACCCAGCAAGAACAGCTCCACCAGCAAGGGGGGCAGCTTCGAGCACCGTCGTGACCACAGCGACCGTTCGCAAGGCAACCACCGTCGTCAGTCCACCCAAGCCAATTTCCAACGTTGCCAAACCGTTAGGCGAAGTTCGGAAGAGCGAATCGACGCTGTCTCTGAGCAGTACCTCGAGCGGTCACAGTTGGGCGGACATGGTGAAGGGTCCGAATGCTTGTGGCGAGGCAACGTTGCTGACAAAGAGCGTTTCGTTGGACCCCATGGCCGTCGATCTCGGTGAGTGAGCGGCGACGAGAAAGAATCTGGACGGGAGTTTTTTTTATATCTTCTTTCATCGCTTGGGTCGAGGTCTTTCTGTAGCTTTATGTAACCGTGCAGTGAGGATTTAGAAAGGGCTAAGAAGTAAATGTATTGGAAGTAGTATATGTCTGATATGCAGTTGCTCATGAACCCGTATAGGTTTGCCATGTTTTCTTCCTTTCACTTAGACCCTCTTGTGTGTTTTCTCTGTGCATTATGTTTTTGATGCATTGTATTTCATTTTGGTTTAATAATTCTGTTGTCGAGCAATGTGCTTTTGTATGTGAGAAAAAAAAATAGCTTTTTGTATCATTTACCCTATGCAGTCATGACCTCTGTGTAGTGGTGTGCTAATATTTGAATTTTTGAATAGTAGTTTCCAACTCCTATGTTCATACTTGTCAAGTGTCGATCGCAGCAAGTTAGCCCCGTTGAGTGTGCTTCTTACCGAGCATCTGTGCACTGTGGAGAAGCAACACCCGCAGAGCTGGCGGGCTCCGCGGCTATTGCTTGCCCGCGGTGCACTGGTGCTCGGTGAGAAGCACACTCAACGGGGCTGACCTGCCGCAATTATGCAGGTGCATGTGTTAGGCAGTGATGTCTTGAAAACCCATGCTCATCCTTCGTGCTTGTTTTTTGTTTTTGTTTGTTTGTTAAATTTGAAATTGAAGAATGAATATTTGCACATAGCAAGTGGATTAATGGATTGATTTTCTAGATTAGGATATTGTGTCAATTTTGTCGTTTACATGCCATAGTTCCTAAATATAGCGACAGTAAAATTAACTGAGCTTAGAAGTGGGCAAGTGGAAAGTTGGGAACAATGTGCATGAGTTCAGCTGAAATTTTGTATGGTGCACGGTACTGAAAGGCTTGGAAAAATTATTCATGACTACCTCTGTGCACTGTAGGTACCTTAGAAATAAGCAAAAAGAAATTAAATAAACTTGGATGAGTTTATACGAGTTCTGAGAACCCCTCTCTAGCAAACACGGCTCTAATTTTTTTTCCCAATAAATAAAAGTCTGTATGAACTCTTACGGGCTCATACGAGTTCATTCAAGTTCCATCAGTTCCACGTACTAATCCCGCCGCTACAAAAACAACCTTACATTTCTCCCCAGATGACTCCGAGGGATGGGAAACCGTCTGCCGCAACAAGACGAGGTCGCGCAACTCGCCGCCCAAAAAGTTTGCACCCCGCCATCCGAACGCGCCGAACTCACACCACTCGTCGGAGCCACCCCGCGGAGGAGTCGCGCGGTCACCTTCCGCTCCCGCGATCGCCGTCGCTCCCGCCTCTTCCGTTCGCCCGAAAACTCGACGGTCGTCGGCGCCGCTGTCCTCCGGCCCGCCCGTCGTCGCCAAGAACCCTCGGCCCAGAAACGTTGCAGCGAGAGACCACGTCGGGCCGCGTAGCGCCACGTCCATGCCGTCGCTCGCCCTCCGGCGCGAGCCCAAAAAGAATGGCTTCGCAGCTCCGCCCACTCCGACGCTGGGTTCCAAGTCAAAGAGTTTCGTGGGTTCAGACGAGAGAGAGAGGTCGCGAAGGAGAGGGGAGCAAGGGAGGAGAGACCGTCCCCAGTCGCAGAGGGCAAGCCGCGAGAGCCTGCGCTCCTTGAAGGCTGCCGAGGAGGAAGAGGCGGAGGCGATTGACAGGATGGTGCTGTCTAGGATTGCCTCGCCCCTGGAGGATGCTAGGGTGAGTAGCTGGCATAACCGATTGCGTTGTGCGTATGTTTATATGGGGAAATTGAGTTGGCCCTTTTGGGCGTCTGGTGTCTTCGCTGTAGAGGAGAAATTTAGCTGGCGCGGTACAACCGCATCTGAGGTTTTCGACATTCATCGTGCACTAATGATGCGCGACAGCAGGGTGGTACGGTGCCAGTCCAGATCGAAACGGGCAGGAGTGGGGACGGGATTTGGGGTACCTGGGTTCGGCAGTGCATCTCGTTTGGCAACACGTTCAGATGTTGAAGTAACAAGGAGGTTGGTCAAGTATAGGATCACGGTGGTTTTCTGACACCAAGGAAGCTAACGAAAGAAAACAATGCTAGTCCGATCTCCTCGTCGGTTTCCCGAGTTTCTAGCATCCATCGTGTTCGGACTCGAGCGTTTTTAAAGCATGAGCTGCTTTTTAGAGCCACCTTTCCCAATCCAAAATTTTTGTCCTTCTCTCTGTTTGTCCGGGCATTTTCTGCTAAATTTAGCGGGGAAAGTGGCGTCACGTGACCTGTACTTTTAGGGAACTTGACCTTGGCACGTTACCTATACGGCGACTCAGTTTTCCGGCCAAATTTAGTGCAAAAATTTACGTCTTGTGGCCAAAACATCAATTTAGTTTCCTCGCTAGATTTAGCAGGAAAGTGATGTCATGTGAACATTTACACACAATTCAGTTACAAGCTGTATTTAGTGGAAAAATTAATGTCTTGTGACCTAGACACTGTTGCAGTTTCCCTACCAAATTTAGCGGGGGAAATCAACATCACGGGACCATTCAGTTACCTTGCTAAATTTTCCGGGAAAATATACGTCACATGACACACCAACTCCCTCACCAATTTCCTATAATGTATTTTATGCATTATAAGACTGAAAGTGAAGGTTGCTGTTTTGTTTTATAGGCTGTAAGGGGGGGGGGATGTCGGGGGGAATCTATGCGACATGTTTTTTTTTTAAATTACAATCTATACCAAAAGGTGTACATGTGTCAGTAATAGTCTCTCAGCTTTTTGGGACCTTCCATGTTTTAATACTTGTGGCTTGGTTTTTAATCTTTTAGCTTTGCTTGTTTCGTTGTCATTTGTTTGGTTTAGTCTACTTGAATTCTTCATAAACGCACTCACTTTGTTCATCACACTGACCACTGATTTTCTTGGTGCAGACGGATCCGCAAGAGGCCGTTGCCAACAGTGTTGTCTCGCCTTTTGAAGATGACGGTGTGGACGTTGATGATTCGGAAGCTTTTGAAGGTAAAGTGCCTCTGCAGCCACCAAACCAAGTCGGTCACAGAAAGGAAGTCTCAATAATCTTCATTCAAGCTTTACAGTCTAACCCGAATACATCGAATTCAAAAGGGACCATAAAATAGTTTGATATATCAATAATTTGAGATACAAAAATTTTAAATTAGGAGCTCGAGTTGATAATTCTCGATGTCTTTGCTAATACCGAAGGTCGCAACAAACGGGAGCTTACCAAATAGAACATTCAAGAGCCTCTAAATACAGTAGAGCGTACTTGGCAGAGACCTCAAACGCCCCCGCACTTGCATATGCACCTGACGGGACCTTTACATGGCTTAAGCGACAAAACATGAAAATAAGAAAAAAAAAGAAAGAAAAATGAAAAAGCAAGAGTATAAACAAATAACGAACGTTAAGCAAGCAACAAAAAAGTAAGTTCACTAAATTCAAGCAAAAAAAAAAGGCAAAAATAAAATGAAAAAAGACGGGCAAAGCAATAACGGCAAAAGAAAAAGGTAAACAAAGATAAGGCGTTGGAAGTGCAATTGCAATACCCGTTGTCAACACACTCAACTTGCTGAAGACTTTTTTTTTTTTTTTTTTATTTTGTTTTTAGGCTTTCTTTGAACACTGCAGCAGCTGTGTTCGGGGAAAAGGTGCAGGCTACCTTTCCGACAGCGAACACTCCCTGATAGATGTGGTTGTGTTGTCCCTGTTTTAATTGTTTTATTATTTCTTCATCCATGACTTAAACCAACACGCTCTTCTACCAAGCTCCCTACTCTCTCTATGCGCCTGCGGGCTTGGCGGTCTGCCAGCCTCGCAACGCAAGCGATGTGCTCGCCACCGGCGCAATTGCATCGCGGTAAAAGCAACGGGCTTTGTGCGCTATATAGAGTGTCCCCACCATGGGAGTTGGATACAAAGAGACAACGCTCCTATACTGTTACAGTGATTTTCAAGGGGATGTTTGGACTCTTTGATATAAACAATAATTTGAAATACCCGAGTGTGATATAACCGGGCTCGACTGTATCATGATGTGTGCATTTCATGCCTATGTGATTTGCCTTGTAGAAAACAAAAGGGTATTTTCCCTTTAAGTTTAATTCAAGTTCTCAGTGTGCATTTCATGTTAGCAGATGCATACAGTAATCTTTGTGGCCACCTTCACCACTTCCAAAGTGTATTGTTCTTTTTTTTGGGGGGGAGGGGGGGCAACTTACTTTAAGCTCTTGTTGCTCACACCTTCTACAGACAGCTTATTTGCATCTTACAACTTTATGAACACTATATATGTGGTGTCTAGAAGAGAAAACTACTTTTGGTGATGGGCATAGTGTTGCGTTAGTTCTGCACATGGTGTAAGGTAGGCCTGTTCAGGCGAGGAGACTGCGGCCGGCCCCCCTTAGGAGCACGCGACCAGATAATGTCCCCCTCTGTCTGCTTGCTCTGCCTTCTCCTAGAGGGCACCACAAGTTTTATCACTGCGACACATTCTGCTGGGAAAGAATTCCTGTGGTTTATCTCACACTTTTTTTTCCTGAAAGTACTTGGAAAGCTCGAACGGCCTGGAAGTATGCTGCCTGAAGGTGAGCATAGAAGGTTCGAGGCATGCTCGAGGAAATGCAAACAGACGCGTCTTTGAGCGTCATGCTATAATTTTTGGGATAACATTCTTATTCCAAAGCTTGACTGTGGTCGCGGTATACGTTCTAACATGTTTATTTTCCCCACCTTGCCTTCCACCCAGCACACCAATGACGGGCTCGATATTTGTGTGGGATCCCCAACACCAAACAACCCCTAATTTCAGAAAGAACATTACAACTCGCATTCAGATTGATGAGCAGGTGCACGTGGCTTTACTTAGTAGTGTACAGATGTATATACCGTATTTACTTGCAGAATGAACGCACTTTTTTTTCCGAAAAATCGATGCAAAGTTAGGGGGGGGGCGTTCATTACGCGAAGTAAAATTTTTGCGTCCGTATTTACTCGCATAATGAACGGACCTTTTATTTTGAAAAATCGAAGTAACTTCTTATCTCTTTGCGCGTGGCGCCCGACCCCGTAACCAAACTAAGCTGTGCAAAAAAAAAAAAAAAAATAAAAAAAAAATCTTTTTTTTTTTTTTCCTAGTTCCTTGGGTTTTTTTTCTTTTGCCACCTTTCACAAGCTGTCTTGTTTGCTTAGACTTTGCCTTTCGCAAGCTGTCTTGTTTGCTTAGGCGTTGCTTAGGCGAGGGCTCTCCGCTTATCTTTCTTGTCTCCTTGCGCGCGACGCACGACCTTCGTAACCAAACTGCGCTCTGCAAAAAAAAAAAAAAGAAAAAAAGCTAATCTTTTTTTTTTTTCTTATCTCATAGGTTGTAGTTCCATAGGTTGTTTTTTTGTTTTTCTTTTTGCCGCCTTTCGCAAGCTGTTTCGTTTGCTTAGAGCGCTTCTCCGCTCCTCTTTCTCACCTCCCTAAGCGCAGTGCGCGACCCCCCCCCCCCCCCCCCCCCCCCCCCCCCCGTAACCAAACTGCGCTGTGCAAAAGAAAAAAAAAAAAAAAAAACTCAACTTTTCCTTTTGTTTTTTTTCTCTCAGTTCGGTGGGTTTTTTTTTTCTTTTCTTTTTGCCGCCTTTCGCAAGTTGTTTCGTTCAACTTAGAGCGCTTCTCTTTCTTACCTCCTTGCGCGCGGCGGCGCGCGAACCCAAAGTCCAGACTGCGCCGTGCAAAAAAAAAAAAGAAAAAAAAGCTCCTCTCCATGTAAGAACATGGAGAGGAGCTTTTTTTTTTTTTTTTTTGCTTCCGTTGGATCTTTTCGAATTTTTTTAACGCCTTTTGCAAGGCGTTTTGTTTGCCCACGCTGCCCATGCATTCGCGACCTCGCTGCACCAGGATAGAAAAGTGCCTTAATTTAGCGCTGTGGGGGGAGGGGGTCAAAATTTTGACATCCGTGTTGGGGGTGCGTTTATTATGCAAGTGAAAAAAAAAAGTCAAAATTTTGAGAGCCGACTTGGGGAGTGCGTTCATTACGCGACTGCGTTCATTGTGCGAGTAAATACGGTATATGTATTTTTTGTTTTCTAATCAGGAATAGTTGGGATATTTTTGGCGGCATTGCCTACCCTAGATGTGCTAGGCTGAGAGGGGCGAGTACCGTGGTGTAAGGTCCATAAATCTATTGCTGCTCGCCGCTATCCACCTTGACTCGAGAACTCAAGGGTTCGACTGTTGTGCGTAGTGACCAGTGGCGTAGGCAGAAAAAGGGCGGGGGAGGGGCGGGGGGGTTTGGCGGGTCAAACCCCCCCCCCCCCTGTCTGTTCTTTACCCTGGTTTACTATTTTGGGATGGTCTAACTCATGCCAAAACAAGGCAGGCGATAAAGTAGAAAACGCCCTCTTCAACACTACACCCAGAACAGTAGCCTTCCTCGCGCAAGCTCCCTAAAGCACTGATCACGCATCTTGCCCAGACGGTCGGTCGTACCCAAACCACCCGGCCTACAGTTCGCAGCGCCATCTATACTTGACTCCGAGAACTTTAGCGCACAGGAGGACATTATCTGGTCACGGCAGGGAGCTGTGTCTCCCCACCTAAAGAGCCTTTCTCACACTATGGTTCTGCACAGCGTAGGCAGCATTGCAATAGCAGGTATCCTTCACAAAACCAATTTCTAATAGCATTTCTGTTTATCTATGAAATACAATTTCAGACGTATCTTTGGTATCTCAATATAATCCAGGTTCGATACATGTTACAATCCTCAATGAATCCTCCCCCCTCCCCCCTTATTCTCCTCGAGTTGGGAAACACTTTAGAAGGAATCGAAATATCAGGGACAACAGAATAAAGAAGTAAGTCAAGTAAACTGGTAGACAACACATTCATTTTTTTGGCTATAAGATGTCATATAGCCCGAGTTCAACATGTTGCCAAGGTGTCATGCCAAGACATCAATAGTCCATAGATATCTTGGAGAGATATCTATGGACTCTAGCTTTCACCATTTGTGCACTGAGCAGTTCAGTTTTACCACATGAAATTTCAAGGTGCAGTTCTCTTCCTGTAAAAAATGAGAGCAAGAATCCTGCCAGAGTCAAGGTTGGCCATGTTCGCAGACGACCGAGTCAGCGACGCTATTTACTTGGGACGCCATCTACCGATATGCGCCGCAAGCAGATGAAGCACTCTGTTGTCTACTCGCTGTGCCTATCAGAGATGGCTCCACAAGTAAATGGCGTCGCTAACTCGGTCGTCTGCGAACGCTCCCAACCTCGATTTAGGTCAGTTTTCTTGCTCATATCTTTTTTACAGGACGACAACTGTGGCTTGAAATTTTGCACAGTCAAATTGACCTACTCGGTGTGCATTCGGTGAAAGTTATAACTCTACTTGCAGGCGCTGATTTTTCTGGCTTGTTTTACAGCGGAAGGTCCGCTTGGGACACCCTACATGATCTTTGCCATATCAGTCTTTGTTATAGAGATGTTCTACTGTAGTATAATTGTCATGAAGCCATTTCGCCTGGTGAGGTTTAGGACTTTCCTCATGTCTTGGCAAGCTAGATGTTTCACCTGCACCATCAAGACATAAGGACTTCCCTTATGTCTTGGCAAGCTAGATGTTTCACCTGCACCATCAAGACATAAGGACTTCCCTTGTGTCGTGGCAAGCTAGATGTTTCACCTGCACCGTCGAGACATGAGGACTCCCCTTATGCCTTGGCAAGCTAGATGTTGCACCTGCACCGTCTTGTAGTGTTGCTTAGGTGCTCGGTGCCTGCTGCAGCACGCCTGTTAGAGATTGAGGTGCCCTCTCCACTGATCCGTGCTGCTCGTTGTTTTACTCAGCGGAGGAACTGGTGTACGAGATGGGACTGAGCTGGGGAGAGCAGATGGACTGCCTGGAAGACCTGGAGCTGAGGACTCCTGGAAGGGCCCTCCAAATGCACGAGAAGCTCTCCTCTGCCTCACGCAAGAGGTGCCCAACTCTTTAAATGCAGCATGTGTTTTATCGGTTGATTTTCATGGAGTTCTGTAACGTTTGGTTGTAACAGCCGGCTGTAACGAAAAACCGACCCCGAATGTGTTACGCCCATAGTGAACCATATAAGATTTCAGTCCCCAGCAGGATTTGAAGTCACCACTGTGAGATTTTGAGCGAGGTGCTTTGCCGACTCAGTTATCTGGGGTCGGTGGCTACTAGAAAGCAAAAAAGAACCCATTGGCACGGCGCACGAGGGCGCGGCTGCATGCTTCGCGGCCTTTCTCGTCGTGCTGTGCTATCTTACAGCGTGTGTCAAAGACAGAGGTCGGCATTTTAGGTCGCCCTCACTCACCCTCACCCTCACAGCCACACTCACCTAAGCCCCTCACTCACCCTCACCCTCACAGCTACTCACCTTGAGCCCCTCACTCACCCTCACAGTCACACTCACCTTCAGCCCTTCACTCACCCTCACTGAACCTCACGGCCCTCACGCACTCACCGCCCTCACGGCCCTCACCGCCCTCACCGCCCTCACAGCCCTCACGCCCCTCACTCACTCATGGCCCTCGCGAAACTCACCGCCCTCACGCCACTCACCGCCCTCACCGCCCTCACGGCCCTCACGGCCCTCACGCACTCATAGCCCTCACGCCACTCACCGCCCTCACGGCCCTCACCGCCCTCACGGCCCTCACCGCCCTCACAGCCCTCACGCCACTCACCGCCCTCACGGCCCTCACCGCCCTCACGGCCCTCATGCCACTCACCGCCCTCACGGCCCTCCGCCACTCTTTGCCCTCACGCCACTCACCGGCGTCACCGCCCTCACGCCACTCACCGCCCATTAAAAATACTAATGCACCTTTCTGAAACAGTTTATTTCCAAAAAAACGATCGATTTCAAACCAGAACCAAGTCTTTCGGTGTCATCATCACCGGCACGAGGTATCACGTGAAAATTTTGCGTCCCTGATTGGATGCAGCCGCTTCAAACGTATTCGAATTGCTCCGAGTTGCTTGCTTATTTCGAGCCGGACCCGATCTCAGCAATTCGTGTCGATCTAGGGAAAGCTAGAGAACAACCAGTCATTAACACCAGAATTGCTGAGAAAGATGCTCGATCTGAAGGGGGCCTCACGCACTCACCGCCCTCACGCACTCATGGCCCCCCACACCACCTCATGCACTCGCCGCCCTCACGGCCCTCACAGCCCTCACGCCTCTCATGCCACTCACTGCTCTCACGCACTCATGGCCCTCACACCCCTCACGCACTCACCACCCTCACACCACTCACGCGCTCATGGCTCTCACGCCACTCACCGCCCTCACGCCCCTCACGCACTCATGGCCCTCACGCCCCTCATGCCCCTCACGCACTCATGGCCCTCATACCCCTCACCGCCCTCATGGCCCTCACGGCCCTCACGGCCCTCACCGCCCGCACGACCCTCACGACCCTCACGACCCTCACGACCCTCACCGCCCTCATGGCCCTCACCGCCCTCACCGCCCTCACCGCCCTCACCGCCCTCACCGCCCTCACCGCCCTCACCGCCCTCACAGCCCTCACAGCCCTCACTGCCCTCACGGCCCTCACACTCATGAATTTTCCTGGTTCAGAAACTCACTCACCCTCACCTCACCTGTGAGGATGAGGGTGAGTGAGGGTGAGTGAGGGCCCTCATGAGTGAGGTTTGCCGAGGTATGGTCAAAGATGGGAGCGAATCCTCGGCAAAGATTTTTCATTGCCTATGCACCATAGATTTGATTTTGCGAATACTGCAAAACCTTCGGTCTAGTTGTACGCAGATCAGAAGTGTTTCCAGAACTGCCCGATAGATGGCCCCAATGTTTTCTCTCATCAGTGGCCACAAGTTGTCGCGGAGGCGATCACACTCAAATGCAAATGAGTGAACTAACTTTAAAGTGAAAGTACATAAGAAGGGAAGACAGTCTTGGGAGCATTGTTTCCCACTCAACACATGTTTGCCTCGTTGCGCGTGACACGCAAGACAACCTGTCGACTTCCAAGGGCCACGAAAAAGCCGCGATGGGCAAAGCAGACGAGCCAGTCACCCCTTTCGTCATTGTCGCAAAATGTGCGGTACTTTCCATTTTAGTTGCGGGTACAGGTTTTCCCGATGAGCCACTTTGTCTTAGTTTTCGCACACACCTGCTTTCTTTTGTTTGTGACAGTATGTCTCGGAATTTTCCTGAAGTGTATATTTTTAGAAAATTTCAGGCAAACAAAATTTTGTGGTCTGGGTTACCTGTTCTCTAGACCAGCTTACTCCAGATGCGGGGACTACAGCAAGATACCAAGCAAGGCCCATCCAGAAGTTGGGAGATATAATCGTGAAAAACTGGAGGACACTTGTTTGACTCAGGAGTGTTATGCGAATATTAAAAATTTGTAAGAGTGGTTTCGAATAATGCACTATTCAATATTCACTTCGAGATGAGCTGCGATGTTCATATTTTTGTAATGTTGATTGCAGCAGGTTGGTCCAGTTGAGTGCGCCTCTCTTACCGAGCATAGCTGCACTGCAAAGAAGCAACACCCGCGAAAGCGAGCTCCGCACGTGCTGCTTCTCGACAGCGCACCGGTGCTGGGAAAGAAACACACTTGACGGGGTCACCCTTTGCGATCAACACTTTTAAAAGTGTGAACATCGCAATTTGCGTGCTTGAGCGAAAAACACACTTTCAAAGTGGGATGGTGCATGCATGCATCTGGTGTACTTAAAAAAAAAAAAAAACTTTGGGAATGTTGATATTTGCATTGCAGTAAATTTTTCAAAATTAAACTGGCTGTTATGTGAGCATATATGTTATGCAGAGATGCCCTGACAACCTGTGTTTATCACTTGTGATTCTTTTTTTTTTTAAATTCTAGATTGAAGAAAGCATATTCTCATATAGCAAGGTTTGTAAATCCATTCAATAAGGTATAGATGGACATCTCTATAAGCTTTGTTTTACGTCATATTCGTTGTTTACTTGCCATCTCGAGGCACAGGACTTTCTCAGGTCAGTTCATAAATATAATTTGATAAAAATTAGCTTATAAATGGACAAGTGGGCAAGCATGGGAACCACTTTGACGAGTCTAGTTAGGTTTTCGTGTAAGCATGGTGCAACAGTGGTGAAAGGCTTGGAGAAACTATTCAATATTCGGTTTGAAAGTATTCGGCCAAAACCACTATTTGCTTCGAACTTGCTTTGAACTCAGAATCCACTATTCGCATGCGGCTATCTGAAAGCAAAGATGCAGAGCAGGCACGTGGTGGAGTGTGCTTTACTGCCTAGCACCGGCATGTGCACATCGAGCTTTGTTACATTGCTCCAGCATTCTCAGAGAAGCAGCGTAGGAGAATCTTGGCTAGCTAGGTCTGCTAAGAAGTCAGGGTCTGGTGCTTGGCATGTCTTATTTTTCTAATGTTTCCAAAGTAGAGGGTGGATGCTTATTGTGCCTTTGGACACGTGCACAATCACTCGGTGATCTTCCAGAAATATGTTTGATATTACATTATCACTTTTGCAGTTGTATGTGCAAAGTTTTGGAAAATTAATTCACCGGGAACTCTAGGTAAAATACAGTTACTTAATAACGCTTCTGTAACATAAGCAACTTTGAATAATTAATGTTACGAAAAAGGTGTGCTGTCCACTTGCTGCAGGCCGCTCTCGGAGACTCTTCAACGTCATCAGGAGAAACAGGCCAAGGCACAGGAGCAGCGAGAACGCATCAGAGAGGAAAAGGCACAGCGGTGCCGTGATCTTTCCAAGAAGGTGGGCTTTACTCGCTTTTCTTTCTTTGCATAGTAGAATTACTTTCTTAAAAAAAATACCATTGCTAATCTCAGAGGTCACCTTTATTAGCAGAGAAGGATCGTTTTAGAATCTCTCATTGTTCTGAGCGAGACGTTTTCTGGTAGGAACGGTACGCAGGGACTGTGTGAATTTCCCGAATGTACTTGAGCAATTGTGTCCGGAATGTAGACAGTATCAAAGTGCACAGATACAATTACGGTACAAGAAATATGAAAGAAGCACCGCTGCTATGTTGGGCTTTGCCGCACAACATAATTGTGCTGCAGGAAAGCCTGCTCCGAGCTTGCTTGTGCTGCTGTGCGGGCTTGTGAATGGTTTAGGCCATAGATGCTGAAGATTGATGATTTAGATGCAATTTCTTGCCCCCAAAGCATCACCATAAATTCATAGTCATGCCATGTTTTTGTAGGGTATGCCTGTTTAGGGGTTCATCAGATCCTAAAGCCAGTGAAGTAATTGTGTCGCACGTCTGTTTAGGTCAGCCCCGAGAGCGTCTGTTGTTCGTGCTGTAGTTGGAAAAATTTTGAGGAGACGACACGCAGCCTGGTTGTGAGGGTGGACGATGACTGACCGGAGCGCGTGTGCTCAACGGTGTTTATTAGCGTGGTGAACAATGTTGCCCGCTGAGCCTGGCGGCGGCAGACGGGCGGACTGGAGGGGGGCGCCACTAACTTGTCACACTCTACTACTGCTAGCCCGCTCTGCAGTGCAAGCATTTGCTCCACACGCCGAAGCCAGCCATGTTCGTCACTGGTTGACGAAACAACGAAGTATTACGTGGGCCGGGCTTCTGCGCAGGTGGAGGAGAAGAAAGCCCAGCAGGAGGAACTTCAGCTTCAGCGCCGTCAGATTTTAGAGAAGCGTCTGCAGCGAGCCGCTGAGAAGCGAGAGATGCAGCTGAAGAACAAGGTGAAGAGAGCTCACGACGAGGAAGAAAAGGTAGGGCAAAAAGTTGTGACCGGGTTGTTCAGTTCATTACAGTCTACATTTTCTTAAATAGTCGCTGTCGTGGTGCTTTGCAAGTGGGTTCAGCCATGTAGCATGATGGAGGGTGCTTGCTGCACCGCTGAGGAAATAGCCAATACCTTAGTTTTATTTTTTTCTCGGTTATTAAAATGCACAAATAAGGCCATGCTTTTGCCCTGTTTAGCAATGCACGTTGTATGGACATCGCCTGCGCTTTCTCATTTGTGAGGAAGGCGTCTTACTATAGTGGGGATTGGCTCGATACTTAAATGTCTTCAATACTGTTACACATAAGATATTACGAACCGTGTAGCATAGCTCGACGTGGGAGCAAAAAAGGGGTATTCATAGAGAAATATGCATGTTACGAGTGAATGAGTAAATAAACAATGCTTAGTGCTACAAAGAAGTGAAGCGGTAAACAGGCGCAAAATTTTGATGAGCAGATGTGAACACCCCATACAAGTCTTTTATGTATGTCTCGTGGTTTCTTTAGAAATAGCAAAAGCGAGTGGCACATTTGAAATTCTTTTTAGTTCTGATGAGAAGGAGCCATACTTTGAGAGGGACATCGAGATTCCTATAAGTGTGGGATGGGTTTGGAAGACATGGGTTTCAATACTTGTATGGCAGTGGGAAAACAGAAAGGTTGACTGCACCCATGCCAGAGGTCGAGTCCTAAGGTCAAGGCCACGAAACTGCGCAGGTGAACGAGATCGCCTTCATCAATACTCTGGAGGCGCAAAACAAGCGCATCGATCTGATGTCCAAGGAGAAAGACCACGAAGCACGCCTGCAGGACATACAGGTAGTCCTTCCTGTTCACGTTTTATCGATCCTAGGTTGTTGTTTCTTTTACGTCTTAAAACATTTTCTAGATCTTATGCTTTTATCTTGGTGATAAGTTGCAGTGCTGCGCGTAGGTTTTTTTTTTTTTGCGCTGCGTTTTGTTCTGCTACGTATATGAGTGCCCATTTTCTTTCTATCATAATAAGACAGCTATAGTGTAGGATGCTAGGTGTGGGTCTGTGGCACATTGTCTGAAATTTGGCACATCACTTTAATGTATTAAAACATCTGACTCACATTTGTGTGCCATTTGAAGCAGGGCTGAATATATAGCAGTAAAACATTGAGCATGTGCCTGTTCAGTTCTGTATGTGTGCGCCAGGCTAGGGCCGTGCTAATTGCCCGATCCAAGCTGGCTACCAAGCAACTTCATACTGGCTTGACTTCCTCGCGGTATACTTCTCCCATGTGCAGCTTCATAATGCAGTGAAGCATGTCTTGTCTTGCATCTTTCACCAATAATTACTTCTTTCTTTTTTTTGTAAAAAGTTGTTTATTATGCATAATCTGAAAGACTACTAGTACCATATTTTCCGGGCTATAGTCCACAGACTATACATGTTTAAAAGTTGAAATTTCTGGCTGTGCTGACTATCTATGTGTGCGGACTATACAGGAATTATGTTTTTCAAGGTCGTTTATTATGACAAGACGTTACTAATTTTGTGCACGAAAGTGTATGTTAATGATGATTTATGCACATTATAGGCTTTATTGTGAGCTAAAAAGCAGACATTTGTAAACGTGTGCCGTCTATGAAAAGATTTTCGTGTCGACTAAGCACCAGGTGCGGACTATGCACCGGGTGCAGGCTATGCACCGGGTGCGGGCTATCTAAGCAAAATCTTTTATTTTTGACCCCCCGAATTTCCCCCTGCGGACTATACATCGGGTGCGGACTATAGTCTGGAAAATACGATACTATGTAAAAAATGGGCCACAAATTTTTTTTTTTTTTTTTTTAATCAGATACGTGTTTGAATGTTCTATGATTAGAGACATCAGTTAATCGGATGTTTGAGTAAGAGGTTGCCCGCTTTAGCCTAATAAATTTTTGTATAAGGCGTTTATTTTATTTGCTTCTCCAGGGAGAGAGACAGCGGAAGCTCGAAGAGAAGGCCGCCAAGGAAGCAGCTGCTGAGGTATGTTCTGCCTTCTAGTCCTTTAAGCACTTCTACGAGGATCAACTTTCCGCACTAGCTGACAGCGCTTAGAGGAGGGGGATTTTTTTCCAACACTATGAGCCAGTGCAGAAAGTTTGTTTCCTCGTGTTGAACGTAACGCTGGTGAGCTAGGAGTCCCACAGCTGTGAGAGGGCTAACCCCTGATCCCCGTGACAACTTGTTGGATAGCGCTTTCCCGCTCCGCAAATGCGGCTGCCGGAGGCTCCGAATCAGCCACCTTGGGCCCGCATAAAGTCGGCCGGGCGAAGCGTTATAGAAGCTGGGCGGCTGCATGCCTAAAGACGCATTTTCTGCTCGTCCGCCATCATTCGCCGAAAAAGCATTTGAAAACTTTGCGTGAACAGTCGTGTTACCTTGAGAATCGTGGAAATCTTCGCGAAAGAGTAGCACCCCACGAAAAATTATGCAGCTCGTCGAATGCAAGCCTTTGCGGTCAGGCGGCGTGATCAAAGGACGTGCCTCAGCACTGCGAAGTGCTGCATCTCTGTGCCTTTGCACGCTTAGATACTGACCGAGGCGGCGCGATCGAAAGACATGCCTTGGCGCGCCTTCAAAAGCAAACACCCGCTTGAGGCACCTTGCTGCATTCGGCATTTAGTGGAGCGTTGTTTTCGTAGGCAGGGCTCCTCTCACTGTTCTCACTGAATTGTCTTGACAGTTTGGTCAGTTAGACTTTAACAGCATGATCTGTTAGTGAGCCAAAGAACGGAATAACGAAAGGGAGAGACAAGGAGATTAGTGGCACAGTCATCGTCAGTCACAGCATTAGTCGTCGTTCGTCGTAGCACTTGCGTTGCAACAGGCCGTAGGGGCCCCCGTAGCTTAGCCGGAGGTGGTGCCGACATTGGGCCGACATTTGGGTGCAGGAGCGTCGTAAGGTGTTGGAGGCGGAGCGGCAGGCCAAGCTGCTGGAGATCAAGGAGAAGCGGAAGCTGAAGGACGAGAAGGTGCAGCAGCAGCAGCAGGAGAAGGAGAAGCTGCGTCAGAGCCTGCTCAAGCAGAAGGAGAGGTGGGCACTCTGACGGGCTTGTCCTTGTCCAATTCAAAGCCCTGTCTGTTCAATGATTGTGACGCGACCCAAACCATTGTTTCGTGAAATTGATGGGTAATGGATGGTTGAAATAGGTTCATTTCTGGTTGTCGCTGGGACAGTGCGTTTGAGAAAAAGAAGGGGACTCGGACAAGATGGATATTGGGTTTTTATTTTTTCTTGTTTCTTCTGGGAAGGGTCTGAGGAATTTGTTGGCTTCTAAAAAACACCTACAGTTGGACATTATTCATTTATGTATTTATTTATTTATTAGGATACGTATGTCACCTCAAGATGCATTATCATTTTGCAGATGAAACCCTTCGTCTTTGAGGTATCCGCAGTTAACAGAGGCTTTCGGTCAACTTGTGAAAGTCGGGAAACGTGGAAGAACTGAACCAGGAGGCAGTCATGGAAATTTGAATCGCACGTTGGAAGCTTGGGTTTTGTTTTATTGCCTAAGCATGTGAAGATTTAATTAATGAGTCTTTATTGGAGATGCTAAATAACGACTGTAGCATTTGTATTTAGGTTTCTTCATCCTAGTAGAATTTTTTACGTGGTTCACTGCTTGTTTAGAATACAGTATGAGAGTAAAAAACGGTTTAAATAATTGTGATCTAATTGACGAAGCTTGACAAGCTGGAAAACAAGAAGCTGCATGCCTGCCATGCAGGGAACGTGAGCAACGCCTGACGGCATTGAATGCAGCACAGCTGGCGACAACTGAAGAACTACAGAAGAAAATTCAACTCAAGGTGAGACTCGCACATATGCTGGAAGAGTGTGCAGGTTGTGAGGAGGGGGAGGTGAAGAAGCGAGTGCTTCAGAGGAAACGGGAAGGTGTGAAATAGTCGGGGTCAAAGCTGGGTCAAGTTTTAAAGGGACCCTGCAATGTCTAGTGCAGACTTAGTAGTCTTCAGCAGCCTTGTACGAACGTCCTCTGTTTTGAGAGCTGAGATGTTAATGAAGCTATCAATGTAGTTATTTTTTTAATTCAATGTCTCTCGTCTCTATGGTTGGCAGAGAGTCAAAGTTGCTGGCAGATGCCTTAAGCCCTGCTCGGACAACAGTTTGATCATCTGCGTCTGCAGACTTTTGTGTCTGCACCTGACCCGCATCTGATATATTGCGAAATTATTGCACCTGCATCCGATCCGCATCCACATGCTTTGTATCCGTGTCTGCAAAATTCAGAGCCACATCTGACCTGCATTCTTGGTAAATCGTAAAATGAAGCATGAATGAAAGAAAAAATGTGTCTGGATTGTAGCTTGTAAGCCATTTGCTCATCTTCGTCAGAATACAGCGAGTCATTTTATCGTATTCTGTTTTATCATATTTATACTATAAGTGATACATTTCACATCACTGGAAAGATGGTCACAGTTATGAGGTCGTTCTTAGAAATAAATTTTTGATATTTGTTTTCTTTCTTTTTGTAACGCTTACTTCTAGCAGATGCTTTTTTTTTATTATTAAGAAACAAATACTAACATTTTGTTAATTTAATTAAGTCAAACAATAAAGAAATAGGAGAGGAAAGGTGCTCACTCACCGCAGCGAAGTACTCATGCACATGATAAGATGCGAGCACGCCTGAGAAAATATCAGAATATTTAATCATAGCGTAACCTGCCATCGTTTTCAGTTTTAATCACGAATCCGCAACTGCGTGCTCCAGACCATATATTTGTGCTCAGAGGCAACTTTTTTTGACAATGAAGGTAATGGTACGGGCACGCGCACTCTCCCATGAAAAGTTGTTCACGAGTATAGCAGTAACTTGCAGCTGTTGAGAAAAAAAATCTGCAGACACACACCCACATACACACACACAAACACTTGTGTTTCACTTGTTGAGGAGGTTTCTTCTATTCTGGTGTGGCTTACAGGTCTTTGGTTTTCTTTGCCCGAAGAAAATTTTTCGCCCATTTCCTGCCAAACAAGAACACGCTTTCCCGGGACGATCAATGCCCCTGCATTTTTTACTTTCTATAGGGTTAGCATTTTTAGCGAGATGTAACACACCAAAGCAATCTGGTGTGAATCGTGTGTTTTTCGGCGTAAAAGAATATTTTCTTCCCGATTGCCACCTTTTTTTTTAAGAGACTAATTTGCTCCCGCAAAACATTCGATGATGCACTTCATAGTATCACTCACTCATTCATTGTACACTCTGCAATCGCACACGTTTATGGGTTTCCCCGACAAAAATGTAGATCCTGACCCGTGGTTATCCGCATTTGCTGTCCCTAGTATTCTCATTCTGTCCCGAATCGGCCAAATTTGATTCGGTTTTACCCGCATCCGCCAGTCGACTGCGGATATCCACGGATCATCCGCGGGTAACCCGTGGATATGCAGGGCACTACAGATGCTTTATTCTTATTATAAGACAATGATATTTTCCACCTGTTTGTTGAGGCCGCAAGTTTCAAAAGGTTGAAAGTGATCACCCACATTTGTTCATCCCATTAAGACTACTGAATGTTAAGTTCATTGCCGCTTGTTCTGCTTGAGCCGCTGATGGGTGTTTCTCTCTTAACTGTAGGGCCCTGCATATTTGCGGGGTACTCGCCGATCATCCGCAGATATCTTTTTGTTTTAATCAAATTTTTTCACTTAGGCTCATTTCAGCTAAACATTTGTTTTTTCTTGTTTAGCTGATAAAAATGCAGATATGTTGCCTGTCGACCACAATTTCACAAGTATTCATTACATTCTACTTTGTGGGGTTTAGGACTTGTACTAAGATAAAATATTGAAACATGCGTGTTTTGTATTTCATCTTCCGGGGGCAACTTTTTACTAAAACAGAAAGCTTTATTAACCTTTTTAAATTGCTTGTCTTAAAAAAAAAAAAATTTCAGCTCACTTTTTTTTTACACTTGAGCATTGTAATAAACCGTTGCTTTCTTTCTTGAATTGAGACTATGCAAACTTTCCACGTGGTCTTATAACTATACAATGGATTTGTTTGTCAGGACGTTCGGGAGAAAAGAGATCATGCTTTTCTCACTGCAAAAATAAGTTACAAATTGCCAAACTATCTCCTTCAAAATGTAGCGCCACCCGTAGGAACCAGGAGCGAGTTTTAGAAATTTACCTGTATGTAATTCGAAAGTCGTAAGTGATTTTCTGTACCTTTTAGCGAGAAAATTGCTGCCAATGGAGCCACAAATACAGGGACATGAACAGCACCTGCCAATGAGAATGGTCCCCATTTTCTAATTGAAAAGTTTCATAAATCACTTACGACTTTCGAATCAGTTAGCTCTGAAACTCTGGCATCTGGCCTTAACCACTAGCAATAGCTCTGGGCAGAACCCGGGCGTCGGGTGACATGCAGTTTGTTTTTGCAGGGGAAGAAACACATTTTTTTTTCTTTCAAACACTTGGCATAGTGGGAATGACCCTCTGATTCCGCCCCTTGGTTCGACAGCAAGAAGAGAGTGCACGGAGGCATGAGGAGAACATGGAGCAGATTCGGCTCAAGGCGTTCGAGCTGAGTGTTCGCAAGTGTTCATCCAATGACGACGCCGCCCCGCGCCACGTGCCGTACGAGACGAAGAAAATCTGCTCCCTCTGCAACGTCCTGGTAAGTGCCGCCGTCCAGCAGCGGGAGCACAGTTCGAACTGGAACTCGCGCCGTCGTCGACCGAACACCAGTTCTGGCGAAACGTCGATGTGGCACTCGTGCCCGGGTTTCTGTGTTTCCGGGTAAATTCATTAAAACCCGAAAAACATTCGCCGGTAAAACATCTTTTAATTCAGATTTATGCGAAAAACTAAATTTGGAGGTCACGATTGCGAGAAAAAAAAAAGTATTCTACAAGCAAGTAAGTTTGGTCAGAGCGCGGGGTCAGCGGTCCTCTCGAGGAATCCTCCCCAGATTCTTTCCAAATCTCGTAATATCAACGAAAGAAGGTTCAACATTTATGCAGTCGAGGTTCGTTCGGGAGGACCGGGCATTGTAATTCTTGGTCGCGACAAAACCCGCTGTTTTGGTTTCCAGTTGGAACTTCTCGGAGGAAGGTGGGGTTGCGATTTGATAACCTTGAGTGTGGAACGTGTGAACAGTAAAACTCGGCGCTGCTCGGCATTTGCTGCTCCCCGCTAGGCGCACCACAGGCGCTTCGAACTTCTTTATCTAAATCGACCATATGCGAGCGACGCGGCGCCGTGCAGAAGTGATGTAGGGACGACTGTCCCGGTTGCTACGACACTGCCACGTGGCGCCCGTTTTCATCGCTAGAGGTCGAACTTCTGAACTACTCAAGTGATCGTGATGAAATTTGCAGGGGAGATTTACCTTCAGATGTAGGTGTACTGTGCAAACTTTCAGCTCTCTAGGGCAAATTTACATACCTGCATAGGATGATGTGTTAAGAAATTATGATATGATATACATTAAGAAATCTATGATATGCAAATGAAGCTTTTAAGCACCATTTTGACTGCTTGAATATAAAGAGGGGGATATGGGACCTCGGGCTATCTAGCTTTAATAACTTAAATGTAAATATTTCAGAAAGAGTTATTACCTCAAAATATGAGATGCATATCTGTCTTATGTAAATTTTTGAAAACTTAGTTTTTTTTATCACTGAGGACTTCAACTTGAAACAAAATCAAGTAGATAGCCTGATTCCTTAGTAAATTTCAGTTCAGAAACATCTTAATTGTGGTATCAGAATACTTTCACCTTCGAACAAAAGATTCCTTCGTATGAAATTTGCAGCAAAAAGTGGAACTGAGAAAAATGCATTCAAACATTGAACTCCTTTACTTTGTTACTGCCTCACAATGTGCTGAAAATATTTTATTTCAACGTAACTATTTGGTGTATGATTAGCAAATTTGGTGTAAGGGTGTATAATTAGTTTCCAAAACTGAAAACCTCAAAATTGAAAAATAAAATTTTTCAAAAAATTTTAAAATTTAGGTTTATGTCCCCCCTTAAGATTTCATAGCAGGGAGGGGGCAGCTGAGGCTTCTAATCTCATCACTTCACCTCTTGCAGCAACAAGGAGGGGCAGTGGAACAGGATGGGAAAAAAATTAGCATTCCTGCGACTGCATCAATGAGTTCAGCAATTCTAAAGTGTTCTTTTTTCAAGTTTTGTCATAGGTCAGTTAGTATTACCAATGGCAAGGGTGATTTCTTATAAATTTAGCGTATTGCTATTTCCGGTTAATATGTATTTTTTCTTTTTTTATCTTAGAAATTTGGGAGCATAGCAAATATTAAACTTCCTCTTTCTGAGAATTGAGAATCTAACAAAAATAAACTGCCTATAAACTCTTGACTAAAAAACCCCCGAGACTGGGACGAGAAGGGACAAACAAATACAAAGTCTGAAACACAGCTGGACTTTATTCAACCACGAATGGGCTTATATAGGCATCAAATCCTACATAAAACACTAGAGACTAGAGAGGGGGAGAGAGGGAGAAATGGAGAATTTGGTGCCACAAACACTACAACAAAGAAACCTTTGCAATAGAACTGAGGTGCAGTGACCTCCTTTATACATAAAAACAAAAGACCGTTTTTTTTTTTTTTTACGTTTTCTACATTGACAGTGCCCCCAAGAAACCCAAAAAGAAAGGCGTTTCAAGGATCACTCAAAACACACACTTTTCTGGCAAAAGCTGGAACACTATAACAGGAAGGAGGCAACAAACCAAACGACCAGGAATCCAACACAAAGTGAACTGATGTTGATAAAACTTTAAATCTGATAAAAGCAACCAAAACCTCCTAGGCCGCAACGAAACACTTGACCTAACGCGCTAAGGCACCAAATTTGTAGGAACTTTCTCTGTTCTGTGTCCAATGTGAGGGATGGCTTATTTACCACATTCCCATGATTCATGATTGCGGTCCCAGTCTCGGGGCTTTTAGTCAAATGTTTAACCACCACCAGCTCGTTTGTGCCCTAACCTTTTTTTTTCACTATAAACTCTAAATTTTTGGCAAAAAATTAACTTTTAATAACGTCCTCTGAATTTCACGAGAAATATACTCCGGAAACATGGAATCCTACTCGTACCTAATCTGTGCCTTGCTAATGCTGGCCTCTTGGGGATGATATGGAAAAGAAACCAGTAAACTCAAAAGCATGCTTGCATTTCTGTATAACCGGCCCTTCCCCGTGGCCAAGGTTCTAGGTGTCCGAGACGAACCACACAAAGGAGCAAAGGCCACAGAAGCTCCGGTTTGTTTCCTAAGGAAAGTACTCCTGGGTTAACATTAAAACGAGCGTGTTGGTAAATATACTTAAACAATTAGAAAGAATAAACACAAATTCGGGACGAAAACAGACGCATACAACTGAAAGAGTTGTATGCGTCTGTTTTCGTCCCAAATTTGTGTTTATTCTTTCCGATAGTTTAAGTACTCCTGGGCTTTTGCTTGTGGGGTGGATGAACCTCAGTGTTCGTGAACAGTGCCGGGTTTGAATCGCTCGAATCGAGTGACTTTGACGCCTTTTATTTCCTACTTTCTCTCCTCTTAAATCCTCTCGGCTAATCTCCCCATCCCCCCTCACAGAACAGCCTATAAGACCGGGAAGGTTAACTTCTCCGTCTTCCCGTTCCGTTCTTCGAGCACCATGGCTTTGTTATCTAGCGAGTGTGGGTGCACATGTGGCCAAAGAGTGTGCAGGAAGCGAGTGAGACGAGAACAAGCGCATGTTACCGAGGAGACCAAGAAACGCGATACACGAGAGTCAAAGCTGGGATGCGCGACTGCGACACATGAACTTCGCATTCCATTCCTGCTCAAGCGCTAGGTTTGGCAGATGCTTTCTTTGAGACGTGCTACGCGTGACAACGTTTGCGCCCTCCACGCATAACATATATACCAAATTCGCCTGTGCAGCATTGCTGTGAAGCAATGCTCAATACATTCTCTGTATGACTACTGCCTTGACCATGCTAAGATAAGAAAGGGGCAAATTTTTATTTTTCATTTCAATTTGAATGTTTTGTCTTGTTCCATGTAAAATGATCTTCGAGCTTTTTTGTTCTCTAAATGCCTTGTAATGCTGCAATTAAATTGACACATAAATGGAGCTTCTTTAAGAGTGACTGTTTAAGCAGAATTTCCTAGCAGAGTTTCTCTTAAGAATAAGGTTTTTCAAAAGGGTAAATTTTGACTATTTTACTGATGGGAAGATTTAACCGTCTGACGAGTTGGTGGCAAAAATTGGGTGTGAAAGTCAGTGAAGTTGTCTTTCCCATGGCTTAGTCAATCTCAGTCTTGAATATGAAGCAGACATAATAGGAGAGCACAAATCTGTGCCACCTTCGAGAGGTCACTTTTTCTCACCTCAAAGCACCATTGTTGCTTATCTAGAAGGGTGCTGCACAAGAACTTTCGAGTTACAGCCGGATTGCCGCGTGCTCAATCTGGCATCGCACTTTGCAGATTGGTTCGGAGGTCTACCTGCTGAGTCATTTGCGAGGGAAGAAGCACCAGGAGGCAATCCGTGAGAATTACGATGGTGAAGCCCCGTCTGTGGAGGAACTGGTAAGTCTTCAATCAATCGATCAACCAATCAAGTAATCCATCGAGGAATTAATATTAAACTAATTAGATTTCTTTAACTCATATAAAATGCTGATGTGAATGAATGAATCAATCAATCATGCAATGAGTGAAATAAGAAATGAATCATTCAGTCATCAATAATTTATTTTACATCAAACATTGATATAGACTGCTGGGGAAAAACGTCAAGGTGCTCTCTTAACAAGGCCTCTGCAGCCTTTCATTGCTAACCTACAATGGTCTTTGGTTTCTTTTACACATCTTGAAGTTTATGGTACGAAACAGTAGGTAGACATTGCTGTCATGTCCCATTCATGAGTTATTTTTTGAACCACACAGATTGTAGTACATGCGTCTTGAATCCAAAACACCTTAAAATAATAGTGTTGTGTGAATAATCGAGCTTTCGAATGGTAATTTAGAATTATGCGCTATTCAATATTTGATTCGAGGTGAAATGCGATATTCATACTTTTTCAAGTGTTGATCGTGGCGGTAAGCCCTGTTGAGTGCACTTCTCGCCGAGCACCCGTGCACTGCGGAAAAGCAATACCCGCAGAGCTCGTGGGCACTGCGGGTATTGCTTTCCCACAGTGCACAGGTCCTTGGCAAGAAGCGCACTCAACGGGGCTAACCCACCGCGAATATGCAAAAGTATGTTAGGCAGCAATGTTTTTACAGCTCGCATTCATCATTTATGCTTGTTTTTGTTGTCAAATTTGAAATAGAACAAAGAATATTCTCATATCGCTAGCAGATTTATGAATCTCCTCAATTAGAATAGCTGTGGCAAATGTGTCGTTTGCTTGTCACAATTCATGAATATAGTTATATTAAAATTAACTGAGCTTAGAAGTGGATGAGTGGAAGATTGGAAACAACCATCATAAGTTCAGCTGAATTTTTATTTAAGTATGGTTCGCAGTAGGAAAAGACTTGAAAAAACAATTTGATATTCAATCAAAAAATATTCGGCCAAAAACACTATTCTTTTTGAATTCGTTTCAAACTCAAAATCCACTACTCGCACAATAACTTAATGTTTATCAGTGTGTAAGCCCCTTTTATTGTTTTCATAAAATAGATCTGATGTGTATGTGCTGCACATATATTTGCGATTGATGGTAGTATATTGGGGAGTTTCTGATAAAGAAAACATTGTAGTAGTTGTGCAGACCAATACTTGGCATTGAAATTCTGACATGAAATTTGATAGCTACTTGTATTATTTGTTTTTGTGAGTCTCTGGAGGCCCCATGACTGCAATCACCCAATGTTTTGCAAAGGAGGTTGCTAGGAGGGAAACAAAGTCTATTAGTCATATCAGCACATGAGCTGGAATTAAGTGGGAATTTTTGGAAAACCCTTATCAAACACCCTTCTCTAGAATTCCTGATTGGCAAGGACTTTTTTAGATTTATATATTCTTGTGTTACTTCTTCGTTTTGACATTTGTACTCTTCACTATAATTCCATTCATTACTGTGCATTGGAAGATGCTTCTGATGAATGTAAATGTAGTGAATGCAAAGAGTAATATGCATAAATCTTTACAGGTATTGTAAGCTGCGTGTGCCAGTTTCTAAAATTTTGGGAAAGAATCTCTGATTTTGTTACGTACTAATCCAATCATGATCAAGTAATCTAGCCATTTTGCAAAAATAATTTTTCCTCCCTATTTTTTTTTTTTACAGGAATCGTACAACCTGAAACACATTGTGGATGCGTCGGCAGATCAGCTGGATCCGAGCATAGCGATGGACCGGGAGCGACAGAAGGCCCACCGCAAGCGCTGCAAGAAGCTCAGACACAAGATGAGCGCAAGGTGAGAGGCGTGTGGCCCCCTGTCGGCTGGATCCGACCTCAGTAACAACGAGCCTCTATCCAATCCGACGCATTTTCTCGCTTTCGTGCAGGGGCCGACTCTACGAGAAAGCGTTTGCAGAGAGGCCCAAGACCGTGGAATCGAAGAACAAGATGAGGTGTGTGTGCTTCTGGCAAGTCCTGCTCTGCGAACATAATACAAAAACGGTGCACAAATGGGCTAGATATAGAAAGGAAACGCAGGACAAACAGGTACCGTTTTTCGTTACCGTAAGATATTGGAGGAGTGCCCACCCCACTCTCACTGAAAACTGGGTTAATCTAGACGTGGGCACTTGTCCGGTCAAATAGAGCGCTCAAAGGGGTCGTGCAAAGAAAATAGATATGCCCGGACTTAATTTTATAAAATTAATGAGACCTCAAAGATCCTAAATCCCAAATATTGCATCCACATTTTATAAACCGTGTTTGAAAATCGGGTTTCTTGGGGTGTCTGGAACGACCATGCGACACTGTTGGCCAGCTTGAGAAACAAAATGTGACAAAAATACCTGTGTAAGGTTGAGGATATACAGTAATCCCTCGTAACGAAATCGCTTCTTCCAAATTATCGTTTTTATCGAAGTTCAACATGATCCCGACTGAAATGCATGCATTTCGAACCGGATTATTCGAAGTGTATTGGCGGCCGGCCACGCTTATTATGAAGGTCGAGGTGCCGTAAGCATGCAAGCCTACACGGAGACGCATGGACACCTTTGTGTTCCCTCCCCCATCTCCACCAAGCTAAATGGGAAACTGGGAAAACGGTTAACAAATAAACAGAAGAGATGGGTGATGAAGGGCAAAGCGCCGCTTCCGATGTTGATGCGCCGACGCGGGCAGGTAGCGGCGGGAGCAGCATCTACATTACAATACTACTCACGGCGCCTGCAGCCAACGCTGCCCAAGCCTTGTCTGAATCGGGTCAAGGGAGTGTGTATTGTTATGTATGGAAAAAATAAAACTATGGTTGTCTCCCAAAAGTTTACAAGGTTTTCTTTGACGCAAAAAGTAAACCTCCATAATATTTCAAGAGATAGCCCACCTAGAATCAATAGCAAATTGAATGAATATAAGGGGTAGGCTAACTTTCGGTGTGGCATAAAAAAAGAGTTGAAAAAATGCTAGTTTTAGATTCTGTTACCCTCGAAACTTCCAATAGCAGGAAGTGGCGATGAACCAAAGACAACTGCCCTTCCCAGTCAGCAATGTTTGCTTACCTCCTGCCATGGCTAAGTAAAACTGGTTTTGCTGAGGTCACCATTGGTCGGGTCCCCTTAATTACTGGAAGTGGGCTGCTTTTGGCATTTCTGAAAAAAATAGTGAATCATGGGGAAAATAGGGGGCGGGCTATCTTTAGGGGTGGGCCGTCTTTCGGGATATTACGGTAAGGATCGCCGAACATTCATTCTCCACCCAAATGTAGCACTAGCTGTCCAAACCACATGCCGAATTCGCACGACTAGCCGTTCTTTTATCCAAAAGTCGCGATTTCCTGAAATTTTCATTGGGAAAATGGTTGCCGAGAGTCCCGACCGAGCCCTCAATATACGTAGAGATGAAAGACGGCAGTTACCGAAAAGGGGCGAGAGCGAGCCCCATTTTCTTGTTAAAATTTCGAAAAAAATTACTTATATACCTTTTGATTGAGATAACGGTTCTGAAACTTAGGCATCTGGTTCAAACCGCCAGCCGAGAACGAACGTTCGGCAACGCATAGTTCGTTCTTGCAACGAAACAAATGTCGTCAAGTTTTTTTTTCGGGACACCTAGCTTCCCGAAATTCGTTAACCAACAAAGCTCTCGGTGCCTGAGAAAGGTTTGTTGTTCCGTGTCGCCCAGGCTGGCCAAGGCACTGAAGGAGATAGGACGCTGCCTGGGCGGCCAGGGGCAGGGCCCCTGGGACGGCGCTCTGGTGTCCGGTCTGGACAGGGCGCTAGGGGAGCTGGAGCGCGCCCTGGTGGTCGGCAGCGCCGCCGACGCTGACGCTTTGTGCCACCTGGGCGGATTCTCGTCCCTGATGGAACTGCTGGGTTGCGTCCTCAAGGCCACCGCGGAACTGCCCACCGTGGTGCCCTCTAGGTGCGATTAACGTTTGCTCATTTGTTGGATGTGCACTTCAGTTCCGGCGACTGCTCCTTCACCTACCGTAAAATACCGGGGGAGCGGCCACCTTGTTTTCACTGAGAACTGTACAGTATAGACCACTTACAACGTAACCGCTTATAGTGCGGGACCGGGTATAACACGGCTTTTTTAAACATTCAAAGGTTCGCCTCCCATAGAACTCCATGTATTTACATACCGCTTAAAATGCAGGCGCGCAATGGGAAATACCGGTTATAGTGCGGTTTCTGCCACAGCCCGCCGACCGCGCCGACGCAGCGAGCACGCTTCCCTGTGCGACACTAGATAACGGCGCGAGCCGCAAACGGCACTCGCGGGGCAAGGAGGTTGCTCAAAGAAACGGGGAGAAGCGAAGAGAGAGGTTTCAGTCGTTTCAGTTGCCATAGCGACGGAGGAACGCACGCACGTGTCGTTCACGTGCGTGCGTACCTCCGCTGCATTGGAATTTGGAAACAACCGCAACGACAGACCAATCGCAGGTCGAGGAGAAGTGATCGCGAGCGTTGCAAGCCGGTCTGCCGGTCGCGGGCCGGCTGCTTCTATTGGCAAACATGGCGTCGGTTTCGGTAGAAGCTCATCGTCCCGCGTAAAAGCGCTATCCTTGACTGTGAATTTTCGTTGTGTGTCGCTATGATAGCCCAGCACGTACTAGAAGGGAAGATCCACCTACTCGTGCGGCGATGTTGTGGCGGCACTCTCAAGACGGCCGAAACGCCCGTGTCGTCGTGTTTGTTTACTTCGATTACAGTGGTGCTTTCTAAGCATTTGTGTTTTCAAACATCGCCCGGATTTCTTATTTGGAGCATTTCATGCCTGTGCTCAAGTTGAAAGTATTACATCCTTTATACGGTGCGTATAAAGGATGCGTACATATAAAGGATGCGAATTTTCACGCGTTTTCATCGCCGGAGAAAAGTGATTAGGGTTAGCAATCCTGAACGCTCGCAACGTCCGTCCGCAACCCGCTACGCCGTTAAAAGGCTGCGCCAGGCAAAAGTCGCTCATTTCTTTCAAAATGCGTGACACACTTGAGAGAAAAGTGTACTAGCCTGGTGAAATAAAGACTTTCCTCAAACAGCTTTATTTTTCATCTAACATAAAATAAATTGTTTTACAAAGGTAAGTTGTCTCATGGCGTGTATTTTGGCCTGTAAAATTGGTGTTTTGGTTATAGTGCGGTACCGCTTATAGTGCGGATTTTCGCGACTCCCGCGGCATACGTTATATGCGGTCTACACTGTATTAAGTTCATTCAGGTAGAGGGGCTTGGAGCAATAGACTGGTATCCCGTTCACCAGGTAAAAGTGACCCCATTTGTCTGCTGTTATGTTGTTCAGTTTGGACCACTGGACACATGGCCGTACTAAATCCTGAGGCTTTTATGCAAAACTGAGCCGAGATTTGTGTTTTGCGATCGCTGTAATAAACACAATAAACTATTTTTTCAATACTGTTAGCCCCGGAGATCGGTGTCTAGCTTAGATGAAGATCCAAAATACAGCACCGCTGCTGACGGCATCTAGCGGAGGCATTGCAAAGCTGCCCGAGTTTTTGTCGTAAAAGCACATTTTGGACTTAATAGAATAAAACATAACACTTCTCATCGGTACTGTTATTAAAGATCAATAAGCAACCTTTTGTGCGTGATACTTCGTTAAAATCCAGACGTAAAATTATAAGATCAAATGTCTTCTGGTGAAAAATGTGCCACATGGCTGTGGCCAATTGGGGGTCACTTTCAGCTGCCAGTTTATCACTCTAAGGCCCTCTACCTCATTGGTTAAGCTAGACATGGGCGCATGTCTGGTCAAGTCGGGCGGTTAACGTATAGTTTGCAGAATTCCTAAGTTCAGGAAATGTTAATGTTGGTCGCTTGAACAAAAGGGACGCTTCTGCAGTACTTTACAATATACTTTGTTTCAGCTCGAGTCTTGGCGCAGCCGACGCTACGAGCTTATGGGATCAATCAAGTGGCGTCAAAAGCGCAGGTCACTAGGCCTTTCCTGTTTATGATCGGTTCAGGAACACCATGATGGTGCACTTTTGACGCTGTCTAATCAGTCCCATCAGCTCGTAACGTCGGCTACGTCTGGACTCACGCCGAAACGAAGTATTGTTACGGTGACTGGCAATGCCGTTCCCCTCTCCCTCTCCAATTCAGTTCAGTTGCTTGTGAGACACACAGTGCCTACCATATTTTCCGGACGATGGTCCACAAATTATGCATGCGTAGCTGTTTTGCAGGTAGTCGTGCCTCTCAACTGTAGCATACATCGGCTCAAGCACTCCGCTCGAGTGTTTGTCAGTTGTCAGGTCGTCTTGTTTCTGCGCTACACTTCCCCCCACCATGTAAAAATTCGCGACTCGTGCGATAGAGAACAAAGTCCTAAAAGTTTGCCGGCTGAGAGAGCGTCGTGCGAGGCTACAGGTTTATGGGAAAACCAATGCTTGAAGTCTCCCTTGGTGCTCCTATGTCTAAAAGTTGGTATTCTACGTTGTGGGGGCTATCTAAAGGTGCAGACCATACGAGTATTTGGTTTGTATTTGGTGATGGAAATACCCGCACTGGCACAGGTATCGCCAGTGGGGTTGTCAAGACCACACTGTGTCATGCTAGGCGAGAAAGCGAGAAAAGCTGTTTGTTAGCACATTCCTTTGTCCCTCGGTGCCATCTTGGCTGATGCGCACGGTACCTGCGTTTGAGCGGACACTATGAATTAAGTTCGATTTTGATGGTAGAAACATTCACACTTTGCAGTTGTAAAACCATTACTACGGGTAATTTAGTGATTAAGGGTGTTTCGGGAATCACGACCGTGATGCCTTTGAAATGAATGAATGTTCACACTAAAACAGTTATGAAATAGTATGTCCTGAGTACCTGACTGTAAGGACACCTGAGTAACAGTATTTCTTTTTGCACTAGCAGATGATTATGTTTTTAAAGTGGTAGTTTTATAGGGCCAACCAACCTCAGGCACAAAATGTGTAGGTTGGTCAGTCCTGAAAGGAGCTGTGCAACAATTTCAGTGCTTTGCTTAAATAATTTGGGAGTTGGTGTCTCGACCTTTCTGAAGTAAAGAACAGAAAAACGCTTTTCCCTGCATGTCCTAGTTTTAGTTTAAAAAATGGACAGAGATTGAGGTTTTCGGCACCTCTCAACTCCTTCACCACCTTCCGAGTCACGCGCTCTGTGACTCTCAAGGTTCCAGTGAAGTTTTCTCTCTAGAGCCATCAGTGAGCAGCGAAAACTCATCCGCTTGCGACCACGTGCTTGTGCAGCGCGATCAACATGGCAAAAGGAGGAAAGTGCCAACGTGCTTGTCCTGGTCCGGCCACCCCCATCCGGCCCTGTCCCCCTCCCCTCCGGTTCCTGGCGGCTGTTCACAGTAGCAGATAGAGCTGACGGTTTTGTGGACCTCGGATAGATGGCGCCACTAAAACTCCGTATAATAAGTCTTGTCGATGATACCATGTTTTTGACGCATTTATATATATGTTGGAACGACAAGATTTATAGAAAATTACCTTTTATGGAGCAGATATTTGCACAACTTGCCATCTTTTTACGAGTCCCCCATTGGCGTCACGCCGCGTAGTTCTCGTGGCCGCCGCTCGCGGCTGCAGGTCGGGGAAATATTCTCATTTTTGCCTCGCGATTACGTGGCGGAATCGCAACATTGCGAAGGAAGGAGATGTGTTTTCTGTCCTTTGTGACAAGATAAGCAATGTAAAAAGTAGAAGATGCAAATTCTTTCAATGTTAAAATCGTTGCACAGCTCCTTGTTGAAAGGAGTTGAAAGGGCAGGAAAGTGCGCTTCTCCTCTCGTGGCGATCCAGAAGATTCAGCGCGAGAGCTTTGTATCCAGGTGGTGCTGAAGAGAAGTGCGTGCAGCATCGCAAACTGACAATTGTGTGACGTAATCTGTTTTCATGCAAAATCCTGCCCTAGGCACCACCTGGATGAAGAGCATTACTCACCCTATAAAGCTACCGCATTTAAACGCGTTTGGCAAAATGACCAAACATGCAGGTTTCCTTTCCGTTGGAAAGTTAAACTAGCACCACTCTGAAAATGGTGTTCGCAACATTGATAATGTTCAAATTTTCGAACAATACTTAGTGTAGCTGTGAATCGGGCAATTTATTAAAGTTGCGTAGCCTTTCAGATTGTTTGTAACGTTTGCAAAAGCTCGTCGGGAGCACAGCTTGAAGCGGTACGTGTGCTCGTTCCTTATAGTGTACTTTCGAACAATCTTCTTTCAGATGCCTTGTTCGTGCATGCGTGGTGCTGAGGATAGCCTGCGAGAAGAGTGATGCTAACTGCAGCTACCTTGTGCTCAGCAATAGGGTGGGAGTACTCCTCGACATCCTCACTCATCGTCTCAACGTAAGTTCGGCTCTGTCAACACCAAACACAGGGTGTTCCAAGAAAACTTTACGGCGCTTTTTTTTTTGCCTCAAAAATTAACTATTTATTGCCAAACACTCATTCTTTGCCCAAATGTAGCACTAGCAGGTCGCACCAGATGCCAAAGTTTTAGAAATAACCGTTATCTTAATCAAAAGTTTTGGGTGGTTTTCTGCAAATTTTAAACGGAAAAATGGGCCAGTTTTCGTTAATTGGTGCCGTTCGGCTCTGTGTATTCAAGAGCTCCGTCGGCCGCCCTTTTCCCATTGAAAATTTCAGAAATTCACTTGTAACTTTCTATTGAGATGACGGTTAGTTGTGAAACCTTGGTACCTGGTTTGGGCCGCCGGCACTACATTTGGGCGGAGAATGAGCGTTCGGCGATGCATAATTTAATATTGGGTGAAAAAACCCTGTAAACTTTTTTGGGGGGGACACCCTGTAGATAGTGACGAATGTTTTACGTCCGGGGCCAGCGTTTAGTTGGAACTCGTGTTTTGACTCATTGAACGCGAGTCCCAGCCAAGCGCCGACCAACTCAGCACTTACGTTCACGGCTCTTTACCTAGGTGGTCATGGCCCGGCGCATGGGGAACATCTAATACATAGTCTTTTGAGCATAAGGTTCATATTAGATATATACTGAGCAGAAGTTGACAGCAGCAACAGTGTTTGAGCAAGGGCACTTCAAATGAGGAGGGCTTGTTTTATCGAGCAATATTCTCTGTGCAGTCTAGTTGCGCATTGGGGAATGCTAGGTAGGGTTAAGAAAAACTCGTGCACTAATAGCGATGTATATTGCGACAGGAGGACGATACATTGTGGTAACAAGTAGAGTAGTACCATATCGACCCGAATATAAGTCAACCCCTTTACTGGAGATCTCGCCTTAAATAAAAAAAATATTTGAACGTATAATTCTAACCTAATTTTTGATGAAATCGAGAAGAAGAGAAAACTTTCACACAGTTTTATCAACCCCCGAAATCTTCCTATACCTCCCATTGGGACTCCAATTGCAGACTGTGGCACCAAATCTCACCTGACGGGCGTTGGGTTTATACAAAACAAGAAATAAAAAATAAAGAAAATGGGTGCCGTTGTCATGGCAGTTGCCTGGTCATGGGAGAGGGTGTGAGGAGCCTTGTCCCTCCTCTCTCTCTCACCCTCAGCGACTAACTCCGAACGATCTTGCGTCCTATTGTCGCCGAAGTTAAGAGAAGCAGGAGCCGCTTCAAACTCTGAATGAGCTTGCATCCCATTGCTGCCGTCTCATTCTTCCACAAAGCAATGTCATGGCAATTTCTTTTTTTAGGAAAAAAGTGTGTTTTTACGTTTTTATCTAAATGTTCTACACTTCCTGAATGATTCCACTTGACTTTGCGTCGCTGGATTGAGATCGCCTTGGCAACAGTGCATGCCCAGTGATAGCCGCTTCTTTTTAAATTGTCAATCAATGAATGCAAAGTGCGCCCAGCTGCTGGTGCTTCACACCTTAAGATGGGTGACTTTTCACATTGCTGGTCCGAGCACGACTCCAAATTTAATTTGCAAGTTCTCTTTCTATTAGGCACTCTCTTTATACAGAAACAGACATTCACTTCATGGCACAATAAAGTAACAAAGTCTACACGAAACTACTATTCAAGTATTCACAGACCTGCAATCACACATTCAGCTTTGCCTTAATCAGCAACAGTGATTCGATTGCCACGGTATCTTGAAGGTTCCTTCTACAGCGCAAGCTTTCGCTCCACGCACGTGCTACCGAGCTGCAGTGCTTAACAACAATCCCCCCGTACTGCTCAGCCTAACTGCCCTGTTCCTTCTGACCTTCTATAATAACTCTACTAAAGTGTAGACCGCTTGGCGACTATGCAGATAAGCAGCAGCACGGCACCTGCTTGTATGGTACAGTGTAGACCGCATATAACGTATGTCGCGGGAGTCACGAAAATCCGCACTATAAGCGGTGCCGCGCTATAACCAAAACATAAATTTTTCAGGCCAAAATGCATGCCATCAGTTAACTTACCTTTGTAAAAGAATTTATTTTATGTTAGATGAAAAATAAAGCTTAGTTTGAGGAAAGTCTTTATTTCACCAGACTCTCAAGTGTGTCAGACATTTTGAAATTAATCAGCGACTTTTGCCTGGCGCAGCCTTTTAATGGCGTCGAACGGCGTCGCGGGTTGCGGACGAACGTTGCGAGCGTTCAGGATTGCTAACCCTGATCACTTTTCTCCGGCAATGAAAACGCGTGAAAATTCGCATCCTTTATACGGCACGCGCCAGTAATACCTTCAACTTGAGCACAGGCATGAAATGCTCCAAATAAGAAATCCGGGCAATGTTCAAAAACACAAATGCTTAGAAAGCACCATTGTAGTCGAAGTAAACAAACACGACGACACGGGCGTTTCTGCCGTCTTAAGAGTGCCGCCACAACATCGCCGCACGAGTGGGTTATCATAGCGACACACAACGAAAATTCCCAGTCAAGGATAGCGCTTTTACGCTGAACGATGAGCTTCTACCACGCCGTCTACGTCGACGATCCAAACCGACGCCATGTTTGCGGATAGAAGCAGCCGGCCGGCCGGCCCGCGACCGGCATGCAACGTGCGCGAACACTTCTCCTCGACCTGCGATTGGTCTGTCGTTGCGGTTGTTTCCAACGTTTCCAACGCAGCAAAGGCGGTGGAGGGACGCACGCACGTGAACGACACGTGCGTGCGTTCCTTCGTCGCTATGGCAACTGAAGCCTCTCTCTTTGCTTCTCCCCGCTTCTTTGAGCAACCTCCTTGCCCGCGAGTGCCGCTTGCAGCTCGCGCCGTTATCTAGTGTCGCACAGGGAAGCGTGCTCTCTGCATCGGTGAGTTGGCGCAGTCGCCGGGCTGTTCCGAAAACCGCACTATATCCGGTATTTCCCTTCGCGCGCCTGCATTTTAAGTGGTATGTAATTACATGGAGTTCTATGGGAGGTGAACCGGTGGTTTAAAAAAGCCGCGTTATACCCGGTCCTGCACTATAAGCGGTTACGTTGTAAGTGGTCTATACTGTAATATGAAACATGCACCAGCAAGTTTTTGGCGATCTGACACTGCATAACCCAAAGAAGGAAGCGGCCCCTATCTTTGCTTTTCGTCACTTGGGAAGCCAAAGAACTTGGCAATGCTGTTGTCACCAGAACTAGAGCACCACCAAGCCGAAAAACATGTTGTTTGCTTGGCGCACTGGCAGACGAAACAGACCGACGGCCAACAAGCCAACGCCGCTGCTTGCTGCCGCAAACCAAAAGCACCGCCGGCACAGGTACCAGGCGCCGTAAAGCAGCCGGCGCAGCACACAGCCAACGTGCAACTGGTCTCAACGGTCAAAATACAAGAAAACAACTGACCAATGAGAGCAGAGTAAAGGGGAGAAACTTTAGCTAACCAATATATTTGTTTCACCTTAGCAAGGTATACTTTTAAATCTGTAAACAGCAACAATAATACATGTCTCATCCTCTTTAACAAATTGTCCGGCAAAAACCAGAAGTTTTTATGTAAAACCCAACGAATAAGAGATGGCACTCAAATAGCTGATTGGAAGTCGCTCTAAGGTTTGGGGGGTTGGTTTTAGTTTGGTGCACTGCTGGTCAGCCTAGCTAAACCTCGCTCGTCTACTACGCTAGTCGTACCACCTTTATAATTTCCAGTTTCGATTAGTCTTGTTATTACGATTGTTACCATGCCTTTATACTAGGATTTTGATGTTTGTTTTGTAAACATCGCTATTCATGCCTTTATACTAGGATTTTGATGTTTGTTTTATGAACATTTCTATAGAACTTTACCTTTTCTTGATATTGTTCCTATATCAATTCCTGTCGCAATTTATACTTTAGGGAGTGTTTTCTAAAACAGTAAGTGAATTTTTGATCTGCAACGCTTAGAATTCTGCTTTAACTGTAACCCAACGGTAATCCTGTTCTAGCTGAAACCAAACGGTAATCGTAATATTGCCGCGCGCAGGGCTGAGAAAGCAACGCTCGATCCGGAACCTCCAGAAAGTTCTCGTTTATTCATGTACCGCACGCAACTTCTATCATTTATTCCTGCTTTCGTTTTCTAGAAAGTGCGTGTTCATTCTCGCCCCAATCACGCGACGCTTGAGCCGCTTTCGCCGAATCTTCGAGATAGCGACGCACTCAAGAGTGATAAGAGGCCGCCCGCGACCTTGTCGAGTCAGTTTCGCCCCAGCGTTCGACTCTGCTCTTTCGCCGACTTCGACGCCCGCGACGCTCTGCTGTTATCTTGTTTCCTCTTTTATTTCTTGGGCACAAGTTCGCCCCATTAAACGTTTCAGCTTCCTCAGTTATTCTTTGTTTCCTCTTTTGTTCCTTTGTGACATTTTTGGTGGAGGTGCGGGGTACCGCATGCCCGTGCAGCGTTCCCCTCCAAGGGCCCGCAGTGCAAGTCTGATTCCAAGCCCGGTGAGAAGCCTACTCTACGAGGAACCTACGACCCGATCCAGTCGCCGCACCCAAAGTCTACCCCCGGAATACGAACTTCTCCCACCCAGGACCAGGCAGCAAACGAGGCCGCCGATGGACAACCAGTCGTCGCAGAACCCGTCCGCCGCCGCCATCGTATACCTTCCCGTCGCACCCAGGACTCCAACGCCATTCCACGGGGAGGTCCAAGAGGACGTTGAAGATTGGCTGCAACATTACGAACGAGCTGCCCGCCATAACGCATGGACACCGGAGCAGTGCCTCCAGAACGTCTACTTCGCTCTGGAAGGCACGGCACGCACGTGGTTCGAAAACCACGAAGCGTCAATTTCGTCGTGGCAAGACTTCCAGGCGGAGCTTCGACGCACTTTTGCCAGCCAGCAGCGACGTCAGCGGGCCGAAGAACTTCTTCAAGCAAGTGGCCAAGGGCCAAACGAGAGCGTCACAAGTTTCGTCGAGGACGTTCTCCGCCTCATGAACCGCGCCGACCCAAACGCTCCTGAAGAGAAGAAGTTGCGGTTCCTGATGCGGGGCGTGAAAGAAAACATCTTCGGCGGCCTTGTTCGTAGCCCTCCGACAACAGTCGAAGATTTTGTCACCGAGGCGACGAACATCGAGCGTGCCCTGCAAGCCCGAGACAGCCACTACCAGAGGCTACCCGGCGTCAGCGCGGTTCCGCAGTCCCCTTGCGGCCTTGCCCACGGCATCCCGGGCATTCGAGAGCTCATTCGCGAGGTTGTCCGGGAGGAGCAGCTTCTGCCGACTGCTGAGTGCCCGGCCTCAATCTCCATTGCTGAGGCTGTTCGCGACGAGGTTCAGCGAGCGTTCCTTCCGGAAGCCCCTGTCACCGTGGCCGCAGCCGATGAGCCGACACTGACCTACGCCGCAGTGGCCCGACGACCGCCGCCAACTGCTCGTCATTACCCGGTGGCGCCACGACGAGACCCACCAACGCAGACGTACCCCCGACGAAACGACGAAGGACGTCAGTACGACCGCCGAGAACAGTCGGCGCCGAGGAAAACCGACGTGTGGAGGACAGTGGATCGACGACCCATCTGCTACCACTGTGGGGAGGCCGACCATATCTACCGCCGCTGCCTTTACCGGCAAATAGGGCTGCGTGGCTTCCATCCGAACGATCCACGTCCACGCTCCGGTGAACGACCGCGGGAGATTGAAGAATACCTCCGACGACTTCAGTCTCCCCCTGCAGCTCGCCGTGTATCCCGGTCGCCGTCACCACGACGTCCAGCTTCGCTGATGCACCGACCCCGACGTGAAAGCCTGTCGGGGGCCCCTCGCTCCTCGCCGGGGAAACTAAGCGTGGCAACCTCTGGAGGTGGAGTTGCCGAAGACGACCGACGCCAAGATCCTCCACGAACGTCGGACGGCCCCCACTCAAATACCACCAGAGACCGAAGCGACGCTCCTGCAACGGTGAAGAATAACCAACACGTCGTTATCGACGGCCACGACGCGTCGGCTCTCGTCGACACGGGTGCAGACTGCTCCATCCTGAGTGGGAGGCTCTCCCAACGCCTTCGGAAAGTGACGACGCCGTGCGATGGCCCACAGATACGGACCGCCGGTGGGCACCTCATCACACCAGTCGGGATTTGCACTGCTCGCGTCGAGATCCACGGTGAGACGCGCCCTGTCAAGTTCGTCGTTCTGCAAGACTGTTCGAGGGACGTTATCCTAGGAATGGACTTTCTTTGCGAGTATGGCGCCGTCATCGACCTCAGAGAAAACCGACTGACGCTCTGGCTACGAAAACCAGCTCCAGCGGTGAAGGAACCCAAAGCGACGTCATCCACGGTCCGAGTCCTCGCAGATCACGTGAACTTACCGCCGCGGTCGAGTGTTTTACCCATCGGGATCGACGAGGCTTTCTGTGGCGACGTTCTACTCGAGGGAAGCCTCCAGCTGCTTCTAGGAAGAGGGATCGGATCGGCGTCGCAAGGGGCATCGCGGAGCTCCAAGACGGACACACTGTTGCACTCGTAACAAACTTCCGACAGGAGGCTCAGCACCTTACGAAAGGCACCGCCGTGGGTCACGCCGAGGAACTCGCGGACTCAGCCGCGATTACCGAAATAGCAGAAGACCTCTCTTCGTGGCCACACGAGACAACACCGTATTCGCAGTTTGACATCGACCCAGTCCTGCCTACCCCACAACGACGACAAATCTGTGACCTTCTCGTCGAGTTCAGTGAGTGCTGCCCTACGTCACGTTCGCCTACAACACTGCAGTGCAAGAGACCACAGGAGTGACGCACTTCCAGCTGGTGTATGGCCGGGCGGTGACGACTATGCTAGACTCTATGTTGCCGCACGAGTCAGTCGACGACGGGAGCGATGACGCCCAGGTGGTTGCTCAACGTGCAGAAGAGGTCCGCCAGCTAGCCAGACTACGAATTCAAGACCAGCAACATGTCGACGCTCGCCGGTATAATCTTCGTCGCCGCGACGTCCACTTCCAGCCCGGAGACAGAGTTTGGGTGTGGAAGCCGATTCGTCGTCGCGGTCTCAGCGAAAAACTCCTGAAACGCTATTTCGGACCCTACAAGATCATCCGACGCCTGGGCGATCTGAACTACGAAGTCCTACCCGACGGAACGCGCCCATCTGCAAGACGTCAGCCGCGACCCGAGGTGGTGCATGTCGTCCGGCTGAAGCCGTATTACGAACGATAGGACTCTCCACTCTCGTCGACGAGTGAACTGTGGACTGTGAACTCCGCCTAGGAATTCTGCTGTCCTTTTGTTTTTTGTTTTCCGTTTTTGTGCTGCATCGGGACGGTGCACTTTTAAGGGGGGGGGATGATGCCGCGCGCAGGGCTGAGAAAGCAACGCTCGATCCGGAACCCCCAGAAAGTTCTCGTTTATTCATGTACCGCACGCAACTTCTATCATTTATTCCTGCTTTTGTTTTCTAGAAAGTGCGTGTTCATTCTCGCCCCAATCACGCGACGCTCGAGCCGCTTTCGCCGAATCTTCGAGATAGCGACGCACTCAAGATAAGAGGCCGCCCGCGACCTTGTTGAGTCAGTTTCGCCCCAGCGTTCGACTCTGCTCTTTCGCCGACTTCGACGCCCGCGACGCTCTGCTGTTATCTTGTTTCCTCTTTTATTTCTTGGGCACAAGTTTGCCCCATTAAACGTTTCAGCTTCCTCAGTTATTCTTTGTTTCCTCTTTTGTTCCTTCGTGACAACATAAACCTACCCAGCACACAGCAACAGCGAGTGATCAACTGCTGTCTGCCAATCATTCCCTGAAACTCAATGAAATGTTGCGAATCGGAGCCATCGTTGGTGAGGCCATCTCTCAATTCTTGTTGTAGCTCTCGGTACCCGACGAGTGGGGCTCGAGCCCGGGCAGCGGACGTGCGGTGCCATCTCTGGAGCCCGGCCAGGACCCCGTGGCCACTGCGCTTCTAAACCTGCTTCGTGCCACGCTCCGCGGGGTCACCAACGCAGACTCCGAGGTCCAGACGTCGGACGACAACCACCAGCGACTGCTGGACGTGATAAGGTGGGTCGTGCTTCTCAGTACATCTGCCGTGGTCGCCGACAGAGTGGGAACGGTGGGCCATGCTTTCCTTACGGCCGTCCTCCAACGCGCGCTCTGTGCCTTCCGCCTCGCTTTGGCTGCACGTGCGCACTCAAGGTGCACAAAATGCTGAAAAACGTCGTCGAAGGTAGGAAGCTCGTGCTGGGGTGGGACAACTGAAGCCCCTCCCTGCTGTCCTCATCTTGTCACTGACCATAAAATGGTGTATCGTTTGTACAAATGGGAATTGTACAAAATCGAGTACCGTAATGCCCCACGTCATTGCCCATCCCCGTGTATCGTGTGGGCGAATATCGCTTTTAAAAAAAACGCAGTGTAATCACCTACCCCTACAAATGCTTCAACATGGACTCCGCGAGCATTCATCCTACCCGAATTATGCGGCTGCGGACCTTACGATTGAAGGATGTCCGTGACAAAGTAAAACGAAGGAGGGAAAGACGTCTCACTTTGTTTAAGCATTCCTTCCCCGATTTCTGCAACCCCGATGTGAAAGTACACGTGTGTGAAAGAAAAACGGTGGAGGTAACAAAATGAAACTCTGTTTGCTTACAAAAAAGTTTGTTTGGACAAAGAAGAAAATCGGAAAGATGACACAAGCGGTAACCTATTCAGGGATCACGAGGTCAGCGAGTGTTCCACATCCTGGAATGTGACCGTGGAGTGCGAGGTCAAAGGTGTAAGGTCCGAGTCAGTCTCCACCGAAATAAGGTCACTGCGAATACTCATTCGTTCTCCCAGAATGTCGCGACTGCGGTAGGTAAGGTTGTGCAGTGTTTGAGACAAAATGGACGGGTAAATAAATATTTGCTGGAATGCCGCACACAGACGTTTGTAAAGCGTTTCATTTCGAGCTCTCTGTTCGGGGTGCCGTCCACACCACACAGCAACGCCGCCTATACCCGCGTTGATAGCATGCCATGCACGGACACACGCATGTATGCCCCAAACAAGAAAGTTGCACAAGAGCCTGCTCCTTGCGTTTGAAAGGCGCCCAACTCTGCCCAACGCCAATGTGTTTGCCAACGAGAGTGCCAGCTTTCCTGCTTCCCCAGCATCACCCTTCATTGCTTCTTTCGCTGGCTCGCTCGCTCGTAGCACCTACCGTAAAATCCCGTAAGGATGCGCACTCAAAATGAAGAGATAAATGGTGAAAAACATGGGGTGGGCTATCTTTGGGGATGCCACAGCAAAACTTGATAAAAAATTAATGATAAGCGCCGGGGCACTTGCTACAAACCACGTGACGCGGGAACTGATACCGCAGATCACGGACACCTTAAATTTGTGTTTCACAATGCGATAAACACGCGGGAATTCGCTGCAAACTCCTGTGTCACTGGAAAGGATACCGCAGATTGCGGATGCAGCAGATTTGCGTTTCACAGTGTGAAGGACTCGCGGAAACCCGGCGAGAACTCGCACCTCACGGGAACGGATACCGCAGATTGGGACGCAGCAAATTCAAGTTTCAGGGGGCAATAAAGACGCGGGAACCTGCTACAATCTTGCCTGTCATGGGAACCGACATCGCGCGCGCAGATCGCGGACAAAAACAAGGGAATACGCTACAAGCTCGCATGTTACAGAAACAAATACTGCAGATCGCGGATGCAACAGAATCGCATTTCACGATGCCATATACACGCGGGAACAACTCGCACGTATTACTTGCAGCTAAAAATCGACATCGCACGCGCAGATCACCGACAAAAGCACGGGGATCCGCTACGAACTCTGGAACGGATACCGCAAATCGCGAACGCAGCAGATTCGATTTTCTTGTTAAATCTTTTTTTACTAACGAAGAGAACATAGCAACGTTCAAGAAACGTGCATTCACGGAACAAATGTTTGCGCAATATGCCGATCGGCAGTTTTTATTGCCCATATACCAGTAACAGACTTCGCGATGGTAAAGCATTCCTTCATGAGTTTCGTGTATGAAACAATGAAACTAATTCGAGTTTTGTGTTTAGTGTACGACTGTGGCAGTCATGCTAGATATATTGAAAAAATGGGTGTTTTTTTTTAGCTTTTTCTACACATTTTGTGCTTACCCATTGAGTCATGACCCACCCCACTTTTTTTAAAATTAATTTTGGGCAGTGTCTTGGGTTTTTACACTACATTAAAACTACGACCTCAGCATTAGTAGAGTAGAGCTGTGCAGACGCCTACAAGCCCCCTGAACAATAATTCATGTACCAGAGAGTGATTGATTCATTGTCTCATTGTCACACTTAATTGTGACAATGAGACAACAATAATCTTCTCGAATCATACTTAGACACGAAAAACGCTTTACGCAGAGGTTAAGACGGTTGGGGAAAGTTGGGGGCTGGGGAAGTCCCAGAGTCCCTAGGAAACCAGTTCAGAAACCGGTGGGTTAAATTACGAAATGTGCTCAAGTCCGCACGGGGCAGTTAAGGATGCCCTCTCTGTTTCGACAAACACCCTATCACAAGGTGAGGAACCAGCATATCAGTGCAGGTTGGCATCCTCATATTTTTTTACAGCAGTGGCTGTTATGGACTCATCCCACATCTGGAAACGATGTCCGTTGATGATGTTGTAGCCGTTGTAGTAGTCGTCGTTGTTGATGATGTTATAGTTGGCGATGTAGGCCATCCACCGCCCGCCTCTTGCAAGAATCGAACCTGGGTCCGCTGCGTGCGAAGCGGAGGCATTACCATTAAACAACAGTGATATCTTTTTATAACGAAATCGCTTTCATCAAAATTCAATGTGGTCCCGACTGAAATATGCACATTTTTATCAGGATTATTCTAAGTGTATCGGCAGCTGACCACGCTTATTACGAAGGTCGTGGTGCCGAAAGCACGCAATCCTACATGGGGGCGCACGGAGACCCTTGCGTTTCCTCCCCCTTTTTCACCTATGCAAATGGCAAACTGGAAAAACGGCAAACAAGAAATCGTAATAAACGGGTGATGGAGGGCGCAGTGCGCAGAGAGCTGCTTTCAATGTTGACGCAGGCAGAAAGCAGCAACACAGCGAGAGCAGCGTCCACATCCCAACGCTGCTTGACACCTGTCGGAATCGGGTCAAGAGAGCGATGAGCTCGGAGGAAATGATCCCTCCGGGAGCCCTTGACGCGCGCACCTGCGGCATACTACCCATTCATGTGTATCGTATGGGAGATTGGGAGTGTTTACCGAAAATTGCTTCGATCGGCGAGGTTAAGAAGAGTGGCCGGCCCAAGTCTGAAATCGCCAAAGAATTTGACATTCCGGCATTGGCGGTTCGGCACTGTCCACCATTTTGCAGAACAAGCAAGGTATTGAACGGTTTCGAGAAGTTTTTCATGCGAGAAAAGCGCACCCGCAACCCGAAGATGAAAAGTCGCCAACTGATTTGCAACCGTCAGATTTTCTCTCGTGAGCATGTTTGCTGAGAGCTGCAACGATCCCTACAGGAGTGTGTAAAAACATGTTGGCAAAGATACCGAGGATAACTTTGATTCGTTTGTGCTCACCGATGCGGACGTTCCCGCTGTTGCTCCTGCATTCATCCTTTACTAGAAGACTGGGTAAATCATGGCGCACCTCGAGTTCCGGTCTAGGCGAGTGGGAGGACTGATCCAGCAGAACACTGACCCCATGGCCAGACTCAGAAAGGGCAGACTCTCTGACAACACCCTCTCAAGACTGACAGAGCAACATTTCACCCACTAACTACCTTCAACCGAGAAAAAAGAGAGCTTGACAAGAAGATGCGTTGTCTGCACAAAAACTAAGAAGACTCGCAAAGAAATAAGAACTTCTGTCCAGACTCTTGCTCTGTGTGCCATATCGTGTTTTTGGATGTATGTCTCACGCAAATGCAAACTTCTAAAGCTCAATGACTATCTTAACCCAAAGTCCAGGACCAGAATAAATCCCTTGTTATCACGCTTAGAAACATAGTTTTGTAAATATTGTTTGTGAAAACAAGTGCGAGAACTAGTCATGTGCAAATAGTAAATTTTGAGTTAGAACCGAATTCAAAGCGCGTAGTGGTTTTGGACGAATATTTTCTAATTGAATATTGAATAGTTTTCTCTATGCCTTTCACTGATATACCATGCATAAAAAGAAAATCAAGCTGAACTCCTGAAGGTTGTTCCCGAGCTTCTACTTGTCCACTTCTAAGCTCCGCTAATTGTAGCATAACTATATTCATAAACTGGCATGTAAACGACAAATTTGTCGCAGCTATCCTAATCAAGGGGATTTCTAATTCTGCTTACTACCTCTATGCAAATAAATATTCTTTCTTCAATTTCAAATTTGAGAAGAAAGAAACGAGCATGAATGATGAATGCAGGCTGTCAAGACATCGCTGCCCAACATACCGTAGAATACCGTGGATCCGCCCATTCCACATTAAGTGTCTATTACCAAATTTGTAAGATCTGAGAAAATAAGCACGGTACATTTATGTGTAAAATTCATGACCGGACAAGCGCCCATCACCCATTTTTTCGCGATTATCTCCAAAGTTTGAGTGGGCGCTCGCCCGGTATTTTACGGTATATACTCTCGCACAATTGCAGCTGGTTAGCCTTGTTGAGTGCACTTCTCGCCGAGCGCCCGTGCATTGCGGGGAAGCAACACCCGCGAGCTCTGCGGGTGTCGCTTTTTCATTGTGCGCAACTACTAAGTGAGAAGTGCGCGAATTCAGGATTTTTAAGACACAAACTGAAAAAGTATTGCAGTAATGAAATGGTTAATGTCTACCTATCCATCCAACTCTAACGTAACTTTTCTCTGTGGTGCCGTTTTCAGTTATGCCGTGAGCATGGGCACAGTGGACAAACTGGCCCAGTGTCTGGGGAAAGTCCGGGCGCCCCTGGACTCGGAATCCCCACAACTCACAGAGTTCTTGGTGCAGGCCATGGAGTTTGTCGCCTGCTTGGCACGCCTCGTAGCAGCCAGGTGAGCCGTTTCTGTACACGTGCCACGATGGTATTTTAGGAGAGTGTGATGCTTGAAATGGCATTTCATGCTTCTCAAGCGCACGTCAGTGGTTTTTTTTTCTCTCTGTTGATGTCATCATTCATCATATTCTTGCATCTCTGACTCCGTTGATGGTTCTCAAAACTGCTAGAACATTGTGGTCTAGAAGCTGACCATGCCAAGCTGCTATACAGTTGCTCGGCTGCTATTCAGCTGACCAGCTGCTACTCAGCTGAGATACTGTTGTTTAGCTGAACAGCTACTGCTTAACTGACCAGCTGCTGTTCAGCTGACTGACTGCTGCTCAGCTGAAGCTGACGAGCTGCTAAGAACTGTTTAGCTGAATAGCTACTGCTTAGCTAACCACCTACTATTCAGCTAACTGCTCAGCTGAGCAACCGCTGTTTAGCTGAATATTTACTTCTTAGCTGACCAGCTACTGTCCTGTTGATCAGCTACTATTAAGCTAACCAGCTGCTGTTTAGTTGATTAACTGCTGTTCAGCTGGCCAGCTGCTATCCAGTTGACCAGCTACTATTCACCCAACAAGCTGTTGTTTTGTCCAACTGCTTTTCAGCTAACTAAATGCTACAGCTGACTTGCATTAAAGGGATACTGAAGCGAAACTTGAAATACACCTATTATGGTCAGAAATAGGTTCAATATGATCAATGATATTCATAAATCATAATCGCGCGTTTGTATTTTGAACGGATGGCTATATTTTTCACCCTGATGGGCCCGATTGGGCGCGCGCTCAAAAATCGGCCATCGGAGAGAGCGATGCGTCTTGGGATATTGGGCGCATTCGTGACGTCACTTGTGCCGGTCGGGAAAGGCTACGGCGTGAATGTTGTGGTTACGAGCGTTGCCACTTGGTGGCGCGTCGACGATTTACGACCCGTGACAACGTGGCCGTTTGAGATGTGCAAGGGCTGCACACACGCTGCACCACGGGACCACGGCAAGTCGGCAACCACGGCAGCACTGACAAAACCAGCTCTGAGGCCGGATTCTCAAAGCGAATTCACGACGAAAAAAGTGCGTACGACAAATTTGAGAGAAAACCCGTGCTCTCGAAACGAAATTGTCGTAACCTTTGCGCAGGTTACGACAGAATCCTACGACAGCTCCGAAGCTGTCTTACGCACTTTTTACGATCAAATCAACAAGGCCGACAGCGTCGCTATGTTACTTGGTATCGGCCACCAACGGACATTTATTTTTCTTCGTGCTCTTCTCGTGCGTCCCGACTTCAACCAGCAAGAAAAAAAGGAAGGAGTACTTAAAACAGACCACGATCAAGAACGCAGGATCCACAAACACACGAGAAGAGCTACAACAGCCACGATTCTGCCGACCGAGCGAGCTCGGCAGAATATAGTAGGCCTAGCAGCAACATCGACTCGGCGCACCGTTGCTCCGGCGGTCCTTGGCCAAGACCGTCTGTCCATGACCGGCGACCCTTGTGGACCCTTACCGGACCAGTAGTTTGATCCCTGACCTAAATTTCAGAGGTCAATATTTTCCCCTTGTCATCTCGATCTCCTTGTTTTCCGAGACAGCGGTGACGAACGCTGTCGTCGAAAAGGGACTCTCATTGATTCTATCTCCTTGTTTTGTGTGATATAGAGCTCAAATAAACGCCATACGGATTACCTTCGCAACTCGGTATGTACACTCTGTTATTGGTATGCCATTTTTATTCTGACTCGACGCTACGTCACTGTCGAGCTATAGCAGTTCGTGGGAGCTACGCGATGTCGGTCTAACCTTTCTTTGTCGAGTGTCATGTCAGTATCCAGTTGCAATCGTAAAAGATCGGTCCAGAAGCGCTTACCGAAACGCGGTCTAACAGAGCGAATCCAGCACTTCGATCAAACGCGCGTGTCCGCTCCGAGCGCTCCGAGCGTGAACAGGTATTTGCGTGGCTCTTGCTGGCACTCTCGTAGTTCAGACATATCTTTTTTAACGTCGGCTCGCAGCTCGCAACTCGCAGCAACTAATACCGGCCGTGCCAGAAGCATGCTCGGGCCGTGTCGTGCAAAGAGCCGCAACGAGAACGAGCTCACTGTGGCCAACTACGCTTTGGCTTTCTCCGCCAAGGCTTTGCGAACGCGTTCAGGCCTAGGCGAATTCTGCCGGCACGCCGTATTGCCGCAGAACGGCGCTGCTATTTTGGCACAAGTGATGTCACGAGAACTTCCCCCCATCCACCAGATGAGAATTTGAAATCGTTTAATTAGTTTAAAATTAGTTCTCCTGTGTTTTACAGCGCAATATTTATATTTCCGAGGTGGTGCCTGTCCCTAGCCCATATTTATGCAACAAGATCGGCGCTAAAATTTCGTTTCACTACCCCTTTAATTCGACTTATTATTTCATTCCACCCTCTTCAAAGGTCCTGACAAAAGCCCATATATTTCTATGGAAAAAAAACAAAAAACTTATTATTTCACTCTTAAAATATAACATATCGGTTAATTTGACCAGCTGCAATCGGCTGCACCGAGGAGCGCGATCGGCTGCGCACTTTGGCAAAAAAACTCGTTTTAAAATTTTGAAGCATGCGCCAAATTGTGAAGAGAGAGAAAAAGAGAGCACATGTCTAGACACGGGACACAGCCGGGTGGGTCTCAACACAAAACAACCGTTGCAACACTACTGCGCCGCAGCGGTGTTGCAGTGGTTACCGGCGGTGGCGGCGCTGGTGGCAACTACTGCCACCGATGGTCACTGCCGTTGCTGCTGCCGCCGCACCGAACACACGAAGGACATACACAGCCAATGCCGCCGCCCTGCGGCGGTATGCATCGGCTCATTATAAAAATGTTAGCCTACTTGATCTAATGCACAGGATATTCAGAATTTCCCAAGCATCTTTTAGTTTGACTTTCGGATACTTCTACCCAATTCGGATACTTCTACCCAATGTCCCGTCAAGGTCGAAATAACGGAAGTCGAGTGTATCTAGCTGACCAGCTACTCTTCAGCTAACCAGCTATTGTTCAGCTGGCCAGCTGACAAACCTTAGTGCAACACCGAGACGTCAGTGACGCCGACACCCATCTGTCTTTTGTGCCAAAACTTCTATGAATCATTATTAGGATCACAACAGTCCTCAGTTTTCTCATCACAACATCACGTCAACAAGATCAGATAATAAACCTATTTTCTTATAGAAGACTGTGGCATTGAGTGGTTTTCACGAATGCTTCGGTGTGCATGAGAAGTCTTTCATGTGATGCATAGCTTGTTTTCTCCAAAGAAAATCAATAGTGGTTTTTTTTCACCTGAGAAATGAAGTATGCATGGCCAAACGCTCAGCCTCCACCCAAACGCGTATCACTAGTGGTTTAAACCAGATGCTGCCAGAGTTTCAGAACTAATTGTCACCTTTTTCGAAAGATGCAAGTTATTTTGTAGAACTTTTGATAAGAAAATGGGGCTTGTTCTCGGCAGTTTCCAAAAATCACTCACAACTTTTTAACAAGGTAACGGTTTGTTCTGAAACTTTGGCACCTGGTTTGGTCCACTAGCACTATTTTTGAATGAAAACTGAGCATTCGACAACGCATAGTCTATTAAAAAGATACCGTAAATTTTTTTAAGGGGATATACCCTGTATGTTGTTAAAACCCGGATGCCCCGACTGGTAGCCTTTGCTCCGTATTCTCGTTCAGGAAGAGATGGGGCTTGTCTTCGAGAAGTATGGTTCCTTACGCGCCCCCTGTCTTGCAGCCGACACCGCCGACAGAAGGAGGAGGACCCCACGCAACTGGCAGCCACCTTCGGGGTCACCCAGCTGGCGGGGTCGGTGTCCCTTTTGTACGGGACCCTGCTCCAGATGGGGGCCCCCTCAGGGAGCAGGGCAGCGGGGCAAGAGCCCCCCGCGCTGCCGCCAGGGCGCCTGACCGTCACCGCCGCGGCCCTGGATCTTCTCAACCAGATGGGTCAACTCGATCTGCCCATGTTCCAGGTGGGTTGACGTCGATCAGTTGATCGGCCAGTCAATCACGGTTGGTGAGTCATAGCCAATCAGTGACGTTGACAGCCAATCTGTCATGATGGATAAATCGGATCGCAGGCAGAGTGGCCCTCGTGGTGTTGTGGTGACGTCGCATGTAGCCAGTTGATCGCAATAGCCAATTATTTAGATTGCAAACAGGCTGGGCGTGATCATTTGACCACACAATGTTATGTAGGGTAATGGCGTATGACCTGGTCACACGACCGCAACGTGACTTGGTCACATGACCGTGTGGTCATACGACCTGACGTTGCACGACATCGAGAAGCTCTGGATGTCACGTGACGTTCGCATATATGAATATATTTCTGGATGGATTCTCCGTTTGCGGGAGTTCGGCACAAGCCCGAGCATTTTTTAATTATTTGGGCGTGCATCTACAGTTTCCACCAAGGCGTTATTTATTGTTCTCTTAAAGCGGCAGCTTTATATAGAAGCCCTTCACGGGCCTTTCTTGCTAGTATTGCTCCAACCGCACGACGTCGCAGCGTCACGCGACATCCACATCCCAGCTAAATTTAGTGGGGAAATCTACGTCGCAGTTTTAAGTTGCTGTGTTGCGCGTTATCATAACATCACATAACATCAATTTCCCAGCTAAACTTAACAAGGCAATGTGGAGAGCAAGTCACTTGCTTTTTTTGCGGGGGTTGCGGAAACGTCAGTATGACGCCCTGCTTAAAGGATAGTGGGTAGACCTCAAAACAAGCTGTCTTCAGGTATACCCAGTATCCTTCAGCAGATTCAATCGGAGCTCGGCGTTCTGACGTCACCACAGCCCCTTCAAAAGAAGAAGACAAACTTGCGCTCTGCATTGACATTGCGTGACCCGAGGTAGCGCAATGTCAGGCCATGTGGCATCATGGAATCACGTCGCACGACCACATCGCGCGACCTCCGGTCCCGCGGCGTCCATTTTCTATTGGAAACCTCATCGAGTGCTGTTGCACCTTTGTTACATTCGACGGAACGTCTAAGCCACGTGGTTTCCTAAGTCACTGTCACGCTGCTAATACATCCCGCAAAATACAGTTTGCACACACTGTCCGAGACACGGTCCGCAGACAATCCTGCCATCGTGTGTGTGGTGAACACCACGTTTCTTGTGTGACGTACACGCAATGTGGCTACGGACACCCGCAATCGGGTTGACGGAGCCGCTTTCCCCACCCCCCGGTCCCTCCCAGGCCGTCTTGGGTGCCGAGGGGATGTCCCTGCAGCTCAGGCACATTGCCAGCTACCTGCTGTGGTACTGTAGCCACTGGGAAGAGTGGCCCCTGCTGCACCAGGTGGTGCTGCTGGTGGGACACTTCGCCGTCCTCTCTCCGGACAACCAGGTGACTCTTTTTGCCGCAGGGACCTTTCGCGGGTGCTTCCGTGAGACTTGCGCCTTCCCGCGCCGACGAGTCCTTTTGGTCGTGCCGTTGTCATCGTCGTGTTGCGTTCCGGAAGTTTGGGGGGGGAGGGGGAGGGGGAGGGGGAGGGAGAGGGAGAGGGAGAGGGAGGGAGAGGGAGGGAGGGAGGGAGGGAGGGAGGGAGGGAATGCAACTTGTACGCCAAAAATTGTGGCAGTCTGCTTGCTTCCTTTTAGGGGCGAAGCTCCCTAGGGTCTAGCCTTGTCCGTCCATCCATCCATCCATCCGTCCGGCGTCTGTGCTCACACTGATTGCACTGCTTTTGGGATTGGCCCACTTTAAAAAAAAAAAAAAAAAAACTTACACCCGCACGGGGGTTTGAACTCAGGACCGCTTTATACAGGAGAGGGTGCTGCGGTCAAATCCGTATATAATCGCGTTAAACTTTGCATGCATTGGCTCAACGTTTATAGACGAGAGGGTGCTGCGGTCAAATGCTCAAATGCATATATAACCACGTTCCACACCACACATTCTCTTTCTGACATGGACTGTTGACTTAAGCGGTGGATGCGTTCCCACGGCTTCTAGCGGATCCAAGCTGATTTGCTAGAAGAACCACTGGCTCTGCATTTCACCGACCATAAAGCAATAATAATGAAGTCGAAATGCAACCCGGAGCTCAGCACTACTCATGTGCAAAAAAACAAAATCGGCACCATCAGCACTACCTATGAACAATAAAACCAGTATCATCAGCACCACCAGAGCTTCGCCACAATCAACATCATTCACCACGTGGAGATGCGGCCTCTTTTTTTTTGTGTGTGTGTGGCGCAGATTGTTTTGTGATGCACGTGATGCCAGACTGCTTTCGTAGCCTCGACGAAATGACTTACCGTAATATCCCGAGTCATCGCCCATCCCCGAGCCATCGCCCACCCCATTTTATTGGCCAATATCGATTTCCGGAAAAACACCGAGTCATTGCCCACCCCTTCAAATACCCCAGCGCGGACTCTGGGATCCGCGAACACTCATCTTACCCGAATGACGCGGCCGCGGACCTTACAGTTGGAGGACGTCCGTGACAAAGTAAAACGAAGGAGGGAAAGACACTTTTTTTGTTTACGCATTTCCTCCGTGAGCGACCCCAAAGTGGTCGTGTATCCGTGCGAAAAGAAAACGATGGAGATAACAAAATAAGAGTTTGTTAACGTAACCGCGGAGTGTTAGGTCAAAGTCTGTCTCCGCCGAAGTAAGGTCACCGCGAACCCGCTCCTTCTTCCCGCCCGTCGCGACCGCTGTTGTGCAATATTTTAGGCAAAGCCAAAGCGTAAATAAAGCTTTGCTGGAACGTCCTACACAGACGTTTACAGAGCGTCCCAACCGTGCATTGATAGCCCGCCGTGCACGGACGCACGTATGTACGCACCGAACAAGAAAGTTGCGCAAGAGCTTGCAATTGACAAGGCGCCCGACTTGGCCCGACGCCAAAGTATTTGCCAACGCGACCACCGGCGTTCCCGCTTTCCCAGCATTGCTCTTGGTCGCTTCTTTGGTCCGCTCGCTCGCTCGTTGCGCCTGGTCGGTTTTTATATTTTCTTGTAGACTTTTCTTTCTTCTTTTTTTTTTACTAACTGGGAGAACATAATGGTGACATTCTTTCACGGAACAAACGTTCGTGCTATATGCAGATCGGCGGTGTTTCTAGCGCGTATGCAAGCAACGGACTTCGCTATAGTAAAATATTCTTTCGTGAGCATTTTTTTCTATAAAACAATGAAACTAAATCGAGTTTTGAGTTTGATGTATCTCTTGTGCATCAGCGCTAGATACGCAGAGAAAAATAGGCGGTTTTTTCCGCTTTTTTTCAAGTGTTTGTGCTCACCCACCGAGACGTGGCCCACCCCACTTTTTTAACAAATTTCAGGCGGTTGGGGGGTGGGCGATGACTCGGGATATTACGGTAGTTTCGGCAAATGGCAAAATTTTGCAGGAATAGTGTAGTGACTTGCACTTTCCTTTCAGCAGTAAAGTAAGTTAGAAAAGAAATCCTCACTGCATCAATAGCAGCACCTCGAATGCCTGCAGGAGTATTTCGAAAGTACTGTAACCTTACTTTACCCCAAACAAAAGTTGTGGCAAGTTTGTAATGCAGGCGTGGACATTTCAGTTACTTCTATACTATTGACGGAACTAGCTCAGGGATTTCGTTCCTTGTTGTGAATTGACTGTCTCGGTGTATAGGGGTCCTGCTATTGACAGGTATCACTACGTAGCATCCCCAACCTCTGATTGAGGAGCATCTGTGATTGAATATGTCAACGCACTGCAGCGCGGAGTATGTGAAGCGAAAGCCCGTGCTGTGGGACCCAGGGATCCTGGGCTCAATCCCCACTCCTGCCCAATTTCGATCTGGACGAGAGCACTGTACTGGCACGCGTTCGTTTAATCACTACTCTCCGATGCACTTTAAACACCCCAGGCTAGCAGTCGTGCTACACTGGCTATATTTCTCATCTAGGGTAGAAATGCCAGGCGCTCATTGAGGCCGACAGACTTCCAGCCATCTGAAGCAGCACTTTACCGTCGATTGAGCTAGTTCCCACGGGGTGTGCAGGCTGTGATCCAGTCGGGAGAGCAGCCCACACTGCTTCAGCTGCTGTGCACCCTGCCCTTCGAGTACTTCAGCGATCCCCAGCTGACCCAAGTGCTCTTCCCCACTCTCGTGTCATGCTGCTTCGGCAACGAGCACAACCGGGCCGTGCTCGAACAGGAGCTCAGTCCCGTGCTGCTCGCCAACTACGTGGAGGTAAGTCGAGGGCCGTCTGTTCAAATCCTCGACCTTGGTATGGTCTTCGGGTAGTGCTCGAGTCTCGTTGCCTCATTGCCGAGGTGAAGCCTCGCGATCGCCGCGTTATAAGTACGGAAACATCCTCGACTTACTGCCGTAGCGCGCGCCACATTGGTGGCGCCGAGGCAAAGCGGCTGCCTACAGATTCCAGGTCGCGGGTTCGAATCCCGGCCGAGGGGCTTGCAGTCCGACGGAGGCACCTTACGGAGAAGGCGACGTGTGACTGAGATCTTGGATGCACCTGAAAAGGTCCCTCGATGGTCGAAAGCAACCTTGAGTCCTCTGTCGGTTCATGTTAGATGCCCTCCATTGGTTTGGAACGTAAAACCTTTACATTTTACTTTCGCCTCAGTAAGCAAAAAAGGGATAATGACAGCTGTTATCAGCACTCGTGTAAAGGCTGCACATCCCTATTAAAAAAAAAGAAAGAAAAGAAATTAAAAACTTATTTGTGTATTAGCCTTCCCCCCCCTCCCTTTTCTTTGAGGTGTTGTGTGACCGTTTCCACGGTGTGGCGTGCGCTCCGTGTCCCTGCCATCTTTACCCCACCACGTACGCAGCTCCGCTCGCGCTTTCTGCCACACTTTGAAGCGCAGATGAGGATGATTATGGGAGTAGAGCTTTGGAAAGCTGCCCTTTTTATGGTTTTCGTCCCATCCACGGTTGCCTTCCGCCCATGTGGAAGTAGCTGCCGCGAAATCGGATGCTCGGGTCTTCAAATGTTGCCGTTGGGCTTTGTGGACGTTTCGTTCTGCTAAGTTGGTTTGTGCAGACCCCACAACCTGAGAGCAGTGGGTAAGTACTTTTCGAGCTGTCACTCGTGCCCTGGAGTGCGGCGGACGTGCAACGGGTCGCAAATACAAGGGCGGGCAAAGCGTGCGATCCGAGGTGGGCTTGCCGGTGCGCTGCAACCTCTCGACGTCGGCATTGAAATGAACGTCAAGAGAAAATTCTACGGAGTACATGATTAACGTGTACCCCAAAAAGGCGCTTCCTGCACAGCTCAAAAGAGCGACTCTGGCCACCGTCGACGCCGGTCACATTCGAGCACCGAGGACACCGTGGGTTGCGACGATCGAGTCCGAAATGAAGGCGCTTGAGACCGCTGCGTGCGATCATAGGTTTGTTAATATTTTTATGCGCATCCAGAACTATTTTGTTTTTATCCGCGTATAAGCCGCACTTAAAAAATCCCCGAAAATTTAAAAAAAAAAGTGTGGCACTTCTATGCAATTATATGGCAGCACTTGCTTTTCTGCACATCCACTCTTTATTTACTCGACTGTACACACTGCAGCCTTGTTGTCACTAAAGTCTGTAGGAAGCGGAACTCGCAGCACACAGTTCAGCGCCCCTGCCAAAGACTAAGTCAAGACGGGTTTTGTTCCGGGTGGTAGGTTGCATTTGACATACACACCAACAAAGTTTTTTCTACTGGTGACGTCAATGTGATTCTCCGGTGATGAGTCGTGGCGCACCTTTGAGACTTGCCACTGGGACATTCTGAGTCACGACATTCTCGACATCAGATTGTGACGTCTCGGGCAAGACGTACACAGAAGTGACGACGACGCCTTCGGGAAGTTTCGGGACGCAGGCATTGCCACAACTGAATGCGTCCGAGAAATAGGGTTCGAGACGTGATGCATCTGCCAGTAACTCGCTCCCTCACCCCTCGACCTCGATGCAGCCAGGTGCACGGTTGAATGTGGTCAAGTGATTTGGTGACGTCACTAAGAAGATGAGGTAAAGGTTGGCAGATTAGCCATCTCCGTTCCTTTTGTTGTAATCACATGCTGTGGAGGGGATTAAACGTTGTTGCGTTTTGAGGCCACGTTGACTGAGTCACGGATGTCCGCTGATCCCCCGAGCCTGTGCGGACATGTGGATAGTAACTCCAACAGAACCACCATCCTGACTCTGTGGTTTCGTCCTGTTTAGTTTCTGATGGTGTTGTCGGTGCCACGTTGACATTTGACAGATTCATGCGTGCCTAAGAAGTTTCGGTCCTAGTTGGCAGTGGAAATGTCTTATCCAGTGTGTGGGTGGGACTGGCTCGACAGTTGCTCCTTTAGGATGTGACACGCCCTGCAACGATCTTCCGAGCGTTCCGAGCTCGTATGTCATTTCAGCTCGTGTCTCACTTAAAATATTGAATCTACAACAAAGGCGAGCTGGATATCCCTCTGTCTTGCCGGCACGTAACAAATGTAAGTGCATGTACGCAACACTGAGAAAATCGGCACTCTTTTTGTGCCATCGTGCGAGCGCGTCTTCGTATGGTTGCAGTCTCGCTTTTAACCTGGCTCTCACCTTGTTTTTAACTTGGTTCGCGAGTGTTGTTTAGTTTAGATTTTCTGTATGGTTCATGTATAACGAGCGGGTTAGCTACGAGACAATCGGGGTGTTAAGTAAAAGGTTGTGAATGCAAACATCCTTGATGTTTCTTGACCGATGCGCACGAGGGAAGGTTCTGGCGCAGTTGTACGAGATACAGGCATTTTCCAGTCCACAGCAAATTTTATTGCACGGCATTCAGGTCCTTCGTCCATATAAAACATGTGAAATAAATCATGAAAAGCAACGGTGCCGCATTCTGAAGTGTTGGGCACAACCAAGCAAATGTTAGGTGTTGTCCGATAGCTGATGTACTTCAAGAAGTTTTTTTTTGCATTCCACATCACTTGAAACAGTGGTTTCAAACTCATTTGAGTATGGGGGCCAGATAGCTTACAACGGCAAGGTCAAGGGCCAATGTAAGAGGAAGGTCTAAAGATTTTAAAGAGAAGAGACTGCTTGTACCATGCTTTCTGTGAACTCGCAGTGACATCTTTACATTTTATTTCTCTATAAACGCCGAAATTTCGTTGTAGTATCCCTTCAACAAAAATGGGAACTTCGCTGACTCGAATAAATAAAACCACATCTTGTGAAAGCTTGCTTGAATTTTTTTAACAGCCTCCTGCTTCTTGCAGCTTTTCCTCCTCGCAGTTCTACGACATTTCTTCAGATTTCTTCGGAGATAAAGATCTGTTCTGCGAATAGACCGTTATATCTTTGGCCTATACATTCCTAGTTATTGTTCAGTAGGTGCAACGTGGCTGAGAGTTTGGTCATATTAGTGCTGGCGAGTTGTTCAGGGGACCGTGATAAAAAATAATAAAAAAGAAAATGCTGTATGATCTGGAAAAGAAACAAAAAATCTAGAGCTCATTTTCTTATTTTTCTTTGCTGCGTTCACGGTGAATACTGTTCACAAGTAGTAGTTTTCTTTTCCTTTCGGATTTAAACGGAAATTTTTAATTGATCACTGGCAAACCTCCTCCAAGTTTGCAGTTTGCAAAAATGGAAGTGCCCTTTAACTTCAATAAGAAACACAAAAAAAAACTAAAAACCATGGCCAGAAGCAAAAGTTTTGTGCGATGCTGCACAGTTTGGTCTCTCTCAATACTGCTTCGAATCTGTTCTGAAATATGCTGCAGTCTATGTTCTCCGAAGAAACGGATTTATGGACCTTTTTTGTTTCGTTTATGCATTTAAACCGTGGCTGAGGAATTAATAGGTTAAACTCCTGATTGTTCAATAAAAAATTTCTTAGCCAGTTAAATGGAGAAAAGTCTTTTTTTTTTGTGCAGTTGTCACGGGTGTCATTTTTATCGCCATGATGTTGAACATCAAAAATTTGACCACAGGTGGAACTTTTGCTCACCAGGGACATATGCCTTGTTTGCAATGTTAACAACCTCAATTTACTTTATTTCATAAGTGTTTTCTTTTTTTAATTATAATTGTAAGAAAAGGCTGATAAAATTTACTTCATTTCGACTTGATGTAATTTTTTCTCTAACCCTTTGTTTCGTATCTCACATTCATCAGTTACCTTGCAACTTGATGTCAGTAAGACTATTAAAGATTTCACCAACCTGCTGACATTTGAGTCTGGCCAGGTTCAGCTCCTTTAAACTTCCAACAGAAAGTTTGGCAACAGTTTACGGCTATCAGGCGCGTGTGCGGAAATTGAAAACTGAAATTGAACGCGCTACCTGGTGGTGGGCTGGGTGTAATAATTATGGGACATATTGTTTCACATTAAGAAACTAAACTAAATCATTAAAAACCTTGTATGTTTGCTCTCAGATTGTGCGAAATTTACAGTAGACCAGTAAATAAATTATCCGTTCCACGGAAGCCTGTGGTACCCCTAAAAATGCAGACCGACACACGCCGTTTACAAACATGTCGACATTTGCCCAAGTGTGGGTTCTGCACATGTGCAGAAACCAGATTCGCGTGTAGTGACGCGTCTGCGCATGCGCAGAGCCGACAGCAGTGCCACTGCAGCGGCGCAATGTCAGAGGTGGTCACATGCCTGCACTAAAAGAGAAAAATTTTACTTTGTACTTTTGGTGTTACGTTCTTTTGTGGGCTTTATTCAATGTGAACGTGATCTACTATGTTGCACACTTCGCTACTGTTCTCTTTTTTTTTTTGCAGCGTGAGTTATATGTAGGGTTTTGTGTTCTCGGAGTTTATTTTTCCTCAAATCCGGAGGGTGTTTTTCGGAGTGTATTTTTTGACGAAGATTCTGAGTTTATCGGACTTTATATTTGTTTGATTCCCAATTCTCCGAAATTCTGAGTTTAATTTCGCAGTGTTTCTTATTAAAAATAAATAAATACCTAAATGATAACCGGATCTAAACGTGTGCCAGATAAAAAATAAAACATTAAATAAAACAAAATAAAAAATTTCTTTAGTTGAATTTGGCATTGGTGCCATTGCCATTGGCAATACTAATTTGTCCCACGCCAAAAATCGCACACAAGTGTTGCTTCGATAAACGTCGATAACTTTAATTAGTAAACTCCCGGAGGTAGTCGCTAGCAAGCTCGTAGTCATCCCTCCCTACTCCATCAATCTAGCCCGCCGCTGCGCAAGGTGGAGTGGTTAAGGAGGTA